TTTCTTGGTTTTATTCGACCAATGCACCCAACCCGATTTGCAAGTAGTACATACTAAAATAGTATAAAGGCATCGCGCAAGAAATCGACTGGTACGATATAGCTATCACCTTGACTGCCGACACACGGAAAAAAAAAACAATGTTCTCATGGGCCGGATTAGGCTTCCCAAACAGAACTTTCCTACGCCTTATATCAAACCCAATAATCGGTAACGATTACACTTTTTATGGGTTTAATGTGATGTACGGCCCATCATTTTATGAACGCAGTGAATATCCTGGTTTTGTGTCCTGTTAAACATCTTATCAGACTAATCAGGACATAGCTCTGACGTATAAATGAAAGAAATGAGAAGGCAACGAGATAGCTCTGACGTATTTTGTGCTTTCGATGATATTTGTGAAATGAATGAGATATGATTTGTGACTTCACACATTGCTTCTTTATATAGCAAGAAATGTATATTTCCGGCAATTATAATGTGAACTTGTTGTCGACTATCTCGTCTTATAGTTCCTACATTACTAAGGTGATTTATTGGTGTGATACATACATCTCTTTTCCATTTTTCTATAAAAGAAACAATTGCTAAAATTTAACAAAACCTATCATTTTGTCTCAAGAAAATCAAACAGTAACAACAAGATGTTGATTCATTTAAATATATAGTTTCTTGATCTTAAGTTTGGATACCAGTTTATGAATCGGAGTTTCGTATTTTGATTTGATTTTGGTTCAGATAATTCACAATTTTGAGAAAACTCCATCGAGATAATGACAACGAGAAACAAGGATCAGACAGGGAGTTGGGAGCAGATGTGGACTTGTGTCAATATTGATTTTAAATTGATTTATCGAACCGTGTACTGAATTCGCCTTGGTCAGATTCGTGATTAGGGTGCAACTACAGTACTATGGTCGGTTGGATTTTATTTATATCAATTTTAATCAGTAGAAAATCAAACTCAAGAAAACTACCTCGCTTATTATGAGAGCTATAAGACATAAAATCGACATTACCAAACTTTAATTTTGGTCCGGTTCAGAAACACTTTTTGTGAACAAAATTACTACACGAACAGAATAAAAAAGGGAGGCCCATCAGATATCAAATCAAAAGCTCCACTTTTGCCAATCTTGTTTTGGACTCATACACATGTACTCTTTCTTATTTTGGTATCTTCGCATTTCCTTCCTCTTTAATAATAGAGTATTAAGTATTAACAGAGATCGCAACAGTGTTTATGATAAGTGTTTATGTTGAAAAGTAAAACGTTATGTTTTTGACCAATACTGTATTTCATCGCTATTATATTGCTGGTTTCTGTTCCGATCACAGCCTTAAGTTTTGTCATTTACCTGAATATGTATGGATGTATGCGTTCCTTGCTAATTATTACTCTTGATAATAATGACAAACATAAACAACAGAAGTGCTAGTATAATTCGTGCAATAGAATTATAGTTTTCTTTAATTTCCCCCAAGAAAAATCATTCTCATAATTAAAACTCCCAACACGGTCGATCCTCTAGGAATTATGAAAAGAAAATAGAGAATGCAATACATAATATGATAATAATACAACTGACTTCATTGTCAGTCGCACGTAAATAAGAAATATTATAAAACGCACGGTGAAGGAAATTTTTAAGCTCCTACTATATAGAGATAGATCTAAAAATAAAGGCAACAATAATAATAATTTGTAATAATAGAACTTGAAAAAGATAGAGCATATAAAATCTAAATGGTACCCACAGAACAAATAGAAATGGAGCAGAAGACAAAAACAAAACACACCAAGTCCCCGACGACCCGAAATCTTATCCATATATGCATTACATATGTATACAATAACTTTATGAATTAACAGAAAACAAATATTGTGGACGTAATTAACAAAGATAGACAATGTCAAGTTGCTTTTATATGATTTGCATGTAGGTCATACTTTGTCCCGTTATTATTATTCAATTTCATATCTCATCTATCCCTTCGGTTTATTCTCCCTAACAATATCCCTAACATTCAAATTAAGAAGGGAGGGCAGTCGAAAATAGCATCATAGTATTTCGAAAAATCGTTATAAATTTTGAGATTTTTTTTATAAATATTTTAAATACAAATTAGACAAACATTATTGGGGAATATGCCTCTTAAACAACTAAATGAAGTAAAGTAGACAAATTAATGATTGGAGGAAATAGGGAGAATTTCATTAATGAGTAATATACATTTTGCATTTTTTAAGCAATAGCCTAAAATTCCATAAACCGCAAACACGTGATAAAGACAAAAACTGAAAACAAAATTTAATAGCTAAACGCCCTAAAATTTTCAGATAATGCAAATAAAAAGAAAAAATCATAAACGGCGCTACGAATTCGCAGAAGTAGGCTGAGGTGTACGTTAGCAACAGCCACCGCTCCAAAATATCAAATACTTTTGGAGTATATTTTTTTTACTTTTCATTTGCTTTCCCAATCTTCATCGGAGCTTTCCGGGTCGGGTAACTTATTCAAGTCAACCCGATCCAATAACCAGCCGCCACTCTTCAACTTCTTGTCGTCGTCGTCATCTTCTTCTTCTTCTCGCTCACCGTTTTGATAATTCCGATGGAAATTCTTGTTTTCATCATCACTCTCTCGACTCTGACCAAAAACACGGTGGCGGTTATTTAGCACCGCCGTGCCTAAAGCATCTACCTGAGCACCAACCTCCGTCGCTTTTTTCCGAATCGTCGCAGCCGACATGTCTTCCTCGCTGAAATTATCTCCGGGAAGAAGCTCCGGAAAGTTTAGCCTCGCGGTTGGTCCTCTAAGATAGAAAACCGCCGTGTCGTAAGCTCGCGCCGCCGCTTCCGGCGTGGAGTAAGAGCCGAGCCATAACCTCGAGCGCTTGTTGGGCTCTCGAATCTCCGCAACCCATTTGCCCCACTTCCTCATCCTTATCCCCTTGTAAGGCCTCTCTCTCTTCCTGGTCGTTCCGGCGGTTGCCACGTCAGCTGCTCCGCCGCCGTCCATGGAGGATCGTAAAACCCTCCAAAGAGAGAGACTTTCGAGGTGGGTTTTTGAGAACTGTTTCGATCTGGATTTTACGTCGAGAGAGAGAGACGATATGACAGAAGAATAAATATGTCGGAGCAGGAGAGAGAGAGAGGAGGAGATTGCAGGTGGTGTTATGATGATGGATGAGAGAAAAATCCAAATTCACCGACAAGAAGAAAAGTAGAGAGAAGAGAGAATTTTGGTTAGTTGGATTTTAGAAGATAAACTTGTTGTCATGGTTGTGGATTCGTTTTGGAGTTATAACAAGTTTTTTTCGTTCGGAATTATCACTTAAAATATGTAAATTAATAAAATAAATAAAATGAATACTTGGGCCGATGATGAAAGCTGTATCTTCTGTGATGATTTGTTTTAATGGAACAGAAAACTTTTAAAGTGGATAGGCGGAAGAAGAGGTGGTGGAGATGACATGCGCATATATAAATACATAATTTTATTGTTTCTTTCTCTACTTATAATATTAAAAATTTATTATACTATCCATATGTATTATACTACGCAAACCCTCTTGTGTGTTTTGACTATTTAATTATTGTCTAGGAATAATACCCTTGTACTACATATAATTAAACAACATAGTAATGTTTAACTAGAGTCTAATAAATTTATTTGAAAGATACCTGGACAGATAGACAACAGAAGCTATATTCGATAAGCTATAATCATCACAAAAACCTTTTTCGATTATTAACTGAGATCTTGAAATCTTAGCTAGACCAAAATATATTAACTGAACTTTTTTATTTTTTTTTGGTTTTCATGTTAATATTAACTGAAATTTTTGAAAGCTTGGATAGACCATTTGTGATATAACACCAAATATCTTTTTAGGATGCTGTAAAATATGATACTTTAACTCTTCTTCTTAAAAAAACGAAGATATATATAGGATACTGCATGGTGAAAACATGCACTCTCTTAAGGATATTTTGAAAAGAGCCATTATCACGAAGAAATTTTTTTTTCATCACTCTTAAGAAGAAAGAAAACTCCATAATTTCTCACTCTTAATACAATCTACTGAATGATTTTTTTTTACAAAGAGTGATTTTTTATTCATAATGTTTGAAATACAATTCAAATAAAAACAAAAACTGTCACGGTACATTCTGCAAGAAAAAGTAATAAATATTGTATATATTGGTGTTTTTTTGCTCAAAAGTAATACATATGTCGGTGTAATATTGTAAAGTGTGTTACGATATACCGTATGCGATATACGGTAGAAGACGATATACGATATTGCGGTATACGATGTACGGGATACGATGTTACGGTAAAGCGTAGGATAGTGGAGGAAAGAGGCTAGGTCGGTGGTCGGTGACTGGATACCGTTATTAATTGACTTTATGTGTACTCAAACTTGGACACGTATTGTGTTTTGTCCCTTTGTCCTTTTCATTCCACCCCGTTATTCTCACTTTTTGTCCTCTTTCCAGTTTTTCCCTTTGCATTTTGATATTCCCAGGGAGAATTTCGGTATATTTTTGATAATTTCAGTGTATTTGAACCAGTGTTCTAAAAGGCGGTCTAGGCGGCCGCCTAGGCATTGCCTAGACGCTAGACGGTCATAAACCGTAGCGATTATCTTCTTGGCGCCTAAGTATTTATATACCGTGATTTTATCTATATTTTATTTATAATTTAATAAAATTCATTTTTTATGCATATTTTTTATCTAATATGAATATATTATACTTTTTATAATAAAGTTTTAATGCTCTTTTAATTTTTTAGTGTATTTGAACTTCATATTTTTAAAATATATATATAATATATAGATTTATTTTGTAAATTTCCAAAACGCATAGCAATCGCCTAGGCCCCGATTAGACGTTCTAGGTGTTAGGCACTGATTCACTGCCTGTTTAACGCCTAGCGCATTCTTGAACACTGATTTGAACCCATTTAGCCTCCATCATTATTTTTAATTATTTGTACAGACCAATCAAAGTGTTCAGGAACATAAAATAATAATTACAGAAGGATGTAAAACTAGTGTAAACAACAATAATTTCAACAAAAACCAATAATATGGTCAATAAATTGTTCCTCAAGCACCTCTCCTTACCGTCGAGCTTCTTTGTTCCTTCGGCTTTTGTGTTTTTATTTTATACCAACTTCCCGAGTGAACTCTGAACAGTAGTCGCTGCACTCTCACACAAACAAGTATGATAGATTGTTAAAATGTATTTTTAACAAAAATATGAAGATTGTAGCAAAAGAAGAACAAGAGAGAGTAGATATTGTGGCATTTGATCCTGTCGTTATCTAGCGTAAATAACACATATAATTAATTGGTGATAATTTAAAATATGAATATACAAAGCAGGTGGGAGATTGAATATAACTAGCGATATGTCAATCCGCGAAAGAACCGATCTTCCAATAATTGTTTTATGTTATTTTCAGGAGTGTCGAGTTGTATTTTCTTCATTAAATTTTGATTTGGATAATGATCTTTATTCCTGTGTATTATCGACAGCGTATATATGATATAACTATAATGTTTATTATCAATAAGTTAAACCAAATTATATTATGTTGCTGCTCTCTTGAGTCTTGACTTGCTTTCTTCACGATTTCAATAATATTCTTGTGATGTGAACCCACCTACTACTATATACCTCTATAAGTCATAATTTTCCAAATGGGACTTTTTTTGTTTTCCGAAATATATTCGGTGGTCCTTAATAGTATATATACGTCAGTATGATGTGTATATTAGTTATACTTATTTCGATAATTTGTATCGGAGCCGACAATGAACAATTACAATGTTTAACGATCTTAATCAGCAAGTTATGTTCCTTTCATAATAATTCGCGCGATGCTCGTTTGGGAATCGTAACACGCATAAGTATTTTTGAAATAATATTGAAATTGTTATAGAAAACTATGTAGGGTATGATGAGTTGAGTGATATTTGGATCGCTCCCACGACTTTGGTTTAATTTTATTCACAAAATTATACAATTTCAATTCGATAGGGAAGTAGTAATCGTTGGAAACATACGATTTAATAATAAAACTTTTAGCTGTGACCCAGTTGGCACGTGAACATGGCTCCAATTACCGCGAAAAAGAAAGAAGAGATTTTATACAAAATGGACCACTTTGTTACATTTTTTTGATTTTCAAAATATTGGGTTGCCATTTATTTAAACATCCGGTTGTTTCAAAATAGATATATAATACAAAATGAACGTATACATTTTACACGAACGGTGATCTAAATATAAAAAACGAACAGGAAAATCATTTATCAATCTGACAATCTCCCTAAATCGGAAAAAAGATCTTCCTAAATGTTTCCGAATCAACCAACAGTGCTTTGAGGCGGCTTAACAATATCAGTATGTCAACAGTCTACTATATTAATCCACTAAATAGCAAACGATGATAAACTTAAAAAAATAGATCCTGTGTATCCAAATTCAGAGATTGTAGTTATCAATCTGACTGTAATCGTGAAACTGATATCAGTAGTAATTATTAAAATATCTTCGTATTTTGTGACAAAATAAAAGCAACCAAAATAGAAAAATCTTCATGTTTGGTAGACCTTTTATGGAAACATATTAATTGACCGGTGGGCCTGGTAGATAGCATTTACTCTTACACTAATGGGCTCAATGTATAGTTTCGTTGTATCGCATTGCACTGAGTATTTTGTTCAGAATGAGAGTTGGAAAAGAAAAACAAAACTTTGTGAAAATTGCGACTTTGGGCCTTTCTCAATTTTGGAATCCGATCATAAAATACACTGACAGAGGTGGGCCCCAGACACAATTATTTATAGTCAAAAACAATATCAACGGTAGAGATACTGAGATATCGTCCACTAATGATAAAAGGAAGAAAAAAAAAACAATCTCCTTTGACTTTCGTCCTCAGAAATCAGAATTTAAACCAGTATTACAATCGGTCCCCACACCTAAAAAAGTTACATTTACGCCCCCTAATATTATATTTTCTCTGAATTTGACCCCTTTCCCTGGAAAATTGGTTGAAGGAAACCTACAAGAGTTTCATTTCACCGGAAGGGATCATTCTCTTCAGCCATAACACTCTCCTTAATCTCCTGAATCATCTTAATAACTTGTCTCATCGTCGGTCTTTGCTCCGGCGAAGTGACACGGCAAAGACAAGCTGTTTCAGTCAGCATCCCAAGCCTATTATCCTCTGCTCCTTCTTCTTCTTCCCTCATGGCTCTAACCCAATCAAGCATATCATGAGGCGCCATAAACGGATGCCTTGACGCGTTCTTACCAGTCAAAAGCTCGAAGATCAAGACACCAAACGAGTAAACATCACATTTGGAAGTTGGTCTGCGGGATGATTTTCTGATCTCAGGAGCTTTGTAGGAGGATGAGTCTTGATCATCAGTTGATGCAGAAGAAGAAGAAGAAGAAGAAGATGGGTCTGTTAGGATACTGAGGCAATAATCTGTTAAACAGGCTTCGAAGTCTTGTCCGAGGAGAATGTTCGTTGATTTCACGTTTCCATGGACTAATGCTGATGATGATTGATGGATGTAGTATAAACCTTGAGCTACATCTTCTGCAATCTTTAAACATGATGTCCAGTGTAATGGCTTTGCTCTTGACGATCTTGAACCTGAAATTTTGAGACTAATTAATTAGTTTCATATGGGACCAAGAAGCAAATGAAACACAAACAGAAACAAACATTCTTCTTCTATTCACCTATTTTTTAGAAAATGCTTATTTTTTATTAAATTTCTCCGGCATTTAAGCACTAACGCAAGGTGTAGAGACAGAGTCATGGCAAAAGACGAGATTTCACGTGAAAAACAGCACAAAGTTCCACTAGGTTTTCTGTCTTCTTCCCACTAGTGTGTTAAGTAATTCAACGCAGATTTTAGAAAAAGAGCAAAAGAACAAACTTTATATAATAGTATAAAACCCACGATTGTCGCTGTGTTGTCAGCTTCATTTCAACAAGCTCACTCTAGTAAGTGATAAAGCTGAGCTCACAAAACCCACCACACACTCACACAGAAAGACTCGTGCTTTCACAAATTAGGGTTTAAGCTTATAATAATAAACAACTAACGGGTTAGTCACGTCACGAATGAGACCAGCATAATTAATTGAAAAAACTATTAGCAACTCGGTTATGACTCGGTGAGCTAGAAAAAATTTGAACACTAATGAAAGATTGGAGAAGATGACACATTACCGTGAATGAGATTGAACAGGCTTCCATTGGGTTGATAATCGTAGATGATGAGTCTCTCACCGTTGGATTGAAAATAAGCTCTAATCGGAACGAGATTAAGGTGTCTGAGTCCACCAACAATCCCCATGTGATTCTCGAACGCTTCTTCGCTTGTAACCGCCGTTTTGGCCGCGTCTAGTCTCTTCACCGTCACTATAAGCTGGTTATCAAGCACCGCCTTGTACGTAATCCCCACCGATCCTCTCCCCAATAGCTCCGCCGAAGCTCGCATCAGCTGCTCCAATGTGTACATCCCTTGACTAGTCGACTCCCCTCCGTCGCCGTCGCAGAAAACGAGACTCCCGCTGTTTGGAATTCGGCTTTGTAGCTGCTCCGATTGAAGCTTAACCTCTTTCACATTTGGATCTGAACTCGAATTCGAATTCAAAATCGGAACGGTTCTTGTTCTCGGAGTTTGATTTTGGTGTTGCTGTTGCGAGAAGGACGACGCAGCTTCTCCTTTTTGACTTGGCTCGTAAATCCCATCGTCGTTGCGTTTCTTCATCACCAGAGAGAAGACAACGAGGCAAAGACCGAGGACAATGAGCGACGCGAGACCGACGGTGAAGCCCAGGACTAACCCAGTCGCTTTACCTTTCTTCCGCGAAACAACCGGCGAGATAACCACCGCTCCACCGTTCTGCGCCTGAGCGCTTTGACCCAACGGAGCTTGCGACGACGAAGACGTCTTATTAGTCGATCCGAAGAACGGCGAGCGTGAAGCGCAAGCTCGATTGATGATCTCTCCGCAGAGCCCGGGGTTGGAGCTAAACGACGACGCGCCGAATCGGGATAGAGTCGGTGTAGCGGGGATAAATCCGGTTAGATTGTTACCGGAAATGTTGAAGGAACTCAGAAACGATTGATTCATCGACGGGAGAGTGCCGTTGAAGCGGTTAAGCTCGAGATTCAAGGAAGTTAACCGGTCGAGAGAGTTGATCTCCGGCGGAATCGGACCGGTGAAATTGTTGTGGGAGAGGGAGAGAACCATTAACCGGTGGAGAGAGAGAATCGAAGGAGGGAAAGCTCCGGAGAACTCATTTCGGCTAAGGAAAAGGGATTTTAGGTTAACGAGAGCGGAGAGGTCAGGAATCGGGCCGAAGAGCGAGTTATTCTCGAGACTCAGAACTCGGAGCTGGTCGAGTCGGCTAAGAGTCGCGGAAGAGAAGTAGCCACGGAGGCCAACGCCGGAGAGAACAAGCCGTACGATACGGCCTTGTGCGCATTTGACGCCGCGCCATTGGCAGTAGTCGTAACGCTCTGTGAGGGAATACAAGAGCTTGTTGTCGAGGTCAGCGGTGGATTTAAAAGAGAGCAAAGCAACGGCGTCGGAGGGAAGTAAGGAGTTGAAGTAATTTGGCTCCGGTGATGAGAAACCGGCGGAGACACGGAGGAGAGTGAGGAAGGAGAAGAAGAGGAGAAAATTCAGTGTCATTTTCACTTTTGTTCTGATTGTGTAAAGTCGCTACGAATTCAAATGAATATTAATTGCTTCTGATCAATCCTCCTTTCTTTTCATTTACAAACAAAAAGGGATAGGAATCCAATTTTTTAATTAAAAAAAAAAAAAAAACTAAAAAATGGGAAGCAGCTGTGTGTGTAAGCCCGGGAAGAAGAAAAGAAAGATTTTGGGACTGTGAAGTAGATCACGTGCTTGTGGTGATTTTTTAGGCAATATAAATACTAAAAATAATTAAGGGTTGCATAATTAGTAATTTGAAGCATATCTTTTATGTGAAAAGTGAGCTTACAAGTATTTAACTTATGGTGCAAATCGCATCTAATTTTTAACGACTAAAACGTTACATGGGCTGTGTAGGTACAAGAAAATGACACGGTAAACTCGCTATAATTCTAGCCATTTATATAATCTTGCTTGGCTTGTAAACTGTAACCATAAAATAATAAAGGTATTATGAATGTTTGTAAGAAAAAAATATTTGGGAATCATAAAATCCAAAAGTGGACTGTTAATTTAACAGAAACATGCATTTCTTCAAAAAGAGTCTTTACTTTGCTCGATGCGGTCAAATTATGTTTCCCGATAAGAACCGCACTGGGGCTGAGAGTCACGCGCGGAGAAAAACGCGTGGAAACAAGTGTCTTGAGCCGTTAGTGAGAGCCTGCGCGAGTCCGTGAGTGGGCTACTGGCGTTGCTGATTGGTCCGTAGGAAATGACTAGACTCGTAGCCATATAAAGTGTGGTCCCTTTTTTTCTCCTTTAAATCCTAAAAAATGCGACTTTTAAAATATACTCCAGTGAGATTCTAGATTTAAACAAAAGGGTAATTAATTATTCGATACTTGATATATGATGGGTGGGGATAGTAATTGACAACGTGAGTCTTTGGCTCCAATCACAAAATCTCTTTGATCCCATTCTTCCATGTTTTATTTCCTTTATATTTCTGTATATGATGACCATATTTGACGTAAGCGATTAAAATCTTGGTTATGGGTGGACTCGCATTATCTTGTTGCGCTTTCTTTATAAAGATTCAAGATAAGCAAAGCGTGCTGCGATTGTGATTTACGTCATTTCCTTAAACAGCATCTCCATTCTCGTTTTTGCATTTTTGTTAATTTTATAATTTTGGTCTAAAAGAAAGGTTAAAGTTGGGTGGCTACACGGAGAAAAACTAGCTAAAGTGGGTTTTGACTTGATCATTTTGTAAATAAGTACCTAAAAAGAAGCGTCCACTATTGCTTTAGATACCTGGGTGTATCACTTAAAAAAGGTGTTACTGGTTAATTACTAATCCTCTGATACAGAGAGAGAGAGAGAGAGTGACTGTAGGCTACAAGCATCAACTACGGAACCTGGATGGGCTACCCTAAAGCCCATTATTAGTTAAGGAGTACCTTTTATGTCATATGGACCATATTATATCAGTTGGGTTTCAGTAAAGGAATCCCATTTATGCCATAAGGCAAAGTCCAACCTGAAATTTCAACCTGAAGTTTAACTGAGCTCTATGCACCAGGTGAATATTTGTTTCACTTTGTTCCTTACAAAGTTGGAGATGGAACCAACTTCGGATTAATTTCCTGGATATGTTGACCACCATAACAATTGGTTTACCAAAAGCAACATAACGATTTCTTTTAATGAAAATTGATTTCCCATAAGCAACATGTTATATATTTGGTTTCCCATAAGCAACATATTTCCCATAACTATTTCTTTTACCCTATTTGGTTTCGCTTGATTAGTTAAAATCTCTTCTTATATATTTTTTCCGTGTAAATTAATCAAATTGAATAAGATACTTCGATCATTTTTTTTCTTATAAGTTCAGTGAATAATTTTTTCAGACCACGTGATAAATGATTAGTTCTAAGTCGGTGAGCAGGAGTTATAGTACATAAGATAAAAGCTGGTTCGTCCTAGTCCCACCGGTAACTGATAATCGAATAATGCGTTTACTGAGTTTTTAGAAAATAATATTATTTCCAACACTATTCTTTTAGTAATATGAGAGTACTAACATTTTTTATAATATTCCGTAAGAAGGAAACGAAAGAGAAAGAAGAAGGGACAAAGACTTGTGGCCTGTAATTAGTTATGGTGTCACTTTGCAGTAACTAAAACGCCGACACCTCTCCTCTTCTCTCACCAGCTCCATGCAACCACCTCCTTAACACACCCTCTCCTTAATTATTAATCTTTTAAACCTATAACCAAGACAAACATTTGATGTTTTGTTTCTCCAAATTTGTATTCTTCCCAACAAACCACAAACCGTGTGATAATTTCTGAATTCATTGATATAATTTTATAATTTTTCAGAAGAAAAAGTTATAGTCTATTCTTTATTGGTTATCTTGCACTAACACAACCGTAATTCAAAATTAACACTTTTCATGAAACAAAGAGTAAAGTTTTAAAGTGACACTTTTTGATAAACAGAAAGAATGTCATATTTAATTTAGCTCGCCCTTGTAGATTTTTATTTCTGTAAATTCCAACAACTACATTGAACTAGTCACAATTTGATTGAATATGTAAAAAAAATCACGGACGCTTGTATAATTTACTATGGTTTGTGAATTAGGTAATGTCGCAATGTCCATATTATATTCTTAATTGTATTTAAAAAATGTCACCTTCAGAAATCTCCCAAACGAAACAAATGATTAAGGAAAGGTAGGAAAATTTAATAAGATCCCAGAGCGAATTAATCTTCTAGAATATTAAAAGTTTGAAACTAAAGACTATAATATTTCTACCACATTGTGACGTCGTGGTCAGTCTCAAATAGTTTCTACTTCAAATACTTTTGTTTTTAATAACTTTTAAAACAGAGTCATTTCATTTCGTCTTCTTCGTCTGGCTCAAGGAGGAGTTGAACAAAACAGAGGAAGGAAAGAGAAGATGAAAAGCGGAGGGAACACAAACACGAAGCTCATACTTCTTCATCCATACATTCAAAAACAAACAAGCACAAATCGTCTATGGCTTCTCGCCTTCGTCTCTTTCTTCACAATCGCTTTCCTCTTAACTCTCCTCTACACCACCGACTCCATCATCCCTATCAAAAACAGCTCCGTCGTCTCCTCCGCCGTCTCCTCAGCTCCGGTCCCACAACTGCCAACGAGCGCCATCAATGCTCTGCTTCACTACGCGTCAAGATCTAACGACAGCTTCCACATGTCGTACGGCGAGATGAAATCCATTTCCGACGTCCTCCGCCGCTGCGCTCCGCCGTGCAATCTCCTCGTTTTCGGCCTCACGCACGAAACCCTCCTCTGGAAATCGCTAAACCACAACGGCCGGACCGTGTACATCGAAGAGAACCGGTACTACGCGGCCTACTTCGAAGAAATCCACCCGGAGATCGAAGTCTTCGACGTTCAGTACACGACGAAAGCGCGTGAGGCGCGTGAGCTCGTGTCGGCGGTGAAAGAGGCGGCGAAGAACGAGTGTCGTCCCGTGCAGAATCTTCTCTTCTCCGATTGCAAGTTGGGTCTCAACGATTTGCCGAATCACGTCTACGATGTCGATTGGGATGTGATCTTAGTCGACGGGCCGCGTGGCGACGGCGGAGATGTACCGGGAAGAATGGCGTCGATTTTCACGGCGGCGGTTCTCTCCCGGAGTAAAAAACCCGGCGTAGGGAGTCCGAAAACGCACGTGTTCGTTCACGATTATTACAGAGACGTCGAGAGGCTTTGCGGCGACGAGTTTCTTTGCCGGGAGAATCTCGTTGAATCTAACGATATGCTTGCGCACTACGTGTTGGAAAGGATGGATAAAAACAGCACGCAGTTCTGTCGCGATCGGAAGAAACGCTCTGTTTCTCCATCGCCTTGAGTAAAAACGTGCGGTAAAAATTTCACGGAGAGACAAAGGTCAACAGACAGACAATGGTGATTGACACGTCAATCGCGGAGAAGGTTTCTGTAAAAATAAAAATACCTTTTTTTTTCTACTTTTAAATATTTTCTCCTACTGTAATTTTCAATCTTTGACCCATGTGAAAATTCAATCAGATCAACTAAAATTTAAGAAGAAATTTTATTATCTTGAAGCTATCACTAGTTTAGAAACACTAAATCATGTTTTTTGCTTAAATATTCTTCTTAAATGAACTAAATAACAAAATTAACTCACAAATCAGAAAATCTTAATAGAACTTGTAAAGTTTTACTTCAAAAAAGTATTTGGACACTGATACAACATAAGCCCCAATGAATCAAGAACGTATAAATTCAAGTCTCCCAAGTCTAAACCCTTTTTGGAGACTCTTCTTTCACGTTAAGAGTATCTAACTTCCTTTTCTTGTAGAGTGGAACTCGTCCTCCAAGCTCTTTAAGCTCATCCACAAGACCGTATAGAAACTCAAACGTCAATATGTTCTGAGCATTAAACCGTTCTCTAACCTGTGGATGAATCCTAAACCAATCTCCCAACATCTTATGCACGTGAGACCGAATCATCCTCCATGGAACCGGATGCTCCTCACACAACTTCAAATACTCAACAACCAAATCTCCCTGATCTAATCCTCCATCGACGTATCCCTCTTCTTCTCCACTACCTTTTGCCCATTCAGCTGTTCTAAACCCGGCAAAGACCGCCGGGTTTTCAAGAAGCGTCTCAGCGGAAAGAACTCCTTCAACACCAGTCGCTTCGATGCAGTCATCGACATCTTCAATGCATCTAACATTCCCATTTGCAAGAACTGGGATTCTCAGTGCGTTCTTCACTTCCTTGATGGCGCTCCAGTCAGCTCTAAACTTCTTCCCGTCTTTCTCATCTCTTGTTCGTCCGTGAACAGCTAGCAGCGAGCAACCAGCATCCTCTAGCATCTTAGCGTAGTTGAGTGTATCTTGAAGCTTTGGGAAGATCCGGATTTTACAGGATACGGGAGTAGTGAGATTCTGTACTAACTTTTCAACAAGTGCTTTCACCAATGGAAGATTATCCATCAGGAACGCACCGTAATTCCCTCGCCTCGCAATACGTTGTGGACACCTGAAACCAAAATTCATTCAACTCAATCCCAAAGGTCATTGTGCTCTACCATTTCCAGAAATCTTGGAACCCAAATCATTGTATTTCCAAAAAAGATCTAACTTTATTGAAGAACACTAACACACAATATGTGAAAAAAGAGAATTGAGCTTACCCCAAATTGATATCAACATAATCGCAGAAATTTTGGACTCTCTTTGCAGCTTCCAATAGTGTATCAGGATCATTAGCACAGAATTGCACAAACAATGGCCTGTCCTCCTACAATTTTAGGATTCCAATTCAAAAACCTTGATTTAAAACACACTAAAATCTCTCAGAAATCTGAAACCAAATCTTCATCTAATTTACCTTGCAGGTGGTGAATTCCTGATTACGATACTTCTCAGTCTCGCTGAAGATCCTAGAATGCAACATCGGCGTATACGCCGCCTGAGCTCCGTATTTCTGGCAGAGCAATCGGAACGGCAGCTCCGAGTTATCCACCATTGGAGCAACGATATACTTTGGTCTACCCAGTTTTTTCCAGTGCGCCCAAGCTTGTTCCACCCTAGTATCAATGCTTAAGACTCTACTTGGAGAGCCCAAGCTCGCCGGCGCTGCGTCGACCGTTTCCTCGATCTGGCCATCACGCTGCTGCTGCTCCTCCGAGGAGAGGAGATCGTCTGGTACTTGCGACGGGTCAGGATTTGGATCTGGATTATTTGACATTGTTCGGGTCTGGGAGATAAATCGGGTCCGAAGAAATCTGAAGTTCAAGAGATTTCGTTTCATAAGCTGACGACGGAACACGAATCCATCGCCGCCGCCATAAATTAGGGGTCTCGCTTAATTTTTTGAGGTTTTTGCTTGAAAAATGTAATTTTCCACATCTTATTTTGGGCTTACTGGGCTTTCTGAATTCAAGTTAAATATATAGGCTTATTGATGTATTTACATTGGACATTGTAGAATTGCACATATTAAGTTTTTGAAAGCAAATTTGTTTTTGGTTTTATTGTTTTGTTATAATTTGGATTGGAAAAAGAAGGAAGAAAATACATATTGTGGAAGGGTTTTTAATATTAATATAAGCACAGTACATGTTTTGCTTTTAATTGGTGTTATTGTTATACAACATGAATTTGTATAAAATGGTGTACTTAAAGCCACTTGTTTTTAAAAAATAAAGCACTTGTAGCTTTTGCTTAGAAATAAAGGGAAAACGGTAACCTAAATTGTACGACTATTATTCCCTCCGTTGACTGCTGACGTAAATCAGCATCAATCATAAAACGTTACATCTCTCTTTCTAATTAATACACGTGCTTTACCAAAATCTCCTCCTTAATCATCACTCCACTCCAGAGAACAATCCTGTTTACGCCATTAACGCTTGAAACTCTCGGTAATATAACGCCACGTGTAGCACACAATTTATAAATCCGATATTGCTTTTTCGGTTTCTCTTTTAAAATATGTCCGTTGTACCAGCAGAAGGGTGGTGGCAGTAACCATAATAATGGCATTAATTAGCATAAAATTAAAAACTTAAATGCAAAGTAATTAATTAAATTAATCAATCCTAACAGACATTTTTCCCTCTTTTATGTTCGCTCTAGCTGTTTAGCAGGAAGGAGGAGAGAAAGTGAGAAACGAAGAAGATGAAGCTCTCTGCGTTTCGATTGAGTTATTGGAGCCGTCGAGGAAGCAGCTTCCGATCATCGGCGTCGTTGGATCCGTCATCATTTGACGGAGGGTGCGTCGGCAAGTCGTCTCCGTCGACTGTCTTCTGGCTCGTGATTCACGGTCTATGCTGCTTGATCAGCTTGATTTTAGGTTTCCGTTTCAGCCATTTAGTACTCTTCTTCCTCTTCTCGACTTCCGCCACCAATTTATACACTACGCCATTTCTCTCCGCCGGCACCGAAGGCGTAAGCCAGCTGCTCCGGCTGAAACCTCTCGCAACAGCTAACAACAGCACGGTGAAGTACTCTCGAGTGGTGGTTGGAAGACACGGGATCCGGATCCGTCCTTGGCCTCACCCGAACCCGATCGAGGTGATGAGAGCTCATCAGCTGCTCGAGAGAGTGCAGAAGGAGCAGAAATCGCTGTACGGTGTGAGGAGCCCGAAGACCGTGATCGCGGTGACGCCGACTTATGTACGGACTTTCCAGGCGCTTCATCTGACCGGAGTAATGCACTCGCTCATGCTCGTCCCTTACGATTTGGTGTGGATCGTGGTGGAAGCCGGTGGGAAAACGAACGAGACGGCGTCGTTTATCGCGAAATCAGGATTGAAGACGATTCACACTGGGTTTGACCAGAAAATGCCGAATACTTGGGAAGATCGCCACAAATTGGAGATCCAAATGCGTCTTCACGCCTTGAGGTGAAAATCATCATCCACATTTTTTGTTTTCTTCTGCTATTTTGTCTCTAGAAACAGGAATCTGATTGAGTTGAAATTGTTCTTGCGCAGAATTGTGCGAGACGAGAGGTTAGATGGGATTGTGGTGTTTGCTGATGATAGCAATATGCATAGCATGGAGCTATTCGATGAGATTCAAGCTGTGAAATGGTTCGGTGCTGTATCAGTTGGAATACTAGCTCACTCTGGTAACGCTGATGAATTATCATCAGTCTTGATGGATCAAGAGAAGAAGAAGAAAGAGAAGAAACCATCATCAATGCCAATACAAGGTCCTAGTTGTGATTCTTCTGGGAAATTAGTGGGATGGCACATTTTCAACACACAGCCTTATGCTAAGAAGACTGCAGTTTATGTCGATGAGAAAGCTGCTGCGATGCCTAGTAAGATGGAATGGTCAGGGTTTGTTTTGAATTCCAGGTTGCTATGGAAGGAAGCTGTAGATGAGAAACCAACATGGGTTAAAGATGTTGAATTGTTGGATGGTGGTGAAGAAATCGATAGTCCGTTGTCTCTGGTTAAAGATCCTTCCATGGTGGAACCACTTGGAAGCTGTGGCCGCCATGTCTTGCTTTGGTGGCTTCGCGTTGAAGCTCGAGCTGATAGCAAATTCCCCTCTGGGTAAAGTTTTGTTCTAAACTCATTCTCTCTCAAGCAAAATGGCCAATTTCTAATCTTGACTTGCAATTCTTCTCTGTGAGTGTATGTTTATGTAGCTGGATCATCAATTCACCTTTGGAAATCACGGTACCATCAAAGCGGACACCGTGGTCAGATTCTTCCGCGGAGAGGAGTTCCACTAAGCCAAGAAGATCAAAGAGGAAGGGCTCCGTTGGGAAACAAGAACCGAAAGCTTTTGATAGTAGTATCAAAGTATCAGCAACTCGTTGAAGAAGACTTTAAAGGTACAAAGATGCAAAGAACATGAGGGGAAAGTATGGAAACTAGGCAAATTTCATTTCCTATTTTTTGTTCTTCAACAGTAAATATCGTAAAATTGTTTGTTGGTCATTGGCTTCAATACAATACAAAATCATATGAAAATACTTTTGAGTTCTGAAACTGAATGCTTAGCCCTAAAACAAAACTGAGAAACAAAATTTTAAGAAATGAATAATGAAAAATGCTCAAAATTTCAGAGAAGAAAAGACAGGTGCAGTGAACTTCCCCACCTTTGAGCAATGGGGTTTGATTCTGTAAAATCATGAGCGGTTGTTTCACTTTTTCTTCTCCAGTTTCTTTTTGAGGTTAGTTATCATCTTATCCTGAGTCTTATTCTCAAGTTCCTTAGCTTTCAGTTTCTGCTTCAGTTCTTCAATTTCCTTTAACTGATCTTCATTGCTCTTCACAACGTCCTTAGCTTTGAGTTTCTCCTTTAGCTCTTCAATTACTTTTAAATGATCTTCGCTGCTCTTCACACAGTCCTCCTTAGCTTTGAGTTTCTCCTTCAGTTCTTCAATTTCCTTCAAATGGTCTTCACAAAGGTTTACATTTCCTTCTCTGGTCTCCTCAGAATCATCATCTTCTCTTCTCTGTCTCTTTGAACTCACATTATCCTCCTCTGAGTTAGTTCTCTTTCTCGTGGTGACTTCACCGTCTTGAGCATTTTTACGAAGGTATAAACTAGCTTCATATCCAGAACTCAGCTTAATCTTAACCAATTTTTGTGGGAAACCTACTGAATCCTGAAGCAAAGAAACAACAGAGACTCTATGATAACGATTCTCTTACTAACAGCAACAGATCCTGAAATGACCAGACAGATGATCCTAAATACCTTATCTGCGTCTCCATCAACGTTTTCAAATGCTTCATTTGCTTCTTCTGGACTGTTGAAAACAACGACTGCGGTATAATAACCTCCTGGCCTTTTCGGTGGCTGTCCAAAAACATATCACAAAAAGCATGATCCTCGATTCCTCGTGAGAAGAAAGATTAGTATTTTATAATAAAAAAGACTAACTATTACCTTAACATCGAGTGTGAAATCTCCGGAAACAAGTCCATGTAACTCTTGAGAGGGAACACTGTGAGGTATTTTATGAAGGAGGAGTTGTGACTTCTTCGCCTCCTGTATCGCCTTCTCAGCCTCCACCATCTGTTATTAAATTTTGCACACATGTTTTAGAAAACTGCATAAACAAACACTTTTGTTTTACAATAGTTAAAAAAAACAGAGACTTACTTCTTCAGGTTGTGCAATGGTGGTGTCTACTCCTTTTTCGACAACAGCAAGTACAACTTTCATAGCAGCTGCTGCGTCGTGAACACAGTTGTGAGTAGCACCCGTCATTCGCACTTCATGCCCCAAAACAGCCTGAAGAAACAACCATATATATTCATATTCAGTATTCGATTCTTCTCAACGAGCAGAGGAATAATAAAAAGCTTTTTTCACATGCTTTACCTTGCAGACGTTATTCAAAGAAGGTAATTTAGAAGCTCTTGCATCGGCATAGTTAAATACCAACGCAGTATCTATCACTCTCGCATGATCTATCTTCAGCACTGTGATCATAGTAACTCATAAGCACAGAACGGAATTGATAACAAGATGACAATTAGGAGTCTTGTTTTACAGCTTACCTTGAAGATCATTGTTCAAACCGTGGCCTACAAGAATAGTTCCCGCACAGAGAAACCTCCGTAGCTTTTTCTGTATGTCTGCAACAGAGAGAGTAGCTTTCTCAACATCCTCAGCAGTAACTCCAGTAATGTCCGTCTTATAGTCAACAACTGGTAGGCTCGGTTTCACATATTTGTCAAGAACCACCTGATTCATTCATGAGCATCAGTTTAAAGAACAAATCAATCAGTTATTGAAAGTAATAAAAGATAAAGAAGTACCTTTAAGTCACGGTCCACGGCGCCAACTCTAACCACAGCTTCACTGCCATCTTCACAGGTAACCATCTCACAATCAATAGCAAGCATTCTCGTCGATTTCATCACTTTTGACTTCTTCTTTCCATTCTCCGTTACAAACCAATCCTGTTTTGCGATTTCAAAAAACAAAAAGCTCAAGCTTCTTGTCTATTCCCGCAAGAGGCAAATGCTAATAAGATTTGATAGAAAGACTAACGTCGGCATAAGACGGGAACGAATAGAATGTTGGGTACTTGTCATGTGCAATAGTCATTCGGACCAACCTCTGCAATGAGAAACAGCTTAGTTATGAGCTAAAAGTACAACAAGTTGGTTTCTTGATATCCCACACAAGAAATGTTTCCAGACCTGCTCAGGAGTCTCTTTATCCGGAGATTCTTCCTTGAATTTCTCAATCAGATTACGATTAGCATCACATTGCATAACCCTAGCCAATAGCTGAGATTAAACCAAATATGTAAGAAGTAAGAACAAGTAATCCACGGAAGATACAAACATGAAACACTTGTTATTGTTAGTCATTACCTGCAAATCTTCTTTCTTATTCAATGAGGAAAGAAAAGCGACCAAAACATCATTGGAGCGCCTCGAAGGATCACTCACACTCGCTCCGAATTTCTTGTCGTAAGATTTTAGGAATTCCTTCCATCCTCCTTTCTCGCCTTCCAAACCTCGCTTCTGCACTAGCTTCACCAGCTCTACTAGGACCTACACAATCATCCCCACGCCAATTTTAATTTACCAATTTCGAAAAAACAGAGAAAGGAGATTTTGAACTGAAAAACTAGACTTACTTTTTTCTCCGCAGTTGCTAGTTTATGCTCCATAACCGAATCCTGAAAGTGTATAGGAGCTGTTTCCGTCGAATAGTAATCAGACGGCGGCTCTGTCAGTTTTAGAGGCGGCAAGTCAGGGAAAAGGAGAGTTGAAGAAGACGGAGCGACGAAAATTAGGGTTTTATTCTGTTTTTTGTTTTTAATAAATTTGTTCGGGCAGCTTCATCTTTTAATTACCTTTCTGTCCAACTCCGACTTCCGGTATATTTTAGTCACTTTTTATTTACTTTGTCAGCATTTGAATAAATAAGATAACACTCGGAGTATTGAATAATCAAGGGTTTTGTGCAAAAAAACCAGGGAACTATAATAAATTTGTAAAATTAACCCTACCTTTTTTCTGTACAAGTCAACCCCACATCCTCAAAAGTCACTCGCTAAACGGGCCTTCTGTATATTGGAGACGTGGCCGCTTCTGGTCCTTGTAAAAAGAGCGAAACGCTGCGTTTTGGTTGATTAAACGGGACGCAGTTCGCTTATTCGCTGCCGTTTTCGGACAAAAAGAAAAACACATTTAACTAAAAGTGTCGGGATTTGAGTTGCGAGAAACAGAAAAATCGAATTGAGGAAAAAACAATTTAGGGTTCTTGGCGATTGGCGATTTTCTGGGTTCACTCGTCGAAGCTGAAATCGAGTTTGCAATCGTTCTGCGTAAGCTTGTTTGTTATACATTGGATATGTTAGCGTAGTTGTTATACATTTTTGAATGCTAGTAAAGAGTTGTTAATCGATAATTTACAATACATGAAGAAGATGAGTTTGAGCAATGGAAGTTGGACCTCAACAACGATGAGAAATGATAGATACAGAGGTCTGAGTGATACAAAACCAGGGATTCCGAAGAAGTGTTGTTGTGGCTGTGAGGTTGAGCTTCGCACCTCTCTGATTGAACTAGGAAGAAAGTTTTACATATGCACCGGACCTGTATCGGTAAGTAATGAAGAATAATGTATTTTAACAAGTAGATGTAGTTTATTTTGCAAAGATTGACTTATTAGAAGAACTGCAATTGGTGTATGATGGAGAAACACATGTTTAACAAGAAGGTTACTATGAATGGTGTAGATTCCCGGACCACATGTTAATAAGTGGTGGGATGAAGCAGTTATGGAGGATTTACTGGAGATTAAGGGAAAAATGGAAGACCAGGACAAGCAGCTCTTCCAAATCGCTATGGATTGTGGACGTGTGGACAAGCTTGTTGATGAGGTTGAGATGCTTAAGGATTCAGGGGAAAAACATGAAAACAAAGCTGCCAATGAGTTCAAGATTGCTGTGGTGTTTGGTGTTGTGGTGATGATCATGGCTATGATCATCGCCTTCTTAAAATAGAGAATATGTATGTCTTAAAACCCTTAATTGCTTTGAAAACATGAAAAAGGGTTTATGATGTTTTGTAAGAAGTTTAGATCGGTTTCTACGACACTATGACTTCTAATCGGCTGTATGGGTAATGTTTTATAACAAGTTTAGTTGGCCTTGTGACTTTTGAATTGTAAAACTTATGTGTGTTGTTATATATATGAAGTTATGTCTTGCTATAAATTTGTTATTGTGAAAGTCTGTTTGGTATTCAGCTTAGTTTATGCGAGTGTGTGTTGTGTGGTGCTCTACGATTATTTGCCAAATAAAGAGGTATTACTGATTTTATAAGTAGGTGTATCGTAGATAGCATAATCTTGACAAAAAACATAAAATTGACATTGAAATCTTACAAACTTACAGAGGATAAATTCTTAAAACATGCATATTTGAGACCAAACTTACTACTCATGCAAGAGCATTACAATAACAAAGTCAATGTCATGACTACAAACTCTCAAACAGAGTTTGAGTCTCCATTACCAAAAGCCGAAGTTGAACGAAATAAAGACAAGAACAACAAACAAACAACATTAGGCAAACTAAACCAGGTCTACATTACCATAATTCCTTCGCTGACATGAACAACAAACAACATTAGGCAGTGTTGGAGGTCCACATTAGCATCATTACTCCAAAAACAGCACCAAATCCAACCGTTGAAGCAATGAGAACATTTCGGCATTGTTATTCCTAGTTTTGGCATTTTTCCATTCTCTGGCTCCTTCTTTTTCTCACCCTTTTCCCTTGTTCTGTTTTTTCCAGGAGGTCTTCCACCAGGACTTCCAAATGGTGGCCTAGTGACCCTTAGTCCAGTTGTCACTTTCCACAAATTCATTCCATTCACTGGTCCTAGCGGTGTACAATAACACGCCCTAAGCTTATCTGCGGTAAACCATTGACTAATCCTAGTCTTAGGGTCTTGTTCTTCTCCTCTCTCCAGCCTTAGAGATGATGCTATGTGGCAACAAGGAATGCCGCTAACAACAAACAGTCTGCAGGAGCAACTAGTTTTGTTTCGCAGATGCACTACAAACCTATCATGTACCTCATTTTTCACGTATGTAACCTCATACTTGCCTAAACCAAAACCCAATGGCCTACAATCCTTAGCTAGTTCGATTTGTTGATCAAGCAAAGCAACTGCTCTAGGAGTATAGACACCTTTAGCTTTCTCAGCTTCTAACCTCTTCTTGTCATTACTAACCACAACCCTGCGCCTTATCTCCTCAAGCATCTCCACTATGGGTTTCGTTCGAGCAATCCTTATAGCATTAAAGGACTCGCCCAAGTTATTCTCCACAGCATCACACTTTGAATACTCCGTAAAAAAGGCCCTTGATTAAAACATATAAAACACAGAGTAAGCGCTCTATAACATTGACATATATGGAACTAAGAAAAGACATGTGAAATAGTCAGGTTCCCGTCTTACCTTGACCAGGGACACCAAAGAGATATCCTCAAATCAGCATGTGCAACGGCATCATAGTCTTTTAATGCTTGCATCTTTCTCTCAAAATCTAGGGGATAATAGGAATCGGCTGCACTCCAGAACAAATCCTCCAAGTCTGCGCCACTGTGTCTCTTCTTCCAGTTCGCATACACATGTCGAGCACACATCCTGTGTTCAGCAAATGGTAAGAGCTCTTTAACGGCTGCAATCAATCCCTTTTGCTGATCACTTGCCAAGGTCAAACCATTGCCGGTTTCAAGGCCCAAATCACTAGCCAAATGCTCTAGAAACCACCTCCAGTTTGGCGTATTTTCCTTCTCGACTATTCCCCATGCAATGGGAAACATTTGATCATTAGGATCTCTCCCGCAAGCTACTAGAAGCATTTCATTCATTCGCCACTTGAGAAAAGTCCCATCAAGATGAAGTATCTTCCTACACGCAGCTTTCCATCCCGTTTTCAATGCACCAAAACAGACATAAAACTTTTCGAACTCAGTTCCCTTCACCACCAGTTCCACTGTTGACCCAGGGTTTGCTTTTTTCAACTCATACACATAGTCAAACAGCCTAGAAAATTGCTCATCTTGCTCCCTATCAAATTTCCTCAAGCAATCCAATCTGCTCCTCTCGCATTTGGACCAAGGGACATTAATGTTTCTTGCCAAGAGCTTCTCTTGTAGCTGTTGAGCCGAGAAATTGGGATTCAGCCTGAATTCGCCAATGTAAATCTCACTTATTCTTGAGTAAGTGAGAAGTGACACTTTACCTTGCCAAGTGCAGTTATGCTCTTCTTGTAGTGACCTGACAACTACCCTTGGAGAGCTGCTGTTTATGGTAGCACATATCCTCCAAGGACACTTTCCATTTGAGCAAATAGCTATCACTCGACTCTTTTCTGACTTCTTGTACTTAATATCCCTCCTCTTCTTGACTGCATATTTGTGAAGAGCACTCTTAAAGCTGTCTATAGTCATATACTCCTGACCTATTTCAAATCTCTTGTAACTCTTGTCATCCACATTAGTTCTTCTGCCATCACAACTGCTCTCATCTTCAGTAAAGTTTCCAGCTTCATCACTTGAATTTCCATCTCTGCTATCATCGCCATGTTCACCCACGTTACCATCATCTGGATTTTCTAGCCAAAGATTTTCATCATCCTCCAGTGAAGTGTTCCAACCTGTGCGCCGACCTATGTATGGATCATCTTCACAGACAACATACAGTGTCGCAGCCCCGAACCCAACACCATAGTGAGCAACTTTATTCATTGTCTCGATATCCACTTTCGTATTCGGAGTCTCTGATGGAAACCATGATAGCTTCTTCATGTTGTCCTCATACCCGAGCTGTTCAGTAATTATCAGCTGAACCCTACTCATCTTAAACTCTTCTACAGTGAAGGTACCCACACGACTTGACTCGCCGCCAAGATATCTATCATCTGGTGACCAGTAGCCTCCAGTCCACAAGAACAACTCGAAACTGCAATGTAAAAAGATAGAATTTATAAATTTCCAGTGTCATTACTTCTTTAAAGCCAAAATGGTTTTGGTTTTCGTACAGACTGCATTATAGAGTCAAAAACGAATTCAGACAACTTCTGCATAAAGGAGAAGCTACAAATAATCTAGCTTAAGCAAGCCTTCCTACATTCGTTACTTAAAAAAGACTTCCATAGTTATATACCTAAATTCACAAATGCTTCAGATTCACAATAAGCCACAAACAATTACTACCAATAGTATTCTAACTAAAATGACAAATGCTCCAACGTTAGGCAGATGAAACAGAACGAAACCAAAACTATTAGATTTCCAAAGCATAAGGTAAACTTTAGACATTGAGCCAACTTAACTACTGAGTAAATAACTAATTGAAACCCTATTGAAATCGTAAATTCAAACCACCTCATACCCCAGAAAGGATTTTCGAAGATTAGAAATCGATTTTCAATTACAGCAGAGAAAGGTAAACCATGTGACACAAACGAATTTACCTCATCTCGAGCCCAGAACGATCGTCGGTCACCGACGCCAATCTCGCAAAGTCGATTTCAGCTTCGACGAGTAAAACCCAGAAAATCGCAAATGGCCAAGAACCCTAAATTGTTTTTCCCCAATTCGATTTTTCTGTTTCTGGCAACTCAAATCCCGACACTTTTACTTAAACGTGTTTTGCTTTTTGTCCGAAAACGGCAGCGAATAAGTGAACTGCGTCCCGTTTAATTAACCAAAACGCAGCGTTTCACTCATTGTACAAGGACGAGAAACGGCCACGTCGCCAATATACAGAAGGTCCGTTTAGCGGGTGACTTTTGAGGTTGTGGGATTGACTTGCACAGAAAAAAAGTGAGGATTTATTTTGCAAATTTAATTTAGTTTCCTGGTTTTTTGCACAAAACCCAATAATCAAATCTACGTAAACATTTTACTTGAACTTACCTCGTAAGTATTTCTTCTTTTTCCAGTTATTGGTTATTATCCAGGTTACATCTTATGAATACAAGTCAAATAATTCAACCAACGTACATGACAATTCCTTCAAATCATTGACATTGACGAATAAGAATATTCAGATTCCAAACATATAAATCCGAACGGCAATCAACGGTCCATACAATAAATATTCTGACTTTTCTAATCGACAAGTCTTACACACTGATGAACATGAAAGTGAATCACAAGAAAAAGAAAGAAAGAAATCAACAACAAGACCACGTAAATAGATCTTTAGACAATTACCGTTTCATAGAGTTATATCTCATCAAGTAGAGCTACTACCATTATCATTATGAGACCATCTCCTGAATGTGCAAGTTACCAAGTTCCTTGCAGCAAGAAACCCCAACTTTGACCTAATCATCGCTAATCTACTTCCTCCATTGTTGTTCCCACCTGCAACACTCTCCGGTACCACCACACCACCGCCTTGACCCACCCTCCGCTCCTCCAAATTTTCAGCCTCTCCATCCACCACCACCATTGCTTCCGTTTCATCACTGTCCATACTCACCACAAGTGTCCTCCTCTGTTCACGCAGCCACTCCCCGATTTCTCCAGTCACCACTTTACATTTCTTCACCTTCAATTTCACCAGGTTAGGGCAACCAACAGCCAAGGCCTCGATCCCTAGATCCGAAACCGGACATCCTTTGATGCAGAACTTCCTCAACGCCCCACATTTCTTAGCTATGCAAGCAATCTCCGTATCCCCTATGGTCACACTCCCGCAAAGCGCTAAGCGCTCGAGCTTCTCGCAGTTCGAAGCAATGGCTTCTAAACTCATATGCGTAGCGTTAACACCGATCAACACAAGCTCTTGCAAGTTTAAGCAGTGTTTAGCTACAGCCATTAGACCTTCATCACCAATCCTATTAGTCCTCCATCCATCAATGTGCAGCTTCCTCAGCAAATTACATCTCTCAGCGACATCAATCAGACCAAAGTTTGAGCAATCTGGGGTTTTCACTATATGCAAGGTCTCTACATTTGAGCATTTCGATATCGCAGAGAGCCCAAGGTCACTCACTTGGAGCCTCTCGAGGTGAATCTCACTGAGAGAGCTATTCCCATCTCCGATCATTTGAAGAACTTTATCCCAATCACCCAAACAACGAATGATTTTCAGCGTTTTCAACGTTTTTGTACTAGAGACCAATGGTTCGAATACCTGGCCATTAACGAGCTCCTTCAAGCAAATCGCTCTGAGCGAAGAGGACGACCCACCGGCTGGCAGCTGAATCAGCTCGGCTGCTTCGTGGATCCCTCGGAGTCGCTTCACCGACAGTTCCTCCAGAAGCTTGCAATGCTCGAGCATCGCGTTCACGCCTTTCGCTCCGAAATTGCAGGATCCAACCGAGAGCTTCTTCAGATTTTTGCAATTCCGAGCAAACTCTTCCATTCCCAGATCTGTGATCTCGCGACAACCGCGAAGCTTAACGCGAGTCAGATTCAAGCAACGAGCGGAGATCGTAACCAGAGCCTCGTCGCTCAAGCTAACAGACTTCCGATCGCATCGGAGAGCGAGCTTCGTCACCGAATCGAACCGATTGAACATAGACGTCAGGAAGGAGAAGATCTCGTCTCTAGCATCGAGCGATAACCGATGACGATTCTGACCGTCGACGAACAACCACCGTTTGCAAACAAGAGAGCATCGCTTCCGATCTCCAGCTCCGAGGAACTGAAACACATGAGCCAAACACTCATCCGGTATTTCTCCGGAGAAATCACGATCTGTAACCGTAACACCATTTCCCAAATACATCCATTCTCCTCCACCAACAATCACCGGAGACCATAACCTCAAATCCATATCTCGACCGTTCGATTCCGCCGGAGACGACGGCGCTTGGCCCATCACCGAAATGGTTTCGTTTCTCTCCAATATTTTTTCCTTTTTCTGTTTTCTTTTTTTATTTGTTGGCTCTTTGGTTTGAGGAATTATAAAGTGAAAAACAGTAACGGCCCATCGCGTCAGATAATGGACCACGTGGCTTCATCGTAGTCGTCACGCTTAACCCAAATGTCACTCGGACGCGCTTCACTCGTTTATTCTCAAGCGTCCGATCTAAATAAAAAATGTTGGTCGCATCGTGATCGTTGATTCCTTCGACTTTTTGTTAGTGCTTTTTATAACCTGTCTTCACGCTCTTCTCTGTAAAATCATTACATCTCGTGTTCAACGGTCAAACTTCGAGGTTCTCTAGACAGTAAGACTTTGTGGGCTATGAATATTCGCTTTTTTAATATTGATTTCTCTTTTTTTATTTGAAAATGTTGAAATATATTCTGTCAAATACGTTAAGACTGTTTTATTATACGAAGCAGATGAGAACCTGAGCATATGCGATGTCTTTTTTAATGTTTAATGAAACATTAATGTAACTGTCTCCCAATATGATAATGTATATAAGACCAAAAAAGCATCAATGAGTCATTGATAAAATATCCGACGTTTCTTTGGACCTCCTTGACTTAGAAGCCCACATTAGCAAAATAGGCTGGATCCAAATATTGTTAACCAAAAGGCCTTATTTAAGTTTATGGGCCCATAACGAATTACGAAAGACAACTATGATTGGAAAGAAGCAAAACTATTGACAAGTGACAACAAGTCAAAAGTCTGTGTTAATTTATGATCGTCACATCCTATGCATTCATATTACGACAATATTATTACGAAATTTTAATGGCTTTGACCCTTTTTCTCCAACCGGAAAAGCAATAATAATGTTGTTACCCAAACAGTACAATAGTTTCTATGTTTGACTCTGGATCATAGTTCATAGAGCCACTGATTATTTCATAGTTTGAGATATTTTCAATAAGTTCTTACACGTTTCTATCCAATTATACTCAGCACTTATGTATAAAGAATCATAATCGAGTACTTGAACTTAGACTGGTGTTAACGAGTAAGTTTATATATTTTCGGCAAGTTTATTTCCAACACAAGGCCTTGATAAAAAAAAGGAATCAGACAAGTTCAAAATTAAATTCTCGGCTTTTCAAAAAGAGATCTTTATAGGATACATAAAAAAAACTATTTAAAGATGAAATAAAAAAAGCTCGAACATTTTAACGCAACAAATTTATTTTTATTCTTGCTTTAAATTTATGTAAATTGGACCACAGAGAATCTGCAAAGCTGTGTATCAAGAAAGACGTGACTATAATAAATACCACGATTCATAAATAACTAGATTCATTATACGAATCTCTATGTATATTTCCAAAAATACATGTATCTCATCAAAAGTTACTTATCCCGTATTTAGAATCTTACGCACTTCCTAATTTGCTGACATTCTCATCATTTACATCATACCTCTCAAACTATAAACATCTACAAATTCAAGAAAAATACATATATTATTTTTGGGGTAAAATGTTTACGGATACGTTTTGTCAATAAAAGAAAAGATTAATGGTTAGATCTAAAGTATACTCAATTCGGTACACAAGAGGAGAGCGTAATCATCACCATCCGATCGAGAGAGATGTTTTTGTTCCATCGCACGGACAGGGAAAAGGAGCGTGTATACCACGCGTAATAACTCGCGTGAACTTAGAGATACATTAATACCTTTATTTATTTTTCGATAAATAAGATACATAAATACTCCTTGCATTGCATCTTCTTTAATTAATTTTATTCAAATAAAATCCAGAGTCCAGACATATGCAACAAAGAAAACAACAAAATTCCATACTATAGGCTACGATTTTTTTATTTTGTGAGTGAGTTTGAACTTTGAATCACAGAAATAATGATTTGTGAGTAATAAAAAATTTTAAATTTATCAATCTATATATTGCGCGCCATACATCGGAATATCGAAAAGAAACAAATAAAAAAAGACAAAGCGTGAGTTAAAATAAAAAACCCTTCGCTTTCTTTGCAATTGTCCGGTCTCATCCTTTTTTCTTTCTTTCTCTCTCACTCTTAAGTAATCTGTCGATGAAACTAGCCTTAATGGCAGAATGAGCATAGACATTCGCAATCTCTTCTTCTCGGAAGAAGACGATGGCTTTGGAGAAAGAAGAAGAAGAGTCACAAAACGGTCAAAACGCACCGTTTTGTGTGCTTGATGCGCTCTACTGCGAGGAAGAAAGCGGGTTTGTGAACGAGGATCTGGTCGGGATCGATAACGGGGATTTAGAGTTTCTCGAGAAATCCGATGAAAATGTCGGAAAGTTTCAGTTTTTACCTCTTCTGGATACGTTTCTATGGGATGACGACGAGTTGCTGAGTCTGATTTCGAAGGAAAACGAAACGAGTCCTTGTCTCTGCGACGATGTCTTAGACGAGTTTCTGGTTACTTGTAGAAGAGAGGCGTTAGATTGGGTTCTTAGGGTGAAATCTCATTACGGGTTCACTTCGTCGACGGCTCTGCTCGCTGTGAACTACTTCGATAGGTTTCTCACAAGCATAAAGTTTCAAACAGATAAGCCATGGATGTCTCAGCTTGTAGCTGTTGCTTGTTTGTCTTTAGCTGCTAAAGTTGAAGAGATTCAAGTCCCATTGCTCATTGACTTCCAAGTTAGTCCCTTTTTGCTCTTATAATGTCACTTACATGTTTGTCTAAATGTAACGAAGTCTCATTGTTGTGGTCTTAGGTGGAGAAAGCAAGATATGTCTTTGAAGCGAAAACTATACAAAGAATGGAGCTTTTGATTCTCTCTACTCTCCAATGGAGGATGCACCCTGTGACTCCTATCTCCTTCTTTGATCACATTATCCGGCGACTCGGCTCTAAATGTCATAATCAATTGGAGTTCTTTAGGAAGTGTGAACGTCTTCTGATCTCCGTTGTTGCTGGTGAGGTTTTCCGTTTAAACATTAAAGCCTTTTTGTTTATGGTTAGTTTGGATTCTTGGTGCTAAATCATGGATCTTGGTTTGCAGATACGAGGTTGATGAATTACATCCCCTCTGTTTTAGCATCTGCAATAATGATTTATGTCATCAATGATTTGAAACCATGTGACGGAGCTGAATACCAATCTCAGCTCATGACTCTACTCAAAGTTGATCAGGTTTGTGCTTAATGAGCTTTGTGTTTAGTCCTAAAATGCTACAGATCAAAACCTGATTCAGCATTTTGACTAACAGGAGAAAGTTAATGAATGCTATGAGCTACTGTTGGAGCACCATCCGAGCAAGAAGAGGAAGATGAATTGGCTCGATCAGGACAGTCTAAGCGGTGACGACAGCTCAAATGGCTCCTGTGTTGTCTCTGCTACTTCAGTGTCATCATCGTCTTCAGCTCCAGAGCCTCTGCTCAAGAGGAGAAGAGTGCAAGAGCAACAAATGAAGTTGCCTTCTATAAACCGTATGTTTCTCGATGTGCTTAGTAGTCCTCGCTAGTAATCATAAGTTAGAAGTATTCATAAATTCATTCTCTTTTTTGCATTATCGGCTATGGCTACAATTTGAAGGCAGAACATTTTGTGTTTACTCTAAGGTTACTCTGTCACTTCAATATCATCATTAATACATCGTATTGATTATGTTCAAGTTTATGTTCAAGTAAAGTGTAAAAGAGAGAATGCAGAAGTCAAAAGTAAGAGGACTGCATTGTCCTTGAAATCTAAACAAATACACTAGATGCAGCTATGTAGGCCTTTTAGACTTGGCATTGACTGATATACAACCATCAGTAATAGTAATAAGTTAAAAGTCTCTCTCTCTCTCTCGTCATATGTCAATTGTCTTGTTGTTTGAAAACTCTTGGACCTCTTTAAATTTTGGGAGATAAGATTTGAAAGATAAGAGTGTGGATGACATAAATAATATAACCTGAAACATCTGATTTCTTCTGTTGGGTTAGTGAAACATGTGAAAGAAAACCTCAGTTGTACCTTTTGAGAAGCAGAAAGAGGAAGAGTGGTAGGTTTTTCCCATAATTGATTCTGATAAATATTATTTTGATTTGAGAGGAAAGGATTTTGAGACCAGACAAAGGGTGGTTCAAGTACTTGTCTTGTTTTTATCCTTGAAGATGAAAGAAATCTGGTGGACATACATATATGTTACACCTCCTATGACTTAAATGACTGTCTCATGTCTTGTCAAAGAAAATAAATATGTTTTATAGCTTTTAAGCACAATCTGTGAATAACCCCATTGGATTTTTATCAGAGATTCAGACATAAAAGAGGTTCTGACATATATTTTCATATAACTTATGTATTTAAATTATTGTGATTGTTTTACAGAGATTGTAGGGTCTTATAAAAAATGGTTTTTTTGCCACTAGCATGAGTGCATGACCCTCCCAGATTTCTATTACCGATGAGATTTACCATTACCATTTCGTTTTAGATGAGATTTTGTTTATTATATTTGATTTGAGTGAAAAGCAAAGATATTATGAGAAGAAGAAGAAAATCAATTAGAAAAATAGAGAAATTTGGGGATGATTATTAATTTAGTGGTGAAGAACAATCACACAAGTCATTTTTCAATTTTCATTCAAAAGGAAAAAGAGCACAACAAAAAGGAATAAGGTTATGTTGTTATTCCAAAAGGATAAAGATTCGGAGCTACTTTATCTAACTTTACTCTTAACATTCTTATATGTTCACATTTTCATTTTTAATCATATAGAAACTTTTTAATTGTCATGATATTTGGAACCAAGAAAGATATGAATCGCGTATGTCATAGTTTCGTGTTCTCTGAGCAGGATAAAGAAGCTAGAAATTTCGTTTGATCAAAAATGGACAGGATAAATCGGTGAAAACAAATATTAGAGAGGTCTGATTATTATGGGATTACAATGACGAATTTTGTACAATAGTTACGTACTAGGAAATAGACAAACCTATGCATTTTTAGGTTTTAGAGATGACTTCTTTGGCAGATTCAAGGGTCGATTCGACGGCAGCGGCGGCTCCGACGAGAACACCGCCGCTAGTTTTAGGATGAGATTGATGAACCACCTCTATCTTCTTCTGCTCTGAGGGTTTCCCCGCCGACGAACGTTGCTCCGTCGTCTCCACCACCACTTTTGATCCATCCTCTTGTCTTTTTTGAGTGTCCGTTTCCTTTAAAACAAACTCAAAAGTAAAATTCAATTTACAACTATTACAAGTTAGATACCAAACAAAAAATTACAAAAAACCTAACATACCGGCATTGTTTTTAGGTTCATGTCTGACTAAATTGTAAGAAAGTTTATTTAGGAAAACTCTACCATGGATAAACAGAAAATAAATTTATAAAAGAAAGTTTTTGAAAAGAGGCATAATCTTAGTCATAAACAAACGTCCGGTTCTTGTGTTTTGTTTTTCTAAATTTTCCAAAGTATTGATTGGCTAGCCTGACTCCTAGGAACTCTTTTTGCTTCTATACTTTAATGTTTAATCACACAATTATGCAAAATCACTATTTATGTTTAATCATTATGCTCGGTGTTAGCAGTCAATAAGAAGATGTCAAACAGCAGGAGCCAAAACATACTATATAGCATATAGATGACAAAACATCACACGAATGATATTTCGAACAGAGTAACAATAGGTTTATATAAGAAGAGATGAGGAAATTTCAAACATAGAGCACATTCTCTGAGAGAGAATGTGTACTCATAAGAGAGTAGTAACAAGTAGCTTTTTTTTTGGTTTTAGGGTGTTTTTATTTTTGGAAATCAGCAGGTCAAAAGAGGAGATCCACTGCATTTGACATCAGAAGCATCAGAGAGGCGTTGTCTTGGAGAGAGTGTTGTAATGGCTGCAGCATCAACGTCGAGATTCACTATGAGTTTTCTCTTCTGTGACTCAATCACACTGTTCCTTCTCTCTTCTGATCCTTCAGCAATGGGGCTTAAGGTCTGTGTCTCTGTTGTTTCTGCTACTGCTCCCACATCTTCACCGTCTGCTGCGTATAGGATTCTTTTGATGGAACCAACAAGCTGCAGAAGAGAAGACTGGTGATTAAAAGAACGTTTACTATAGGGTTATTGAAATGGGAGATTGGAGAGATTTTGCATACAGGTAAGTGTTCAGAGTCTGGGTTTTGACAGAGGATCTCTACGTCTCTTAGTTTAGAGAAATAGAAGTCTCTCTCTTTCTCCAAACTGTCTATGTAGAGTTTCAGCTCCGTGATCTGTCACAAAGAAAGTGAGTTAGTGTGAAGAAGAAGCACTGGTTTTTTGTTGAGAGAAGCACCTATACACTTACCTTTTCATCATAAGCAGGCACTGGTTTGGATGGTTGTTTAGATGGTGCTTTTGCAGAGTGGTGATTCCCAGTGTTGGAGGATTGTGGTTCATGTTTACGGTTTCCATTTGAAGACGAAGGTCTAGGTGCAGCTGAAGAAGAAGAATTCTTGCCTGACTGTTGTGTAGCTGCAGCTCTCTTGGTTGCTTCTTTTCCTCCTTTGCTGGCTTCTCTTCTCTCCAGTGCGTGGTAACTAGACGATCAAAACCAAATACAAGAGAGCAGTTTCAGAATAGAGCATATGAGGTTTGATTAAATATGTAGAATCCAGCGGAGCCAGCACAAATATAAGAAGCATACTAAACTTTTGCTCATCTATAACCATAATTCAGATTGTATGTTTTGGTTTTTCTCAATGAATTGGATTCAGTGTCACACAACAATAGAAATCAACACGCCAAGTTTTAACAGATTCTGGAGATTTTATTGGTGATATGAAACACAAAGTTAAGACGCTGATAATGGAGAAACTTACTTGTGCTGGCCTCCATTAACAGAATCGCAGTACTTCTTCATCCATTGCATGAACTCCAAGTTATCAAGTGGTCTACCCTTAACGAGTTTGCTCACTTCAATGTGCTACACACAAACCAATCAATCAAATAAGTCAGTTCGATTTCAGGATCAAAACCCCCAAATCATCTAGAAAAATAAAAAAGGAAGAGTAAGAAGATGAGGACCTTAGTGATCTTGAGCTTGTTAAACACATCCTGAAGCACCTTATAGTTTTGTATCATCTCGTACTCACTCTTTGCGTCGTAATTAACCTTGTGCATCGGAACACTTCCTGGGTGGACCGAATCCATGAGCTGGCAGTGAACTGCGCCTGAACAAGCCTGCAATTCCATTGATCACAAACATTCAAATCCACAAAACTAAAACAAATCGGATCAAATTTCATTGAATCCACGGTGTTAGAAGCTGAAATCGTAAGATCCGAAACCAAAATTATCCAAATCCATAACAACAAAATGAAACAGATAAGAATTCGTCTAATCCGGATTCAAATCGGAAATGATGATCCTAACAAACAAAACTCAGCCCAATCCACGGTGCTTGCCTGTAGAAGATGATATCCTAACATTTGATTTCAGATCCAAAATTAGGTTTCAGAAATTTACCTCTTCGACTTTGGAGAGATTTAGTTGCAGAGTGGAATTAATCCATGCGAGAATCTCAGATCTCCCTACGAAATATGCTGAATCCATCATCCCAATGTTCGTAGCCATCTTCGATTTCACTCAGATCTCTCTTTTTCTCGCTCCTTCTCTCTCTATTTCTCTCTTCTGGATCTCTCTCTCTTCTCAGTCTCTCTCTAACGGCTCTCTTGGAATTAGAGAGAAGAAAACAAAGATACAAAAAGGAGGGGACGAGAGCGGAGTTTTCAATTCAAAATGCAAATATCCGAATCCTTACCCGCTCTGATTATTTCGGATCCGGGTAATTTTAATGGGTCAATAATTATCCTACTCACGAAAGCCCAATATGCCTGTAGCTTTTCATTTCCCACCTTTTTCCGTCTTATTATTATTCAACAACGCAACAAAATCATAAAAACAAAAATAAACTCAAAAATCAGATGACCACACGAGAATTACAAGAACACAAAATCCGCTATCAATCTAACTCTAAGTACACACAGTCAAGTTATAAACTGTTCTTGTTCTTGCTTATTATCATTATTACTGTTGACTAAAAAGAATCGGGAATCTCTCAAGAACTTGCAAGGCATCTTTGATATTGGGCCTTCTCTGTGATATTGGAGAAGCACAAGCTAGGCCCATTTTCAAACAAGCCAACACAGCTTCTTCTTTGCCTTCTAGCTCAGCCCTTATAACCGCGTCCGCCATCCGCATCGCCCGGTCACCGTCATCGATCACAAGCCCATTAACCTGACCAACCTCATCAACAACCACGATCTTTCCTGTTAATAACTCAAGCAGAATAACTCCGAACGAGTACACGTCCCACTTTGGATTTGGTTTTATGCTTCGGAGAGATTCCGGAGCATTGTACGGTAACCCCACTGAGCTTGGACTTGGACTTGGACTCGGACCAAACTCAAGAGACGTTGTTGATCTCTTGCTTCCAAATATCGGAGCCGAACCACCGGTTCTGTAGCTCATGTCGCCAATCAAAAGCTTCTCGAGTCCAAAATCCGCAACTTTGGGCTCCATGTCTAAGCCCAAAAGGATATTGCTTGGCTTAAGGTTACCGTGCACGTGCTTCTTGTCGTGCAAGTATGTTAGCCCACGAGCTATCCCTTTTGCTATCTTGAGCCGAGCTTCCCAAGGTAAATGACAAGGAGAGGAACCCACTTTCCCTGCAATTTAAGAAAGAAAAAACAGTCCCGAAATTTAGACGAAGACGTACATGCGCAAGTTAACAAAACCCCTACTGCTCCTTGTCAATACGAAAAGACAAAAGTAAACCAAAAACACTTGCATCTATCAGCACAAGAATACAAATATGGGACTCAACAGTAAGATTTCACTGAAACTGAACTGTCACTATCTTGCGCTTGAGATAGCTTACGATAAGAGAGAGAAAACAAAAAACAACCAGTTTTGAGAATTGCCGTTGACTCTCCTCCGATCATTAACTGACATACTTTTTTAGTTGGAACCAACTCTCTGACTCCGAAACCGACACTTTTCACCCTACCGCTCATGTTAGCCAGCTAATAAATAACCCTACTAACGTATACGTGTTAAAAACAGAGAGACCGGGAAAAAAGGGACTTACTGTAACGGGCGTTAGCGAGGCTGCCGTTAGGGACAAAATCGTAAATCACAAGCTTCTCGTCGGATCCCCAATAGAAGCCTCGGATACGAACCAGGTTCGGATGTACCAGCTTAGCCACGGCTCGAACCTGAGTCTCGAAATCTCTAAACCGGTCTAAACCGCATTCAGCGATACGTCGAACCGCCACAGCCGTACTGTCTTGGAGCACCGCTTTGTACATTATGCTCGAACCGGTGGCTCCCAAAATGTAAGCCGAAGCTTTGAGAAGCGTCTCCATTTCAAGCTCTTTCTCCGAATCGAGATTCACCAACGTCCCTTTCTTATCCTGATCATCTAAACCAGACCGTCGGTTTTGGCCGACCGGATTCTCTTCGTCGGATTCGGATTCCGATGTCTCGGATTCCTCCTCGTCTTCACAGTCGCCGTCAACGTTAACGGTTTTACGTAAACAGTACCATCGTGATAAGATCTTGGATTCCGTTGATGACGTGGACCATTTTGACGTGGCCGTTACGGGCTTCCGTTTCCTGGACTGGTAAATGTAGAAAACCACAATCCCGAGGATCGCTAAACCGGCGATGTCACCGACAACGATGCCTATGATAATCAACGGTTTAAGACCCGATTTGGTTTTCGAACCGGGTTTGGAGCTGTATTTGGTAAAGCCGATGGTATTGGGTATTGCGGCTAAGGCTGGAGGGGAATTTGGCGTTGGCGTTGGAGGCGGAGAGGTTACTTCACGGTCACGGCAAGGGTGTTTTGCCGGGTCGGATCCGCATAGACCCGGGTTACCCGAGAAATAGTTGGATTCTTGGTTATCTAGAACCCGGTAACCCGGGATTTGACCCGTGAGTTGGTTGAACGAGAGATCGACGGTGGCGTTTTCCGGGATTTCGTCGGCGAAACCTGACGGAATCTCGCCGGAGATTCTGTTGTACGAGGCGTTGAAATAGCGTAACCGACTGCCTCCGAAATGTAACGGCAACGAACCTTTGAGCAGATTCGACGACAGATCGAGATACTCCGTCCACTTAAAAACCCCCGGAATCTCGCCGGAGAAATAGTTCTTCCTCAGTGAAATCTCCGTTAGGTTTCGATACCAGCCTAAGGTCATCGGTAAATTGCCGACGAAAGCATTGTTTGAGAGATTCAACATTTTGAGCTTGGAAAACGCGCCAAAACTCGCCGGTAACTTCCCGGAGATGTAATTACTGGACAAATCAAGAAATCGGAGCTCCGTCGCGTTGAGAATCGAAACCGGGAAAGACCCATTGATCGAGTTGTTGGAGAGATCAAGTCTTTGAAGCGAAACGAGAGAGCCCAAATTTGAAGGAAGAGTACCGGAAAGATTCGAGCTTGGAAGTGAAAGAACAGTCACGCGCTGGGAAGACTCGTCGCAGGTGACTCCACGCCAAGAGCAAGGAGTCTCATCTTGGAAACTCCAGCTCCGTAACACGGAGAGAGGATCGTCGACGATTGAGTAACGGAAAGATAGGAGAAGAATACCGTCGGTGTTGAGAGCAAGCGATTGGTAACTAAGAAGAAGAAGAAGAACAAAGAAGTAACGGCGGAGATCGGCGGTGACGTTGGTCATGATTGTTCTTCAAGATGATGCATCGTCGTCACTGAAAGAGAGATTTTTGTGAAAAGGCCATGTGATTGTGAGCGTATGTGAAAGTGCTTATCTTTTTATGGGACTCTTTGTTTTGCACAGTTTTTTTGAAAAAGATGAATTTTAGTAATTAATTGTGTATACTATGTAAATTGCACGGAATGTGATAACAAAAATTAAAACTATTTTCTCTGTTTATGCTGACGTAACTTCTGTCGTTTATTGCGTTTATAATCAACGTGGGGCCCTAATCTACATGGCTCATTATTATTTAAGTTGATTTTTTCAAAGAACGTAACAGGATATAGCATATGAGACTGTATATGTTTTTTATACAAATCTTTGCTAGATCGCAAAACTAGATAATGTATTATTTCTAATATTCCTTTTTTGATTATGTGATGCTCTGAACAAAAAATGTGACGTGAGATTATTCATGTCATGTGATCTATGTGAATAATTGTATTATTAATCTAATTAACTATGAGACATAATCAGATGGGAGAATAGTATCTTTGCTATAAGACATTCAGATAAAGTTCCAAGTCTTGCAGGTCTCTCACTGACTTGGATTTACTTCTATATGACCATTTAGGCATTTTATTATTGTGGTCTCGTTTTAGACCTAATCTTTCTATAATCATCGTACACCTTATAGCTATAGAGTGTAGACTCACCAAAGATTCGTTCAATAAAGCGGAGGTAGATATATGAAGAATTCGAATTGATTAATATTTATGGAATACAGTTTAACATGTTTTGGCAATAATCCAACGTTTCACGAGACTAAAACTGATTTAAAGAGGAAATATACAAAAAGCTAATACAGGTAAGTGTTCCATCAAAAAGATATAAATGCAGTACTGAACCGAGCAGAGGTCAACATCACACGTAAATTAAATGCATGTCAAGATTAATGTACAACCGGTCAAATTAATTAAAACCGGTCCCCGTTTTATTCATTTTCGCGAGCGTCATCGTGGTCCTTGTTACGAGTATTATTTGATTGCCAATTCGGAGAGATTCTAGATATTTATTAAGAGAATTAACTTATCTACATGCTGAGCTTTTTACTTTCTTTACATTGCATATCATTCTCCAAACCAGTGAAACCACTGGCCCGAAAGAATGGATCGAGAATCATCCTAATTGATAAAATCTATTACTTGGAAGTGTCAAACTTACGGCTAAAGTCTATTTATCAACTACGATGATCCATCTAGATTTTGTAGAAATTAAAACGCTCTCTGGCCAGAGTTTGTCATATCAGTATATCGGTTTTATTCGTGTATTTTCTTTGACTATAGGATGGTTTATGTGTACATTAAAACAGTATGGTTAATGTGTCGGTTGTCAATATCAGAATATTACCGCCATTTGTAACAAACAGGAAACACACCATTCATAACGGTTGTTATGTAAAAGTAGAACTAAGTAAACATTTGAGTGTAGTGTAGTCCAAGTTTCACACTTCACACGGTTGGTTCATTAATTACCAAAGCGTGAGTTATTTAATTACTAGTTTTCTTTTCCTTGCAAACTTAAACAGTCGTATACGTAAATAACCTGTACGTTTTGATATGAATACGTAAAAGTCGTTACAATAAATAATTAACTAGAGAATGGGTAGTATTTTGGCGGTGGACAAAGACAGGTGATGCATAAAAATGGCGTTATCTACTTACCATTTTGCAAAACTCCAAACTTGTTATATATGGTCTCGCAAGATTACAATTTGATTCCAATTCGACAATTTTTCAAACAGTGAATATATAATAATAGAACACTGAGCAATGTCACTTGATCGGTCGGGTGTTTTTGGATATATTATGATATATGTTACGACTTTGATGTTTTTTGCTTTCTCAACCAAAAATTTAACGGTCAAGAAATAATTATGGCATTAATATTTAGATTTGTTTGATTATCAAGTTATGAAGTGTACACATCGAATCCATCCATTTTGGTAGTAGGCTACTATCTAAGTATCTAGTAGCTTTTAACAACGACGTAAGATTGGAATGATTAAGTGAAACGGGCCATGATTATTCAATTAGATATTGATATTTTAAGAGGCCAAAAGGTGAAAACGCCATTTATTTGTTAATGACGAACAGATATAAAGCGACACAGGGATTTTTTTTATTAGTTTTGAGAATATAAAAATTGAAAGCAGTTTTTATAAAGTTCACAATAATAACATAACTCTCTAGTCTCTACAACGATTTGTACTTTTACATAATTATCGTAACTAACAGATGATCTTAGTTGAACTTAAACCCAAATACTTTACCTATTAAAAATATCAAACAAGTTTTTATTCATGAAACTGATTATAAATGTTACTGAATTGACTTTATTCAAGAGGGAAAGAAAAAAATACAGTATACAATAATTAATGATGATAAAAAAATATCTGGTAATCTGGCGAGTACTAAACTTAATTTGTTTATTTTTACAAAAGGCTTTGGAACATTTTTAGTTTAGCTTCTCAAAGAGGTGTGTAATATATATATCTGATATCTCGAATACATTATCTTAAGGGATCCCTAAAATTTGATTAGGTTCCTTTATCTTCTTTTTTGCCAAATATTGTTTCCCCTTTTTTTAATAGAACCTTTTCTAGAAAGCTATAAAGGTATTGGGCACAGAATTAAAAGCTACAAAAGAGCTTCAGATATGAAAAAAGCTTCTCCATGGAATAAAAACTAGCGGAACCACGTGAAAAGGATTCCAGGATTATTAAAAAGAAAAAGATAAGATACTTTTATGATAATGTCATGATAAATTAAAGATGTTGTTATTCTCGTTGTATTGGTTATGTTCGTCCCTTAGCAGATACGCAAAATGGAATGTGAAGTGAGAAGCCCATTAGAAATGAAAATCTAAAGCTTTATATGGTCAGGCACAAGATTCTCTGTTCTTTGGCCTTTTTAGCTTATTATACTAATCCAGTTATCTATAAGAGGTACACAGATAGACCTACATTTTTTTAATCATCGGCGAGGAAACAACTTTAATCTCACGACAAGCAAGCCGTGAATCAAGACAACCATTTTGAGAGATCTTTTTTTCTATAAGCATTTTGGAGCAAATAACCTGTGCTCAGTTGTTACGAGATTTGACCAGTGATATAAATAACTTTTCTTTTGGTTATTACCATTTGATTTAGCTCAAATCGGTTCCATTTTAAATGCTCAGCGAACTTACAAATCACAATCACATACCATTATCGCATGATTCGCATCGCATTAAGGATGCTTTGTAATCACAACTCTACATTTTGTTTAAACTTTAAATAACAGATAACAACATCAAACAGAGAATAGCTTACATGTCTATAAAGAAGACTATTTACTAAACCTTTCCTCTTCGTTTGGTAAACCGGGAAGGACTAAACCGGCTAAGATCAACACTAGTGGCTACGCCGTCTACAATAAGCTCCGCCAGAGCAGCACCAGTGGCCGGACCATTAAGAATCCCCCAGCAACTATGCCCCGTGGCTACATAACAACCCCTGACTCCCGGAATCTCTCCGATCACAGGGATTCCATCTTCCGTGCTTGGCAAGAAACAAGCTTGCTCTGCCTTCACTATAGCGTTTCCTTCATTTAGATAGCTCGAAACCGTTTTCGCCACTCTCTTAAGAACCTCAATCGATTCAGGATTGCATCTCACCTCATCTGCATCGTCCGGTACTTCTTCTTGCGATGACATTCCACACACATACACTTCACCTGTGGGACGAGGATAAACCTCAGGGTCCAAAGCTTCACCACCATGAGAAGGATGATAGGTTAAGAAGAGAGCATGAGGTGTTATAGCGTTTGGCTCCTTCGGCTCCAATACAATGCTGTGAGCTTTCGTTCCATAAACCCTAAAAATCGAAGAAAGCATCTCGAATTTACCAGACCATGGACCCATCGCAAGAACCACCGAGTCAGTATCGATAACTCGCCCACCTTCAAGCACAACCGAGTCAACTCGCTCTGATTCCACTCTCACCTCCTCCAATTTCCCAATCACAACCTCAACACCGTACTTCTCCGTCGCTGTAGATAGCAATGTACGAGTGAACAGCTGAGGATGCACTTGTGCGGTGGTTTGAGTCGTACCAATCGTCGATGGGCTTTTAGCTGGGCCGTCGACCCAAGCCGGTAAACCCGACCCGCCGGATCCGGAATTCGATTCGGTCACTTTGAGGCTGAGAGTCGTGAGAGCTCTGTATCCGTACGATTCGATTCCGTTTAGCTCGTTGGCGAGGGATCGATGGAGGTTAAAGCTCGCGCGTGCTAAGGGAGCGACGGGACTCCCATCGCACCAGTCGAATGCGAGGAATCCGCCGGCTTTACCGGAAGCGGCACACGCGACGGATGATTTCTCGACGAGTGTGACGGCGATTCCTTTCTTTGCGAGGAAATACGCCGTGCAAACGCCGATTACGCCTCCTCCGCATACGACTACACGCTTCGAGGTTTCTCCGTCGATTAGGTTTTTCGCCATTGGTTTTGGTGTTTTAGAGCAGATCGTGATTGCTCGTGGGTGGCTCAATCGCGCCGGAGGGAATAATAACGATGAGATCACCACCGCCATATTAGCCAGATGAGGTGGTGGATGAGTCATCGGAGTCCACACGTAACGTTGGGAAACTATTTATTGGGCCTAATTTCTTGCTGGGCCGATTGGTCCATATATTAAGTGGGTTGTTGATTTATGAGATGGAAGATAATCAAAGATATTAATGCAAAAGTATATAGACTTTGATTGAAATTTATTACTGTTTTGGAACTTTTATCTAAAACTATTATTGTTAACTTACATAACTACGTTCTAGTTTTCTTGTGCTTATATAGTGTGTCAGTTTTCATAATTTTCAAACAAGATAAATAAAATAAAAATACACTAAAGACGAGTTTTTGGTTATAATTTATTAATGCTATTTAGAAAATTTATAGTTACTACAGTAATTGCCTATTCTTAATGCTACCTTCCATATTTCTTCAAATTGCAGCTGTTCTTCTTTCTTTCTTTCTTTGTGCACGCAAATTGCAGCTGTTTAGATTTCAGAGTATGTATGGAAATTAACTAAAACTAGGAACTATAGATAGCGTAATATTTACAAATCTCCAATCTTACTAAATTCATTTCACCAAACCAGGTCGAATATTTTTGCACTGATGATCCAATATTCAATAAAAATACGGCGAGAGACTAAAAGGAAACAAGCTAATGAAGATTGGTTTGAATTAATTAGTGACAGAACATCATGAATCACACACTTCCTTAAGTAGAATTTGCGCGTCTCGTTAAAGTAAATATTCACATTCCTCTTCTAATATAAATCCATCTTCAACACACATAAAAAACACACACACACACACAAGAAAAAGAAAAAAACCTATAAACCTTTGATCCGTGGCTTATATGGATACTGTGAAGTCAATCAAAGGATACTTCAAAGTAGATGAAGCGCAAGATCAAGCGTCGAAGAGAAAGACGTTGAAACGGTATCTTTTCTTGAGCGTTTCCTTCGTGGTTCTGGTGGCCTTTGTCATCATCGGCACTACGGTTGGCGTTTCTCATGGCCGGAACAACCATTCCGATGCCTCCACACAGAGTTCAACTCCGAACCTGACACCAGCCGTTTCGCTCAGGTCAGTTTGCAGCGTGACTGACTTCCCTGATTCATGTTTCTCCAGCATCTCCAAGATCCCATCGTCCAACACGACGGATCCGGAGGTTCTCTTCAAGCTTTCCCTGAAGGTGGTGGTCGACGAGCTCGCTTCTATCTCCGATCTGCCGAAGAAGCTCTCCGAAGAGACCGACGATGCGCGACTCAAATCAGCTCTCAGTGTTTGCCGATCTATGATAGACGACGCCATGGACAGTCTCAACGAGACTATCTCCGCCATGGAAGCCGGAGACGTGAAGAACATCGTCGACGATCTCAAAACGTGGCTCACCGCTGCCTTAACCTACCACGAGACGTGTTTCGATACACTCGACGAGCCTAGCCCGAGCAACAAGACCGTCAACGCCAACTCCACATTAATCTCGCAGTCTCTAAAATCCTCCATGCAAAACTCCACGGAGTTAACGAGCAACAGTCTAGCGATCGTCGCAAAGGTCATCTCCACGTTGAGCGATTTCAACATCCCTATTCACAGGAGACGGCTACTCGCTTTCCCAAGTTGGGTCAAGCCAGGGGTGCGCCGGCTACTTCAGGAGAAGAAAGTAAAGCCTAACGTGACGGTTGCAGCTGATGGCTCCGGTGACGTGACGACGATCACCGAGGCTGTGTTAAAGGTCCCGTTCAAGAGTAACACTACGATCGTTATATACGTCAAGTCCGGTACCTATGAGGAGAATGTATTTATGGATAAGAGCGCATGGAATGTCATGATCTACGGAGACGGAAGCTCCAAGACCATCATTTCCGGCAACAAGAACTGCATCGACGATGAGTCGCTTCACACCTACCAAACCGCCACATTCTGTAATTCCCTCTTACTTATACTAATTCTCTGCTTAATCATTTTTTTTTTTGTTTCCCGCCAAAAAATAACTTTGTTTGAAAAACTATATTGTTTGATATTATTGCGACATTATTAACGTTTTTGATTCCTACTCGCAGCGATTCTAGGGAAAGGCTTCGTGATGAAGGACATCGGGATCATCAACACGGCCGGACCGGAGAAGCACCAGGCGGTGGCGTTTCATTCACAATCCCATGAGTCTGTCTTCTACCGATGCTCTTTCGACAGCTACCAAGACACTCTCTACACACACAGCAACCCCCAATTCTACCGTGAATGCGACGTCACCGGTACAGTAGATTTCATATTCGGAAACGCCGCCGCCGTCTTCCAGGACTGCACCATCCGGCCACGTCAGCCTCTTCCCAACCAGTTCAACGCAATCACCGCCCAGGGTAAGTCGGCTTCGAATATGGCTTCCGGGATTGTGATCCAGCGTTGCAAAATCTATCCCAACGGAAAGGTAACCGCTGCGACGTATCTCGGCCGTCCGTGGAAGAAGTACTCCACGACTGTGTTTATGGAGTCGGAGATTGGAGCGGTCGTGGATGCCGCCGGGTGGATGCGGTGGGATGCGAGTGTGGACCCGCCTTCGAGTATTCTTTACGGAGAGTATAAGAATTCGGGTCCTGGTTCGGGTTTGACCAAGAGAGTTAAATGGGCCGGGTACAAGCCCGTTATGTCTGATGCGGAGGCGAAGAAGTTTACGGTTGCCTCGTTTCTCCAAGGGAACAAGTGGTTACCGGCCGATGGAGTGCCGTATCAGCTCACTTAGCTTTAGCAAGTGGGTTACACTATATTCTTTGTTATTTGTTCTTTGGTTTTCACTTTTATCGTATCGTATTATTTGAAATTTGGTTTATTTATTTATTCTTTATTTTGTTCTGTTACTTTTGTAGCTTCAATTATTATATCTAAATTTCTATATTAGCAGGTATGATTGTAGATCCATTGTCGTGGTGCTTGTACGCATAAGTTGATCATGTGTTCAATGTTTTCTCCATAAGAGATCTATTGTTTCTGGAAGAAAAAAAACAGAGTAATGTACCAGAACATAAAAAAAGTATTATCACTGTATATTTTTGACGAGGATACAGTGTAGAGATATTACTTTACATATTTTATTTATAATTTGGTGGTTGGTTCTGAAAAATATGAATATAAAGTCAAAGAAAGCCGGCGGGCAATTTGGGGGAAAAGTTTATCACTTTGATGTAATATGTCCTTTTGTTTCGAGCTTTATGTATATTGGCCCTCACTTAGTCACTTTTGCCTGTTCGTGACTCGTATGTTGCTGGTTGATTAAAACGTGATTCCATGCATTATGCTGGTATCAAATTTGATACTTTAGCGTTACCGATCCACTAAGTTTTACATAAAAACTCCCAAATTAAAACATTTTTATTCGATGCACAGACAAACAAAAAAAAAGTCGCTTTTATTTGCCGTCCACCAAAGAATCGCTTTTGAATCAAGCTAGTCAAGGTGATAAGGCTTAAGCACAACACATCAGTAGATACTAAACGCAGTCGTTTCACTAACGACCGTTAATGCAGATGTGGGCGTGTGGATGCATACATGTACACGTGTGGAATGGAAGGTACAATAAGTGCATACGGCTTAAGATAAGAGCGAACGGAAGGATATTTATATTTTGCAACAGCATCTTTTTTTTTGTTAAAAGGCCTTTTGCAACAGCATCTTTCTAACAACCAAGTAAACGAATCACATGCGCTTTTTATTTTATTTTGGTTTGTTTATAAATTTTTATCAGAGCATTTTAACTTTTATACCAATGCTAATTTGAACTTCTCACTTCTCAGTATCAAAAACAACAGTTGAAAATCATACTAAATAAGAAGAGAAAAACACAATGCAGTCAAATTTATCAAAAACAAAAGTTTACGATGAAAACCTTTTTTTCCCTTTACAATGAAGACATTAACAAAAGAAACTATACAATAATGTAAGTGGAAGAATATCTAACCACGTATAGACCAATAGCAGTTACAGTTGCAGCTCACAACGACAGGAATGAATAAGAGTTGTTTTTCATTGTTAATAATTATAACAAATATGACACGACACCGAAAACTACACGTGGAAGTACATGACACATACACGTGGACTTACTGGAAAACAGCTGTTACATTTTTGTCCGGTTCCTGTAATTTTTTAATTTTTTAAACTGTATCTTTTGCCGAATTAGGTCATGTTCCACGTGCCTTTTCTTCTCCACCACTCTCTCTTTTCCACAAGAGGGGCAATGATTTTTTTTGTTCCCGAAAATATACAGTTGTTTGTGTAATCTTGGACGGTGTGTGATAAATAAAGTAATATGTGTGGACGGCGTTTTATGAATTTTCTGGTGGTCATTATTTGTTGCAAGAAAGTATAGATAACCGAACAAAAATATCTTCCCTCAAATAATTGACTATGTACGTTGTTGTGTATTCGAGTTTCCATCAAATTTTGAAGCTATGTTCTTGAATTTTACATTATAGCCTCATCTATTATATGGTGCGGACACTAATTTTTGAATAATCAGATTATTCGTTCTAAATAGTAAAAGTATCGTTTTTAAAATGTTATGATGTATACTGATTTACTGGAGATAAATGGAATTGATCACATAGACTATTGCAAACATTAGTTAAATATTTCACATTGGAATAGTATACTGTTCGAGTGAGAAAGACATCGTCCATCAACCATCAATTATCAATTGATATTAGGTTCAACGAAAATTGTGAATGTAAAACAGCTCCAATAAAATAGCCAGACCAAAACCGACACTCGGACCATTGATCCTAGCAACAACGAGCAAAGAGATAATATAATATTTTGATAGGTCTCTAGAAAAATATCACAGAAACGGGTATCGATACTAAGATACAATAAAAGTTTATTATAACTACGCAAGGTACAGCTACGGCTTATTGTTCCCATCAAAGTAATGCTTACCAATGTTACACAAAAAAAAAAAAAAAAACAACCCAGAGCACTTAATTCGATGCTAAATTTAATAAATCCAAAAGTGCTGTTGTACATTGTAACTCGAAAAGTATAAACAAAAGAGCATTATATAAAGAAGTACGATTTTTTTATATGCGTGAATATATTGGTACCGTGAAAAGCAGAAAAATTATTAAATACTGAAAAGTGAATTTGTTGTTAAATCGATGGAGGAAGGTTACGAAGAAGATGTTAACCGATCGTCCTCGTACCGTACAGATCAAGAAGTCTTAAATCCGCGTTTTGTGACCATCGCGTGGTTGGTTTGTCAAAGGAATACAGTTGGGTTTTTTATTTTATTTTGTTCGTAATCATATAGTACGAGTTTACAGCCTGGATTTGAACCATTTCTACAATCATTTTAGGTGCATTTTTGTATTTTCAGGAAAGAAAGGCAGAAATGATTTTGCGTTCCAATTCGGCAATCTATCTTGTCGTTTTCGCCACATCACTAACGCTTATCTGTTTGATAGCCGCTCATTTAAATCACGTTTTCCTGAAATGAACATTATTTCTAACCATTTTTATCATCCTTTTTTGTGCAAAAGTTTACCGTATTGTTAACTCATCTAATGAAACTTGCGCACACATTTCGGAATAACATGACCAGCCAGATTTTAACATGGCGTCTTTGAATACCATTGAGTTTCAGATCCTATTTTCTTTGTTATTTTAGATAGGAATATTAGGAGAGTTTGGTTGGACTTATATAAGTTGAATTATAAGAATCAGATTATGACGGTTCGATTTGTTAAATTGAACCAAATTTGGTGTTCTGGTAATATATTCCTTTTCTATGACAGTTTGTATATTTTTTATAGTTTATACAATTTTCGACAATAATATGATAGTTTTCTTCTAACCGGAAAATCGGTTATGTAAAGTAGATTGTGAACTGGTGGAATACAGCCTGGCTCAATTATAAAGTCAGACTAAGATAAACAGAAACTGTCCTTACCCAACCTAACCGTTCTCGTCTTTATTTCAGATATTTATTTATTTCGTTTTTATTTCCACCAAAATTTTAAATTTACCTCAAATTGTGCGAATATTATCATAGCTTTTAGCTAGTTGGGTTTCGTAATTTTTGTCTCTTTAACTTCCCACTTTTAACTACGCGCCATCATAGAGCGTGCATACACAACTACGTAGATTGACTTCGATTGTTCTCCACGCTCAACTGTACGATCTAACAAAATCATTAAGAAAACGACAAAAGAAGACACACTCGACGTAGTCATGTTACGACGCGTGTCCAGTTACAGCTGTATCGCAGATTTTAAAACACCGCTTGCGTGGAAGAAGCGTTTCCCATGACTTCTCCACCGCCTAAACCGGTTTCCGGTCACACTCACTTAAAAAATCTTGTATATAAATAACTCTGTCATCTCTTTAATCTCTCGAGACGTCTTTTGTTTACCTCTCAACAAAACAGAGAGAAAAATTACCAAAAACTTAAATCTCTCGATCTCATCGAAAACCAATGGCGGATCGGATTAAAGGTCCATGGAGTCCTGAAGAAGACGAGCAGCTTCGTAGGCTTGTGGTTAAATACGGTCCGAGGAATTGGACGGTGATTAGCAAATCGATTCCCGGTCGATCGGGAAAATCATGCCGGTTACGGTGGTGCAACCAGCTATCGCCGCAGGTTGAGCACCGGCCGTTTTCTGCGGAGGAAGACGAGACAATCGCACGAGCTCACTCGCAGTTCGGTAATAAATGGGCGACGATTGCTCGTCTTCTCAACGGTCGTACGGACAACGCGGTGAAGAATCACTGGAACTCGACGCTCAAGAGGAAATGCGGAGGGTACGACCATCGTTTCGATGCTCCGGCGGAGGAGGATAACCGGCCGATGAAGAGATCGGTGAGTGACGGGTCTCCTCCTGTTACTGCTGGGCTTTATTTGAGCCCAGGAAGCCCAACTGGATCTGACGTCAGCGATTCGAGTACAATTTCGGTTTCACCCTCCGTTGAGCTTTTCAAGCCAGTGCCACGTGTTGGTGGTGTTGTGTTGCCGCTTCCTGTTGAAACGTCGTCGTCTTCCGATGATCCACCGACTTCGTTGACCTTGTCGCTTCCTGGAGCTGACGTAAGCGAGGAGTCAAACCGTTGTCACGAGTCAACTACTAACAACACCTGTAGCCGCCAGAACAACAATACGATAACGTTTTCGCAGTTTTCTGGTGGAATCCGAGGAGTGGTTGAGGAAATGGGGAGATCGTTTGCCGGCAACGGTGGTGAGTTTATGGCGGCTGTGCAAGAGATGATTAAGGTGGAGGTGAGGAGTTACATGGCGGAGATGCAAAGAACCAACAATGGTGGATTTGTTCCAGGATTCAGGGATCATGGAATGATTCCGATAAGACAAATTGGAGTTGGGAGAATTGAGTAGAGAAGTGAGTTTTGTAGGAACTGTTACTAAAACATCAAATCGTCATGGGCAAATGGAGAAGAAGAAGAAGAAAATGCTCTGTTCTTTTCGTTTTCCTTTGGGCATAACAATAATTTTGGGATGTATAGTGGAAATCGAGTGAACAAGCTCGATTTGTGTGGACGTAGAGACGAAGAAGAAGAAGATTAAATTTTAAATTCCCCTTAAGCTATGAAGAAAATGAAATAAAATTTTATTTGGAACTATGCTAATGATAATCAAGAAAATTGCATTATGTTTGAAATGATAGATTCGATACAACAAAAGTGAAGTAGTAGAGATAATGATTCACTCAAGGCATAACTTTGTCTAAGATCGGAGAAGACTTGCATTTGGCAACTAAAGGCACGGCTTTAGGGACGGTAAGACCTCTTCCTTCCGACATGTCAACAGCCACGTCATCCATTCTCTCCCAATCAAAACACTGTATCATTGAGCCTAAAGCCAGACCTAACACAAGTTGGGCTAGACCCATACCAGGACAAGCTCTTCTACCCATTCCAAAAGGCAGAAACTTACAATGATTAGTCTTTGGCTCTCCTCCACTGTCGAATCTCTCCGGCTTGAAAGCCTCTGGCTCGTCCCAAACGTTCGGGTCTCTCTGAATAGCCCACGCATTCACGAATAGCCAAGTGCCACCTGGAATGTCATATCCAGCGACTTTACAATCAGCGTTAGACGCGTGCGGGACCAGTAACGGCGCTGCTGGATACAGCCGGAGCGTTTCAGAGATCACATTATTAAGATACGTGCACGTGGACGCATCGGATTCCTCCATCAAACGCCCCTCTCTCGAGACGACATCGTTTAGCTCCCTTTTCGCTTTAGCTAAAACCTCCGGATGATTTAGAAGGTTAGCCATAGCCCACTCCAACGTCACCGCCGTCGTGTCCGTTCCGGCGAACAACATCACCTGCCAAACGTCAAAACCTCCCAAATTTAATCTTACTTTTTATCAATAAATATTAAAACTAAAAAGAAATAACGAACCAGCACGAGTCCTTTGATGATCTCGTCGGTGTAATACTCAGGTTGCGATTCTTGTAGAGATAGCAAATGAGTGATCATTGTATTCTCAAGCTCTGTTTCTCCCCTGTTTCTCCGGTGCTCGTCGACCAGTTTCTTCAAAAACTTGTCCAATTTCGAACCGAGTCTCTTCCCTCTCTTGATGTATCCATCGAAATCGAATAGCTTCAGAATCGGAAGAAAATCGCCAACATAAGTAAATCCTCCGAACTCGAACGCTTCCCTAATCAGCTCCCGAACTTCCTTAGCTTCCTCGTCTTCCTCGTTTTCCTCGCCGTAATAACGTTTTCCGGCGACCATTCTCATAACGATGTTAAACGTAAGCCCCGAAAGCAACGGTCTGAGTTTCAAACTCACGAAGTCGCTTTCTCCTGATGACGTTGCTGCTGCGTGGATCGTCCGGAGCAGAGCTCTCACTTCGTCTCTCCGAATCGCCATCGAGCTTCTGAGACGAGCGGTTGAGAAGATCTCGACGGTGCAGATACGGCGGAGGTTGCGCCAGAGCTCGCCGTAAGGAGCAGCGCTGACCATCGTGTTGTTGTAACCCACGTATACACCCAAAGTAGTGAGAGGCCTGCTGGCGAAAACGACATCGTTCTGACGCGTTAAGAATTCCTCGGCGGCTGAAGCTGACGTGACGACTACGGCTCGACGAGTGCCTAGCCGGAGAGAAAACACGTCGCCGAGGTTTCGAGAAAGGTCACGGAGAGAGCGGTGAACTGGTTCTTTTAGGAGGTGGAGATGGCCGATCACCGGAAAACCAAACGGACTCGGCGGTAAATTATTCTTCTGCTTTGACCGGAAAAGATAAGCAGCGGCAATTATTGCGGCGATTAGAGCGAATAAACTAAACATCTTCGCGTTTTTTCTGATTTTCGTGGTCCAATTGAAGACGACGGTCTATGTGCACAGATTTAGACATTTTTGGGGAAGATAAGTCAACGATGTAGGCGTAGGTCCCACTGATATATATATATTTATTTACTGATGTCGGGTGAAAAGCTAATAAAGTGATAATGACATGTTAAGTGGGCTTGGCCCAAAATGATATTTTGAGGCCCATCAAGATACCTTGTGAATTGTGGTTTGGTTGACCCGGTTAAGGTTTACACACTTTCCTTTTGTCGGAGATGGAAACATAACTATCATGTGAGAGAGAAGAAGAGGTTAATAAAAAAAATCTAGAGAACTGTTTAAAGCTCTTCCTTGTTTGCTCGAAGTCTATCTTCGAAATTTCTCTCTTTCCGGCTGTTTTGTGTGCGTGTGTGATTTTCCGATAGTGAGTCTGGCAACCGGAGATGTCGTCACTCACGTCCGTGGAATTGAATTTTCTGATTTTCCGGTATCTTCAGGAATCAGGTACGATTACAGGCTCCTCTGCTTCTTCTCCTTACAAATTTTTGTTTGTTTCGGGATTGAATTTGTATCTGCTCCGGTAGCTCGATGCTAGGTTTTGGAATTGGTTTCGAATTTGTGAATGTCGTTGTCTGCTTCTACGAACTTAGAAGAATTTTAGGGGTTTTCCTGGATTCGTCTTAGGGTTTCACCGATTTGTACTTTCTAAATTCGTTGATTCAGGATCCTTTAGATCTCCTACTCGTGACTCTTAGGTTTCTCTGAGAGCTTGAATTTTGAGCTATGTTGGATGATAGTTAGTTTATTGCTCTGTTCTTTGTTTCTGCAGGGTTTACACACGCTGCATTCACACTAGGTTACGAGGCAGGGATTAACAAATCCAACATTGATGGGAACATGGTTCCACCTGGCGCTCTTATCAAATTCGTTCAAAAGGGACTCCAATACATGGAGATGGAAGCTAATTTGAACAATGTATAGCTTTGTCAAGTTTTTGTTTTCTCTTCTTGATCTCTTGTGTTTGGTTTGGTTTTGACTCAGTTATGTTGTTGCTTTTGTACTGGCAGGGAGAGATGGAGATGGAGGAAGATTTCTCATTCTTTCAACCGTTGGATCTGATCTCAAAGGATGTAAAGGAACTGCAGGAGATGCTGAAGGAAAGGAAGAAGAAAGAGAGGGATAAGGAGAAGGAGAGATCCAAAGAGAACGACAAGGAGCTTGAGCGAGAGCACGAAGGAGATCGCAACAACAGAGTGAAGGAAAAGGATAGGCATGAGAAGCAGAAGGAGCGAGAGAGGGAGAGGGAGAAGGTGGAAAGAGAGAAGGAGAGGGAAAGAGAGAAGATGGAACGTGAAAAGGAACGGGAGAGGGAGAAGATGGAGCGAGAAACGTTCGATAGGGAGAGGGAGAGAGTGAAACTAGAGAGGGAGAGAGAGATGAGGGAGAGGGAGAAGATTGAGAGAGAGAAAGCACATGAGAAGCAGAGTGGAGATGGTGACAGGGAGATGCTTATTGACCAAACCGACAAAGAAAACGCTGCGGAGGAAGAGCGTTCTACAGGTCAGTCTTCTTAAGTTTTTTGTCACTGTTGAAACTTTGGTGATAATTTGTGAGATGCAACATCTAATTTCCTACATGTTTTTATTTTATTTGAATAGCTGCAGAACCTATGGATATCACGATGACTACAGCATCTCAACCATCTCATATTCCTAATTCTGATGTGAGAATCTTGGAAGGGCATACTTCTGAGGTACTTTGTTATGTGATTTTGTCCGTTAAAATGAACACGTTCGATAGTTTTGTTTCCATCTTCACTGGTATCTATCTATTTTCGTTAATTCGACTTATGTTGAGATAATGTTTCTGTCTATATTGGTGATTTAGGTTTGTGCTTGCGCATGGAGTCCATCGGCTTCACTTCTTGCATCAGGGTAAGTAGTTATGCTCTGAGAAAGATGAATGCACTTGCAAAACAATATTTGTTTTCTTATTACAGTTGTAAATCTTTTGCGAAACACCAGGTCTGGTGATGCAACAGCACGTATCTGGAGTATCCCGGAAAGCTCATTCAAATCTGGTGCTGGTCGTAACATCAACGCTTTGATCCTGAAGCATGCAAATGGAAAGTCTAACGAGAAGAGCAAGGATGTGACCACTCTTGACTGGAATGTAAGAGCTGCTTCATTTTTTTGCTAATTTATGGGTTGTCCTTTAGTTTCTGCTAATATGTTTTCTGATTTCTGAAATTTTCAGGGTGAAGGGACTTTACTTGCAACAGGTTCATGTGATGGCCAAGCAAGAATCTGGACTACAACTGGTACGTCCACGTTGTTACTCCTTGTATAAGTGTATAGCTGCTTCACTAGCATCTGAATTACAAATTACACTAATGTTTTTTCAAATTTCTAGGTGAACTGATAAGTACGCTGAGCAAACACAAGGGACCTATTTTCTCCCTAAAGTGGAACAAGAAGGGAGATTATCTGCTAACTGGAAGTGTCGATAAAACTGCTGTTGTTTGGGACGTCAAGGCAGAGGAGTGGAAACAACAATTTGAATTTCATAACGGTAACGTTTTTTCAATTTTATTTTTACTAATGAATCTGAACAAAGTTTTCTCATGCATGTGTAATATGACATTAAATACAATTGCGGTTATAGGTCCAACGCTTGATGTTGACTGGCGCAACAATGTGTCTTTTGCAACGAGTTCCACCGACAGCATGATCTACTTATGTAAGATTGGAGAAACCCGACCTGTCCGAATCTTTGCTGGCCATCAGGTTGTATCTCTCATCCATGTTTCACCCATATCATTATGTTTACTTTTCTCAGTCCAAGTCACTAATGTCTCATACTAATTATAATTGCAGGGTGAGGTTAACTGCGTGAAATGGGATCCTACTGGTTCATTACTAGCCTCCTGCTCCGATGATAGTACTGCTAAGGTTTGCCTAAATTACTTACTGTTTTTAAATTTACTTGTGTGTTCATTTTTTTCTGTTTCCTTAATATACCTATGTATGTTTTTTTTATTTCTTCAGATATGGAACATAAAGCAAAACACCTATGTTCATGACCTCAGAGAGCATACTAAGGTAAACAGAAATCCACACCGTCTTGACTCTTGTGATTTTCAAACATTGTTTTTGGTTTTCTAATAGCGCCTAATGATGGATACTCTACTTTATTCAGGAAATTTATACAATCAGATGGAGTCCTACGGGGGCAGGAACTAACAATCCTAACAAACAGCTGACTCTCGCGAGGTTAGTAATCGGTTTATTAATGAATGTTTTTCATTGTATCCGATCATTCATCATCATCATCATGTCTTGTTTCTTTTGAATGGAACAGTGCATCATTTGACTCAACAGTAAAGCTATGGGACGCAGAACTAGGGAAGATGCTATGTAGTTTCAACGGTCACAGGTAAAAAAAACTTAACCTCTAGATGATTTTTCGGTTTGACGGTTTACCAATTTGGTTTCTAAGTGACTGGTTTTGATTTTTGAAGGGAACCGGTTTACTCGCTGGCGTTTAGTCCAAACGGGGAGTACATAGCGAGTGGGTCTTTGGACAAGTCGATACACATTTGGTCGATAAAAGAAGGCAAAATCATGAAGACGTACACAGGAAACGGAGGCATTTTCGAAGTGTGCTGGAACAAGGAAGGCAACAAAATCGCAGCTTGTTTCGCTGATAACTCGGTCTGTGTTCTTGATTTCAGAATGTAGGTTTTTTTGTTTTTCTAAGTGTAGTAGTCTTCCTAACACTCTTATTTTGTTGTTGCACATATTAACACTATATAATTCGAAAACCGTGAGAAAGAAGGCAAAAACTGTTACTTGGGATTATAATGTTTTTATCTAAACTTCACCGTTGTTATATAATCTTCACGGTTTTGTGGTTGACTGACGAGTAAACAATAAATTGAAAGAAAACAAACTACATAAAAACTGAAAGATATACCACATTCTTATCTTCGAATTTAGTCCACAAGCTGCTGCTGAGTTTAAGATTGAAAGTGATTTATTACAGAATCGAGTTAATGATATAAAGACTTTGGAAAACAAGACCTATCCTTGTATTTATGTCGTTCGTACACCGTTAGGTGAAAGTCGATGGAATGGCACGTGGCGAGAGCTGACGGAGTCGTGTAACCCCCAAGCCAAAACCGATCTCTCCTTTTTTGTTTTTTTTTTCATTCTTTTTCCGTTCACCACTTCTCATAACCTTTAAACAACAGAAAAATAATCCAAAATCTATAGAAAACTATGTCCTTTTGTTGCTTAAAACGTCTGTTATAGCAAAGAAAAATAAAATTAGTAGTGGAGAGACTGTAATTGAAAAAATAGCCAATGTCGATGTCGCCATTTTGTTTTACTTCATTAATTAACAGTTTAATAGATTGCGTGACGAATCAGAAAGCTTATTATTATCCTCAAGAGAACTAAAACTCTTAATAAAACAAGAAAACGGATTTACTAGTATGGTCGATGATAGTGATACTCCCAAGAAGATTCGAAATCCCAAATTTCACACGATCTCGTGAGTTTGTTGACAATTCTATGCCTGCGCTTCTTTACAATTCATAAAATTGTCATTATAATTATCGACGTGGCGAAATATGATTAGCTAAAACCGCATTATCTGATCATTAAGTTTACAGTATTATATAAAGCAACAAATAAGCAGTAGAGCAAGTAGCAACTAGAAATATACTCACTCACTTTAGAGTTTAGAGGATTAGCTCAAAAAGCAGCAGCACCGATTCGAAACGCCTAAATTCGCAATTCGGAATCGCCGGTACCGGAGTAAAGATGGAGAGAGAGCGTCCGTTATTAGCATCGGAGGAGAGAGCTTACGAAGAAACCGAGAAAGTTCTCATAGTCGGAGTCGACGAAGATGACGACGCTAGCTACGACGAGCTCGGAAATGCGCCTCCGTTCTCGTGGAAGAAGCTTTGGCTATTCACCGGACCTGGGTTTCTGATGAGCATCGCCTTCCTCGATCCCGGTAACCTCGAGAGCGATCTCCAAGCCGGAGCCATCGCTGGTTACTCTCTGATTTGGCTGTTGATGTGGGCGACGGCGATCGGGCTTCTGATTCAGCTTCTCTCTGCTCGTCTCGGCGTCGCCACCGGTCGACACCTGGCGGAGCTGTGTCGGGAAGAGTATCCGACTTGGGCAAGGATGGTGCTTTGGATCATGGCGGAGATTGCGTTGATCGGTGCCGATATCCAGGAAGTCATCGGAAGTGCCATAGCGATCAAGATCTTGTCTAATGGATTGATCCCTCTCTGGGCTGGAGTTGTAATCACTGCTCTCGATTGGTTAGTTTCCTCAATTTGGGAATTTAAAATTGGAATTTAGGGTTCTTCATTATCTTTGCTTTGATTCATAAAGTCAGTCCATTTGAGAGATATTAGGGGTTTAGGCTCTTGACTCTTCTTTGCTGGATTGATTGCAGTTTCATATTTCTATTTCTGGAGAATTACGGAATAAGGAAACTAGAAGCTGTGTTTGCTATTCTGATTGCAACAATGGCGGTTGCGTTTGCTTGGATGTTTGGCCAGACGAAGCCTAGTGGAACCGAGCTTCTTGTTGGTTAGTCTTTAAAGTTTAAACATTTTGATTGTTCCCTCTCTTGGAAACAAACTGTTCATTGAATCATTGTTAACAGGAGCGTTGGTACCAAAACTCAGCTCGAGGACTATAAAACAAGCAGTTGGAATCGTTGGATGTATCATAATGCCACACAATGTGTTCTTGCACTCAGCGCTTGTGCAATCGAGAGAAGTTGATCCGAAGAAGAGATTCCGAGTCAAAGAAGCTCTCAAGTACTACTCCATTGAATCAGCCGGAGCTCTCGCGGTTTCCTTCATAATCAACGTCTTTGTGACCACAGTCTTTGCCAAGTCCTTTTACGGGACAGACATAGCGGAGACTATCGGTCTTGCAAACGCGGGACAGTACTTACAGGACAAGTACGGCCGCGGATATTTCCCGATACTCTACATATGGGCCATCGGAGTTTTAGCTGCTGGTCAGAGTAGTACCATTACAGGTACTTACGCAGGACAGTTTATAATGGGAGGGTTCTTGAATCTCAAGATGAAGAAATGGGTTAGAGCGTTGATCACGAGAAGCTTTGCGATCGTCCCGACGATGATCGTTGCGCTTGTCTTTGATTCCTCGGATTCGTTGCTTGATGAGCTGAACGAATGGCTTAACGTGCTTCAGTCTGTTCAGATACCTTTCGCTGTGATTCCTCTGCTTTGCTTGGTCTCGAACGAGCAGATCATGGGGAGCTTCAAGATCCAGCCTTTAGTGCAGACGATCTCGTGGATTGTAGCTGCTCTTGTGATAGCTATTAACGGGTATCTGATGGTGGATTTCTTCTCTGGAGCTGCGACGAGTGTGGTGTTGCTCGTGCTTGTGATCATATTTGCTGTTGCGTATGTTCTGTTTGTGCTTTACCTTATCTCGAGAGGCCTCACTTACACTCCTTGGCAACTAGTGGCTTCGGAGAAAGTAAGAGAGAGAGATGTTGATGAGTAAGTGAAAGCAAAGAGAGACATTTCCTTGAAGAATAAGAGAAGAGAGAAAGGCTCTGTTTACTTGATAGCAAAATTTCTTGAAACTGGAAACAAACAATAGGAAGTTGGTTTCATTAGTATGTTAATGATATCAAGATGTATTTGTAATATAGTGTTTTATGGTTTAGAACTCTTTTTTTTTCCTTACTTTTAAGGATGTGAAGATGTAATCTATTGTTTAAAAAGTTCCGGTGTTTCTTGGATTTTTGGCAGAATAAAACGGTAACACAGTTTGTTTTTCAACCAAAATGAAAACATCTTGGTGCTGTATCTATTGCAACTCTTAATTCGACCGTTTTCTATTAACGAATACGAAATTTTATTCGTGAGATTGCATTTTCACAATTTGGAAAGTGTTCTCATTTTTCTTCCTACCCAAATGATGTAATTTCTCGAGTAATGAATAAGGAAAGAATTAGTCAAAGGAAACGCGCTTGCATTTAATTTAATTGTAGTCAAGTGAAATGCTTAGTCGTTTAGGGAAATTCATGCACAGTTTCTTGTATTCGACGATAAATCTAAGTACTTAAAAAATAAATAAATTAAAAGAAAAATGATTTTCACTGAAATTGTTAACATAAATGAATGCCAAAACAAGAGCAGCAGCTTCTTCCAAATTCATGAAAAAGTCAAAAGAAGAAAAAGATTTGAGCAAACTATATAATTACATAAACATAACCCACCTAACAAGGTTTGACGATTGACGTAAAACTCTCGCTACGAGCCTTAAGGCATTTATTAATATACACCAAAAATATTTGTTATGAAAGACTAATTGCGACTGCGCAGACCACTAATCTTGGCGATGAAGGATTTGGTCTTACCGCGCTTCCACTGATCGAATTGTCGTCTCCTCCGATAGAGAAACCTGAATCTGCCATCCTCGCAAGGTAATTCATCATCTGTCTTCTTCTCTTTCGTTTCAAACTTAATTTTTCAGGAGTTTCGTTCTCGTCGGACATAGTCCTCTGTTTTGTCTCATTTTCCTCTTTTTGTTTCTTCATTTCTCTACTCAGCTTGTTTTTCTGCAGTTTCGTAATTGTGTAGAGTTCGTTTTGTTTCTCTTTTGATGACTTTCTCTTTTGTTCGATTGAGAGTTTTTATGGGGGTTTACTTATATTGACTAGAGGATTGACTTATGCATCTTACTTGTTAATCTCTAAGCTGAAATCTTGAGAGAAAACTTGTTGTGCTTGCAGTTCTTGTGTAAGAGGCTCTGATAACACTACTATTTTTTGAAATCCATTGTTGTTCTGTTTTTTTTTTTTGGGCAAGTGAAGGTAGAAATGGAGGTGTCATGGTTAAGAGTTCTTCTGGATAACGTCTCCTCGTTTCTAAGCTTATCTTCAATGGAAGACTTACATTCAAACCCAGCTCATGAGTACTACACCAGAGGAGAAGACATAGCAAAGCTTCTCAAGCCTGTTCTTGAGAATCTTATTGGCTCTGATGCGGCTCTTAACGAACTGCTTAACAACGGATTTGAAGAATTAGCTCAATACGTTGATGAATTAAGAGAGCAGTTTGAGACATGGCATTCTCTTTCAAGTAGAATCTTCTATGTAAGTTCAAGAAAAGAAAACAGATTTAAATCCCCATTTAACTGTTTCTTGAGCTAAACTATCTTTCTTGTGTATCATATCATCAGGTTCTTCGAATTGAATCATTAGCTTCAAAGTTCCGTGAATCAAGTTTGGAAGTCTTTCAGCTTCTGAAACACTGCGAGCAGCATTTACCTGCCGATTTCATTTCACCATCCTTTGAGGTATGGTTTACGGAACTTTGAAGCTAATGATTTTTCAAGAATCTGTGTATGGTTTAGTGATTTGGTTAGGCTTCTCTATCAATTTGTTATGACATTGTTTGTTCATATTTCAGGAGTGCATAGAGTTGGTGAAGTTAGTTGGAAAAGAGGAGATTACGTTTAGTATAGATCTAGCTCTGATAGAGCAAAGGGCAGGTGTTGGACCTACTTCAGAGGATCTTGTGAAAATTGGTGAGAGTGTTGGTTTAAGATCCAACAAGGAGATTCTGATTGAAGGTGTGGCACTTGCAAACCTCAAGGAAGAAGCAGAGCTCAACGAGAACAACACAGAAGCTGAGTATATTGAAAGATTGATCTCTCTCATAACACAAATGCATGATTACCTTACAAACGTGAAGCAGTCTCAGTTACATCGTCTTGTCCCTTGCGACTTCTGCTGTCCTCTGTCTCTTGAGCTCATGACTGATCCAGTCATTGTGGCTTCTGGTCAAACATACGAACGTGTCTTCATCGAGAAATGGATCGATATGGGACTCATGGTTTGCCCTAAAACCAGACAGCCTCTATCTCATACCACTTTGACACCTAACTTCATCGTCAAGGCATTAATTGCCAACTGGTGTGAATCAAACAATCTCCATCCTCCTGATCCTTTGGAGCTGATCCACTCAAGCCAGCCATTCCCTCTTCTTGTTGAATCAGATATTGATTCACTTAAGTCAGAGATAGCTTTAGACGCAAGCAAATGCGAGCTTAGGTCTACATCTGCGCCAGAGATTGTCTCTGAAGTGGTTTCCAAAACTAATAATGCATCAACCTCAAAGGAAGGGAATGAAACCATTTGGCGACTTCCATCGCTGAGGCATTTTCGTCACCCAGGGATCGTCCCACCGACGATAAGAGAAACTGGAAGCAGCTCAAGCTGCGAATCCGAGGTGAAGAAACTGATGGAAGATCTCAAGAGTCCTTCTTTGGATGCACAGCGAGAAGCCGCAGCTAGGGTTAGGGTATTATCAAGAAACAGCACAGACAACCGCATTGTGATCGCGAGGTGTGGAGCGATCAACACGTTAGTGAAACTGCTCTACTCAACGGACGAGAGAATCCAAGCGGACGCTGTGACAAGTTTACTAAACTTATCAATCAACGACAACAACAAGTCTCTCATCTCGGATAGTGGAGCTATAGAGCCTCTCATTCACGTTCTCAAAACAGGAAGCGTGGAAGCTAAAGAGAACTCAGCAGCGACTCTGTTTAGTTTATCTGTGATAGAAGAGAACAAGACAAAGATTGGAGAAGCAGGAGCTATAGAGCCGCTTGTTGATCTCTTGGGGAACGGAAGACTAAGAGGCAAGAAAGACGCAGCGACTGCTCTGTTCAACCTCTCGATACACCACGAGAACAAGACGAAAGTGATCGAAGCTGGTGCGGTGAGATACTTGGTTGAGTTGATGGATCCTGGAGCTGGAATGGTGGAGAAAGTTGTGGTTGTGCTTGCGAATCTTGCGACGGTTAAAGAAGGGAAGATTGCGATCGGAGAAGAAGGAGGTATACCGTTGTTGGTGGAAGTTGTGGAGTTAGGCTCAGCGAGAGGCAAAGAGAATGCAAGTGCAGCGCTTTTGCAGCTTTGTATGCATAGCCCCAAATTCTGCAATATTGTCATTAGAGAAGGAGCTATTCCTCCTCTTGTCGCTCTTACTAAAACAGGAACAGCTAGAGCCAAAGAGAAGGTTAGGGTTTTTCTTTCTTTCTTTGATTACTCTTCTTGTTTGTTATGTTTTATGAATCACAACAACATTGTTGTATGTTTGGTTTCAGGCACAGAATCTTCTTAAGTACTTTAGAGCCCAAAAACAAGCCAACCAGAGGAGAGGCTGATCTTGGTTTCACTACTCTGCAGAGGTTGTTCTTGTTCTAACCTATACGTATATTTAATCACTGATTAATAGTATTCTTGTAGTGTAATCATCTACGTTTGTTAAATTATATAGCGTTTTTTTTTTATGGAAGATTTGATTGGCTCTGTGTTGAGGATTTGATTTTGAATGTTGAAACTATGGTACATAGAATGAGAAAACATTATAGTATACGATATGATGGTGAGAAATTCACGTCCTAAGTTATATACATGATTTTGCTTTAATCATGCTAAGCACCACTCCTTGTAGGAGAATAAAGTAAGGACACCTATATGATATTTCACTTTCACATCATTCTCGTTAATTTAAAATGATGTTTCGCTTTCGTTTACCATTATATGCGTGTATGCCTCTCTCATGTCTATTCGTATGATCTAAAACGAATTTAACTTTTCTAAAATTTTAAATTCAATGAAAATATAAAGTTGCTAGAGAGTGAGAGACATGGTATTGAAACATGAAACCAATAAGAGAACTGACAGCATATTACTAGAGTTCATTTTGAAAAAAATCAAAAACACACACAAATAAAACTTTAGAAAAAATCCAAGATTAACAGGTAACCAAACATAAATCACTGGATAAATCTAAGTATTATTGACAATTAAGTAATTAACACTAACATACAAAAAGAAATTTACGTACGAATTGATTAAACACCAAAAAAAAAAAAAAAAAAAAAAAAAAACTCTGACTCATGAAGCCAAGCTTCGTCTTCCATGATCAACCACAGATCCGACGTGTGATAACTCTTTTAACCACTCAAACGTTCTTTTCCGCGCAATCGCCGTTTTCTCCTCTTTCTTCGCCGTTTTCTTCTTCTCCACCATTCTCTGTTTCTCCACCGTCACACCGGCGACATTCATTTTCACAGGTACAATCGTCTCCGTCGCAACCGAACACTTACAATCCGAGAACAGAAAACTTCTTCTCCGATTCCTCGATCTCGACTCTCCCGATCCTATTCTCTTCGAATTCGAACCCGTGCTTGTGCTACTGCAGCTACTGTTCCGACTCACTGACAATCTAGCGTTTCCGGCGGTTCGGAGCTCGATCTCCGGTGTACGGACGAGACCAAGCCGGAGAAAATCCCAAATCGAAGACGATTTCGGGTTTCTGATTGAATTCACACGAGCCGTCATGCTCGATGATCTTCTGATCTGTGGTTGTGGACTAGGTTGGCTGTAATCCATGAAATTGTTTTTCATTTTCCGGTCCGATCTACTTACCGTTCGCCGGAATTCAGCCGATTCGGCGTCTAAACTGACGGAGTGGCGGAGCGGCAGAATTCGGCCTTTGGAGAACAATTCGTCCGCCGTACTCATCTCCGGAGCCGGTTCACACGTATCCGACCCGAGCCGAAACGATGACCCGATTTCAAATTCGAACCCGGAATCCAATTTCTCTTCTTCTTCCTTGGACTGTTTCGTAAACTGAACTTTCTCATTAGGTAAATTCACCGGCAAATCACACAGAGACAACACTTCTTCTTCTTCTTCTTCTTCTTCTTCTTCGTCGTATTCTTCTTCTTCTTGATCGCGATGAGAGATCAAAAGGGACGTTTCCTCTTCCGTACATGTCCTCGCCATTTCGAAGCTTCCGAGTTTCCAACGAGAGACAGAGAGGTAAAGTTTTTTAATTTAAGACACAACGAAAGAGCGAGCGACAAATTTGAATATTTAAAGGAAGAGAACAGAAGTTTCTTTTTGAAAAGTCAAATCGATATCGACCTTTATTTTATTGTGTTATTTTTCACATAACCTATAGTTTTCTGCACATATATGATGATACGTATCTCTAATTTTACAATATATACATAAGTAGGCTGTCAAAATAATATTTCGAACCAATGGAAAAAAAGAAAAAAAAAATTACACCGAAAGTTATTTTCCTTTTCTAACCATAACAAAAATCATGAGAAGTACGAGTCCTAGTTTACTAGACATGGTGTTTCTTTTACTTTTTCTTTTCACATTCAGTATCGTGACAATTTTGCACAGTAGGTGAGAGCATGGTCAATATAATTGTTTATATGCATCGCATAGAAATTTAATGATTTTTTTGAATTTTCTTTATTTTTGCATAATTATGATTTTTGAAAATAATACGTTTTGTTTCTTCTTTGATGTTAACTTGCATAGAACACAATAGTCTCCATTTCAAAACCGTCCATTTTGTGATTTCAATTTTAAATTGTAGTCTTAAAGTATTATAACAAAACGGATTACATAATGCTAGTTTCTTAGCCTCTTTAATATTGCTTGCTCGGCGAGTAAAACTATAAATGTTTTCGAGAACTTTATTTTTTCTAGAAAGAAAACACATGATAAAGCTGAGAGGCTGTAAGATATGGCAGGCTTTTGTTATATTTCTACTTTCTTTTTTTCTGATAAGTGAAAACAAAGAGATATGTAAAGAAGAAAATATTGTACAAAAAAATGAAGCAAGAAAATACTAAATAATAAGAATGGCTTAGAAGGTTGGGTCTGTGGACGAGTGGGCCTAGGCCACTATATTTGGCACGCGATAGCTACGCTTTACCCAGCACCATCACCATCATCTTCCACATGCATGCATTATATCATGATTATTATCTAAATTTTATCATTACTTTCACTGTTTTGTTGCTAATTATGAGCGTTTAAATTTGTTTCTACTTATGTGTGGGGGATAGATTATGCATTCTATTTATTATTTGAATCATTTTAACTCCTAATTTCTAGATACAAATCAGTTAGAATGATCTAACGTCTACTTTTCTGCATAAGTTCCTCTTCTTTTTTTCAGACAGCGTATTAATGGTCTACACTTGTGTCCTATAATTGTATAAACATTAGACTTTGACCACGTATATAATTACAAGCTATAAATAAATATGAAAATGACTCTTTGCATATACATATATTGATGAAAAGGTAATTTTACTCATAGTCAGAAGACTCAGAACAATATTTCATCTCTAACTAGAGTTATATTCATATATTTGGAATCATATGATAAGTTTGGGTCGGGTTTGTATAATTATAAAAGCTGTTTTTGACATAAAGCACTAGAACAAAAAGTAAGACCATAAATAGTTGAAACTTGCGGTGCAAATCACAACTATATGTTTTTGTCAACTTTTTTCTCATCAATTTTGTTAACATACTTTTTATTTATTTGATGGCACTATGCCACTATCGTTCATTGCTTGTGACTCATGCGTGGCTTTGTGGGATTATTTTGTTTTGTATGTATAAAGGGTCGCAGGAAACGACGTATTTCATTGTCGTTTATACTTTTTCTTTAAAGTAAATAAGTAATGAATTCACATTTTCAAACTCATAATCACATTGTTAATCAGGATGTACTTGAGTAGTGCACAGTTTCTTATCACGTAACTACTTTTCTGTTAATTTGCATAAGGATTTCGTTATATGTTAACGAATGACGTTTAATAAATACAAAATTTTGGATGCATATTTCGCATGTGGTATGTGGATATCCTTTAGTCGTTCTACGCCTAATATTTGGTTTTGAAATCTTAGAGATGTTTACAATCATGCAACGTGAACCAACACTGGCCGTAGAACTGAGGAAGGCATGATACGAGATATGATGATGGACTTATGAAGTGTGTAAATAATCTTTAAAGAACTTTGACTTACACATCTATTAAATTCCTAATTGTGAGTCTAAGAAAATGATATTGATTTCGATTTTCCATTTTCCATTTTCTCGAAATGGAGAAACAGACTACAGAAACAAAAGATCCACAAATAGTTGGGGGAAATATGTCATACATTGATAATAAGATGTCACATCCCAAATAAGCCCAGCATTGTAAAAAGCCCAATAAACTATACTATCCTTGAATAGCCCATTAATCAACCAATATATAAATATAATCATGGTTTTCCTGGGATCAATCATGAACAATCAATGCATGCCTAATCAGCCTATGACAGTCTTATATCTCATGAACTCTAGTAATTTTTGGTATACACATGTTGTCACGGCCTTGTATATCTTTTGACTTTGTTCATTTTTTTTATCTTTTTTCACTTTTCAGTTTCGAGTACTATCATTTATTCAAGTCACATGATAAAAGACCTAGAGACCCAGCTATTGTCGTGGCCGCAGAATAATTTCCTTTTTAAATCAGCAAAGAGAAAAACAGCAACAAACTAGAGATAAGCCCTTATACAGACTGCATGCCGTTTTTGCTAAACAGGTCTTATATTAAAACAGCATTACATTATCTGTGGCTTTCTTCTTTCCAAAAGAGCCTTTGATTAAATCCATAATTTACCACTATGTCCAGCTAATCGCCACGGGACTTCCCACCACGTGTTTGCCATCTGACCATACGATGCTCCCGAAGCTGTTAGATCCAGACGCCTTAGATGAGTCTACGGTAAACGTCACTGTATACGATTTTTTCTCGTTTGCTTCCTTGAAATTTAAAACCGCCGGTTCAACCGAAATTTTGACTGCTGTCGTCTCCGAAGATATTTTAACCGAGTAGGTCCCAGCTCCTCCCACGCTCGTGACAGTGCGCGTATACTTGTACGCGCCGGCTCCATCGACGTTAAGTGCGAACGACGGGTAATTTAGATCGGCGACGGAGTGCGTTTTGCTCGGATCGCATGTGTAGTTCCGTCTCGCAACGCTTCTGATTTGCGACGATGTGTAGTTCAGTGCGCAGAGGAAACCCAAGTAATCCTCCGTCGTTAGATCGTAGATGAGTCCTGGATTGGTGGCGGTTGCCGGTGACACGTGTCCTGCACCGTGATCGAACGGCGTTGAAGGTTTCCCAGTCGCGATGTCGAGGATCGGTTTGCCGTCTTTGTAATTGTTGTAAGCAGTGGTCATGAGAGCAGATCTAATCGCCGCCGGGCTCCATTCCGGATGCACCGACTTGAGAAGCGCCGCTAAACCGCTCACGTGAGGGCAAGACATCGACGTTCCTGAAATGATGTTGAATTCCACTCGCCGAGAATCGGAAGCGAGACCGGTGGGTCCCTCGGCTCCGGTCCACCCGGCGAGGATGTTGACTCCTGGCGCAATCAAATCCGGTTTGAGAATGTTCGGCGTGATTGAATTAGGTCCTCGCGAGCTAAACGCCGCAACCACCGGAGACGGCTGGACATTGACGACAGTCCCTTGGATCAAAATCGAAGCAGTAGGATTTGGATCGGTCAATGCGTAGTGCCGGATAATGTCACCGGCTTTCTCCCCGACGGTAGTTGCCGGCAACAAATGCGCATCAGCAACAAGCTCTTCTCCGTTCGCCGCCGTATTCGCCAGAATCATTCCGAGACCACCAGCCGCTTTCACCACATCCCCTTTCTGAACCCTAGCATTGATTCCTCTATCACACATCACAATCTTCCCCTTGACTTTCTCCGAAATTAAGCTTCCGGTCATACATAGATTACCATTACTAGCTTTACTAGCGTTCCCGGCGTATATAAACGGCAACAATTTATCCGGAAGAGCTTCTCCTTTAAACAACGACACTCCGGTATAATTCTTCCCGTTCCCGAGAATCGCGAGCGCCGGAAAATCCCGATCGAGAGTACCAGCACCAACGGTAGTGATCCACGGAGCTACGTTCGATAAACTGAAACTCGTCGGACCGGCATTACCGGCGGAGCAGGAAACCAAAATCCCTTTCTCCATGGCGGCGAATGCTCCAATCGCAACACTGTCTCTATAGTAATCGGACATTCCACCGCCGAGTGACATGGACAAGACGTTGACGTTGTCGTCGATGGCTTTATCGATCGCAGCTAGAATATCTGAGCTGAAACAACCGCCTTTCCAACAAACTTTGTAAACAGCTACGCGAGCGCGTGAAGCCATACCTCGAGCTGTTCCATTAGCGAAGCCTAAGAGGCTAGCTCCTTCCACGACGGATCCAGCGGCGGTTGATGACGTGTGAGTTCCGTGTCCGTCGTCGTCTCTAGGAGATCTAGATTCTTGAGATTCGTCGACTGGTCCCATCGTTGCTTCGTAGCCTCGAGCGAAGAATCTGGCTCCGATTAGTTTGCGGTTACAGAGTGAGGCGGTGAAGTTAGTTCCAATCTCGCATCCGCCTTTCCAGGTAGACGGAATCGGACCGAATCCTTCGTCGGAGAAGCTTTTCCTCTCTGGCCAAACACCGGTGTCGAGAACCCCGACGACGACGTCGCTCGATGCGCCGGTTTCCGGGAATAGATCTGCGTTGTGAACGTCGAGTCCGAGGAAGAGTGGAGTCCGAGTGGTGTGTAGCTCGTAACGGTGCTCCGGTAGAACAGAGAGGACACCTGGCTGAGTCATGAGTGAGTCGGCTTCTTCGGGAGTGAGCCGAGTGGAGAATCCGTGAATCGCGTTGTTGTAAGTGTAGAGCAATTCAGCAGAGTCCGAGATAGATCTGAGAGACGAATCGTACCAGTTAGAGTGGAGGTTGTAGGTCGATGGCATCTGAGATTGCGCCATGTGAACGATGTAAGTTCCTTGTTGAGAAGCTCCATGGGACACGTGGCAGAAACCAAGATAAAGGACGAAGAAGAGGAAAGCAGTGGAGGAGAGAAACGAAGACATATCTCTCTCTTTTGTGAAGGTTGTGGTGTCTCTCTCTCTCTCTGAATCGAAGAAGAAAGGTGAAGATGAGAGAGGGTTTTTATAGAGGGAGAGAAAGTGAGGAGGAGATATTGGATGCGTACGTATGAATCATTTGAGACTGTTGTGTCCACTCTTCTTCTTTCAAAATAATGATTATTTTTTCTTTTCTTTTCTACTTTAGTTTCTAATTTAGTTTTTGTTTTTTTCGTTTTAGATTTCTGTTCACATTAGTGTACCCATCTATATACTCACATACTTTTATATGATTATTAGTACGTTTTTTCGTATGTTATCTCGAGATTCTGTTTGCTTCGTTATCTATAGAATCATCATGCCATGTGTGGTTCAGAAATGAGAAAACCATTCTGATGATGTTTCTTTGACAACCATTATGGATAATTGAGTATAACCTTTTATTGTATTAGAAGATATTGTTTGTCCTCCTGTCCAAAGTTTCCAAATAACGGATACGATTGTTGGTGGTGTAATAAACTAATTAATGATGTGAAATCAAATTCGTTCTTAAGCAATATTTGAGTTTCTAAGTATTTTGAGCTTATACAATATCGTCGGTTTCCACACACTTACGAAATAAATCGACCATGTAATAGGGAATTGGAAATGACTAATGAGTTCGGTTTAGGTTGAGTTAAAAAAGAAGCTTGATTTATAGTTCGGTAACATTTGATATCAATATGACAATATCCATACCCATACATACCACTATTACTTAAGTATAGTATGATCTACACATGCAAAATTCATTAAACTAAATAATCTTGGTATTTCTTAATTTCACTGTTTTATTTTGGTATTAAAATGGATACAAAAGTAACCGAAGATACACAAGTGAGAACACGCATACTATAAGACTAGGCTAGATTTGGATCTAAGCACAGCTTCTGGGGCTATGCCCCACGTGTCATAACGTGCCTTTTCCGATATCTCTTTTATCGTTTCTTTTTATTAAAAACCAATAAAACAGATCTCCACTCTGCAAGTGCAAATGATAAAGCTAAAGCAAACTCCAAACCATCCTTAACCGTTCGATCTCGAGATACCACATTTAGGTCCCAATTCCCAAATGAGAAATTTTCGCCTGTCTTTCGTAAAATAGAAGCTCAACGTTAATTGCATACAATGATACAACTAATTGTGAGATCTTTGCAACCTTTTTTTCTATAACCGAAATTTATATTGGAACTATAATGCAAAAATATGGAAAACATCTACGTTTTAAAGTAAATCCTAGTGAATATGAAATTAGTTAGGTTATTGTTATTGTTTCAATTTAATGGACGCGATTTGTCGTTGATTCAATTATGACAGTTAGGACAGATGAGTAGCAACAAGTAGATATTAATTCGTGACATGTTACCTCAATTAAGTTAATTAATTATCTAATCAATCCTTGAAACATCCTTAACATTTTTTCTCAACGACACATCACACAATTCCTGCCTAATACAGCTTACACTAGTAATCTAATCTGTTTCCTCACTTATAAACATCTCAAAGTCAGTTGTTTTCGATATTCAATGATATGTGGACTAAACATAAAATATTCTTAAACCGATAGTCACTGGTTTCCGTTCGGTTCGTTTGAGTGCCGAGTCCGGTTAAAACTTCCAAAAAAGCGGTACGATACGGATACCCCACGTTCGATGTCTCCATTAAGGTCGAGTCAACAATTTTGTCTCACCTCGAACTACGTTTATACAAGAATCTAGGTACTCGTGACTCTCCTCTGTCTGCATACACAAAAATACATTATATGCATGCCCACATTATTATACATCAAAATGTCTTTATGTACACACTTTTGTTTCGGTTTCTTTTACTGACATATATACACAATTCAACGTCTTTTTAAGTAAATACCTTAAACTAAAATGTATGATACCATTAAATGCTTCAACTTTTTTTTTTTCTACTCAGCAAGTTACCGTTATTTTGCACTTTGCATGTTTTTTTTTTTTTTTTTTTTTCTTTTTTTTTGTGCAAATCACTTTGCATGTTTCTTAACATACAGTTTTAACATAACTATGTTCAATTTATTTATTTTTGGTTTATTTTATACCTAAAAAATGGGGGGGGGATTATATTTGCAAAAAAAAAACAAAAACAACACAAAGTAAAATTTATATTCAAACCCGTTACGTACGAGAACGTACATAACAAACTACTTTTGATAGATCTCTATGGGTTTCGTCGAAGACATCAACTAACTAATGCTTTTACGGTTGGAATCCAAAGAATGTGTGTGGCAATTAGAGACTTTGGTTCGTATGGTACGACATGAATTAACGTGTCTCGACATCAGACCTAACCAAAGTCACATCTAAATAATTTAACACTACATTACAGTGATACGTTTTGTACTTTTTTTTTTCATAAAACGAGAGAAAACAAAAACAATATAGCAACAGGAGAAGCTGGCAGGTTGGCCATTTTATTGGACTGTTTTAAGTGATAATGCCACGATGAGAGTATTTGACTCTTGTACACGTCCTTATCTTTATAATTAAAAATTGGGAAAATAATACATACAAATATATAAATCACTGTTTTTAATTGGACCACGCTTTTTCTTGTTTTGGAAATTGATTAGATCGAACCGTGTGCCAACTAGAATTTATTTCAGGAACATTTTTTTCTTTTCTTTTGGGTTTCTATCATTAAAAAACTCACGCAAACTATCAAAAAAGTAACAAATGACTCGTGCTCTTTGCCTTTAACCCCGTACAAATTGAATGGGCCGTTAATCGAACGAAAATCTAACATGCTTACCATTTACAGGCCTACTAAGCTCAGTCGAAGAAAACGAAATAACCAAACTTGTCACCATTTTGTACCTTGGCGCAAGTAAAGTGTGTATGGATAAGTCGGTCTTTAGTAACAAAAGTGTGTATGATTTCACTAGGTCTTTAGTAATCTGTATGGATAACTCGGTATTTAGTAATGGTGAGGCTTATTAAGCCATTTTAATCCAAAAAAACTGAGAAGAATTACATAGGCGTGTTCCTGTTCTTGTTCTTCTGTTTAGACAACTATTTAACAAGATCTTCCCATTTGCAGTATTGACCACCGGCCAATGCACGGTAGTAACGGTCTCTGCAATAGACCGGTCTTCCATCAGCAGCCTCAGCTGCAGCCGCTGCCAAGTCATCATCGGTCTTAACATCTACAGGTAACCGAAGCAATTGTTCTTTTCTGCAAATTTGTTATCAACAAAAGTCAGAAATTCTCATACTTTCTACGTTGTAGATAGGTGTTTTATTTTTGATTGATCTCCTAATGTACCTCATATTGAACTTGCTGTTGTTGCTTCTTGAAATGGAAACTTCCGGTTGATAATCCTTAGATCTTAGAGCGGTTTTAAAGAAATCCTCGACTGGTGTTGCAAAAACAAACAGCACAAACGCTGAAACAAGCAAAGCTCCTGTTCCAACTAATGTTTGTTTCAGCATCTTGATTACTGGCTTCACCTGAAAAAAAATCACCAAAAATTACTTTATTTGTTTGCTTTTCTTTTTGCAATATTGAATAATATACATTGCCACAAAACATTTGTTTGTGTAATCATTGTTACCTTGTAAGAACCTAACAACCTGTCACGAGCCAAAACCTGAACACACAAAATGCAAACTCACAGTAATTAACACTCTTGTTTTTGTCTATTTTGGCAAAGGGAAAGGAATTTAAAATGCAAACCTCAGGTGGCTTCACCCACATTTGTCCATCATACCATCCACTCTCTTCGTATGGCACAACTGCAGAAAGTAGTCTATCTCCAACATAGCTCCATCCCTTGAAAACAAAACAAAAACAGTCAAGAAGTCATCAATAACATTGGAATCTGTGAGAAACTATAAGGTGAGAGAAGAAGAGCAAGTTTTAAATTACGAGGTAAATTCTCAAGACGATCAATGAGACCAGGAATAAGGTTCCTGTCCCTGCAGCTAGAGCAAACCTCAAAGGTTCCTGCAACATTTTTTCAAAGAAAACATATTATAATCTGTATATACAAATGCATCTTTCTTGCAGAGGCTCGGATTTGAAGCTCACTCTAGAAGGGTTAAAGCTAGCAGCTGCAATAGGAACTCCAAGAACAGTGAAAGTCACCAACCAAAGACCACCAAGACGAAGAAAGAATTGGCTTGGACCCAACTCTCCCCATGAATACAACATCCCTTCCTTTAAAGACGAATACTCGTTCACCTACAAAAGGTATCATAATTTCGTAATTAGGCTCATTTATTTTCTTTACTTATGATCAGAAACAACATTTGCTTACCGGTCTTTGGTCTGAAGGAACTTCTATCTCCGAGCTTGGGTCCCAGCTTTGTCCGGAGAAACTCATACTTCCTCCGCCGTTACCTTCATCCTTCATTGCTTTAACGGAAACCCTTAGAACCAGCTGCTTCTTACAATCATCGCCGATTCCGCCATATTTGACGAACGACGAAGAATCATAGTAAGTCCCGAGCTTTCTCTTACAAATCCATTTCTTCGGAACCAAAGGGTGACTAGCGATTATTCTGAGCATAGCTGCTCGATCAGATTTCTGATGGTTTTCGCGTTGATTGAAGATTAAACGTAAGTGGAGCAGAGCACCTGAACGACGGCAAACGAAACAGAGCCATAAAAATAATTAAATCAGTTAAGTTTTTGGTTTCTTCTGACTTGTGTCGTCACTCTTTCGCCACGTGGCATATGCTCTCTTGCACGCTGTTTTTTCGTGGCACCTTCTCTGTTTCCACGAGCCTAGTTCCACATCATATCTTTAATGGGCCGGATTAGGCCCACATCCAACCATCAAATTAACCAGGGGTGAAATCACAAATATATACAAATCAAAGGGTACAGTAAATTTAACGAAAAGACGGAAGGGTAATATCATCAATATTGAAAGATAAGTGGGCATAACCATAAATACGGACGAAATAGAGGGCATCAATCGAAACCACCTATACAGGCCTAAAGCGAAGCCCAAAACCAACTTTAAATGAGACGACCCAAGAGGAGGCCACAAAATCATTAATGAGGCAAATAATGGAGTGAGTGAGTGGATTTCATGAAAACTGGAGGGTAAACAAATATTCAGAATCATGTAGCAATCTCTGTTTTTATTATGGTCACTATTGAAAATTTTGATTTTTTCGTTGCGGACGTGTTTTATTATTCAAAAGACACCATTTATTGCAGGATTGAGTTGAGTCTCAATCGAAATGCCTGGGGGCATATAGTGACTTCAATTATCGAAGAAAAGGAAGAATTTAAAGATGATAAGACTCTTTGTAGGGACAAAGATCAAATCATTCATGCTCTGTCACAAAATCAAGATTCTCTCCAGCTTCCTTATGCTCACTCCTTTCCTCTCTACTCCATAGTCCTTAGCAAACATTATATTATATCTGTAACTTGTAAGAGATATATACATTTGTGGAGAGGAATCACTACTCTCTTCCTTTTTTTTTTGAATTTGGAATTATTTGGTTTGGTCCAAAGATGTGTCTGATCCACTCTTTAAAAATCTTAAAACCAAAGCATTACCACACACACACTGTCCTTACTCAACATCTCTCTATCTTGTACTCTCCATGAAAGTTACCTAACTGCCCTTCATTGCTCTCGCTCTGTCTTCTTCTTTGTTCTTGTTGTTAAGGGTAGTTTGTGGTTTTCTTTTCTCTGTTTGGTCGCAGTTATCAGAGGAAAAGAGAGAAAGAAACTCTGTTGGTTTTGATCTTATTCTCTCTTTTCTTACGTTACGGCACATCTTCTTCTTGAGAAGGACTTGAAACAGTGTTCCATGGTGGATTTCTTGAGTCAGAAGAAACTCCGACCTAAGTGCTCGTAATATGTCAGCAAAGAAGAAAGATCTTTTGTCATCGGCCATGAAGAGAACCAGCGAATGGTTTATACATTCTCTTACTTCTCAATCCATTTTCTTTTTCTTTTCAAAGTAATTTATAAAAAAAAGAAGTATTAAAGGTTCATTTTTCTGAAAAACAGAGAAATTTCTAACCTTTTTTACGTTGATTCAGGATTTCATCTCAGGAAGTCTCTAGTGATGTCACAGTTCATGTAGGAGAAGCTTCGTTTTCACTGCACAAGGTAAATTCTACCGATCAATCTCTATGATGTAAAGCAGATGACATGACATGATCACACATTCTTGGCCGATTCATATTTCTCTCTCTGAATCTTGCAGTTTCCACTCTTGTCAAAATGTGGGCTTATCAAAAAACTTGTGTCCGAATCAAACAAAGATTCAGAAGCAACTGTCATCAAAATCTCAGACATCCCTGGAGGCTCCGAATCATTCGAGCTAGCGGCTAAGTTCTGCTACGGCATCAACTTCGACATGAGCACAGACAACATCGCCATGCTTCGATGTGCAGCAGAGTATCTAGAGATGACAGAGGAACACTCTATAGAAAACCTCGTCGTGAGAACCGAGACTTACCTGAACGAAGTAGCTCTCAAGAGCTTATCGAGCTCGATCACAGTCTTGCACAAAACAGAGGAACTCTCGCCCGTTGCTGAAAGAGTGAAACTTGTGAGCCGTTGCATCGACGCAATCGCTTACATGACTTGCCAAGAGAGCCACTTTTGCAGCCCTTCTCCTTCTTCGAGTAATAACAATGAGGTTGTGGCTCATCAGCAACAGAGCAAGCAACCTGTGGTTGACTGGTGGGCTGAAGACTTAACCGTTCTTAGGATCGATTCGTTTCAACGTGTACTCATCGCTATGATGGCCAGAGGGTTTAAGCAGTATGGTCTTGGTCCTGTGCTTATGCTCTATGCTCAGAAATCTCTTCGAGGCTTGGTCAGTTTCCTTCAAACACACGCATACTATTTTGAAAATTTCTGTTTTTTCATGTTCTTGTTAATGAAAATGCAGGAGATTTTCGGGAAGGGAATGAAGAAGATTGAGCCGAAGCAAGAACACGAGAAAAGAGTGATTCTTGAAACGATCGTAAGCCTTCTTCCTCGGGAGAAGAACGCAATGTCGGTTAGCTTTCTGTCGATGCTTCTAAGAGCAGCGATATACCTAGAGACAACGGTTGCGTGTAGGCTTGACTTGGAGAAGAGGATGGGATTGCAACTGGCTCAGGCCGTTCTTGACGATCTCTTGATTCCTTCTTATTCGTTCACTGGAGAGCACTCCATGTTTGATACCGACACTGTTCAGCGCATTCTCATGAACTATCTTGAGTTTGAAGTGGAAGGAGTCAGGTTAAGTAATAGTGGTGTTGATCTTGCTGGTGATATGGAACGTGTTGGTAAACTGATGGAGAATTATTTGGCTGAGATTGCTTCGGATAGAAATGTGAGCTTGCTGAAGTTCAACGGTTTAGCTGAGCTTATTCCTGAACAGTCTAGAGTTACTGAAGATGGCATGTATCGAGCCGTCGATATCTACTTGAAGGTAAAACATTTTTATTCATTTTCACTATATTGATCAAATACTGATAACTACAAAAATTATTAAATATTTGACATTTGCAGAAAGTGGTGACAACCCATTTCCTGAAATTATATAATGACTTATCATTTTGCAACATTTGATGGCAACCCATTTCCTGAAACTGACAAATCTTGAATCTTTAATTAAATGATTATAACCCATTACTCGGAAATTCATAAGATAGAGTCTTTACAAAAACTGATGAAAACCCATTTCTTGAAACTGATGTATCATGAATCTTTAAAGAAATGTTATTTATAAAATCTTGTTTTTGAGGAAATGATAAAGTTCCTGTTATATGAAGTTTTGTAAGATAGCACAAAGATGTATGTTTTTTCTTGCAGGCGCATCCGAATATGAGTGACGTGGAGAGGAAGAAAGTATGCAGCTTGATGGATTGTCAGAAACTATCACGAGAAGCATGCGCTCACGCAGCTCAGAACGATCGTCTTCCCGTTCAGACCATTGTTCAAGTCCTTTACTACGAGCAACAACGTCTACGCGGTGAAGTCACTAACGATTCAGACTCACCAGCCCCACCGCCACCACAACCAGCAGCAGCTGTTCTTTCTCCCAAACTAAGCTCCTACAACGACGAACTTTCCAAGCTAAAACGCGAAAACCAGGACTTGAAGCTCGAGCTTCTCAAAATGAAAATGAAGCTTAAAGAGTTTGAGAAAGATAGTGAGAAGAAAACATCAACAACACCCATGAGCAGCAATCCCAGTTCTCCAATCTCATCTGCTTCCATGGATAAGCCTCCATTGCCGAAAAAGTCATTCATAAACTCTGTTTCAAGAAAACTCGGAAAGCTAAACCCTTTTGGCATCCCTCCATACAACGCTAGAGGCAAAACCAAACCACCCAAAGATCGGAGACACTCTATTTCTTGAAAACTATACACATAAAGTCATACAAGTATATGTTATATTTTTGTTGGGACTTCTGAGTTCTGATTCCTGGATTCCTTTTTTTATCTACTTATCAACATTTTCCTTTTGGTGTGTCTATGATGTTTCTTCGTACATAAAGCTGGTGATTGAAAAACACCACAGTTTTGATAAAATTTCCATAATATCACAAAGTTTATATTTAAGAAAGATACTTAAACTTCTTGGATATGATTAGTATAACATCTTTCTAGATTATTTGGAACCATTTGTAAACCTACAAGAAAATTGTAATCTTCTTACTGAAAAAAAAAAATGATTTTAAGTGGTAATTTGTAAAGAACGACTGTATATAGATAAACTTAGCACTTATGAGGATAGATCATAGATTCAGGGAACTTGGGATTCTAAAGCTGATAATGATCATACAAGATCGTGGGGTCATGTATCAAAAATTGTTAATAACTTATTTTTCTTGGAAAGTAGAAAAAAATAGAGAAAATTTGTAGAATAAAATAAAAATCATAATTAAAACAGATGAAGTAGGTAATGCTTGAAGCCTGAAGGGAACATGCCAGCAGATAGTGCATGTTCTTGTCCCATAACTAATTCATCATTGGCCCCTTTTATATCTTCTCCTCTATTATTATTGTTAATAATATTTCAATTTATTCTTGTTCGTTAAAGTAATAATATCTCGATTTGACATAAGAAAGGATTACATTTTATAGAAAGTAAAGGTCTCACCTTAGAAAAATAGAAAGTATGTACAGGATATATGATTGCTTTTTCTTTATTTGTTTGACACTGCAAATACGTTGAACTCGAAATAATGAATATTCATCTTCGAAAACAAAGTAAAACATTAATATTGATTTTATTTACAAGAAACCTAAATATAACCACTAAAGAAGAGAATTACTGATAAGCATTTTTGAAAAAAAAAAAGATAAGAGAGAGGGATGATAAAACACTCTTACCAGAAACATAAAAAAGTACTAAAACTGAAAAAAGAAAGAAATGCAAATCTATTTCAGATATAGTTAATGAATATTGTTCAAATAACATTCAAGGTCAATGCTTGAAGCCATGGCTGCTTCTGCTTCTGATGTTTCATCAATCTCTCTTGCCTAACTTGTTCTTCAAGATTGTTGTTATTGTTATTGCTTGATCCTGTCGAAGACGACGAGAAACTCCGGCGGCTAGAATTTAAGTTTCCGTCCATCATCTCCGGCAAAGAATTCTTCTTCTTCTTCTTGTTCCTCCTCGTCAAATCACCATCACCACTGTAACACGACGGCCCCAGCGTTAACTCAATCTCACTCTCGTCCATAATCTCTATAATGTTACCACCGGACTCCCCTCCGCCGGGAAAATTCCCTGGCCGGCTCAATTCCACTTCATTGTCAACTCTTCTGATGAAACTTCCAAATCCTGAATTTACATTATTGCTCTTGTTGATCTTCATGTTCTTCATCAATATCTTCTGGACTTGATATAACCTATGAAGTTCATATACCTGAAAACGCATATAAAACCATATATTAATTTTCACTAATTATATATGACGTACGATGAAATAGATCATAAATTTATTAATTAGTAATTACCTGTTGCTTGAAAGTTTCTTCGTGTTTAAGCATAGCCATTTTCATGTACTGCTTATCGTACGGGTTAAGAAGCTTCTCCATGTTCCAAGATCTTTATTTCATCAAGATCTCAACAAGATTTGATATGACGAACTTGGAACTTGGCTCTGTAATAAACCTGTGACAAAGAAAAAGGAAAAGGATTGAATTTTGTCTGCTAGTACTCGATTTAGATTCTGCAATTTTTAGCCACTAATGTTATAAATCTGAGCACACATGCACAAAAATATCTTCATATATCTATACATACAAGATCTCAAAACATATTTATCGTACTTTCAAAACAAATTTGGTGGTTCATATTCTTTCCCTTACACGCGTGTCAATCTTGTCTTTTCATTAATAAGATTCCTCTACATTCTTATAGATTTTTCTGGTTTTCACAGTAAGAATTGATATTATGTTTGGTGGGAATAATAATGGAGATCGTTCAATCCAAATGAACCAAACCGTACCGAATTCTGTATCTTGGTTTAATTTTTTTGATTTTTGAAAAGCTAAAATATAATCTGAACCAAACTAAAAACGTAAAAAGCCAGACTTAGTTATTTAAAAGAAAACTATAAATTATATAATTTGATTAGATGTCAAATCCAAACCGAAACCGAAAACATTATATTATGAATAAGATCAATACTAGATCCGGTTTTGTTTTTGGTTACTGTTTTATTTAAGACCAACAACCTGGAAATTCGAAACCGAAAACCACATAAATATCAACGAACGAATAGGTTTACAAAAACAATCTCATTAACGAACCATTACAATTGACTTATATATAGGGTGCAAGATGATGAAGAAATGACACGCAGATAAAATCAATCAAGTAGAAATAACTAGGAGGATCATCATTACTAACCTGAAACAATTAGGTTTAGAAGCTGAATATATGATGAAAGAAGATGATGAAGAAACTTAAAAAGCGACTTTTTTTGTTTATGTATATATGAGCTTGAGAAGCATATTATTATGAGCTTAGAGAAGAGATATGGATTGGTGCGTCACATTCTTCGTAGTTATATATACTGCAGATAAACTAATAAACAAAAGCTTGCTAATTTAATGATTATAAAAAAGGGTTTAAGTAATCATTTGTTAAAAAGAATATTAATCAATTTCTATCTCACATATCGCAAAACCCGAAGTGATTGTTGGAAACTCATGCCAAAACAAACAACAGTGTGCATTAGCCAATAGCCTTCAAAGGTTCTTCTAAGAAAATATGCCATTTGCCACCACCCCAGACAGATCCAGCAAAGCTTTACTTACATTCCATATAATACATGTAATGCATATCTTTGTGTATATTGTATGTAACTATATATGCCTACATAATCGTATGCAAATAATATGCAATGGATACATATGCTTGACAGATAAGACAATACTAAATTCAATTTCGGATCCATCATCCATAGGACCATTCGTGGCTTGGTTTTTTTTGTTCAGGGATTGGGGTTTATGATTCATGAATTTTTAAGATGGTTGTCTGATTTTTTTTGTTTTTGGTTTTGTCAATAGTCTGAAATTTTTTGTTCATTATAAATACCTAAGATTGTTTTGAATTTTTGCAGAGTTTTTTTGTGGGTTAAATATTCACATCCTCCTAATATCCTATCAATTCTCAACTCGTAGAGAGAGAGAGAGAGAAATGTATCATTATATATACATTGTCAAATACAATGTGAATTTAGTGGTTGTTGAAGACTTTATATCTAATAAACCTTATAGTAATATATAAAATTATGATTCGATAATAATATGCTTACGAAATAACGGGGAACATCTTATATCTTGCTGAGCTTGAATCACATGCAACCCAGACTAACAAATCAACAAACCCAGTTGTCTTAATCTATTCATAATTATGTATTATACAAAGAAACATGATTATAAACTTAGTAAAAAAATGTAGATATGCTAAAATAATTAGAACAGACTTTTGGGGGAATAATTTGGTATTTAGGGAGAGAGCGAATCAGAATCTGAGAATAGGTGGCATGTCGTGGGTCCCTGTGGGAGGCGAGATCTTAGCCGTTGGATTTTGTTGAGGATGTCCTTTCAAACAGTTCAAAGGACTTCAAACTGACCCAACAGGATCTGATCTCCAACCGTATCTACAAAACACACATAAAAGTGACCAAATAATTCTTCTACAAGTTATTATCACAGTTATTTCTAATTATTATTTTATAAAAAGGCCTTCTGATTAAATGTTCCTGGACCGACTCCTTTGTTTTTCTAAAATAAAAATTTATTTAGCCCGTTGAGATTTGCATGTTATGTCAAATTTAAATTAATACGAGATATGGCTTTAGAGTTGGCCGTTGTGTTTAATTTTATCTTCTATGTAAAGTCAATTTCATATGTAATGTGTTACGGGAACAATGTCAAATGCTTTACAACTCACTAATCATAATTAAATGTTACGATAAGAGATTATTTAAGAAAGGGAAATTAAAAGCCAAATATGTGGGAATTAGCTAATCAAGCTAGCATAGTAAGTTAGAATTTAGAGGAAAAGCCTAGCCACTAACTCTCAATCTCTGTATTTTCATTTTGTCAACCTAATCACTAATGTAACCATCTGTTATGTTGTGTTAACATACAACGTGTGACAACTAGCTACTAGTTTAATTTCTGTAACCAGAATAAAGAAACAAACGTGCTTAGAAATGTGGTTTAAATCATGCGATTGGAGAGAGAGAGAGAGAGATGCACGCGTTGCCGGAGAGAAGAGGGGCAATGGCATGGAGCCGTGGGTCCGATCGACGCCCGCGTTTGTGGAGTGCTTATTCCTTCCTCGGAAATTGTTGTTACAGTTTAAAACCAATTATTTTTATATGTTTTTGGAGTGGCCACCTATATAATACTAGTATATATCAACGCTAGTTCAGAGTTTTGAAAAAAATGTGGATCAGAGTACCCAACAAATTTAGATATAAAAATGAAAGAACAATCGGGCTCTGTGAAGACCGTCTTCGTAGGTTCTCGGAGCAAACGAGACACTGACTTCTGCAGCCATGTTTTGTCCCTCCTGCATTATGATCACACGCTTTAAACTCCTTTTCGTTTTCAACCAAGTAGTATCTTTTAATTTGTCATTTCATTTCTTTACAGTTTAAACTAAATACCGAATTAACGATCTACCATAGATACCGTTCTCGAATATTGGGATTTGGAAAAGAAATTCCAAAGTACAGTGAAAAAAACTAAAGTTGTTCTTTGCATTTTATAATTTGTTAGCTGTACATATCGAGCATTACTTGTTTGTTGCTTTATTAAGGAAATGAAATTTCATTTTCGAGACATGTTGAGAAAATCAAGGATCACGGCCTTCTGGATTTCTGAACCTCGGGTTTCCCATTTCATAATCACGAGCTTGATTATTACTCAAGTGAAAATAAATACTGAGGTTTAAACAAGTGATATTTCAGCTACGTGTCACTAATGGCAATTATGATGACCAATGGGTGACATCTCGATTTTATAAAACCGTCTCTTGTCTTTTACTGAAATAAGTAAAAAAAACACCGCGGGTTTTGTAAAAACAGCTAATGTGAATTTGTTCTCCAAGTTTGGTCATCGAGTGATATATTACATCAAAATAGATATCAATATCAATCTTCTTTATACATTTTTTTTGTTAAAAGGGTCAATCTTCTTTATACATGGATTAAAGAATTTTGGTCACCGAGTCCTATAAATTTTTTAAAAATCTAGTTGCAATTTTTGCTCTGCACGAAGGTCACGTTTGAGTATCTTCTTATCCTTTCTTAAATTTCCAAAGTGTCAAATGTCATGTTTCTTGTTGCTAAAGGAGCCTTTTAGATTCCCTGAGATGGACCCACCAAAAAAAGCATTTATTTTTTCGTCGAATATCTAGCTAAAAAGTGAAAACCGTCTGTTGTAAATGGGCCTAAATACATGGAACAATGAAATAGCCCATCTAGGTCAAATTCCAAAGTGGGCCCAAAACAGAAAGAAGCTGGAAGAAGTAAGTTAGACGTGTATATACATTCTACAAAGTCAACGAATAAAATGTCATTTCTTTTACTAATTCAAATCCCAAATTACTGGAGAAGCAACTCGTCGGCCATCACCAAGATCGTGGCTCCAAGTTATTTATATTCTTCGACACAATTTGAATTTTTCTTCAAACACGTACATATTATAAAAGTTAGAAAATATGATTAAGTCCATTTCACGTTTCCTATAAATACAAATTCCATAGTTTCCTTTCTTCTCATCAACTTGTAAACCTTCTATCATCTTAAACACATCACAACTTCAAATCCCCGACGAAAAATGGCGCGTTTCGGATTAGTTCTCGTCGTGGCTATTAGCCTCACCATCGCTTTGTTCCCGGACACAACCACTGCTCAGCTCAAACCCAAATTTTACGGAAACTCATGCCCGAATGTCGAAAGCATCGTGAGAACAGTCGTTAACCAAAAAGTCAAAGAGACGTTCGTCACCATCCCAGCCACACTCCGTCTCTTCTTCCACGATTGCTTCGTCAACGTAACGCTCATAACTTTGCTATTGTTTTTTCTTTTAGTATATTTAAGACCTATATATGATGATTTGTTAAACGTAGCTTGGTTTGTATATATTATTAGGGATGTGATGCGTCGGTCCTGATTCAGTCAACACCTAACAACAAAGCCGAGAAGGATCATCCAGACAATGTGTCTTTGGCCGGAGATGGATTTGATGTTGTGATTAAAGCCAAGAAAGCTCTAGACGCAATCCCAAGTTGCAAAAACAAAATTTCTTGTGCTGATATCCTTACCTTGGCCACCCGAGATGTTGTTGTCGCGGTGAGTCATGTATTAAATTGTGATTCAATCTTTTAAACTATAGGTTAAAAGATTTAAATGAAAAGCTTTTATGTTTTAGGCTGGAGGACCGTCGTACACAGTGGAACTCGGTAGGTTCGACGGTTTGGTGTCGACCGCAAAAAGCGTCGACGGAAACTTGCCAGGTCCAAATGACAAAGTTGACAAACTCAACGCCCTCTTTGCCAAAAACAAACTTACTCAAGAGGATATGATCGCTCTTTCAGGTATTAATTAATTAACTATAAGTTTTATAATATTTTTATTTCAAATCAACTCATGTCTTACTTGACTAACAAATAAAAAATGTTACTATTTATATCACCATAATGCATTTATAATCTAAACTGTTAAAAATTCTTGAACGATGCAGCGGCTCACACCGTCGGATTCGCTCATTGTAGCAAAGTATTCAACAGAATCTACAACTTCAACCGCACACACTCCGTTGACCCAACTCTAAACAAAGCCTACGCTAAGGAGCTTCAAGCGGCCTGTCCCAAGAAAGTTGACCCAAGAATCGCCATTAACATTGACCCAGTCTCTCCAAGAAAGTTCGACAACATTTACTTCAAGAATCTTCAGCAAGGCAAAGGACTCTTCACCTCCGATCAAGTTCTCTTTACCGATGGTCGCTCTAGGCCAACCGTTGACGCTTGGGCCAAGAACTCTGCTGCTTTCAACAAGGCGTTTGTGACCGCTATGACCAAACTCGGCCGCGTTGGCGTTAAGACTAGACGCAACGGAAACATCCGTCGTGACTGTGGTGCCTTCAACTAAGAAGGAAAACGGGAAAAATAAAAATTTGATTTTTAATTTCCTTTTTTGTTTGCTTTTTCGACTTTCGAGATTTGTTTCTTGACGAATTATTTATCTTCTGTTTGTTTCTGCTTCTTGTATCTTTTGACAAACATTAACAAATTTTAAATCGTTTGTTTTATTTATTTCGGATGTGTAACATTACTCTACTTCTACTAAACTCTAAAACAAAACAAAATCAGCACAAACACAAATAATTAAGCACCAAGACATTTGTATATATATATATATACACACATCAAACCTAAACGTGTTGTTCAACACAAAACTCTGTAATTGAAGAATCAGACCTATCTAGTTATAGAGTTAGCTTGTCTGAAAATCTGCAGGCAAATAATCCGGTGTACCTAACCGGAGCTTTGCATGCCAATCTTCGCCGAGCATCGACCGGTTTAACTCCATAGCTACTTGAAAATCTACCATAGATGCTGAAGAACACACTTCTCCTCGGGCACTAGACCTTGAAGCCGCTAATTCTAAACACGATCTGATTAATCTTTTCAAGAACACGTCGAGTCCCACATTCAACGAGTTAGCAAACCCAGCAGAAACTTCTAGTCCTTCCTCCACTATTCCCAAATCGTCTTCGAGTTTCTTCTTTAAAGAAATGGAGTCAGGAAGCTCACGAGAGGAGTGACATGTCCCTAAACGATGTCGTCTCTTTATCACATCTCTAAGATTAACACCAAAGGGAGCTTCAATGGGTTGACTTCTCCAACACCGAATAAACTGGTCAACTTCTTCACCATCTTCCATTGACTTACCATTGGAAGAAACAACAACCTCAGTGATTTGACTCTTCCCTTTGCTTCCATTACAATCCTTAAAAAACCTCCGGTGAGTCCTTCCTTTACGTGGCGATTTCGGAAGGTCTTTGCATAATGATTGGAAACTAAGACTTGTCTGAAAAACACCATTCTGTTGGTTCTTCTTTGTCTTGTCTGCTTCTTCCAAACCAGACTTTGACTTTGAGAGAGATACATTCTTGATAATCCCTCTAAGCAAAGCGTTGTGTAGACTGATGTTCTCCTTCCTCACCGTCGCAATGATAAGCTTGTCGAAATCAGATTTGCTGATTTTCAAGCTCAGGAATTTTGACAAGAGATCAAGATATCTCTCTGTTTTGGCCCGACCAATCTTCTTCTCAATCTCAGATTTTAACTCCAAAGTATCTGTCCTAACCATATGATGCTGACCCGTTGGCATTTGGGTCCCTCTCGAATTTCCCTTTAAAAAAACATAAAAAAGAACAGAGACGTTCACACAAGAACCCAATTGTAAAATATACGAATCTGGATCCGTATAAGTCAAATCACTACAGAAAAAGGTCAACTCCAGTTGCGAAACACACTAAAAAGCGGAATTGAGATCCAAATTACGAAACCCAGATTGGGAATCGTTGAACTAAGTAACTTTCACAAGTTCATTGAAATGATCCGATACTAAAAAAGTTCATGAAATCCCCAATGAACAAATGAACAGTAACCTACGAAAATAAAAATCCAGACATTTTTTTTTACCAGTTTCAATTCCCGAGGAAAACAGCAACGCGAAATACTGAAATTTCGAAATTCAACTCCATAATTTCTCATTAGTGGAATACTGAAACGCGAAATTCATTCTACAGATTACCAGATTCATTAAAATCCACGGTTTCGTGATTTGAACAGCCAAATTTTAACTAACCTTGAGAAGAAGACCAGAGAAGACGTACAGAGAATCGAAATCGAACTTGAATTGAACAGTAATGAGTCGATTTTAATTTTTTAGTCGCGACTTGAAGTGGAAACAAAAAAAAAGTAAGAGGGATTTTAGGGAAAATTTTTAGACGGATAGATCGCATATTCTTCTAGTTTTTTTGTTTTTAAGAAGCTTCTTGCTTTGAGACAGTCAACGTTTAGTCAACGTAGCACGTGCAAAAAATAATACACAGCTGGAAATTTAGCTAACTGACCAATCATGTTACTTGATTTGCAAAAATAAAATGTTTGAAAGTCAGCACATTCAGACATAACGGGTCGGGTCAGGTTAATATCCCTCTTTAGTTTTTTCTTATCACATCAACACTACTAATTAAGTAGTACTAACACTAATACTTGATTAGAGAAAGTAGAAGATAAACATCATTATCCATTTAAGCTTCTACTCCATGAAACCCATTATTTTGGTACCCAAGCTGAGGCAAAAACAACACTATGTCCCTTCCACGTCAGCACAAAACTGTCCACGTCATGATAATCATCAACATCTCTCTTCATTCCCCAACCGGTGGCGTGTTCCTCCAGCATCGTTTTAACCTCCATCGCCGCCGCCTCCCCGAACCCGACTCCGGCGAACTTAGCTTCTCTCATTCGCTCCAACCACCGACTCCTCGACTCCAATCTCTCAACTCTCTCCGCACCTTCCTTGGCCACTACGTTATCTATCTTCCAACCTATATCCGCCTCGTACCATCGCCTTTGCTCGCTGCCACGTGTCGAAAACGTGTCGGCTGTGTCGTAAGGGATCCACATATAGTTGAAGAGAGATCTCAACCTGAACATTTACGTATCACTTTCAAATTTCAATATCGTTAACTGTTGTAAGTACTTTTCGTCAAAATTTCACTAACTTTTTGTTATCCACACCCGATCATATATTAAACAAAAAAAAAATAGCTAGCAAACCTGGAGACGAAGTTAGTCATTGTGAAATCTGCGTCTTCTTCGATTAAGGTTACAATCGTTGGGTTTAAATCTCTGAGCTCTTTCAGGAAAACAGACCGAGGAGGACATGAACAAGTTAGAGTTTCGTCGGGGATGTAATGGAGCATCATGTGGCAGTTAACAACAAGAGCTTCGTTGAAGACGAAAGGGCATAATCGTAGCTGTTCGATAAGAGAAGAGAGGCCGTCGGAGTAAGATGAAGAAACGATTCTAAACTCCATTGCTATGTTCCTTGTGGATGCGAAGTTTACCAGCTTCGACCCGAGTTCTTCGTAGGAGATTCCGAGCAATGGAGGCGGAGGAGAATCGTCGACGACGACGGTGAGTTTAAGAAGCGGAGGAGGTTGTTCCTTGTAGAGTTTGGTTGCCATGGAGTCGATAAGCGTAGGCATTTGCATGCAATGAGTCAAACTTAAGTCAACGATGTGAACGGAGGAGTAACCTTGGACGGCGTCGAGGATTGCTGCGTTGGCGGCGATGAATCCGAAACGGTGCCATGGCGTGAGGTCGACGAACGCAGCGAGCTCTATGACCGAGAACCGGTGAAGCGTTTTCCGGGAGACGGAAGCAGCAGCGACGGAGAGAAACCCCAATGCGGGGGATTTGGTTGCGGCGCGTGATATCAACGCTCGGAGGAAGGAGAAGGCGAGTCTTTGTGTGGAGTCGCCGTCGGGGGAAGCGAGGTTATTGAGGACCCAAATGATCTGTTGAGCTAACGTGGCGTCGTCTGATTCGATGGCGTTTGCACAGTGGAGGAGAAGCTGCTCCATGCAGTTGGCATCGCCGCTTAGAGATTTGGAAGAAGAGAAACCGGGCCAAACGGGTCGGGTCGGGTTAAGAAGCATGGCTCTGTTCATAGTTGGCTGTTACTCTGCTAGAGAAGGGAACAGAGAGAACATATGAGGAAGAAAGTTGAAGGCAAAACGATGGGAATAATAATAAATGCGAATGCGAGTTCTGAGAAGAGAGCAAAAGAAAACAAAAGAGAGTGTTGAAGGCAAGAAGGAAGAAAGAGACGAGACGTATTGACTAGTACCTTATCAACATGAAACGCACCGTTTTTATCCGCGAAACGAGACAAAACGTAGGTATACAGCTTTTTTCTGGTCATGTGCTTTCGTTTTCGTTTCTCTGGGTCTTAATTTGCATAGGCGTATTGATATCTCTGAAATAGCTAAACTTAGGTATAGGCATTTATGGTGGCAATCGCTATGTTATGTACTACTGTGTATGGACAAAATATCTATCATTCGTAAAAGTTTATAGATATCAGTTCCATTTATAGATATCAATTACTTTGTACTAACTGAAATAACTAGTGGAAAGAAACACAATTTGCTTGTATATGTTATTTAGTTATTATATTGTGTATAAGTAACCAAGCCATTTCCAAGATTCTAACATGTGAAAAACTCGGAAACATTTTTTCGAAAAAAAAAAAAACTCGGAAACATTAATTATTTTGTCGTATAACTAGACTTTATTTTGGCCGAAAGTTATTTATCTTAATTATTTGCATACAAACAAATAATTCAAATACACTTCAAAACGTCAGTTTGTAAGAAACCACATATCTAGAGCCTTTTCATATTGTAGGAGACTAATTAGTTACTTATTACAACTGAAATTCGAGTTAATAACTCTCGAACTCACATATTTTAAAGAATAACCGCATAAAGTGGGCACATCAAATCGAAGATAATGTATACACACACGCTACTCAAAGATTTTTGGAATCTGGGGGGGAGGATTCTTTAGCCTTGAGATAACAGGGACTAGAAGACATGTTTCATTACCCGATGTTGAACTAAACACCACGACAAATACTACATTGTCGAACATAAGAGTTCATTGGTCACTGACCAAACAACAACAAAAAGAGTTTATCTGTCACTTTGATCAGCTAAATTCGATGGATTCTTTCTTTAATAAAACCTGATATTAGTATTAATTAGTCTAGTTTTTAGCTTAGTCACGTGTATAATTAGCAACTATAGTAGTCAGTCACACTTACTTTAAGTCTTTAATGATAAATGTCAAAAGACAGTTCCTTTCGTGCCTATTGACAAGTACTACTAGTTGTCTAATCTACGTGGCTGACAGACCATGTCTTTGTTAAGAATCGATTTTTGTTTGAAAATTACTCAAATAAAAACTTTAAAATAGTAAAATGCCTATGATTTTACAATTAAAATAAGAAAAAATTATAAAAAAAAAAAAAATTTGGGTTGAGTTTTACAAAATTGTGGTTTGTGAATTAAATAACGGCCCACACGAGCACAGATGGGCATAGCAATCCATTGGGCTTAAATCAAATCTCTTAATGATAAACTATGGGCCCTGTACATCTTTGGGCCTCACTGTCAGCCAGTAGAAAAATGAATTAATGTTAGCCAGTTTTGCTTTTACAAACGCATGGACAATGAAGTTAATTACCCCACCAAAATATATCTAAATACATACTTGGTTCCATGAGGCCATTTTATTTTTTTGTTGCAAATATTTGAGAGTGTTGAATTATTTAATAACATTTAGTCTGGTATAATTAAAATCTCGCTTCTATACCTACGTCGTGTATATGAGTAAATGTAGTTGACGTGAGAAGATGAGCCAAAGTTGTCAAAATCCCTTGTAGGGTCAAATATGCCGAAATTGGATATAAGTTCCGGCGATGCGGGAGACAGTCACGTGACTTTCACGTGTTCGGACACCGTTGGGTCACTGTCTTCACCGCTCCCAAATCTCGGCTGGTCCCAAGTCCTCAGATTCTATACGCCTCCTCTCGCGTAATATACCATTTTACCCCCGACAGAACATTCTCGATCCTATCGCATGACACGTAATAATACGTACTGTTTTAGTATAAAATCCAGCTAATAAATGTATAAGTTTTGTTTGTTTATTTGTATGACCGGTAATCCAAAAAAACATGAAATGGTTAACCGGTCGTAATAGTTATATAAAATTATTATTGCTATTATGTCATCATGTTTTGTTGCTTTGTTGAACGATTTATGTTTATCAATTCCATCATTTTGTTTTACATATCTAAAACTGCTTTTATGTCACCATTTGTTATATTACGACAAAAACTCACAATTAAGATTAGAAACATCGAACCCACACACTCCGAAGTCAATGGAATTATATAAACCTTAAAGAAAAACGTATATTAATTACGTTAAATCAGATCCGACATGTGTGGAAGGAATCAATAAACAAGCGAGTATATTAATATTAATTTCGTCTTGGTTAAAAATATCTCTAGTGGATAACGTAATAATCTTAGTATCTAACCAAACACAAAGTGCGTGGATTATGAGATGGGAAGAGTTTAGGGTACGACCAATAAAATCGTTGAAGGGGCATTTGTCTCTTGGACTCTCCCACGACGAAGGATCGTTTTCTTATTTTATAAAACAATGGTTTTTTTGCCTGTTCATTAGTGCCAAAACCAACACTAGTGACATTGGTCATTGGCTTTCGCCTTTAAGATTATCTTACGTCATACCTCATTAAATCTTTCAACGACTAAATTCCTAATACTTACATGAACACGCCAAAAATGTTTTATCTTGATAGCTCCTAGGTCTAAGTACAGAGTTTTCATTGACATTGTGATAATTTTTCCGATAGGGATTCAAATTTATTTCTGTCATAATTTGGCAGAGAGAAAAAATTGCTCATTGTGATAACTGATAAGTCGACTGCCTTTTGATAAAACTATGTCCACGGAGTATCATTCTTGATGGAAATAATGGATAAAGCTAAATATTATGAAGTCAGCAAGTGGGCTCGGAGACGTGAGGTGAATGAAAAAATACTTAATTGGCCCCACGAGGGTCCAATTACAGCTACGGCTTTTTTCATCCAGCACGAGTCGTTCTGATCCAAATACTGATTTGACTTCAATCGATATCTCGAGAGTTAATACAAGTCGTTGATGTTATCATCTTTGGAAATGAGTCAGGTAAAACTGGACATTGGACAAAACCTTAGTTTATCACAGACATCGTGGATTACTAAATTATTACATGTTTCTGATTTCAATATGGAATCCCCAGTTAACATGATTTTCCCCTTAGTAAAGAAACATACATTAACATCAAATGCAACCGAGTATAATGATATTAACCATTTTTACCGTTGTAAGAGATATTGTAATTGTAGGTGGAACTAATTATTAAGCTTAAATTGAACGAAGCAGATTGAAATCTGGAGGATGACGTGGGACCATCCTTCACGTTCCAAACATCGGTGGAGATAAATCCTCAGACCAGGGAATAGATTATGACAGATGGAGACAATTTATCAACGACATCGATTTCTTGTAGTATATATTGTCAATAGAATAATAATTCAAATAAGTAAAACAAGATGAACAAATGAGTATCGGATTCCGTAAAATTCCGAGCTTGGTGAAATACGATTTTTTTTTTTTCATTTATTGACTGACCTATAAATTTTGATAATATATAAATTCCGGTTATTTTAAAAAAAAAACCTTGTGTATACTGGAGGCAGTACGAAGCTATGATTGGGAGAAATAGATAACTTAAAATTATAAAAAAGTCATAGAAGTCAGGAAAAGCAAAGAAGGATGACGTGGACCACTGCCTTTTTTCTTACCATTGGATGGTTGGCAGAAGAATAATTATGGGTCCCGTATTTTAATATCCTTTTATCAGTTTACAATAATTATAAGACATTACCAGTTTTATTTGTTTTTGATATAACTATACAAACATTATCATAAAACGCCAAATATTCCAATTAGAGACGAATTATAACTTATAACTCTTTCAAAATATAACTTATAACTTTTTTGTTGTTTTCTTTGCTGTCAACAATTACGTGTAATGTATTTAGTTTTTTGTTTCCAGGATTACAGTCAATTGTGCTACTATACAAAAACCTTGCGCACAATAAACTTGGTAAAAAAGGTTTAATTCTCCATTTTACCATAATGGGGATTAAACTGTAAAACAGAAATCATATGCAGTATGACCAAATAAATAACACATACCAAGAGTAACTTTTTTTATTACAAAAGTACAAATTAGTGACCAACCAAGAGTAAAGTAATCATATGCAGTATGACCTAATAAATAACGCATATACCTAACAAACAAGAAAACTCGAGAAAAAAAGCGACGATTAATAAAAAAAGCTTTAGAGAATGACTGGAATATGGATTAGTGGCGATTGTGTGTATTATATTATATCTAAAGAAAGAACGACTTATGAAGTTATGATATTATACTTGTACACATTATTATCTCGTTTGTGATCTTATATAGTGAAAGAACTATTGATCAAATATCATCCCCCGATTAGATTGGAGAGTCGATCCCGAATCACCGGACTAATATATATAAAATTATAAATATAAAACAGCCTTCGCCAAACGAAGTAGATATATGGAGAAAAGGAGAGTGTGCTTATGGGTGGAAAATGGCTCTTTGCGTCGTCTAAAAGCCGCCTCTAGAAACAAAATGGCTCTGTGGTCATGTGTGCCTCCTCTCCAACCATTTAGTCCAACCACATGCTTAGATATTGTACATATCCACTTTATACAACGCATTTTTTAATTTATGATATGTACGGCGCAAATTTATTTATATTTCTTTTTATTCTTTCCAAACTTTTTCCGTCGTTTAAGTTTGTTTAATGTTGTACGAGCCAACTATTACGGACTACTATACTCTCTAATACTGATTGGAGTTTTGTTTCGGATATATACTTGCAAATATATACATTCATATTCTGTATGCTAAAAAGCCTACTACGTTGGATATCCACAGAAACAAACACTGATCAATTTGCATATACATGTAGCATTATTGCAGCTAGTGATTTCTAATGTTATAAGTGATGAATCTGTTGGCGTTAGTAACTAATTCGAGTTGATTCTATATAAACCCAAATAAATAATTAGGACACACGGTAATTATCATGAAGAAATGAAGTACGATAGATTAACACGGTCGAAAATTTAAAATGATCACTTAATAAAGTTTTACATTTGTTGGTTAATGACTCTAAACCAAGAAAACAAAATCACGTAGTTAACTCGCCGGTCCAATAATATATCCCAAAGGGGTTTATCCACGAAAATGGGAAGAAAATGTTTAAAATTACATTTTTAACCCTAACTAACTCAGAGAAACACAACTCATTTCCTTCAGACAAAAAGGTTGAGCAGTTTGCTTGTTTCTACTCCGTTTCCGCACAGCTCACCGGTTGCAGTGTTATCCCAAAACGACGTCGTAGTAGTAGTCGTCGTCGTGGATTCCTCTGAGTTCATCGACGGTGTTCCCGATCTCCGCCGCGTGGAAGAAGGCGTTGTTTTGATGGGGAAATTAGGGATTAGAGATAGATCAAGCTTCGAAGACGGTTCCTGTTCCGATGCTGATCGCTTACGTTTCGTCGGAGAAGATTCCGTCGTGGATCTGGATCTAGAGCTCGAAAACCGGGAATGATGGTAGATGTTACGGTCGCTGGAGTTATTCTGCTGGAGATTCAACATTTCCGTGCAGATCTCAGATGCTTCTTCAGACGTAGCCGATGGAAACCCGGCGAATCCACCGCCGTGAGTGAGAAGCTCCGGGATCGGTCTCAGAGATCCGCCGCGAAGCACCGTCTCAACCGCCGCTTGACAGAGATTCCAGTTTCCCATCCACAGCATTCCGATTGCTCCGTTCACCGGATTCACTGTTCTTCCGCAAGCTTCGTAGAGCAGAGACTGAAACAGAGCTGCGGAAAATAAATTCAAAGATCATCAGTAAACCGCGGCGAAATTTAAAATCAAATTAAAACCGGTTGAGATCTGGTTTGGTTTAGATTAATTACCGGGACGTTGAGATTCCGGTACGGCGGAGATAAAGGACATGAGACCGGCGCGGCCGAAGAATTTAGCGACGAAGACAGTGGCGTGGCCTTGAGCATCGGCGGTTTCTATCCACTGAATACATGGCCGGAGGATGCAATTCTCGCTGCAACCTTTCCGGAGCACACGGCAGCCATTGCAACTCATTTTTCTCTGATTGTTAATTAAATAATTTTTCTGGCGAGTTTTGTTATTTTTAAGCTTTTAATTTCTCTTCCTCTGATGATTTCTTGCTGATGTCTTGGAGGATCACAATAAGTTGAGGAATAAGAAGAAGAAGATTTGCTTTGGGAGCAAGAAAGTGATCTTTGCACAGAAAGAAAGAGAGATTAAATGTTTCTGAAGATAGGGAAGACCACTTATATATATACACACATAGATACATATATATAAAAATCCAAATTGATTTTTTATTTTATTTTTTTATTTGAGCAATAAAATAATTAGGAGACATATGATCTCAGGAAGGCAAGCCTATTGGTGCGTGAGGCTCGCCATCGTAGAAGATTCTTACACCAAAATTTTATTAAAAAAACAAATAATTACTGCGATTGTTTAATTCCACAATTTGTATAAATTGGAATGGATTACTCATTTTTAATAAAAATATGTTTATTGTTTTGTGACGTTTGTGAAGTGACCTTAGAGAGAGAGTGGTAGAGATTCCAAGATGATGGGTGTGAGCGGCTCCGTGTCTCCGCGAAAAGTTGTGTCTTCTCTCAGCCGTTCATTTTTGAAAATTATTTTTACTTTCTGATACAATTTTTAGTCTCTTCTTCCTTTTTTCTTGTACATTATCCGCAGGACCGCAGCTTATGATTGATGACAACTGTGAAGTGAAATTGGAGCTTCTTAGCCCAATAATAATATATATAAGAAAAAAAAATCGTTTTAAAAATGTTCAAGAAAAATGTCCAAACACTATTTCTAATCATGTAAATATAAACGGATACCGAATCCCTTAATCATTCAATTTAAGGGTAGTAATCGATGGGATTTGCAAAATAGCGTCAGTAATTACTTCCATGCTGCTTAATGTGTGTGGTGAACTAAAATCTAATGATGTTTATGCTTTTTTAGGTAGCTTATATATCTTTAATCTTTTACATGGAATGCTAATCATTTTTTGTGTGATATTTAAAAGATCACATGCAATGCAAATATGCAATACAGGAGAGATGGAGAGTAAATTATGCGTTTTGTACCATAATCTCCAATAATATCACCTAGCTTGGATTTAATTAGTTTAATAAGATCATTACAAGGTCTTTTGGGTCAAATAACATTACAAGATCTAAAAAGGACAAACTATGGTATACAAAAATATAATTAATTTAGGGGACTGACCTCTAAGTCGACCCCTGAAAGAAAGAAAGAAGCTATTGACCCTATAACATCCTTAAGAGACCTACCTATCATAATGTTTTAATTAAATATTAATTTTGCAATCTCACTCTCCACACTGCTAAAGCGAGGCTTTGCATGCAATGATGTCACGGGTGACGTAGTGAACGTTTTCTTTTTCCCACATTACTAATGATAAAAATTAACATAAAACGGCGACATGTTGCTTCATAAGGTCCATTACCTACTGAACTGCTACATTATATGTTCTTATTGGGCCGGCCCATGAAACTGTGCTTTTCATCACATGGCTCATATCTGACTCTTCAAACTTTGTAGGCGGCGTTTTTCAAATTGAAACCATTTTTAGTCATGACGATATGGGACTTTTAAGAATTGGTACGAAGATAACACCATTCTTACATAAATGGGCTTGAAATGATTTTGTGTATCAGTTGAAAAATACAACTCTGCGGTTTTGGTAATATTTAGAAAAAAATATTTGAAAGAAAAACAGTTGAGAAAAAAGAATCAAACTTTAATTTAGGAAAAACATATAATATCTAAACCGTTAGAAACAAACTTTAAAATAACTCCTCCCTGAAACACTATACCTAACAAATATATCATATATCCGTGCTAGATTTGGAACCAATCTTAATACAATATCTTATGCGGTTTTGAACAAGAATTTGAAATGGACTACATATGAGTTTACATCTTGACTTACCCACATGCCCGTTTTAATAAGCTGGATAAAGTAATAACACAAACGCAGATACATGCATTTAAGTGAGTTTTAACCATACAAAAATAGCATATATAGTCATATTCATGTATACGTTTTTGGACCGAGTTATTTATTTTTTCTGTTATATATTAGGCTGCTTGACCCCTAAATTAAGGAAGAAACTTAACAAAAATAATGCTAATATTCGGGGGGAAGTAAGTGAGGTCACAAAGTCCAATACATCAGCAGACATTTGATGTCTTTTAGCAACGACAGTACCTACGTAGCGTGATGTACAATTTTGGCATTTCAACCTTTTTATATTTTTTCAAAAAGGAAAGACCCTAGAGGTTTACAACTTCTCATGCCCATTTGATAATGATTATCTCTAATGCGTCATTTCTTAATCAACTTTCAACTCTTTTATGTGGACAACAAACAAGATTTAAATTAAAAGTCATGAATATTCCAAAGTAATGTTCCAGGCAGTTGCACGACACACATAATATATTGCTTTAAGTAATATTCAGTTTAATTAACCTATATAACAAACTGATATATAAGCCTCAAGATCTCAATCACACATATAGCATACCACATATAAAAATGTAAATATATCTATTATTTGTTTCTATATTCGATATTATAACTATCAATAAACAATTTGTCAGCTAGAAGAATGTCATCAGCAAAAGAAATGTGAATCAATAATTAAGTTATTGTATCAACTAAAGTTTAAATATCTGATTGGAATAATTTTTCATTTTTAACTGTGAAGAAAAATGTGTGTATCCCGTGATTAAAATGAATTTAAAAAATAAGTATAATTTCTCACTGAAACAAAACATTTTAGTAACTGCGAAATAGATAGAGAAGAAACTGGAAGATACGAATCCAATCCAAATAATATGAAACAATAAATAAAGAAAGTAAAAAAAAAAAGTGAGAGAATATCGTGGAAAAAGCAAGCCGTCAGATCACGTTCCTTATATTATGATTAGCGCAGAAAGATAATATTCCACCGTAAGTTAAAGATTGCGAAGCACCTTTCCTTTGCATTTCTCTTAAATAAGCATTTTAAAACAATATTTAAAAAGACAAAAAGGTAATCACTTTTATTCTAAGTGGGCCCACGTATAGAAAAATCGACGGCCTAAGTTTCAGGAGAAACTTGCAGGACCACCAGTCTCGTTATGCCACGTGCAGATTCTCCCTTCCCTTTGTTAATTGGAACCAAGCCGAACGGAAACCTGGTTCGGTTTTACATGTCCTAACTGAAATTTGTATTGTTGAACATTTACGTGGTTCCTAAAGTTCAATTTTTTTCTTAATGCCACGGTTATGTGAGATTTATTACTGTATGTAACCAGGAAAACAGCAAAAATGATAAAAAAAAGCACATACAAACCAGTTTAAAAATTGGACTTTTGTTTTGTTTGGTACAACAAGTGAACAACACGATCCTAATTTTTGATTGTTTTGTTTGGTACACTACGATTCACAAATTTGAAAATTTTCTGGTCATGAAACACATGAGGTGCAAAAGATCACGAATCATTAGCGTGTGAGTTGTGACATATCTACAAGTAGAGTATGCATTGTAAATAAAGATAAAAAAGACTTTGAAAGGGAACCGAATATGGAGATGATGATCATATGGAATCATTATGACATCAATTACAAAAATATGTAACATGTCCTGTTCTAATCGAGTTCTATATTTATAATCTCAGCAAATGATAGAAGTCTCTATCCATCATTTATATTTTTAAAAACTAGGGATCGTAGCTAATTCTAAACCCACCACGTATCTCCGCCGCCATTTCAGCTTTTTTGTTGTGCTTCTATCGCCTTTTTATTTTTAATTTCCTAAAATATATTCCTCAAAGATTTCGATCGAAATAACAATCATCAACATGATTGGTTGAAGAGCAAGAATAAAATGGATAGAAAAAGAACTAATAAGCGCTATGTAAACAGTTCACGAATACGAACACACACCATTTTTAGTTTCATACATGCAATGGAGCATAGATTGATCTAGCATATATGTTTGCGAGAATAAGTTGAGGCATTTTCATATTTTATGAATGTTTTACCCCAAAAAAAGGTACTATCAAATATCTGTATTTTTATTTTATTGCAGGAGATGTAAAAAGGCATAAATTGGTGTACACGTATATAGAAAATTGTTTGGTTTTATATATAGTTTCAAGTTGGGATGTAAGTATCAAGTATGTAAGTCGCAGTGCCATGTACAAACTATAATATATGATAGAAGTTAGAATCGTGTGTTATTTGTTTTACGAATCTGTCCATATCTATATACTTTTAAACGGAATTAACATATGAACCGTGATATTCCCGGAAAATATAGCTATACACGAATCCTAACCGGTTCATCAACATAAAATATAACCAAATATGCGAATTAAAAAACACACGGGAACGAAGAAGAATCGACAATGCTCCAAAGAGAGAGCACTAACCAAACCATTAAAAAATTTTAAATACAGAGAGAGAGAGATAGTGATGATTAAATAAAGGAACACTAATCATATACTACTAATTAAGTAGGAGAAGAAAGCAAAATACTAACTATAAATAGACTAATGACAATACCCACTTTGTGAAAGAACAAGAAACAATCTGAAAAATTTGCAAGAAAAACAAAAATCTTTTGGCTTCCATACGTTTTCTAATACCTAAGTTTATTAGCTGATAATTTGGTCTAATATCATGGTGAAAGGATTTCAAGTAGTGGTGGTGAGAGATTATGATCCAAGGAGCGACTTAACAAGTGTGGAAAAGCTTGAGAAAAGCTGCGAAGTCGGGTCTTTACTAGTGGATCTCATGGGTGACCCGCTTGCCCGGATCCGACAATCTCCTTCTTTTCACATGCTGGTACGTAGCAAGCTACATGTGTAAACAGTAAACTATATGATTTCTGTCAAGTGATTTTGATTTGCTTATTCTCGTTTATGTACAATGCATTTGACAGGTGGCAGAGATTGGCAACGAGATAGTGGGAATGATTAGAGGAACGATCAAGATGGTAACACGTGGTGGAAATGCATTACTTGATCCTGGTCATCAACATGACGGAGTTTCGCCGGAAATAAGAACCACCAAACTCGCCTTCGTCTCCGGCCTCCGAGTCTCTCCGTTTTTCAGGTTCGTGTTTTCAGTTTTATTATCTTTAGTATTAGTTAAATGGTAACAAAAGTAAATGATTAAGTACACAATCCTTACAATCATTTCTCTATAAAAAAAAATTTCTATGATGCTTACTCGTTAAATTATGATATTTTGATGATACATAACGCCTAACGGAAAAGGAAGTTTGGACTATTTATTAACGGTTTTAAAAAATTTAGTTAATTTATTCAAATTATTTTGTAGGAGGATGGGAATTGGACTGAAATTGGTGCAAAGACTCGAAGAGTGGTTTCGACAAAACGACGCCATTTACGCATACGTGCAAACTGAAAACGACAACGCAGCTTCAGTCAAACTCTTCACCGAGAAAAGCGGTTACTCCAAATACCGTACACCTACTTTCCTGGTCAACCCGGTCTTTAACCACCGAGTCTCAGTCTCACGCCGAGTCAAAATCATCAAACTCGCTTCCTCCGACGCTGAGTCACTCTACCGCAGCCGATTCTCCTCCACCGAGTTTTTCCCTTCCGATATCAACTCCATCCTCACCAACAAACTCTCCCTCGGCACTTTCCTGGCCGTGCCACGTGGCAGTGACTACGTTCCCGGGTCTTTACCCGACCCGTCCGGTTCATGGGCCGTAATAAGTATATGGAACAGTAAAGACGTGTACAAGCTTCAAGTTCAAGGAGTGTCGTGTCTAAAACGCACGTTAGCTAAGACAACGCGCGTTTTCGACGGCGCGTTTCCGTTTCTCAAAATCCCGTCGTTTCCTAATCTTTTCAAGCCGTTCGCGATGCATTTCTTGTACGGTATCGGCGGAGAAGGGGCACGAGCGGCAGAGATGGTGGAGGCGCTTTGTTCACACGCGCATAATATCGCTAGAAAAAGCGGCTGTGCCGTCGTAGCTGCTGAGGTGGCGTCCTGTGAGCCACTCAGAGTTGGTATTCCTCATTGGAAAGTTCTTTCGCCGGAGGATTTGTGGTGTTTGAAACGTCTCCGAGATGATGAAGGTGACGACGACTGGACTAAGTCAGCGCCTGGATTGTCCATTTTCGTTGACCCTAGAGAGATATGATAGTGTAGAACATTTTCGAGAAATCTGAACTACCAAACACAGTACTAAATCTCAGTGATATACTTGTTCAGTCTTCCTACACTTTGTTTTATCTGTAATTTCATACTAAATAAATTGTAAATAAAACTGTTTACAAGCACAAGCTTGTAAAAGTGTAAAACATCTAAATCCAGTATATATATGTTAATGTTTGTAAAGTGTTACCTGAACTATATATCGTTATTTTTTTCTTTATTTTGTATGTGTCGTTATCCGAACTTTAAATCGGATTGCTAGTGTACGAGTAGACTGGTATAGGTATGATAATGCTTACGAAATTAGTGGTTTCACTATTTAAGTCAAGTATGTTGTAGAATGTAAATCTCCATCCACATAGCAGAGGAAGTGATCAAAACTAAAGTCCTGGCTTCTATTGTTGTTTATGTCGTACTATTTTTAAAAAGAAAAGGTCTCTTTTGTTGGTCAATGAGGAAAAGGTTAATGAATTCATAGTCAAATCAAATAATAACAAAATGGAACAAACGTAAACTTTTGAAAGTATATAATAAATTGGATGACGTAAAACAAGAAGCTCATGGAAAATAAACCAACTTTTCTTTATAGTTTCTAACTTTCTACGGTCAAACCTTGCCGGCTAAAAAGAAAATATACTTTCTTGCAAATTGCTAGTCTTATTATTAACAAAGACGGAACAGCTTCGATCAATAGATACGAAGTTTGCAAGCAATCTTCAAAAGATTTCTTCGACATTCGGTTTCATTCAACGCTTTATTCATTCAAAAAGGAACTCAGAAGAGTACATTAGGAAGATAAAGAGAGAGGAGCCAAATCCATATGATCCACGAGGGAATAATCTTCCAAATTAGCCCGGTTTTGCTTTGGTTGCAATGACTTGTTGAAGCTAAACCGGACCGTCCTAGACAATGTAGGATTGGGAGCAGAGCTAGTGACGCACGCCTAGTGGCTAGTGTTATTGAGGAAATGTGTAGATTACAACTTTGCCTAAAGTTTATTTTTGAAAAGAAACTACCGGCAACGTTAGAATTTGGATTTCTCAAAATTGTAACGGTTAAATAACCAAAACAAACCCAAATTTTGATCTAAACCAAGTTAACTTGATAAAAAGCCCTAATCAAAATAAACCGAAGTCAAGACGATGATCTTCTCCGGCGAGTCGACGGCGTTGATTTATCATCGACGGTGGTGGCTGAGCCAGGACTTTCAGAAGTGTCCGAGCTACTAACATCTCCGACACCATCTCTGTCTTTACCTGTCCATAGCTTCGAGAAAATCCGAGACATCACCACTCCTTTAGTTTTCGTCTTCTCAGCACTACTCGTCTTCTCTCTCGTCGTCGTCGGCGTCTCCTCCGTGGCCGTGACTGAGTCACACTCTTCTTCCGTCGTCGTCCTCGAGCTTCCGTGAGAGCCGCTCGCTGGAAGAGAAGGTTTCGTGGTGGCACGAACCTGCTCGAAGAAGAGAATCTGCACGACGACTCGCAAAGGTAACCGCTCGTTTTGCACCGCGTGAGCACAAGCCTCCGGCGATAGTTTCCGGCAATCCATTAACCTGCATATCGATTTCTTCTCGCTCTTCGTTATCTCTGGATGTTGCTGCAAGCAAAATCAATCCGAATTTCAAATTAACAGAAATTTGGATGCATTCGAATCGAAACAGAGGAAATTTAGAGAGCAAGACGTTACCTTTAAGAACATGTCAATGGCTCGATACACTCCATCGTGTGATGATCTCGGGAAACTCGAAACCTTTTCTGCAATTGCTATGAACTTTAAAGAAGACAAATTTGGTTCGATTCTCGCGATCTCTGCCAAGTATCCGTCAATCAACTTGGCGACATTTGCTTTCGCACGGTCTGAACAATCAAGCTCGTCTCTGTTCTGTGTCTGTTGTGTAATAAACTCATCGACTAAGGTTTCAACAATGTCAATGTCATAGACAGTTTCACACCCTTCTTGAGCTCTAATCAACAGATCAGCCACATTCGCTTCCTCAAGCTTCTCTCCGATTCGTCTACTTAACTCTTTCCTCTCTTCCTCTCCTCCACAATCCAAACAAACCGAACATTTCAACAACTTGATCAAGAAACCACAAGAAACACTCTGTTTCTCACTAGGCAGCAACAAAACCAACGTCTCCAACAAAGATCTGTGTTCCTCCACATCATCGGTTTGAGGAATAATCCTCTTCGCCGCATAAACCTCAAGAGCTTCTCCTATAACCTCAGGCAAAACTCCACCTTTACGTCTGATACTCAAAACCACTCTCTTGTACAAATCAACATCAAGCTCAGCGAGATCTTCCACCCACCAATCTCTAGGCACACCATTCTTGTTGTTGTTACTCTCAGGTGGAAGAAGAAGCTTTCTTCGGTTACACGTATACGACCAGTCTACTCTTTCCGGATCCATAGCAGCTTTCGAAGCGATAGACTCCAAACACCGTGCGTCGATCTTCAAATCTTTAGACCACGGATGAAACGATCTTGTCGTCTGGAGGACGATGATGGAGTCTTTCCAGCTTCTCAAGACGCTCGAGTTCAAGAAAACCTCGATCTTGTAAACAAGATTCCCGATTTCGACCGATTCGTGCATCTCTAGATACTCAGCAGCGCAACGCACAGCTACGACATTGTATGCGTTGAGTGTCACGGTCATTCCGTAGCAGAACTTCGCGCATATCTCGAACGCTGGAGGTCCTCCCGGGATGTCCGGAATGCGGATTTCATCGTCTGGTTGTTCTTCATCGTCCGTTGTGGCTGCGAAGAGTTTCTGAAGACGAGCGCTTTTGGACAGAAGAGGAAACTGTTTTTTTCGAAAACCAGAAAACAGAGAGTTCTTCATTAAGTATAAAGACACAAATGGTTCCAACGAGTTCTTGGTTTCTAAATCAAGATTTTGGTTTACCTTATGAAGATAGAATTTGACATCTCCAACATTTACAACTACATCGGTCGCTAACTCGCTTGCTACATATCTGTAAACAGCCAAGAGAAAAGTGAGCTTCCAAAGCAAATCATATGAGAAGAAACCAAAGTCTTGAAGACATTACTATACCTTATGGAATCTTCTTCGGATTGGAACGAGTCAGGTTTGGATCCAAGTTTCATAAACTTCATTTTCTTTTTCTCTCAAAATCTGATCTGCGAAATAGTTGGTGTTGCCACAAGAAAGGATTAAGGATTCGAAATCTGAGATCCTAATTGGATGCAAAAAAGTATAAACAAGCAGAGTGTTGTTGAAGCATACTACAATGTGTGAAACTTGACTTAAAAGAGGCTTAGACTATAAGAGAAGAAACCTATTTTGCTTAGTGAGATTAAAGAAAAAAACAACACGGAAGAAGCAAAAACAAAAAGAGAGATGCTTCTCCACTTGCTTGTAAATCCGACACGTTGCATATTTCTTTATTATCAAATTCTCTGTTTTTATGTATCGAATCTTTTCAGGTTCAGAAAGCATCAAAGGAAGAAGAAACAAAAACCCAGAACCCTAGACAAAAGTGCGAATATCCGATTGAGAATAAAGCAGTTCTTGGTTTGTGTTGAAGAACAAAAACATTAAACAGAAATTAAATTAAAAAAACTATGGAGATTGATGGAGAGTTGCTAACAGAGCAGAACAAACAAAAAATCGGTTATGCTAATATAAGAAGAATCAGATAGAGCTATTTATAGAAAGTCGTTGAAATCTTTGGTCCATAAGTATCGAAACATGAAATTCGAGTTTCAAATCTACATAGCAAAGAATTTAAATTACGCAGGAAGAAAAAAAGACATCACTTTTAGGGTTTTATATCGACCTGTGAACAAATTTCCGGAAAAAATCTACCCCAACAGCCAAAAAGCTACAAATTTTAGAACAAAAATGAATTGCAACAAACCAAAATTCATACCTTTGTTGGAAAAATAACCTCCTTTAGGATCAATTCGATGAGTCTATGGAGAGAAACAAACAAAGAGAGGGGAACAAAGTGTGGGCTATATTGCTGCTGTTTTCAGACAGAGAACTCCAATCCAAGAGAAATCCGACAAAACACAAAACAGCAATCCAACAAAAAACAACCCTAAAAAGTTAAAAAAAAAAAAAAAAAAAGAGAGAATCAAAGAAGATGATGTGTTTCTTCTTCTTCTTTCTCGCCTTAGTGCAAATCTGAAACCCTCAGAATGTTCTGTCCCCTTACTCTCTCTCTCTCTTCCCAAATGTCCCACTCTCCGAATCAGCACCACCGCCTCCACCACTCAGCCTTAAAAGTTAAAACTTTATTTAAATTTGATTAAATAAATTAAAAAGCTGTATTTTGATAATAACCCAGGATTTGTCTCAATGTTTTCAATCGAATTCAGTGAAGTGTATGCTTTTTCTTCTTTTCTCCAATGGATAAAAACTCGATGCAAAAGTAATACTAGTAGCAACTAGCAAGTGGCAACGATTTAATGCGTGTATTTATAAATTCAGTCACGCTAAATCTGACAGAGAAAAACTATGGTCTGCTTCCTTTATCTATATCCACATTCTGACTCTCTTTTTATTCTTTCTTTTGTAATAAATTGAACATTGTTTATCAATAGTAAAACAAATAATTTAGTGAGTACTATTATTTGGAAATTGCGAGTCAAGATTCAGTCTTTTTGGAAACATGATTATTAGTGTATTTATGACAATAGTTTGGTTGGATGGGTTGACCAACGAAACCAATGTTTTTCCGTCACAGTAAACACATATTTATGAGGGATAATCCATAGTACTATCAAACAACAAAATAAGTGATTGGTGTTTCTTGTTATGAAAAAAGAATTAGCGAGACATTTTGAAGACGAAAAAGGGACAAGAATATGGCAAAAAATGTCTATCTATTTGCAGTTTTTTTGTTAACAAACAATTTTCATTTCTATTTTATTACAAACATTCAAACAGAAAGTAGAGGAAAATAGACAATTTGTTTTTTTTATTCGATCTATCTAATAAATGATAGACCGATAATATAAGCAAACTGGTAAACCCGTCTTTTGCCATAGTGGAAGAAAGGGGACCGCACGAAACATTCTTTTTAATGTAGTATAAATGTATAATATATGATATATAATGTTATATCTAACATTTAAATTATATAAATGCAAGTAACTGAGTATAAACTATTTATATATCAAATTTGTTTTTGGTTTATAGGCATTTATATATGACAAACTTGTTTATCTTTCTTCTGCCTTTTAATTCTTTCTACTGACCCAACACTGAAATCCAAAAGGATCCAATGTCGATTAAAATTATAAATTACTCATTCTAATATTTCAACATGGAAATTTGTACCACGTCACCATGAATTTGTTTCACTAACTTTATAAAGATATACTAGAAAAATTGTTTTTCCTATAAGGAATCTGAAGGCCATCACCATAATTTGTAAGGCTACGTACATTAATTAGATTAAACATGTGGCTGTTTATATTGTGATTAAATAAATAGATGAAAGTACGTTTGCTTTCTTATAATTTATTTTGTCAAGTCATTAGGCACAAATATTCATTTGCATGATGTAAAAACTAGGTATCAAAACTATGAACATGAAGAACTCAAAATTTGTTTTTCTTAAAGGAAAGCATAATAATTGCATTAAATAAAAAGGAGAGCACATAAAAATGAGTCACATGATTATGGAGAAAGATAAGGTATCGTTATTAAGAGTTTGGTCGGTTAGGGGAAAGCTGATGATTACTTCCAACGGTTTTGGTCAATGGACTTTTAATAGATTGAACACATAATTAGTACATATCACATGTGCTTTGTGGATTTTTCAATGTCCTATCTCGGATTTTATACCAAGTCAGAATTTGTATGTTGATCTTTGCCAAATGACATTTTAGGTACAGATAGAATAACGACTTTTAAAAATAGTTGGCAAGATATAATTTCATGTGAATAACATCAAATTCTAACTACAGTTTTTAACGATTAATATCGTTTAGTTCCGTTCTTGGTTTCGTTGTATAATTTGAATTAATTACTAAAGCAAGATTAAATAGCACATGGGAGAGGCAGATTCTCATAGACAAACAAGATCATATGCATGCATATATGCTGATTCACCACCTCCGTGTGTGGGTAACATGTTCGAATCATTACGGTCAAAGCTCTTGTAGCTTTCAATTTTACTCCCTCCCCTATAAAAACTTAACTTGTTTTATTTTATTTCTCGTTCTCATAACATTAAACTTCGAAGTATGCATTTCTGCAATCTCTGATCGAAGTGTGCATTTCTGCTTTTCAGTATTGGGTCATTTAAGAAAAGGCCCAATAAACAGTTATATGGGCCTATTAAGCAGACTCTTTTCTTTGTTAATTCACTTAATATATGGGTTTATATATGAATTTTGAGATGCTTGGAGGGCCTGTTTCGTGAATACGATTTTATATTTGAATTTTGAGGTGCTTGAAGTTTTTAATCTGGCCCTTAATCAGTTAAGATTATTTTGTAAACAAAATAAATTTTAGGTTTTGTCTCGTTATAAACAGTTTCCGATTTTTCTGGATCGAATTCCGAGTTCTGCTACCAAACTTTAACATCTTGATTGATAAAACCAAAATTAAGATGGAAATTTCCTTAAACTAATTAACCACAATCTCCAGTTGCATAGTGGAGCTACATTCTGAACAAGTCAGAGAGTGTTCAAAATCTCTAATTGATGAGACTAATCCGTGTTGTGAAACGTTCATGTCGTAACCAGAAAACATATGACAGGTATTTATTGACTATTATTATTCTAATTAAACAGTTAATGTCAAGGAACAGATCACTAGGAGCTGTGAGTAACAGAATTCAAGTGGCTTTCCTTTGCTTGCGGAAGTAAATGAAGTATAGATTACGAAAATATTCATTTTTCTTATCAAAAATAAATAATTCCAGAATGGTCCACTACATAATAACGTGTACGATCCAATCATCCATCTCTATGTTATTATTATTTTCCTATTTCAATATCCCAATTGTTTCCTCTATAAACAAATCGAACAACAAATAAACATTTCTTTAAAAAAAAATAACAATAACAATGATAATGCAATTGTCCACTCCAATCATTTTCGTTACAGACTCAGTCAAGTCGAAGCAACTGGAAAGAAACGACCGTTAATCTTCACCGTCTACTAACCCCTTCCTCGCTTGCAAGTTGACTTTTTTTGCAAACCGAGTCAACTTTTAAGATAAAACCACCACTGAGACTTGATCGGCCGGTAAATTCAGGTCAAATCCACGGTGGGCGATTGCGCTTTGCTCCGACGATCGCTCATCATCCACATCGCTGACGTCACTACCAGCAACGACTTCCACGCTGTTGCTGCTACTGCCGTTACCGTTACCATTGTTACCACCGTCGTAGTGACACCGTTTGTGTCCACCTAACGCTTGACCAGACGAAAACGACTTGAAACATATCGAGCAAGTATGAGTCTTTCCGCTTTGACTGACAACTCCGTTAGTACTGTTACCGTTACCGTTTATAACAACGGAACCGCCGTTGCTGTTACTGTGACTGTTATTAGACGGCTCGTGATGATTGTTACCAGGAGTGTTGGAGTTGTTACTCGCCGCCTGTTTCCGGTGACTCGTCTTGTGTCCACCTAAGGCTTGGTACGACGAAAACGACTTTCCACACACCGTACACTTGTAGCCACGGTGATCGGACAACGGAGGACGTGACGACAGCGGAAGTGGTGGAGATGATACGGTGGAGCCACGAGCGAGCATTAGGAGACAAAGAGCGAGATACTCTTCTTCAGAAGGAAGGCTCGGATTCGTTTCTTGATCCTGACTCTTGCTCTGATGATCAAGACGTTGACGTTTGGTGCGTTTTCTTTTAGCCCATTGCTCGAGGTTCTCTGGCTCCATTTCTTCACGATACCGGAGAAGAAGAGGCCGAGCTGTGGCGGTGGCTGAAGTCGGAGAATTGAGAGTCTCGAGAGCCATATATAATTTTGAGATATACAAGAAGAGAAGAAGAAAGAGTGAAGTGTGTGATGTATTGTGAGCACGTCTTGTGTTTCTGTTGTGTTGTGTGTTTTGAGAGTTAGTTTTGATTTATATATATGTATATTTTTCTCATAAGAAATCTTTGGAATTGAGATTGAGAGTGGGAACGTGGGCTATGAGTGACCAAGTGGTGCTGCTCTTGCTTTCTTCAATCCATTAAATTCCTTTATTATATTAAAAATGTTGTCATGTATTTTGGAATATTAGAGGAATTTATTTACCAAGTCAATGCTTTGTTTTTAGTTGGAACTTGCTAAACTTATAGATGGTAACCCCACATTAACTATTTCATCTATGAAGTTTCTTAGAAGAATAGGTATGTTGTATTGTAAAAGACAAGTATTCCACAATATATATACATGCATAATTGCATACCCACTATTAAGGTTTTTTTTTGTTAGATTTTTATTGGGTGCTCTTAACTTTTGTAGCTACTTTCTATGAGTTTAGTTTGTTACGATTTTTTCGTCTGAATGCTGATTCAAATAGTTTGTTTTTCCCACTTGCATTATCTAAAATTTCCCTCTCGACTATTCCAAGAATCACCCTATAGATTCTCATACGTAGAAGACGAAGTTTCACCACTTGATTGAGAACTTTTCCACACAAACGTAAAATACTATATCGAATATTTCACGACTTTCAAGTTGATTCTCACACTTTTTCCGGTAGTCACCCAAACATTATACTCGTTTGATTGGATTTAGATAATATATAAAAATGCAAAACGATTAGGAATGTAAAAGCTGTAATTAAAACTGAAATTAGGAAGACAGTTGTTCTTCAAATGGAGTGCCATATCTTCGGAGTTGTATAACTTTGTATTTTATTTAAACTAGAGAAGAAAGAAGAAGCTTTTGCCACTCTAGAGTATAATCTTTTTTCACTTTGTGGTATGTGGTGGCATTGGGCCATTGCTTATCTGGCATTCTCTCATAGGTTAAAGAAGGCTGGATCTTCTGGTGGCACACGTGGCGTAACAAGAATGGTCAGAATTTTCGGTGGATAGTTAAAGTTGGTACGAGACTTAAGGCTCAGGCTACGCGACGTTGACAGTTCGTTGCACCACCGTCAACACCGTCTCATACACTTATCTGTGTTTGAATATCTTCGATTGGTTCCCTTTTTATGTCAAAATATATCACACTCGGTTATTTTTTTCCCATAAGATGATGTATTGTATTTGTGTGGGTGTGTGAAACTTGCCCACTAGTCAGTACCCACCAACTCAAACACAATCAAATGTTGAATTACAACAAAAGAAACCCCAAGAAACAGAAGAAACTGAAATTAAATAAATAGTATAATAGTAACAATTGGGTTTCGTTGACGAGGATAAAAAAGAAAGTGGAGTGGGTCTTAGTCTTCGGGTTGTTGCATTATGGGTCGTCGTTGCTCATACGAGTTCTATGTGTACTACTTAGTCAATTCAACTGCCAAAAAAACGCTTCAACGATTCAAAGAAGCTGTCGTTATGTGCAAGAGTATTTGGAATTTTTCTAAGATATTAATATGGACACTAGACCCATTAAGTAAAGGAGTATTTCTCTTTTCATTCGGTCGATTATATGTTTTTTTTTTTAACCAAGCCCACATTAGTCATCAACAGTAATCAGAACAATGATTCCCAGCGAAAGCCCTAAGAAAAACCCTGCCAGAATTTCTGTCTGCTTATATGAGAAGGAAAAACACACGTAAAAGATCAATCCAAAGTGTAAAACCCCATAAGAAGGACCAAGTTGCAAGCCATCAGCACAATTTTTTTTTATATGACTCTAACCAGAGATGATCTTGGACTGAAGAACTGTTTCCATTCCAAATTGTTCTTCTCTTTACTCCCATTTAAATTTGAAAGTATTTAGAAAATATGTTTTGCCATAGAACTCAACATTTGCTTTGGTTCAAATCTTAAAAAAACTTAAAGCAAAAAATAAAAAAACTTAGCATGTGAGACTTATGTTGAAAAATATGTGTAACATGTGTGAGCATTCCCTTATCTATCTCTTATCGTTAGTTACATATTCTATGGATTTTTCTGTTGTAAAGCATGAGTTAGAGAAGATAAATTTATATATTGCAGAATACGAGTAGAGACTAGAGAGTATACAATCAATTCACATAAACCTAAACAAACTAAGATGACACAAAAGAAATAAGAGTAATTGTATTCCCAATTGATTATGCCATGCACGTAAATTGTACATGGACATCAACATAATTCAGTTTATGTATTTGATTCGATTTTTTCATTTTTTTCAGATAAGCAAGAAAATGGTTCCGGCACAATTCAATTTGTCTCGGCGGCTACCTGAGTGTATCGTCCTCTTGCCAGAGAAGAGCCGCATCGTCCCGAAACTCAGGCTCCAATCCAACCTCCGCAGCAACCTCGTCTGCACCGTCATCTTGCCCCTTTGCCTTCTTCAGCTGTTCGGCCACTCGCTCAAGTTTCAGTGCATCGTTCTCCAGATAGATAGCAACAATTTAAATAATTAATTTGGAATGAATTATGTGCTAATTATCATCTTAATTTCCTTGTTATAGTTCCTAAAAGAAGGCTAGTGTTTGAAAGTTGAAACAGTCTTTTGAATATTCGTAAGTTCGAAAACTTTCGAGAAGAAAAATCTAACTAGCGATTAACTGGGCCTGATTGTGTAGTTCATTTGCTTTGTGGGCAATGATGATGGCTCCACCTCATGAGTTCGATATTAAGGCCAGAAAAAAAAAAAAAAACAATAAAGCATAAATGGGTGGAAGGAATTACAAATCAAATGACATTAAAATTCTAAAACTGTAGTGAGTGTGACAAATTATCAAAAAATCAGAGTGGCGCAGCGGAAGCGTGGTGGGCCCATAACCCACAGGTCCAGGATCGAAACCTGGCTCTGATAAAAATCGGTTCTTTTTTTTTTTTTTTTTCGAATTTCCCCTAGAACAAAGCCCATTAACAATGAGAGTGGCCCCGAATGATGTTGGGATTTAAGTAACCGTAGTTAAACTAGTTGTTTTTATTAAACCAACCACATGATATTTGATTAACAAAACTAGAGATAAACTTCGTAACTAATAGATAGATCGTGAAAATCTTCCATCTTCTTGCTTCCATGGTTTCCGTTTCAATTAAGAAATTAGTTTCAACTCAGAACAAACCGGCAATGCTGATAACCTGCGGGAAAGAAAAAAATTCGTCAATCGTAAAGAAAAAACACACCTTTAATCAAATCTAACGATAGAAATGTGAAAATTACTTACTTGGATCAGTCGTAATAAGCATGGCGGTGCCACCGAAAGAGCAAGTGCCTCCGTTTCGCTTAGTCTTTTGCCAATAACTGTTGAAAGCATAAGAAGCGTGAGCCATGACCGTATCTGGGTAAAAGCATATCCCGTGAGGAGGTTTAATCTCGTCGCAATTAGCTCCTCCTTGTCCACAGGCGAAATCCAAAGACTGCTGCAACGTCTCCGCCGCTACGCTCGGTTTCGCCACGCACCACAGCCCTTCCACGTCCTTCTTCTTCACCGGAGGCGGCGACGGCGTCGGAGGAGGAAGGCACGGTGGAAGAGAGAGGCTTGGACTCGGAAGAGGCGACTCAGGTGGAAATAGTGAAGGAGAGGAAATGGGAGACTGAGATTGAGATTGCTCCGGCGCAAATTGGGGAGGAGGAGAAAATCCGACTGAGGAGTGAATTGGTGGATTTTCCGGTGACGGAGAGGGTAACGTTGGGAAAGAGATTGTGATTTTTCTGCTGTAATTGATTAAAGATCTTAAATTTCTTCTTGTCATCGTCGTTGTAGCTTCTTCTGGTTCAGGGCTCAAGAAATTGACCTTGTTGAAGCTCAAAGATCCGAAATTTTCCACGGAATGAAGCAGATCGAGATGATTCTCAGGGGAAGAAAGAAAGTTTAGAGGTGGGTTTATGGTGAAAGTGGAGTTTATGGATTTGAGAAAGACAAGAACAGGCTTGAACATCTCTGGACTCTCTGTGTTCCTTAAGCACTGGTGAGAGAAGCCAGAGGAGACTTTGATGTTCTTCTCAAGGCCCCATCTTGTGAGAGAATGGTAAAGGTTCTTCAGACAAGACAGAACAAGATCAGAGCTGGGTTGTGTGTTTTGGCAAGAAGCAGGGGAAAAGATAACAATGGTGGTGATTTTGGTGGAAGGGTAACGAGAGAGGACGTGGGTTTTGAGCCAAGTTTCAGCTTTTATGATGCTTGAGGAAATCTTTGCAATGGTTTTGTTGTCTCCCACGGAAACTGCAAGATCGAGATCAGTCGTTTGAGGAAGCTGAAGGAGTTTGGAATGGAGATTCAGAGCTTCAATGGGTGTTGATTCTTGGCTAGCTCCTGCAAACAGATTATAGCTGTGAGTTACATTACAAAAAATAAAAAAGAGATAAAGAAGGATCTTTAGCGTATTTGTTTGTGATTTTACCTGCAAAACCGAGAAAGCAAATGAAGAAGAACATGAAAAGAAGATTTGTCATTTTGCTTTGGCACATTTTCTTTCTTTGCTTCTGTTTGGTCTCTTTTCTCAGCATATGGGAAGTTTATAAAAGGTGTGTGTTTTCAAGAGAGTACAGAGGAAGAATCAAATATGGTCATTTGTCACTTTTAAAGCTAAAACGAAAAAAAGAAAAAAAGAAAAAATATTGCCTAGTGACTGTATTTCCTGTTGGTTGAAATCCGTAATTCTGTATATATTTCATGATATCTTCTATAAAAAGTGACTGTATACACTGACATGAAAAACAACTATTGCCGTTGAGCTGTTGAATTGTTCTGTTTTAAGAAACCGTACACTGTGACGCGTGTCTTTAGTGGACACAAGCAAAGAAAAGTTCGTTACTTTGTTTGACTGTTGACTGTTCATTCGATCAGGGAGTTTAAATTAGCTTCTGAAGTAGAAACAACTTGGTGAAAATCGGCTTGTTTGGTCTCGAATTTCATTCGACTATTCACCAAATATTTTGTTTCCTGTGTTTTCTTCGATTACCATAGGTTTGATATAAAAAACGACACTGTTTTAAAATTCATAGAAGAGGGAAATTCACGAAAGGAATAAGTAACTATCGTGGGCCCTCGATGTGGAAGCTTCTGATAAACATTTTGATGGATATACATATTTACTTTAATAAATCATTCACATTCGCGCCGTCATGTTGTAGTAGACCTTGTGTGATTAAAACGAACTGCACATGATGGGCTTTATTTCCTTAGGTCCAATAATGAAAGCATCAATAATGGGCCTAATCAGACGTCATTTTTGGTTCTTGTTATAAAGATAGTATCACTCAAAGACCACAAAGCTGAATCTTTTGTTTGAATTATTTTATTTAAAAGGTTGATTAGACTTATACTATTATTGAGTGAAGTGGTGTGGTGTGGATTCTAAAATTGCTTTGAACGTTTTGAATAATCCCGTCATAATCATTATGACAACACTAGCAAGGGATTTGTCTACCAGCTTTATCATGATTACCACCAATAATTAATCTATTTAACTAACGTTACTAACCAGATAATTAAAGAAAACTAGAAACAAATAAGAAGATGACAGTGGGTTTGAAATCCAAGCATTCCGACCCATGATCTTCTCGGATCTGTCGGTGTCATTGGACTCATTACATGCTCCTAATAGTTGTATCCAACGTTAATTAACTGCATCATGATTTATTTTTATTTTTAAACAATACATTGAAAACAAAACACGACTGAAAGTATAGTTGTTGGTGAAAGTATAGTTACACGAAATTAATTTAATGAGATTCTTTTCTACGAACTTCTTTAATTAACAAAAGGTAATCGAACCATAATTCTGGCTTGTCTCAAGAGAAACATGTAAGGGGTTACAACAATGACAGAAAAATTCAAATTCACGCGACTCTTTTTCTATTAAGTACGTAACTTAACAAAAGGCAATCGTACCACAATTCTGGCTAGCTTGTCTCAATAGAAACACATAAGAGTGACAATAATGACAGAAAATGAGTATAAAGTATTGAGCATATTATTTATCTTGAGCTGTAAGTATAACTAGAAGTCTATGATGCAAGTGTTTTGGCAGATTTTATGTTTACGTAGAACAGAAGAAAACTTTTTTTTGTTGTCTCCGTCAGGAGGAATATTTGTTTCTTCCTATTGACAAATGACAATGTACTAGCCAATTCTTACACAAAGCAGCAAAAGGGTTACAAGTACACTTAAAATTACTATTTGGAACAAAATTAATACAAATTGCTCTTTCGATAATTAGCACCTACGTTCATGCCTACGTTCATGCCTAATCCGTGTGAGTAAAGAGAATAAAAGATTAAGGAGAAAACTGAAAATACAAGGAAAAGAAATGAGCATCACAGCATATGAAATGAAGAAAATTGAAAAAAGTATAAAGATGAAAGATAATGAGAAAGTTAACTGTATAAAACCAAAAACAAAAAAGAGAGAAAAAGCAAAAACAATAAAGCAAAACGCTAGAGAGCGTGTGCTTGACCCCTTGGTTATGCACTTGTCAATTACCATTAATGAACATAAACAATAGCCTGAGAGTCGGTGGATCTATAAACCATTTATTTTCTTTCACCCAAAAAGACAAAAGAAACGAAAAACTAAAAGAAGAAAAATGAAAAGGAAAAGATAAAAGATAGGGATGTAACATTAAGCCCGTTGTGTCACTTTATTCCAAAATTACATGTATGGGTCTTCTTTCTTCCCTTTCATTTTCAGAGATTCGTCATAAACTTAATTTACACGTATTAACTGTTTCATGTAAAAATTAAAGTTCTTAAAGCAATACTAGACAATTATCCATGGTTTCTGATATTCATAGAGTTGGTTTACAGATTATTTTCAATTCAGAAAAACATCTGTCAATAATAAGAACATAAATTTAAAAGTCATATGAAATTGGAATTGCTGGCCCATATTATGATCTACGGTTGACTGGACCACAGAGGATTCGCTTTCCGGCAGCCGTAGTTTTTAGTTGTAATTTATATTGTACTTTTTTGATTATATGAAGAATAAGATCAATTTGGGAACATGAGAAATACAACAAAATCGAAAAGTCGATGATGGAATGGTATGTACGTGTCTTTTTCCTCCGTCTTGGTATCAACGAAACAAAGTAAGAAATTTCGACGTCGGGACGGAAAAGGACAGTCACATTCTCAGTTAATTAATACAGATATAGGGGCAGTTTCGTCTTTATGCAGGCAACGGGAGATTGTTGAATCTCACGTGGCGAGGATTTCCAAATTACATATACTTTGTCGAATTATAAAATGAAATCTAAGGTAAAGCAACATGACCCTGAGAGTCCCATCCATAATGTAATTACGAAGTTGAATTTTATTGTGGTCTTTAAAATCAATATCCCCTGGAGCTGGATGTGAAATGTGAGGCTGTCTATTCTTATTTTTTAATGTCGTTTACCTCCAAATTGTTCACACTGCAGTTAGAAAATTTAATTTATTAATTTGGTTTTCGTAACATATGTTTGTCGCACACAAATAATGCGATTTTGTTTTTAAATTTACGTATGTGTAACTAATTAATTAACGGATAATTAAAAGGAGGTAAAAGTAGCTTAAACGATCCCGGAATGCTGACGTAGCATCTTAAATCTCAGATCTTGAAACGAAACGAACTTTCGCTTCCTCTCCTCTGCTGCTCTTACTTTTCCTTTTTCACTTTTTTTTTTTGTTTTTCTTTCTTTTTTCATTAACCATTAATTTTTCTTTCCACAGAAGATACGATCTGAAGCAGAGAGAACAAAAACGAAAAAGGAAGAAGATGAATTTAGAGATAGACGAGAATTGTAAGACAGTTAATCAGAATTCGCCATGAGAGCTCTTCAATCGAGATTCTTCTTCTTCCTCTTCTTCTCGATCTCTGTATATTGCTTCTGTATCCCCGTTGGTGGCGCGAAACTGAATCGGTTTAATAGTGAAGTTGACGAGATTCATCGAAGAATTCTTCATCAGCCGCTTTTTCCAGATACTTCTACTCCACCACCCGATTTCGAGTCGACACTCTCTCCTCCTATACCTCCGGACTCTCCCGATCAGCCATTTTTCCCGGAGAATCCGACTACGCCTGACCAGAGTCAGTATCCTCCTCCGCCTCCTCCTACTATCGCCTCCGACAATGGCGGATTACCGATACCGACGGCTACTACTCAACCGACGAAACATGGGAAAAAAGCTGCGATCGTCATTTCTGTTGGAATTGTCACGCTAGGTATGTTTTCTGCTCTAGCTTTCTTCCTGTATCGGCATAAAACAAAGCACGCGAGCGAGACTCAGAAACTCGTTAGTGGAGGAGGAGGCGATGGCGGTTCACGGAGATTCCAGGAAGATCCGAGACCACCGACGTCGTCTACATTTCTCTACATGGGAACTGTTGAACCGAGCCGTGACTCAGTGAGCGAGCCTAATGGCACGAGTAGTGTACCGGTCAATTCGTCTCCGTACCGGAAATTGAATTCGGCTAAGAGATCGGATCGCTATCGGCCTAGCCCGGAGCTTCAACCGCTTCCGCCGTTAGCTAAGCCCCAACCGTCTGACAACTCCCCGTCGGCGTTATCTCCTTCTTCATCATCTACCGACGGGGAATGCCGTGACACAGAGTTTTACACGCCGCATGGATCTGCGATTAGCAGCGATGACGGCTACTACACGTTATTTAATCGGTCCGGCAACAGCAACGGATCAATTCCTCACTCGAAGAGGACATCTCCGAGGTCCAAGTTTAGTTCATCAGCGACGGCTGGAACGGCGGCATCTAGGTCGCCGGAGATGAAGCACGTAATCATCCCGTCGATAAAGCAGAAAACGCCGCCAGTCCAACCTCCACCTCTAAGGGGCTTGGAAAGTGATGAACAAGTTCTTCCGTATTCACAGAACAAGCCTAAGTTCTCGCAGCCACCTCCGCCTCCGAACAGAGCCGCGTTTCAGGCGATAACGCAGGATAAGTCTCCTCGCAGCTCACGAGTTTCTCCACGGCGGTCTCCTCCTCCACTCCATACGCCACCTCCACCACTCCATACGCCACCTCCACCACCTCCTCCACCTCCTCTGATACGGGCGAGAGATTACCAATACCAGATACCACGAAAACTCGGCATTTCCGAAGCAACCAATCCGATAAAGTCAGAGGATCCTTCAAGAAAAGAAACATTCAAGACTCCAAGTCCTCAATCGAAAGCTGTTGAACAGGTCAAGAGTGAAGCAGCCGGCTCTGTTGAGAAAACAGGAGACGGGGACACGGATCCAAGCAAGCCAAAGTTAAAGCCACTCCACTGGGACAAAGTACGCGCGAGCTCCGATCGAGCCACCGTTTGGGACCAGCTCAAATCAAGCTCATTCCAGTGCGTACCACTATTTTCGTTCTACATTGTGTTGGGCCACATACGTTCGAACTTGATGTTTTCAATAACTTTTTTGAATCTTATCATCTTATGGTATTGAACAGATTAAACGAGGATAGGATGGAGCATCTGTTTGGTTGCAATTCGGGAAGTTCAGCTCCAAAAGAACCTGTGAGAAGGTCATTGATTCCTCCAGCTGAGAATGAGAACAGAGTGCTTGATCCAAAGAAATCGCAGAACATCGCAATCCTCTTACGAGCACTGAATGTTACACGTGAAGAGGTGTCAGAGGCTCTTTTAGATGGTAAGTTTTTGTCTCCCAGTTGATTTACTACTCTTGGGGTAAAGTTCCATTTGCATAAAGTAAGATTTTGTTGCATCCGTCTTGATATTGATAAGTTTAGTAAGCTAATACATTCTGGTTCCTCTGTTTGGCACATAAGCCTTCATTTTAGTAATGGTGCCTAAATGGGCTAATGGGGATCTTTCTGATAGTAGAAATAGTAATAGAGATGCTCGTAAGGTATCAGTGGTGAAATGATTGATATAACTAAAAGGCTTAGTCCACAAGCTATAATCATTGCAAAGAACAATGACATGTGAAATGATTTTTCTCTGCTTTATATTGCTTATAATATGATTAATCAGGAGTAGCAAGCATGATGTAGAGCTGTATAGTTCACAATCATTAAAATTAGCATTTGTGATCTCTTTTATTTGAATCTAAAGTAAACCCTTGGCATGGTAACAGGTAATCCGGAGAGCTTAGGTGCAGAGCTTCTAGAGACATTGGTGAAGATGGCTCCAACAAAGGAAGAAGAGATAAAACTCCGAGAGTACTCTGGTGATGTGTCGAAACTAGGAACAGCTGAAAGATTCCTCAAAACCATTCTCGATATCCCTTTCGCTTTCAGAAGAGTAGAAGCAATGTTGTATAGAGCCAACTTTGATGCTGAAGTCAAGTATCTAAGGAACTCTTTTCAAACGCTAGAGGTTTGTTGTTCGTTACTCTTAAAGACACTCAATGATTCAATCTCTCATACGAATGTTCCTAATTTCTTATCCATTGGTTGCTTTATAGGAAGCGAGCTTAGAACTAAAGGCAAGCAGGCTATTCCTAAAACTCCTTGAGGCTGTTCTAATGACGGGTAATCGAATGAACGTTGGCACTAATCGCGGTGATGCGAAAGCCTTCAAGCTCGATACACTTTTAAAGCTCGTAGACATAAAAGGAGTCGATGGCAAAACCACACTGCTTCACTTTGTCGTCCAAGAACTCACAAGATCCGAGGTCACAACAACAACAACCGACGAAACCATCCTCCCTGGAAACAAAGACGGTTTCAGAAAGCAAGGGCTACAAGTGGTTTCCGGACTCAGTAGAGATCTTGCCAACGTGAAGAAATCAGCAGGAATGGATTCCGATGTCCTCAGTGGTTACGTTAAGAAGCTCGAAACGGGTCTTGACAAACTCCGATCGTTTCTCAAGACAGAGACAACAACAGCTGCAGCGAGTCAAGGGAAGTTCTTTGATTCGATGAAAACGTTTCTCAAAGAAGCAGAAGAAGAGATCCGGAAGATCAAAGGAGGAGAAAGAAAGGCTTTGTTGATGGTTAAAGAAGTAACAGAGTATTTCCATGGAGACGCTGCGAAAGAAGGAGCGCATCCTCTAAGGATCTTCATGGTCGTGAGAGATTTTCTCGGAGTTCTCGATAACGTCTGTAAAGAAGTGAAGACGATCCAGGAAATGTCGACAACGATGGGTTCGGCTTCAGCAAGATCGTTCAGGATTTCATCTACAGCCTCGCTACCGGTTCTTCATAGGTTTAATAAAGGAAGACAAGATGACACAAGCTCAGATGATGAACAAAGCAGCAACTCTTCCACGTGATGAAAAACACAAAGCTGTACAGTTTTTTACACCGAGGCATGAAATTAAATTGGTCGTTCTCAAACCGGAGGAGATATTGAGTTGGTTAAGTCGAAGAACAGGGACCGGTTAATATAGTAACAAAAATACTCTTATAATCATCAAATTTTCGTAACAAATAAGGAGCTCTTTATTTTTTCTCTATTAGTTTTTTTTGTTGGTTTAAATATATATAGATGAGATAGATATATGAAATTATCGTAGTTTCTTGATTTTGGCTGAATTTTTGTTTCTTTGTTCTTTTATAAGCTTCATCATTCAAAACAATTATACAGAGACCGTCTTCTTCAGAAATGGTGATGCTAGTTGGAAAAAGAGATAGGTTTCGGATTCGTCTTTCTTTTTCCTTTGTAGAGAACGAATCAGAATCCAATACGAAAGTGATAATAAAAGAGAATTTTACTAGAAATAAAAAATATGAGTATTGGAATTTGGGTTTGTGAATTGTTGTGACAATGGATGTTTCCAACACTAATTACTTATTTGATGAAATAGAAACATGTGATGTGAGTGAGACCGATTCCGTTGTACACTTGTACCACGTCTCTCTCTCTCTCCTTGTTATTGCTTTTGTCCGTCTCTGCGTCACTTATTTTCCCACCACGATCTTTTCGTTTCTGTTTTCAAATTTTGGAGGTATTAAAAAGAACAAAAAGCAAGTAGGGTCGTATTAAATTTAGTAGATCTTCTGTTTTTTCCGTGTCTTGTTTGTTTCTCAACAAGATGACTCAGCTTATTACGGATTTTGCCACTGAGTTAAAACGACAAAACCACTAAACCGAAACGAATAACCCAAGCTCCACTTCAACCGGAATTTGATTTCAGAAATTTTTACCCTCTGCCGACAAATTTATCATGTTACATTTTCTTTTAAGAGTGAATCACAAGAAACGCCTTAAAACTCGCCTTCTTGAGACTGAGAAAACGGTGAAATTCTTAAGACGACGGTTTACGAAACGGAGGAGGAAGAGCTAGTCGTCGTCACCCGTAAAAAGAAACGAGAGCCTCCGATTTTCTTACTCCCCAAAAGATTCTTCACCAGAAGCTTCCATCTCACGTCATCTTTTTTGCCCTGTTTCTCCATCTTCTCCTTAAAGCTTCTGCTTCCAAAAAAACCCACACAAATCAGACACAAGATCAATTACTCATATGAACAGTAAAAGCCAGAGACTCTGTGGCGGTTTTTTTACCTGCACAGTGGGACTCGACATTGATCAGAATCAGCGCAAACACGAGAATGCAATTCAAGGAGTTGCCACATTCTCTTGCACTGCACGCAACCTCCAGGAACCCTAAGCTTACAGCCTGCGAAATGCCGGATCAGTGACTCTAACCCTTTGCAAGCTTCATAGTTACACGTCGCGTGGTTCGGTTTCAAATCTTTATCGTGTGGTCCTATCGTTTTACATCCGTCTCTACATATATGAACAAGAGCCTCCATTGCTTCATACAGCTGCGAATATATCCTCTCCTCGTTGCGTCTTCTCATACTCTCTTTTCGCATCTGCGTTTACGTTTCAACATGTTCAAGATTTAGAATTTCGTAACTAGGCAGAGACTTAAATAAAAAAGTCAGTGAATATGTAATTAGCTTTACATTTTCTTCGATGAACACAGAGTCTCTGAGCTCTTTCTCGAGAAAGGGATGGCTTTTCTTCATAGCGATCCATGCTTCAGTCGCATAAAGCTCCTTGAAGTGTTTCATGATCATACGGTGAGATAAGACGCTAAGCCTTGGGACGTCACAGAGAAGCGCGAGCTGGAACACATCGATCACGTTCTCAGTGTTGAGCAAACCGTGCTCTAGATGCCATTCACAGAGCCGTTTCAGCTGAGGAACCACATACGCGTGCGAGAGAAGTAGCAAATGCATGACAAAATCGTTCATTTCTTCTTTCTCATAGCTACAACAAACCAAAGCAAGGCCTAATCAGTACTAAAACAAGACTTAAAAGAGGTAAAATGTGAAATGGATTTGATTTTATATACATACCAAGAAGAGTAGAGGAAACGGATGAAAACTCGAACAGCGTCATGAGGGACACCACGGATTGAGATTGTATGCCATTTGCCATGTCTTTTGGCTTGACTCAACATTCCTTTGATCACAGTAGAAGCTGTTCCCTGTAAAGCCATGCAAAGAGAGAACAATGTCAAAATAAAAACTAAGTGTAGAGAGCTTTTTGGATGTAAGAACACTTCCGTATTCGCTTACGATTATGTTGGAATGAGCGTAGACGACGCCGCCGTTATCTGTGTAGATGACAACATCAGCTTTGTATCCATCGTTGAAGAGACGATCCCACGTGTCTCTTGTGGCTGTTGAAACGCAGCCGTTTCCGAGTCCTGTTGCCACGTCATTGCCGCCGTGTCTTTTATCGGATTTTGATGGAAGAGGTGGAGGAATCGGCACTGAGGAATCTGCAGATTTGTAGGATTGACGAAGAAGATCAACACAACCAGTCACCATATCTCTCTTTGTTAGCTTAATTTGTTTTTTCCTGCATCAATCAATGGAATTTGATTCAGAAAACAGACTCATTCGAAAATGTTGGAGCAGATCTTATTCACGATTTAGGAAATGAAACAGAGAAGAGCAAATCTACAAACATTTTCACGATTCCACTAGACTTTATCAATCGATAAACCATAATTGTTCCTCCACACAATCAACAAAATCAAAACAAACAACGATAGAGATTGACTCAACAAAAAAAGCTCAAAACAGATTGATAGAAAGAGAATGTAAGCAACAGAATCGATCCAGCTTCACCGACATACCTGCAAACAATCGAGAAGGAATGTCAAAGAGATAAAATTATCCTCGAGAAGAAGAAGAGACTCTATAGAAAAGGTTCAAAGATCATATAGATCTCGTCTCTCATTATATAAACACACTTCACGATTCACGAACAAACAGAAGACGACAGTTTTTTTCCGGAAACAAAAAAAATCCAGTAAAAGTGATATTAATTATTTTATTTCCTTCAATTCTCAGTTTTTTCTGTATTCGTCAAATAATTCAAAGATATTTTCTTGTTCTAAGAACACCACAACCACACACCTGCGGAAAACACCGAGAGGCGCGTGGAGCCTACGGTTACGGAACGGACGGATGAGAATCCACGCGCCTTAACGGCTTTTTTCCTCGTTTCTCTTCTTCTTTAAAGCTTCTTCGTCAAGTGGTTTTATTGTTGCTTTACCAATTGAGACACGACTCTCCATGTTTTTGCTATTTTTTTCTCTAAATTTTTTATTCATTTTAAGAGCCGTACAAAAACAGATCGGTCTGTCCTATGTTTTTTGTTCTTGTTCGGCGCTTCACAGCTCATAATTAGCTGTTCGTTTCTTTGATTTTTATCCGTATTCTCATCCTTTTTTGTTCTTCGACTAATTTAGATTAGTTACTATATTTATCCACATGATTTATGTTTACTATATATAAGGATAAGGATTCAAATACATTACGTTCGGTTTATAAAATGTTCTGTTCAAACTTCAGTTTAGTACAGTAAAGTGAAAGTGTAAATAACTTAATACTATATATGTGGTACAAAAGATGGTAACGTACCTGATATTTATTTTGTTCAGTTGAATCTGATTGTTGCCCAACCTTTTTTTACCTAATCTTCCTTCTTCTAGAATAACCTAAACCATCAAACAAAATGCGTTCGAGACTTCTAGATAATTTTTTTTTTTTTGGTTTTAACTTCTAGATAATTTTCTTGTATTTTATTGTCATTTTTAGTATATAGAACATTTCGAATAAATGTACACCGAAAACTTGGTTCCTACATGTACACGTAATCTGAATGTACAGGTTATTTGTCAATGACATTTGCTTAGTGATCTATGTTATTAAACATACGGTCGTACTTGTAGAAACTAAGTGCATGCTAATGTATAAATGTTTTTTTAGTGGACGTGCCTTGTTTGTCTTCTAACACAAAATTAGTAATTAGACTTTTGGGACATCATACACCTAATTAGTAAATCGAGAAGTAAAATTTCAACTGTTTTTGTAACTAAAATGATTGATGTATCATTCGGAATTAAACTACTCAGAATCAAAGCCAACATTAGAGACGGAAACCAAAACCAAGATTTCACAACATAAAACTTTATGGAAATGATGTATTCAAATAAACATGCCCAAAGCAAAGGTAAGCACACAACGATCGCAGAAGAATCAGAATTTGAAGTTCTTCTAAACTTTATTCACTGTTCTCTATCACTTGCAAATACATAACACCGAAAACGAATTCATTTCCAATTTTCCCAGATATTGAAAAGAAAAAAGGACCGAGATTCATGGATCGTCTCAGAAATCGGAGCATCGACCACGTTGTTCCCAATCGCCGTACCGAGTCGGCTCAGGACCTTTAGGACCTCCAATCTCACCGGTATCTTCGTTAAAAAACTCTCCACCTCCTCCTCCTTCCTCTTCCTCTTCCTCTTCCTTTTTCAACTGTAGATTCTCTTGGAGATTTTGATCTGGCTTCTCAATCGGATCCTGATTCGGAGACGGAGATGGAGACTGCGGGGGAGGAGAAGCACCGGAGCTTAAAAATCTCGACACAGGTTCGACGAATCTGGTGCAGGCGGATCCGCTAGGTGCGATCAGACGGACGATTTTGTTCGTAGCCATTGTTAAATGTGTTCGTGAAATCAGAATTAGGAACCGATCTAGGCGATTTGTGTTATAGGGTTCTGATGGTCATTTATATGGGCCGTAATTTGATAGTATAAGCCCAATAGGCTCTAGCTCAGATACATTGCTTTTTAAACCCATGATGGTCACTCATCAGTATGTTTTGCTTTTGTGCCACATCAACGGTTGTGAGTGGTTTGTTACTGAAGTAAATCACAGTCTGTTATTATCGAATACGGTTTCGCTATATATCTCGTCTAGCACGGAGAATAAAAAAAAATCGAGTCGTATTTCTATCTTCACCGCTGCTTCTCCTCCAAATCTTCGCCGATCTCTCTACATCTCCGATCAACCATGAGCAAGGGTCCAGGACTGTTCACTGACATCGGCAAAAAAGCCAAAGGTAAAATCAATTTATCGCTCTTCTTCTGATATCCAGCTCTCGTCGCCTTTTGTTCCGGTTAAAATCGCGCGACTATCGCGTGCTTTTGTGGAATATGTTGCTTCCTGTTCATCAATTCGAAGTGTTGGTGCAAAATATTGTTCGATTTTGCGTCTGCGTTTGGGTGTTTCTTTTGATTTCTAAGCTGATTCTGTTGATTTTATATTTCCCTTCGTTTTAGATCTGTTGACGAGAGACTACAATTCCGATCAGAAATTCAGCATTTCCACTTACAGTGCCTCCGGCGTGGTACGTACTATATTGATGTATCTAATCCCTGTTTAATGGCTATGCTTAGATTCGATTTTCCAGATTTTCGTTCGATTTCGATCCGTGGTCGATACTAATAGTTATCAACGAATATTGTACTGACTTTCGTCTTCTTTCATTAAGTTTCTTTGACATTGTGCTCTATCGTGTGAATTTATAAGCGCTTAGAGTATATATTCCTGGTCTGATCGATCTTATCCTTGGTAAAATCAACTTCATGATTTCAAGGGATCCTAGAGAGAGGATGGAACTGAATTACTTCTGTTAAGAACTAGAAGTTTTGATAAAGAGTGAAAACGAGATCAACGTTGGTGTAGCTTTGTCTTTGGATACAAAATCTCTCCGGGAAGGATTCTACTATATGATCTCATTGTACGATTTCGTATGTGGAGTTGCGTATATAGTTAGTAGAATTTGTTGTTTCTGAGGAAGCAAGTATTAGTTAGCTAATAGCTTAAAGATTTTCTGAAATGATCTTTAGCAACTAAACTCCGTGTTGAAATTTGCATGAATAGAGAGCCTTAATTTCTTGCCTGTGTTGTGTTGTTTAGGCCCTTACATCTACTGCTCTGAAGAAAGGAGGAGTGCATGCTGCTGATGTTGCGACTCAGTACAAGTACAAGAATGCTTTGTTTGATGTCAAAATCGACACTGATTCTAGTGTAAGTGTTTTAGTAGATCCACAGTGAACACTTAGTCATATAACCAAACGAATTCGTTGGAATGCGTTTTGATTTGTATGTTTATTATTATTGGCTTGGCAGGTTTTGACAACAGTCACATTCACCGAGATCCTCCCATCAACAAAAGCCATCGCCTCTTTCAAAGTCCCTGACTACAATTCTGCCAAGGTTTAAAATCTTTAGAATCCATTCGTATGAAATCACAAAGTTTTTATTCACTTATCCAGCGGATTGAAACTAACCCCATCAACTTTTGAATTCCATTAACAGCTTGAGGTCCAATACTTCCATGACCACGCAACAGTCACTGCTGCTGCAGCTTTGAAGCAAAGCCCTTTAATCGACATAACAGCTACTCTCGGTTCACCAGTCATCTCATTTGGTGCTGAAGCTGGATATGACACCACCTCCAAAACCTTCACCAAGTACAACGCCGGTATCAGTGTGACAAAACCAGATGCATGCGCTTCCATAATTTTGTAAGCAGAATCCCAATCTCAAATAAAGTGATCAGTAATTCAGTATTCATATATATGTCTTGTGGTGTGGATCTGATCTAATTTTTTTTCAGGGGAGACAAAGGAGACTCGATCAAAGCGTCTTACCTTCACCACTTGGACGAATTCAAGAGAAGTGCAGCGGTTGGTGAGGTTTACAGGAAATTCTCGACTAATGAAAACACGATAACCGTTGGTGGACTGTATGCGATTGATCATTCGACTTCAGTGAAAGCTAAGCTCAACAACCATGGCACACTCGGTGCTCTCCTTCAGCATGAGGTCGTTCCCAAATCACTAGTCACTGTTTCCAGCGAGATCGACACCAAGGCTTTAGACAAGCATCCAAGGTTTGGTCTCTCTCTTGCTCTCAAACCTTGAGAACACTCACACAAAGACCTTGCTTGAGTCTCCGTACCTTTCCCGTATTCTCTCATCTTTGATTTCTACGGCAGGACCCGAGAGTTTACTTGATTTTTTTTCTTTTTTGGGAATAAATTGTTCCGCTATGAAATTGACGGATAATTCTTTTTCGGATATGTTTGGTTTTTTTGGACATTTTTTTCACTAAGCAATATTCTTGGTACGGATATTGGCAACATGTATTTCAGATCATGAAAAAAAGGTAAAATCATAACTATAGACAAATTCGAGGGCTAGAATCACAATTACCAATTATAAACCGAGGGCGAAATCATAATTAACGAAAAGACAGAGAGCAATATCGTACATACATAGAATTCAGAGGATATAACGACAAATAGGAATAAAATTGAGGGCATAATCGAAATTACGGAATGAATCAAGGAAAATATAATAAGCCGAAGGCGAAACCATAAATATCAACAAACCAAAGGGCAAAATCATAAATATGGACAAAGCAGAAGGCATAACCTCAATTTCCCCTATGAAAGGCGAACCAACAGGATTTAAAACTCAATCCAATTTCTAAATCACCATGTGATATCCAAATCGTACATTGGTACCAAAACTGCAATCGCGAATTCGAGTTCTGAACTATCATCATCCTCATTACATAATCGATTCGGAATCAAAATTCCATACAACTTAGTAAAAAAATAGAAAACTAGAATAAACCTTGACTTGGCTTCTCTTAATCTACGCTCTGCATAACATCTTCAGCCGTGAACTTCGTCCCCTTCTCCTTATCTGCGACGGCGCGTCCATTAGCCTTACGCTCCAACAGAGACTTCCTATCCTTGTCAAGACGGAGCTTGGTGATCACCACATTTGAAGCATTCACGCCGACGTTGACCGTGGTTCCGTTGACTTTCTCCCTTGTGATTCTCTCGATGTGAATCACCCACTTGCGGCGATACACTTGCATCACCTTCCCTTCTCTTCCCTTGAACGTCCCACGAACAACCTGCACCTCGTCGTCCTTCCTAATCGGCATCGATCTGACATTGTACTTCTGCCGGAGATCGGTGGATAACGGCGAGCTCATAAGCACGCGTCTCACACTAGAAGGAGCCGAGAAATGAGCCTTCCTGTTCTTCCGGCGAGAAGAGGTCACACGCGGATTGAACTTCATCCTCTCCGAATTCGCTGGCTCGTCCTCGCCAACTGCGGAAATGCAGAAATTAGGGTTTCTTTTGGGTGTGGCTGAAGGAGTGAGGGGAAGTGTAAAACCACTGTATATATGGCATAACGAAGTCTACTTAAACGTCGCGTTTTGTTATATAAGTAAGAATTAGGCTTTCTTATATGGGCTTTGAGAAGCTTTACATGGGCTTTTAAATCAATTCCAAGGCCTAATTTAAACCTTGTTATTCACTCCGTACCCAGAACTTGAGGATTTTGTAATTTTTTTTTGGGGAGATTCATGTGCTTGCATCTGTATCAAAAATTAAAAGTAGATTGAAATGATAATGGTTACTAATTAGTTTTGGATAATGAAATCACAGAAGATCAATTTAAATATGACTTTATTTGATATGATTTGATAAGGTTTATCAGTTACAATGAAAACAAAATTTGCCAAATCACATCTTAATCAAGAATCTCTAACAAATGGATTAGGCAAGCGCCACTGATGTCGTCACGTGCCGATCACGCTCCTAAGATAGCGCGTCGTTAAGACTCTCGTCCATCGTGGCTAACCACTCGGCTTCCACGAGCCAATAAACAACACATTTTGTTCGTTTATAAGCTGGAGCAAAACATTCGTAGCATAATGATTCAATTTCCATTGATTGCGAAGTGACACCAAGGCTTTGCGTTTAATCAGATACCGTTAAGCATGTTCAATTGAATCGTTGAATCTCGCTTTGCGGTGAATCTATTAGATATGGATGTTGCGTCGGTGGCGAGATGTGTGGGAAGATGCTATGTTTCGCCGGCGTTTGCAGAATCCGAACCGCTCCGGTTATCCGACCGGAAATTTCCGAGATTATCTTTCTCTAGCTCGCTTACTCCGTATCCCGCCGGTAGTGGTGGTCTGAAGTTTGGCCGGCAAAGTCGAGAGAGGAGAGTGAGCTTCTTCCGTCCGATCATGGCGACAGATGAGTCGATTTCGTCGAGGTCCTCTGATTGCGCCGGTAATTAATCACATAACTCCGATCTGATTCATCTTAAGTATATCAGAATGGATCTAATCATATAGTATAATGTTAAGTAGGTGAAACACAACAAAAAATCAACGGGAAGCAAAAGAACATCGTGTGGCATAATTGTCCCATCACTAAATCGGATAGGCAAGAATTGATTAAGCAAAGAGGGTGTGTGATCTGGATTACTGGCTTAAGTGGTTCAGGTTTGTTGTTTCTATAACTCTGATTGTAGCTCTAACTATACAGCTTGATTTGGATTCCTTCAAATAAAAATGTTATTTTTATAAATTCAGGGAAAAGTAGTGTGGCTTGTGCTCTAAGCAGAGCATTGTACAATCGTGGAAAGCTTACGTATATTCTTGACGGTGACAATGTTCGACATGGTTTAAACAGCGATCTTAGCTTCAAAGCAGAAGATCGAGCTGAAAACATTCGAAGAGTTGGTGAAGTTGCTAAACTGTTTGCAGATTCTGGAATCATCTGTATTGCAAGTTTGATATCTCCATACCGTAAAGAGCGAGCCACTTGCCGTGCATTGTTACCGCAAGGAGATTTCATTGAGGTTTGGGTCCATAGACAACAACATAAAAGAAAAACTTGTCTAAATGTATTGAAGTCTTTGCTTTCTTTTTTTGTTAGGTATACATGGATGTGCCACTCCATGTTTGTGAAGCTAGAGATCCAAAGGGTTTATACAAACGTGCACGCGCGGGGAAAATCAAAGGTAAGCTTTGCATTTTTTTTTTCTTTTCTTTAGTCATACCTTCATGATCCAAAATTGTTCCCTTAAAACATTTCTTCTTCAGGTTTCACGGGAATAGATGATCCATACGAACCACCTTTGGATTGCGAGGTTCGTATATCAAATTATTATTTCATTCTTTAAAAGGTTGAATTTAGTGTTTTCCTGAATAAATGGCCTGTTACGTTACGCTTGCAGATTGTGATACAGAACAACAATCACGAGGGTTTATCTTCTTCTTCTCCTTCTGAAATGGCAGAGATTGTTGTGTCCTACTTAGACCAAAATGGATACCTCAAGCCCTCGTAGAAACACCCCACAAAGTCACATATATGAGGATCACTGGATGACCAAATGGTCATATATTGTATTGCTTAATGCTTGCATATGTATATGATTTTTGTATATTGTATACGTTTGTTGTAAGAGGCTCAAAAGTGTTTACCATCTCATGTCGTGTGATCATCAGCTATTAATTCGTGTTGTCATTGTTCGAATGCAATAATAAAATCTTAAATTGTAACATTCCTCAACCTTTTGGATGACCAAATTAGTCAAATGACTGATTCACACGAGAGAAAGAGAATGAGACATATGGCCGCTAATTTGGCGCCAACTCTCCGGGTGAATAACGTTATCAATAGTTTGGGCCTACAATTTTAGGCCCAAGTTGAAAATCAGACCTTTTCGAGAACCGGGTCGGGTACTATTTGGGCCGGATCAGGCTCTACGGCGGCGACTGGTAACTGCGTCTTCTATAATAAAACAACACGCGGTGGCGAGGGCGGTCGTCTCAGATCTCCACTCAATCGTAAAGTCTGGGTTTCAGCTGCGAAAATCGATCTGGAAATCTATCAGCTCGTGTTATTTCGATCCTAACTCCGATCACCTGAGTCAATTCGGAGAAAATCAAAGTCGAGAAAGAAGAAGAAGAAGAGGTAACGATGGGGAAAAAACAGCATAGCAAAGATCGAATGTTCATAACGAAGACGGAGTGGGCAACAGAATGGGGAGGCGCTAAATCCAAAGAGAATCGTACTCCTTTCAAGAGTCTTCCTTTCTACTGCTGCGCGTATGTCAATTCTTACAATTTTGCATGATTTTCGTTTGCGATTTCCGAATTTTGATTCAATCCTTAATGTCAATTAATTTTCTGATTCAGGCTTACGTTTTTGCCATTCGAGGATCCAGTGTGTACAAGCGACGGCAGTGTTTTCGAGTTAACGTGAGTAGCTTCATAGTCTTCTAACTACGCTTTTACTTAGTATTTGAGCTTGCTTTTTGTATTGATTTTGAAATTGGGTGTTTTGGATTTTTGCAGAAGTATAGTGCCTTACATAAGGAAATTTGGAAAACATCCAGTTACAGGAGCACCATTGAAAGGAGAAGATCTAATTCCTCTCGTCTTTCACAAGAACTCTGAAGGTTTTTGTTCCTTCTTTCTCTCTCTCTCTCTCTCTCTCTCTCTCTCTCTCTCTCTCTGATTCCTTGTGATTTTCATCCTTAAGATATGCTGAAAAACATATCTATGTGGCTGCCATTGTAGAAGAGTTTCATTGTCCTGTTCTCAACAAAGTCTTCACCGAATTTACTCATATAGTTGCTGTCAAGACTACCGGAAATGTATTCTGCTACGAGGTCTGTTTTATTTTCTCTTTCTTTCTTTTGGTGTTCTTAGAGTTACTCTCATTTCATGAATCTTATTGTTGTTTTTATGAATTTAGGCAGTCAAAGAATTAAATATCAAGACCAAGAATTGGAAGGAGCTTTTAACAGAAGAACCATTCAAAAGAGCCGACCTTATAACAATTCAGGTAACACTAACCTCTTTCTCTCTGCTTGACGCTTTTCTTGCATGAGTGTCATTAGAGAGTATTTAATTGATTTTGGTAATGTCTTGTAGAATCCTAATGCAGTTGACAGCAAAGTAACTGTGGAGTTTGATCATGTTAAGAACGGCCTGAAGATCGATGATGAAGGTTTGATGCACTTTCTTATTCGACCAAGCAATTTATTATTGTATCATAATCCATGTTTTTTCTTAGTTACTTATGAGTCTATTCTCTGTGTGTTTTTGTACAGAGTTAAAGAAGATGAATTCAGATCCAGCTTATAATATTAACGTCTCTGGAGATATCAAGAACATGCTTGCAGATCTTGGATCTGAAAAAGCAAAGGAGATTGCTCTACACGGTGGAGGTGGAAACAAGGCACGTAACGAAAGAGCCGCTGCGATTGCTGCGATTCTAGAGTCAAGGTCGAAAATCAAAGAGGATAAAGCAGAACCAAAGCAGACTTACAGTGTCGTGGATGCTGCATCTGCTTCTGTTCACGGAAGAAGTGCTGATGCAGCTAGAGCTGGTTCTAGTGACAAAACAGCTGCAAGAATCGCTATGCATATGGCTGGAGATAGAGCACCTATTAATACTCAAATGGTTAGTTTCTTTCTTGTACTAAATCAACTTGGTTTTGAGCTTTGTGTGCGTCTTGTTAAAATGTGTGTTTTTTCTGTTTTTAGGTGAAGAGCCGTTATTCGTCGGGTGCTGCTTCTCGTTCTTTCACTTCCACTGCGTTTACTCCTGTCACCGAAAACGATTTCGAGCTGATCAAAGTCGAGAAAAACCCGAAGAAGAAAGGGTACGTTCAGTTTCGCACAACACATGGCGATTTGAACATTGAGCTCCATTGCGATATAGCTCCTAGAGCATGTGAGAATTTCATCACTCTCTGCGAACAAGGTTATTACAACGGAGTGATCTTTCACAGAAGCATCAAGTATATACGTGCCTTGAAATCTTCTTCTAATTTTTTTATTGGGTTTAAGATGCTTAATCGGGCTCTTATTGATTATTGAAACGTGCTGTTTATATAGGAACTTCATGATTCAAGGTGGCGATCCAACAGGCACAGGAACAGGAGGTGAATCCATTTGGGGAAAGCCATTCAAAGACGAGCCAAACTCGAAGCTACTTCACACGGGAAGAGGCGTAGTTAGTATGGCTAATAGTGGTCCACACACAAACGGTTCTCAGTTTTTCATCTTATACAAATCAGCTATGCATTTAAACTACAAGCACACTGTGTTTGGTGGAGTTGTTGGTGGTTTGTCAACAATTGCAGCAATGGAGAATGTACCTGTAGATGATACCGACCGGCCTCTGGTAAGTTCCAAAGACATTCACTCACTGTGTTTTTGAGTATAAGCAGCATTTTTTCTAGTTTCAGCCTCTGAGATTGTGTTTTGGAATTTCTGCAGGTGGAGATCAAAATAATCGAAGCAAATGTGTTTGTGAATCCATACACGGAGCCTGATGAAGAGGAAGAAAAAGAGAAAGAGAGGAACGAAGACAAAGACATTGTTAGTATCAAACTCTTCCACTTTACACAAGCTCTCCTCTTTTCTCTTGCTTTCGATTTGGTCTGATAAGACATTTGTGATGTATCAGGATAAAGTCGGGTCGTGGTACAGCAACCCAGGATCCGGAACAGCAGAAGCTGGAGCCGGTGCCGGTGGTGTCGGCAAATACTTGAAAGCTAAGAGTAATACAGCCACAAAAGACATTAGTAGTGCCATAGACTCTGATCTTGCAACCATTGGAGGAGTGTCTAAGAAAAGAAAAACAACCTCTGCTTCAGCCTCCACAGGGTTTAAAGATTTCTCTGGCTGGTAGGTGAAAACATTCTCCACCCAACGTCGTAAAACTGTTTGACTAGTCTCAAATGTTCAAAAGCATTAAATCTTTGATATTCAGTAAAAACGTTGATTAGAAATTATAATCCTTAATGGAGTGTATGAAAATCGCCTAATCTACAACAATGATCAGCACAAAGAGATCGGTAAGAGCATAGTTCGTTGTTTGTTTGTCTGTTTTTAAGGTAGATGCCATTTACTGTGCCAGTATATAGACACTCTCGACCACATCGGAAACCCGAAGTTGGACTCTAATGGCTGATCAGCTGGTCCTCCTATAACTAACGGTAGCCACACGTATCTCGAATCCCGCAAATCCGCCGGATTCCACCGATCCGCCATGAAGATAAACGCGCCGGGAACGCCCGGTAAAGGAATCACATAAGTGCTCTGAGCAAAGAACGTCGTTAACCGGAAAACCTTGTTACCCCCGATACACGGATTCCCCAGCTTCTCCCATGGACCCATCACCGACTCAGCCGCATGAGCCAATGCTTCATTTGGAGCCCAACCGGTGCACCAAGAAGTGACCATGTAATAAGTATCCTCATGCTTGAAGATCGCTGGAGCTTCCCTGTGCTGTCCAACCATGACTCTCTTCATAACCGGCGTCACGTCGAGGTAATCTTCGGTTAAGGGTCCGATATGAAGCACGCTGTTGACTTCAGACGAGTAAATCAGGTACGCAACACCGTCGTCGTCTTTGAAGACAGTCATGTCCCGACTATCGAACCCGTGTGGACGTTTACTGTATAGATACTCGAACGGACCGGTCGGGTTATCGCTGATGGCTACACCAACCGAAGCTTTCGTGTAGTTTGCATCGTCGATATGCATCCACATGACATACTTTTCCGTCTTTTCGTTGTAGATCACTTTTGGTCGCTCAAGAACATTTGATTTATGCAGATCATGAGTCTTGTTTGTTTCTTCAGCTCTAAGCACAATCCCTTCGTTTTTCCACGTCCACAAGTCTCTTGAAGAGTAACAACCAACACCTATAATATCAACCTGAAGACAAACAACACAAAGATCAAAAACTTATCCCCAAAATACCACCACCAAGTGAAAAAACAGTGCTACTACTTACTCTAGCTGGTCCTTTCTTGTGAGCGTGGTAGGTTGGTCCATCTTTATACTCACCATACCAATAGTAAATGTTAGACTTCTCGTCGTGGAGAATCCCTCCGCCGTGAGCTTGAATCGGATTACCTTCAGTGTCCATCCAGATTTTCCCAGGGAAGTAATGCAATGTATCGTTTCCCATATCCTTTGTAGGACCAAACGCGGCGGTTTCCATACCGGGGAAGAAGAGATGCCGAATCGGAGACTTCTCGTCGAGAAACTCCTCAACGAGAGGGATCGGTTTTCTTGATTTCCGTTTGCTTGTGCGGGGAGAACGCTTCCTAGGTGGCGGCATTCTCAGCATCTCTTCTTCGACTCTCACAAGCTCATGAACAATAGGATGATGATGGTGGCGATGATGGAGTTGTAAATGATGAGAAGGAGCTTCTTGGTGATCAATGTTGTCTTTTCTGTTGTAGAGGGAGAGGAGATGAGCCACAAGGAAGAATCCAACGACGGTCCATACTAAAGTGAGGAATGAGTATCTGCAACCTCCTGCATCATTGCAATGCAAAGATGTTGGTTTCTTATTGTGTTTGTTCTTCTTCTTCATTATCCTCTTTCTTTTCTTTTTTATCTCCAAGAAAACACTGTCAATAAACAAACAAACACCCCAAAACTCTGTAGATCCAAACAAAATATCTACTGATACAAATCACATCTTAGAAATCTCACGATCACTAGGAAACTCAAGCAATCAGAGATGCAAATTATATTCTCACACAGTTTTCAAATCTAATTCAAAATTCATCCGGCAGAAAAATTCCATATGAACGCATCAAGTCTGCGTTTCGAATTGATTAGTGTTAATTCACTAAGCTAAACAGTACAGCTCGATGAGTTATGCTGAAGCTATCAGATCCGAAGCTAACACCCAAACGAGAAGAAGCTTGACCCTAACAACTAACTAAGCTCTGTAAATCCGACGAAGTAGGAGACGGAATCATCGGAATCTTACCTGAAAACCCCCGGAGACCACCAGAAGCCGAATTTCCGGACATGTATGTAGAGGATTCGCAACTTAGCTTAGCTTTTCTCTGGATCAAACGCCAAAATCCGGAACTTCTCTCAGATGCTCCGCATCAGAAGGAGAAACTTGGTCTTGGGAACGAGATTAAGAAGCTGAATCGAGGAATTTAGAGCTCGATTTTCGAGAGATATGCAGAAATGGGTAAAGTGGAGTCTGGTTGAGATGGATCTATCAAGGGAAATGGAGAGAGTTAGAGGTTGTTTGATGATTTCGACTTGTGAACGAAGACGAGACTGATGATTCTAGTCTTCTTCTCCTCTGATTCAGCTCTGAATTTTTTTTGTTTTCTTCTTCCTCCGCGATTTTTTCCCGTTGTATTTAATAATTGAAAAAAAAAAGTGGCGTGGTGGTGAACTTGTGATTAAATTAGTGCAATTATCTCTCTGTTATCAATGTTTAAAAAAGTCTTCAACTATCTTTTTTGGCATATCATTGGTTAGTAATTTTCTCTCCCCATTAATCATTTACTTTAGTCTATATTAAGGATGAAATTACAGCTGTATTAAAAACTTAGCATAATCTTAGTTTCTTATTACTCAAAGTCATGCATCTTTTATAACGCATACTGTCATACACATGGAATGTGGCTTCTTGAGTGGTTGACAAATTCGTTTTCTACCTTTCACTCTCAAGTCTACTTATACATTCAACTAGATTAACAAAACTAAGCTCTAATGGAAATAAATGATAAAATATATGGTAGATGGTCATTTTTATTGAATGTATGTAGACAAATACTTGTTGAGTCGTACTTATTACAAATGTTTGATACAATGTCATATTTACATTTCTTAAATAACACTCGATATCTTTCACTGGTATTTTCCAAGATAAAAAACATATATAACATATACACTAACCACTATATACTCACGTGTCGTCTTTCCCCAGAAGAAATGGGATTAATCGAAAACCAGGCAAAACTCTTTCCTCTCTCCTGGAAAGCTTTAGCGAGGAAGAGCAAAACCAGGACCTTCATGACAATAGATAGAGCAAGCATCGATGCCCAAAGCCAATAGATCGAACCCTTAAAGGGTTTACATTGGTTAGAGACGATGCTCGATAACGTGTCTTTTAAGGCAAGGCATTGTGTTAGGTTTTGAAGAGATGGCAAGATGTCGAGCATCCCTTGAGCTGAGTTGCTGTAAGCATAGACCTTGAGGTAAGCTTCTTGGGTAATGAACTTTCCGGTGATTCTGCAAGTTTCCGGTGGATCCTTGTCGTGGCATGTGAATCTCGAAAGCATCTAAGAACACAAAAATTCACTTATATATTTGTCTTAAGAACATAATCCTAACCGAAAAAGAGTTAATAGAGATTCAAAAGACTTACATTTGGGAATTCACCGATTGGAATGGCGCCATTGGAGCAGCTTTGTGGTGTGTAGCTGTTAATCTGCTGTCCGACAAATGGATCACATATCAGTCCAGATTCCGGCGACGACGGGACTGTGTTGCTCCGAGCAGTTAGCGCATATGAAGAATGCATTGACTCTGCTACTTTTGAATTTAACTGAAACAAGAAACAGGGGGTTTTATATTTTACCATTAGCCATTGATTTATGTAACTACCCTATTAGTTTTAAATCGTTTTATACCTGGGTGATGAAGTTATGGATCATTAGGCTGATTACACCTAGGGTTTTATCAGAATGAAGAGGATCCATACAAGGGAAAAGACTAGTCAGCGAGTTGTTTTGAGGGTCTTGTACGAAGCCATTAATAGCTGAACAAACGTCTTCTGCGAAGCTGCATTGAGTGGAAAAATAGGAGTTAGCATCAGGAACAAGTGGTTTTTTTATGTTTTCGCATTTTAGGGTTTAGTTATCTTACGTGCAAAGGAAGAAATCAAATCCAGTTAGAGCCCAACAAAAAGTGGTTAAAATCCAACACAAGAAGATCACCCTGTTTAGGAACAAAGAATAAAGCAAGGAATAGTTTATTTTTTAAAAGGTTTAAAACCCAATTTAACAAGAAAAATGTTTGATTCGATTATGGATTTTGCTTACATGATGAATCCAGGATACCAATGAAGCAAGAGAGGAGCTGAGAGAGCAAAACATCCATTAAAACTAGTTTTCTACTAATCAGTCATGAATTTTTTAAAATCCTAAAAAGGATCACTAAATGTTGAATGAGCTCACCAAAGGCTAGAAGCAGAACGAACAAGTTGGTCGATACAATCATAAGATGAGTTACATACCTGATTTTTTTTTTTACATAGAGAGAAAACAATTAATGTTGAATTCTGAAACAGAGGAGATAAAAACAAGAAGAAGCTACTTACGAGATTTTGATGGCGAGATCAATGGAAGGACCTTTATGAAGAACGAAGCTTTGGATAAGGCGAGATCCTTTTCCGAGTCGATGAGTGGTGACATTGAGAAGATGAGTCGTTTTCTGATCGTACGGAAGCAACAAGTACTGTATTTTCGTTAACGACGTTATGACTGTTCGGATGTTTCTCTCAACATCTTCTCCAGCTTTGTCTATTGCTTCTTTCATCTCCTCTGTTCTGTTCTTCGCGTTCTGATTCGCTGCTATCACTATCCCTGTCGTTGCCCTATACATAGTTTATTCATTTTTTCATTTAATATTTATTATGTTTTGGGATTTAGATTAAAGTGTTTTAAATTTATAAGCTTACATGGAGAGAAGCATGAAGAGGAGAAGAAGTAAGAACAGAGGAATGTAGTAACGGTCAAGATAACGGCAGCGCGTGGAAGAAACACGTCTTCTTCTTCTTTTGTCGGAGAAAGCTACGTAAAGTCCGAAACAAACGCCGGCGATAATCAGCACTCCGGCGACGGCGTAACCGTGGATTCCGGTAAATGCCGTAGCCTGAGATTCCATTTATACCACTTAGTTACCATTTTAACAAATCCTCAATGTGAATCATAAAGTTAGAAGGAGAAGAAGAAGAAGAATAAGAGGAGAGACTCACTGCCCAGTAATGTTTGTTTCGGACGTCGAAACCTCCATTGTAATACCTAAAGCTGTTAAGAGGATCACGCCTCTTAAACCTCCCGTGATCTCCACCGTCCGATAACCCGGAAGCCGCCAAAACCGGAGAGATCACGGCCGTTAAAACTCCGATTATTCTTGATTTTGTCATGGTGAAGAAGTTGATGATCGATAATCATGTTCCTTTGTTTATAACTGTTTTTATTAGATTCTTGAAACAAAAAGAGATTTATGGAACCTTTTTTTTTATATATATATTTTTTTGTTCCCTTTCTTCTTCGTGTGTTTGGCTTACTTACTAAGGCAAGGATAGCTTGTGGCTACATTGTTCTTAAAAAGTTTTTCTTCTTTATTTTTGTTAATTTGAAGAAAGGAGAGTGATTAGAGTAACGTATCTCGAGCCGTTTTCTTTGGGTTTTTATTTGACTCGCTCTCTTCTTCATTTTTTGGTTTACTTTTTAACTAGAAAGGTAAAAAGAAGATGACAAATACCAATATATACACTTTATCTACAAAGTAGAGAAAATGAGGTCGGACGAAATATGTTTACAAATTACAAAATTCGACTTCGACATACAAACTTCTCAAATGAAAGAAGTTTGATCTTTTACTCTATCTCACAAAACAAAGTGTATAACCCGTTTCTAGTGGGCTTTAAAAGCCCATAATGAAACCCCAATATTAGGCAAAACGGCGCGTGTCACTGCAACTTCCAATCCAACTCAATATGCAATCCCCACCGCCAATTTGTCGTGGACGCGCCGCCACTCATTCTGATCATTGGCTCGTGTGTTAGCACGCGCCTCCTGGACGCGATTGGCTGTGTAATCTTCAAATTCCTTTGTTCTTCTTCCCGAACTTCTCTCTGTCCCATCGAATCTTTCTTCTGATTGGCTAGTGGCTACACACAAATTTAATAATTAACAATGTATATAGCTCCATGATTTTCGCTCTGTCACACACAGCTTCAGTTTCCCCTAATCAGATCGGGACCGTTAATCGTACGATTCAGAAGGACCTACGTAAATGTGACGGTCTAGATTTCCTGACTTTTTAAGTTTTAATTTGCCGGCCTCTCTCTCTTGCTGGGTTTTCGATTTTGACAGAAACAAAAAAATCTTTCATGAAATAATATCAGCAGCAGAAGAAGGCAAAAATACAAAAACAAAAAAAGAGAGAGAGAGAGAGAGGTAGAGAAAAGCCTTCCTTTTTTGCTCATAGATCCGTGGAGGAGAATTTCCAGCAGACCGATCTGTCGTCTCTGTGTCTTCGAATCTCTGTCTCTGTCGGAAACTTGAGTTTTTCTGAATCATAAATATGGGTTTGTGGGATGCTTTTCTCAATTGGCTTCGTAGGTCAGTTCCTATTTCCTCTTCCTTCCATTTCCATTTTTTTGGTTCGTGGGGGAATTTGATTTCTTCCCTTGGTATTTGAGTTCAATGGCAGGTAAAAATCGAACCATTTCCGCCGAATTTAGTCCTCATTTGTGATTTAACGACTAAATCAGGGCTTTTAGAAGAGCGTTTATTATTGATGCATTGATCATATTTGATGAGTTTCTTTGAGAGTAACTTTTTAAAAACCAACAGAGGAATAGCCTTACGGACACATCAATCTCTAGTTAAGATTAGAAAGCCAAAATTCAGCTTTGATGTGATCTTCAATCTCTCGTATAGAGTTGTGAATCATGTTTGTGTTAATGTTTAGACAATAGAGTTGGATATTCCATCTTGGAATCTAGATTGTTAATCAGTAGATGAAGATTGCTACACAAAGAGCAAAGCAAATGGTGTTGTGTGTGATGAGATTTCTTAAACTAGCTGTGAGAGGCTGAGAGCTGTAGCTATTTGTTGTAACCTCTTAAGTAACTAGTCTTGTTTTCAATATGCTTTTTTTGCAGCCTCTTCTTCAAGCAAGAAATGGAACTTTCATTGATAGGTCTTCAAAATGCAGGAAAGACATCACTTGTTAACGTTGTTGCAGTAAGTATGCTTTTCCCCATAAACCCTTCCTTCTATATATCTCACGTGAACACTCATTAACGACTTCCTCTTATCTTTCCTTGCACAGACCGGTGGATACAGTGAAGACATGATCCCTACGGTTGGTTATCTTTCCTCCTTATGCTGTTTACTTCAAGTAATGAAAGATTTGCTGGCTTTTAAACAAAAGGATTTCTCCTACTCTTTTTAGGTTGGCTTCAACATGAGGAAAGTGACGAAAGGAAGTGTCACGATAAAACTTTGGGATCTTGGTGGTCAACCTAGGTTCCGCAGCATGTGGGAACGCTACTGCCGTTCTGTTTCTGCCATTGTGTAAGCATCTAATGATTTTGTTAATTTTTGTTGGTCAGCTTAAAAGTTTCAGATGCTTCTTGACTCTTATCACAATTTGATTCTTCCTGCTGATATTATGATTCTAGGTATGTAGTTGATGCTGCTGATCCTGACAACCTAAGCGTGTCGAAAAGCGAACTCCATGATTTGTTGAGCAAGTCGTCGCTTAGTGGTATCCCACTTCTGGTCCTTGGTAACAAAATCGACAAGCCTGGAGCACTGTCCAAAGATGCCTTGACTGAGGAAATGTAAGCCGAAACAAAACAAAAGACTTTTGCTATTTTTTTTTACTTTGATTCTGATCATTTTCTCTCGATTGTTTTTGCACAGGGCACTCAAGTCTCTTTCTGATAGAGAAGTATGTTGCTTCATGATATCTTGCAAGAACTCCACGAACATTGATCAAGTGATTGATTGGCTTGTTAAGCACTCCAAGTCAGCGACCTAAGCTCTGCTCCCAGAAGAAGAGAACTCTCTACCAAGTTCTTGATATGCTCTCAGTCTTCCTGTGTTTGATGATGGTGATGTTGGAAGAAGACAATTTTTTTCTTTTCAATCCTGTGAAAAAAAACAAGATTTGTCTTTGTTTTCTTCTGATTCTGTATTCTCCTTCTGCGTCTGCTGCTGTTCCCTGTAATCTGTATACTAGATTTGATTGGTTTTCTTCTTCTTAAGCAATGAGATCATTCACCTTCCTTCAGGGTCGGATTTGTCAATTTTACGAATTCACTGAATATACTGAAAGAACAAAAAACATGAGACGTATTTCATAATTATAAAACATTTAGAGCGATAAATGCAAAAACGGAGATTTTAGTGTAGCGATAAGATAAAAAACAAGGCTCACTTCGTCACTTGCACTATCCTAGCAACAATGGATGCTTCGGTGGTGAGATTTTCGCAATCGCCGGCGAGACTGCCGCCGGAATTTGAACCAGATATGGAGAAGATTAAACGGAGGCTGCTAAAGTACGGTGTTGATCCTACTCCCAAAATCCTAAAGACTCTCCGGAAGAAGGAAATTCAAAAATACAACCGGAAAACCAAGCGCCAAATCGATTCCGAGGCGGAGGTGTATACGGAGGCGCAGAAACAATCTATGGAGGAAGAAGCTCATTTCCAAACCGTAAGGCGGGAATTCAAGCAATTCAATAGAACCATTTCCGGGAAAAGGGGCGGCGAAGGGGGAAGGATTGACGGTGGTTTGATGGTGGGGAATCCATGGGAAGGAATCGAGAGAGTGAGATTGAAGGAGCTCGTCAGTGGTGTCCGGCGAGAAGAGGTCAGTGGTGGTAAACTGAGGAAAGAGAATCTAAAAGAGCTTAAGAAGATACTTGAGCAGGATCTCCGTTGGGTTCTCGATGACGACGTTGACGTAGAAGAGTACGCGTTGGCGGGAAACGAAGACAGAGATTTTGATCCTGCAAAGCGGTGGCGTAACGAAGGAGAAGCCGTCAGAGTTCTCGTTGACAGGTCTCATACTATTTTCTTCTCATTTCCTTAATTTGATTGAAGAGATTTTTTTTTGTTAATTCTGTTGGATTGATTGTGGATTAGATTGAGTGGTAGAGAAATCACTGAGAAGCACTGGAAATTTGTGAGGATGATGAATCAATCAGGGCTTCAGTTCACTGAAGATCAGATGCTTAAGATTGTTGATAGATTGGGACGTAAAAAGAGCTGGAAACAAGCTTCAGCTGTTGTTCATTGGGTGTATTCTGATAAGAAGCGTAAACATCTCAGGAGCAGGTGATGTCTCTCTCTGGCGATTTTGTTCCTTTGTTCATTGATTTCATGGGAGTGTTGGACTATTATTAATCGAAAGATCTTTAACATTTATAGGTTTGTTTACACGAAGCTTTTGTCTGTTGTTGGGTTTGCAAGGAGGCCACAGGAAGCTCTCCAGATATACAATCAGATGCTTGTAAGTGACTTCTGATTTTGAGTCAATTTTGATAACAAGGTTGATGCAGATGAACATCATACAATAAGCATTTTGGTTGCAGTTTTTGGATTAACTCTCATCCTTTAGTCACTTTAGGGTGATCGCCAGTTGTATCCTGATATGGCGGCATACCACAGTATTGCTGTAACACTTGGTCAAGCTGGTTTTTTGAAGGAATTGCTGAAACTAATCGAGTGTATGAGACAGAAACCGACGAAATTAATGAAGAGTTTGCGTCAAAAGAACTGGGATCCTGTGCTTGAACCCGACGTGGTTGTGTACAATGCTGTAAGTGAGCATTTTCGAGTTGTGAAACGTAATCGATATCTGTATGCAGGGAATCACTGTTGATCCGTTCTTGGCTTAAATGGTTTTCCAGATTCTGAATGCTTGTGTTCCGTTACTCCAATGGAAGGCTGTTACATGGGTATTCATTGAGTTAAGAAAAAATGGTCTGAGACCTAATGGAGCTACATATGGACTTGCAATGGAGGTAAGTAATGATCTTGTTTTCCATTGCAAACACTCAAATATGTATTCGGAGCAGTCTTGAAGATATGCTTGTGACAGGTTATGCTGGAGTCAGGGAAGTATGATCGTGTTTACGAATTCTTTAGGAAGATGAAAAGCAGTGGTGAAGCTCCAAAAGCAATTACATACAAAGGTAGCTATTGGTTCTCTTTGTTTCTAAGTATCTTCTTTTGTGGTATTTGTGAGGTGATGATTCTTAATAGCGTTTGATTGATTCTCAGTTCTAGTCCGAGCTCTCTGGAGAGAAGGCAAAATCGAGGAAGCTGTTGAAGCAGTCAGAGATATGGAACAGAAAGGAGTTATAGGATCAGGCTCAGTTTACTACGAATTGGCATGCTGTCTCTGCAGTAACGGGCGCTGGCGTGATGCAATGCTTGAGGCAAGTTCCTTCATATCTTTACCCTCTTTGCTTCTCATATAAAACCGAGAAATTAACTTTCTTCAGAATGCGTTTTTTGCAGGTGGGGAAGATGAAAAGACTTGAAAATTGCAGGCCGCTCGAGATCACCTTCACGGGACTCATAGCGGCTTCACTGAACGGTGGCCATGTTGATGATTGCTTGGCTATATTTCAATACATGAAGGATAAATGCGACCCGAATATAGGCACCGTGAACACGATGCTGAGAGTTTACGGAAGGAATGATATGTTTATGGAAGCTAAAGAATTGTTTGAAGAGATTGTCAGAGAAAAAGAGACTCATCTGATGCCAGACGAGTACACATACAGCTTTATGCTTGAAGCTTCAGCTAGATCGCTCCAATGGGAATACTTTGAGCATGTGTACCAGACGATGATTCTTTCCGGATATCAAATTGATCAAACGAAACACACACCAATGCTTATAGAAGCATCAAGAGCTGGGAAGGTAACGAATCTTCACATAGTTAAGCTTTATATTAGTGTTTATGGAAGCATGAGCTGTGTAAATTTTGTATGTAAATGCAGTGGACTCTTCTAGAGCACGCCTTCGACGCAATTCTTGAAGATGGAGAAGTCCCTAACGCATTGTTCTTCACCGAAATGTTGTGTCATGCGACAGCTAAAGGCGATTACCAAAGAGCGATCACGCTGATCAACACGGTGGCTCTCGCTTCTTTCCAGATCAGTGAGGAACAATGGACCGATGTTTTCGAGGAGAATCAAGACCGGGTTACTCAGGAGAAACTACAGGAGCTGTCTGATCATCTCCTTGACTGTGAGTATGCAAGTGAACCAACGGTCATAAACCTCTCAAAGTCATTGAATTGTCTTTGTGGGTCTTCTTCTTCTTCTTCAACGAAACCGTTGTTAGCTATTGATGAAACAACTCAAAGTCACAGCGAGAAAACAGAGGAAGATTTGCTTCTTCAAGATACAACAATGGAAGATGCTAATGGTGAAGCTTGGGAATTTACGAAGACTGAACTAGAGACGTTGGGTCTAGAACAACTCGAAATTGATGATGACGATGAAGATTCTAGTGAATCTGATTCACTTTCAGTTTATGACATTCTGAAAGAATGGGAAGAGACTTGAAAATGCTTGTAAATTTCTCAAAATCTTCAATCTAGTAAAAGAGAAAAAACAAGTTCTAAATTTCCTTTCTTATTCATCTCTCTTCAAACCAGTTTCAACATTACTAAGCAGATCATAAACAAACAGAACAAAAACAAAAAAGGACTCAGGTTTTACAGAATCTCAGAGTTAACAACATACACATATGATCAAACCGCGGATTTACACTGTTACTACCTAAAAAAAGAGAAGAAAGGTTTTGAAAACTTTTAAACTCTGCAGGTGACTGAGATTTCTACCACCTGATTCAAGATTGAACCGGTTATGTATATATAAAGGGCTTGCTCTGTTATACAACTTCCCCATGATGGCTTCTTTTCTTACCAAGTATGATTACGGATCCTGAACTTGAGAGCTTTCATGGCTGCTTTTGCAAATATCTGAGCAGCTTCAGCTTCCGCTTCTGCTCTCTCTGCCTCTTTCGCTGCTTCTTCAGCTTCTGCAATGGCAAATTCCGCCTCTGCAACTGCTATTGCAGCAGCTTCTGAAGCTTCTTGCGCTGTCATGCCATTTATCTTAACTAACTCTCCGTCTACTCGAGACTTGGTGAGAAGGTTGGCGCCGTTCTCCTCGGGTTTTGGTGTGTCCTTTTTGTTGTTTCCTTCCAAAAGAAGCTGTCTTGCTCCTACGCTAATAAATTGAGTAGGAATCCTGTACTTGTGCTTTATCTGAAAGTGAAAGATCCAAAAGTAAGCATTTGAAATGATGAAAGTGTTTGTAAGCATGGAACTTGAAACAAAAGTTGTGAGCTACCTTAACTAATGGTCCATTTGATGATAAATGCTTTAATCTTACTGCCACATGCCTTTTCATATACGGCGGAGTCTTGAAATTCTCCTGAAATTTTGCAGCTATTAAGCAAAACCCCCAAAGAAACATAAAATTCTAAATGGTAGAGAGAGTTACCTCTATATACAGAAAGATAGATGTTCTGTCAGATCCGCGTGGTTCCTTCAAGTTAGTAATCGCCTCCAAGATGATCTTATCCAAACTATACAAGAACAGACAATAGCTCAAGATCTAATCTTAAGAATCTTTATGTGGTGCATGAGTCAGGACTTAGCATGAACCAAACCTTGTAATTGATCTCTTTGAAGCAATAGTTCGAGGAGATCCACCACCAGAACCTCCAGGCGATGTTGGATTAGCCTGTTCTTCGCCATTGGCCAAAGGCACAATGCTAAGAGCTGTAGTGTTGTTATCATCCTGTTTAAGAGCTGGTGGAGTCCTTTTAAGAGCAAGTTTAGCCTTCTTCCTTGAACCCCATAACGCTGTGACGCTTATATTTCTCCACTTGTCCTGTTTACGCTTTGAAGTATCAAGATCACAAACTCAAGTGCCATGGTTTCTTGTTTCTGAGTTGTATTTGTTTACCTTGAGATCAACATTTGAGCGAGACTTTAGAATTGAACTAAACTCAAGATCTGAGAGTATCGTACGCCACTTCCCAGTCCCATGCTTAAGCACTCCAGCTTTAAGGGCTGCTTCTTCTTCCGGTGTCCACTTCTGCTTTGGGGCACCCATCGATAGTTACTAAAAGTGTTGGTCAAGAAGTTGAGATACTTCTCTTTTCTGCCAAGAGATCAAAACACTACAACCTTTAGATTATATGAAATGGGTTGTGAAGAAAATGTTTCACATCTATGAAGCTTGACAACAAGCTACATAATTGTTGAACATTAAACTATTCTCTCATTCACTAGAATCTAAATTTGGACCATTTGAACAAGCTTCGTACAATTCCAAGAACTTGTGCTAGACCTTATATAGCAATTTGTGGATGCTTTTGCCATTTTCAAGTAATATTCTACACAACGACTACAATGTAGATCAATTTAATCCAGCATATACACAACATAAAGATGTAATCACAAGACTGAGAATTAGATACCCACAAAGCACAATTCAACAAAATAACGATTGATTCGAGCGAATTCTAACCAAAAGAGGATAAAAAATCCTATTTTTTCCAGTAATTTTACCAAGAAAAGAAAATCATTATCGACTTGATAATCGATGGAAGTTCCGCCAAAACCATACATCATAGACGAATCATCCAATACAAAAGCAAATCATTGACCAAAATCAAATGCGAAGATTGCGGAAAACGAGATATCTCAAAATGGAACCCAGAGAACAAAAAAAGAAACCAAAATTGAGGATGGAGGGGAAGAAGCATGCCCGATTAAACGGAAGCAAAGGAGAGTTTCCGAGAGAGGCACTCGATGATGAAAGTTAATTCTCCGTGTAGATGTGTCATGGATCAAATGTGAATCTCAGAATTTCGCTGAAACGAACGAAGAAGAAGACCATTGAGTAGTGCAAGGAAGAATATCCATAGAAATGAACAAAAAAAAAGCCTTGAGCTTTCTGTTGTATCAAAATTACACAATAACACCTATTAAAATTACGAAGGATATTGTAGCCCTATATTTCTCCAGATCCATAAATTTGCCTCACATTGTATGAAACTACACAAAACACCTTAATAATAATTATCTTCTCAATGATTATTTAGCTTACTAGTTGAAAACCTTAATATATCAATGATATTGATGCCAGTAATTTTTAATATTCTAATTCCAAAGAAAATTAAAGAAAATTAGGAGGGTTGGGGTTAGTTGATCTTACAGACAATTTAGGGGATATTATGGATATTTATATAGTTCGAAGACCGATAGGATAATTTAGCAACTGTTTGATGGCTGATTTGAAAATTTCTCAGTTTTTAACTTTTCCCCTTCCTTTCGCCATTTTCATCAAATCGACGGGAACAAGAGAAATCGAAAAGCACAGAGATTTTCCAGATTTCTCTTATACGTGACGATGGCGCTTCGTGCTACTCAAGGGACTGGCCGCATCGCGGCAGCGCTCCGGCGTGTCGCTAGGCCTTTCGCTACTGACGCGGTGGTTGAGTCGGATTACAAGCGTGGGGAGATCGGAAAGGTCTCCGGAATCCCAGAGGAGCATCTTACCCGAAAGGTACATAAGCATTCGATTTCCTATAATTGGGTTTAGGGAATTAGGGTCTCTCCGGATTGAAATGCGGAATAACGAAATCGTGATCGAAGAATTAGCCTTTGTCCGATAAATTGAGCTAGATTGTCTTCTTTTAGCTTGCTAAGATATGTTTATCAGTCGATTGGTGATATTGACCTAAGATATGTGGAATTTACAGGTGATAATATACTCACCAGCTAGAACAGCTACCCAGCAAGGATCTGGAAAACTTGGAAAATGGAAGATTAACTTCGTCTCCACCCTAAAGTATGCAACTTCTTCGTTCAACCTCCATAACTCCTTAGTTTTCTATCGTAACTTCAAGATAAATCTATTAGTAAAATGGTTTTTCGATCATCTGTGGATTCACCTTGAGATGCATGTTATATCATCTTCAATCTTCATATGAGTTTTATGCTTAATGTCCTATCATTGCAATGCTAAATTCGAGTTCTTCGCTTTCTCAATTAGCAGTCTAATAGCTTCTGGTTTCACTTATTCGATCTCTCTCTATGGCATTGATGTTTTTGTAGGTGGGAGAATCCATTGATGGGATGGACTTCTACTGGAGATCCCTATGCCAATGTTGGTGACTCGGCTCTTGGGTTCGATTCTGAAGAAGCTGCAAAGTCATTTGCTGAGCGTCATGGTTGGGATTATGTGGTATGTTTCCTCCTTCATTGTTATTGCCTCAGTTTTTTTCTTGTCACATTCACATTTTACGAGAATATCATCCTTGATATAGAATCTAAGTACTGATATATACATATCTTACTCGTGGCAGGTCAAGAAGCCTAAGACGCCGTTATTGAAGGTTAGTAACTATCTTTTAGCTAATGCCTCGTATGACTAACAGAGCTCAAGTTATAAGAAGTGTTTAAGCCTAATCTGAAGATCAAATCTCCTCCATCTAAACTCCTAGAATCCTTGAATTCTGAAAGATTTGAGTTGTTGTTTTTATCTATAGCTTACGATTAGTGCCATTTAAGAACTGCTTAACTGCTTTAGCACTTACCCCGTACGTTAATGGTTCATCTAACATAACTGCAGGCTAAGTCCTACTCGGACAACTTCAAGTGGAAAGGCTTTCCTCAACCAGAGAACTGATCTTCCTTCGTCTTCCATTTCTCCATCAAAAGGATAATAATGGATTCTCATTTTTCTTTGTTATCTAGCACCTGTGAGCTTTTGTATGAATTATCACTACCCTTGGTTGAATTCTTATTGTATGTTTCCTTGTTGCAATAATATGATGACGACAAACACTCCTTTGATACTTCATCAAGTTTTTCTGAATCATTTACTAGTTTAAAACTTTCTCAATAATTTCGATTATGTGTGAAGGAAAGAGAGAGATGATAATGATCGAGTCAATAATCCATAAGATAACAAAATATAAAGACAAATTCGAAACGAAAAAAAAAGATAACAACATAAGAGAGATTGTTGAAGGTGAAGGAGACACAAGTCTGTCATTAACATTACATATAATCAAATAGAAGAATCGTTGACTCAATCAACGCATAATCCTCATCCGATTAGAAACAAGCATCCAAGAGACAGCAACAGCAGAGCGCAGCCAAACTGTGATGTATATGTATAAAACAGAGCAGCACAATTTTAGTATCATTCCACTGAGAGCTAAATAAAAAAACAATAAACCAAAAAGATTAAGAGAGATCAGATCAAGAACATACCATCCTTCAAGCATACCGGCTTGTGGCTTTTGCTGAGGAGCTTGAGAGTACTGCGGCGGAGGATAACCTTGCGCAGGGTATCCCTGAGCATATCCCGGCGGCGGATAACCGGCTGGAGGATAACCCGCCGGAGGGTAAGCGTCCTTAGGAGGATATCCTTTAAACCGGAATTCAAGAACAAATTAAACCACCAGCGAAGATCATAAATCGCAAACGAAAAAGAACAAAAATTACCTTGTGGTGGAGGAGCACCGACTGGATGTTGTTCTTGATGATACATCTTTCTTCTTCTTCTTTTCTTCTTTGATTTGAGTTCTTTGAGCTTTTTTCTTTCTCTCTCTTTAAAGCAAACTCTGTTTCTTTCCTTTATAGCGAAGCAATGCCGGTGAGGAATTTTTTTTTTCTTTTGTCAAATACATTTTTCTTTAAATTTTTAATATTATTGGATTAGTGATATCATAAAGCAGAAACTACAGAAAAAATATTCCTAAAAAGTCTTTCATGCATCATAAATTTCTTTTGAAAATTAGGTGATTTATATCTTGACACTTGACCGTACAAAACATTCAACAACTACTAGAATTAAGTAACTAACGCATGTTAAAACTATTTTTTTTTTTGTTATTTCACGGTATTTTAAACAATGAACAGGTTGCATGATGTGTATTTCGGAAAATCAAGCAGATTATTTAAAAGGAAACTGTTAAAAATTAAACTGATTACTAAAATTGACGGTCAATTTTCTTCATCGTTTTCCTTGTAGTCTTGTACTAGAGACAATAACAAAAGCCCTTTTTGGTTGTCGGCACAAAAACCAAATCTAATACGACCTCCTCGCTTAAATAAAAAGTTAAGAGAAAAATTTCAGAATTCCAAAAACAAGATGATTTTTATCCACCCACATGACAGTCCAGGTTCCCATGACACTGATAATCTCATTAAATATTCGGATAATAATACCACTATTATAAGATTCACATCATCATAGAAAAGTAGAAACCATTAAAGATCCCTAACAAGAAACGATGTTCGTTGCATTGTCTACACACAAACATGATACAACCTAAAAAACCAATTAGGATCGTTACAACAAATCGTGGCAATGTCATCCACAGAAAAAAAAAAGCTAAAACACTACCAAAGTCATAAATAAGAAGCAAAGCAACTTTACCTACAAAGTTCTTTTTCTCTCTAAACCGGTTTGGTTCAGAACCAACCCAACCATTTCCGAGGCCGGTCTTTGCTACCAGACCCTTTTCTTGGAGCTACACTGATCCTATCCGCATTTGAAGCTGCCCATCTGCTAAATTCAGGCGAAGAAACCAATTCTTTAACCGCCTTTGTAGTGCTGTCCTTAGTGAGCTTCTTCCACTCTTCTTTAGATAGTTTGGTCCTTTCAGGAGTTTTATGGAAAGTGGAAGCGAAAGTATCTGACTCAGACGGTGGAGCTCGTCTCATCCCTGAGGAAAAAAACATTAAACAGGAAGCTTATTTATTGGTTTCAACTTGCGTTTGAGATGTGTTTTAAGAGAGATCACAAACTAACCTCCTGATGAAGAAACACGGCTGCCAAATTCAGAAGCATCAGGACTCTTTTGCATGAAGTCATGTAGATATCCAGGGACAGCTGGTACTTCAGCATAACGAATTGCCTCCCAGATTCCTATCAGTAAATTCATTGGAATCCTGTGCAAAAACAATATTCAATACTGTGAATTTTCAGGGATAATAGCTGCGTAATGAAGAGATCAGTTGCAAACTCACTCAAATAAAGGTAGTAGAAACTTCAATCTAGAGATCTTCTTTAAACTCGATGACACAATAATCACAGATATTAGTGATCCTCCAGCAAGCAAAGGATCTATGGAGCTCTGTAAACAATAGATTCTTGTCAAATGATGATTGTCAATTGGTCAAAAGGAAAATGTATAGCTTAAGGGACACTGGAAATAGTTAACCTGCAGAATCAACACCGCGGCCAAAATCCGGATGGACCAAGAAACGAATAGTGAAGTGCTTATGTCAATGGAGCCATCTTCGGTCAGAACCAGTTTCCTCACAGTCCAGAATCCAAAAAAGGCTCCACCCAAAGATAGAAACACCCCCACGAAAATCGCTACCTGCAGAACCAAAATGCGAGAAAAAGGAAAATCCTTCTTAAAACGAAGTTTAACATTGGGGTTTCTCAACCAGCATATATTGACAGTATCAAAACTTACATACAGGTGTATACATTTCTTCGTCGATTCCCATCTCTGTTAGCAGAGTTTGAAATAAACCAGGTATGTAGCGAAGAAGGAAACCACCTACACCAAGCTGGCCGAAAGAAGAAAGGAAACAAATCTTGTCTTAGATAAAACAAGGAGGTTGGAGAAAATGGGGAGCACAAGAAGAAACAAATTATTGAATAATCACCAGGGAAGAGTATATGAATAATGCAAACGAGCTCCGTCCAGTTGGTAGAAGCTTCATCCCCTGTGTACAAAAACGAAATTTGGAAGTAAATACCCTCTCTTTTACGGATTAACACAATAGGACACACTGAACAAGAGAAAGGAAGTTACCTGAAAGAGAACCAGCAGCACAACAAGGAGAATGCCAACAGCCATGGCACTACTATAGTAAAAGACTAATGAGTTGCTCAGCGTAGAGGCCGAAGCCAGCAAAACGCTACCAAGGATTAGGAACACTATGCGGTACATATAGAATTCTGCAAGGAAAGAAAACAGAATTTATAAATTAGAAAACAGAACCAAATGCAAAACAAGAAAAGGAAGAAAAAAGGGAAACAGGAAAGTCACCTTCAACAGCAGAGACTTCCAGAGTGACATTGGATGAGCTAGCACTTCTTACATCAAGCACTTTGTGGTCGAAGGGTGACATTGTCTGAATCCATAAACCTTTAGAAACTTTCTCCCACCGACTCTGAGGGCACATTCCGACTGCACGCGACAGATTCCTTCAAAGATACAAATCAATCGAAAACATTAGTGATATAGGAACAGAGAGCTACGAGATCTAATCAATCATACATTGTTATCTTCTATATCAAAGAACTTACAGAGACTGGTTTGGACTACAAAAGATTCATACTATCAAGACAAAAAAAGAAAAGTGAGCTGACCTGTGGAAGCAAACGTCGACATTACTGATTTTCCCACTGGTTGAGGCGTTAACGATTAGCTTCAGAGAATGTGCATACTTGTCCATATGTTTAAACCTTCGAAGTCCACGGATGTGTATCCTCTCACATAGAGCTGTTCTATCTGGCTTCAGTCCAGGAGAAGCCTTAACCTCTACACTAGGAGTCACTTGAATCTCATTGGTTTCTCCCACAACTGTGCATAAATTAGACACCACAGAGATGAGAAAACAAAACCACGATTCAATTGTACGCATCTTATAACAACCCAAAGCTGATAATTTTCCGTGTAAAAAACCGAAATTCTTCAACTAGATTAGTAATGTATACACCAATTCGTCTTAGTAATCTAAAATAATCAAAATTTATGATTCTTAACACAACCTAAAACGGAGGAATCAAATATAATCGAGATTTGAGTACCAATTGGAAAAATTAACTTACTCTCTCAAACTTACTGAAGCGAGAGAGGATCATAGAACCCTAGATTCCTAAAATTTCAACTTCCAATTCGACAACCCCAATCCCCAAACCGCATGATAAAGAGAAAAATAAGAGAAAACTTACCGAACAGAAGTTCATCAGATGAGACGAGAGAGGAGAAAGCAAAGAGGTGTAGCAAGACAATCCCAACAGCGACGCTGGGGAGTCGGAGAAGACGAGAATCACCCATCGATTTCTGGGTTTCAGGAGAAAACAGACGACGAAGAAAAGGTTTAAGTGGCGCGGATTTGAATAACAAGGAAACCTGAGGGCATTTATTGTAAGTTTGTAACTGAGAAGCAAAACATGCGTCAGTTCTCGATATTGTAAATGGGCCTTTAGTAGCCTAGTTGTGGCCCATTCTTTGAAGTTCATGATATGAACAAATCTGGTTATTGATTTGTGTGTATGGTACACCGTACACATATGTAGTTATGACTTGGGTCCAATGCGTGATGCTTACAAATAAGGTTGCTTCGCTAACCTAAGGTCGGATTATTTAATGAAACTGAAAATGATTGAGCCGTTAATTACGTTACGTCTAGTTAACTGAACCAAGGGGAAATTATGCATCAGTCATTGGTTTATTGACTTCACAACTATGATTGACAAAAGAAAGCCGACCAGCTGAGCTGCCAAACACATTTTATATAAAGCAGTTACATTTTCTTTTTCTATAATTGCAAATGAATAACTTACAAGATTCTGACTAGTTGGTTTTAAAACATGGCTACACACCTATCATTCGGTTAGTTGATCAGTGGTTTACGCCTAACATCGTTCTGATTGGATGTTTCGATAATATTTATGTTGTTACATAGTAAAATCCAATTAGATCGAACACAACAACAATATCCACTAGTCCAACGAACTGTCGGTTTACATAAGTATTTAAGGGAAGTTATTTTGCAAGTCAATGCGACCGTATAAACAGGGAAACAAATTAATTAATGATTTGTGCGGTTTTGAATCTGAAAATGTTTTGATGATGTTGCAATTTGCAAATAGTAGACCAAGCGATTTTAAAGGTATCAGATATTTAAATCGTTAGAACAATTAAAGTTCTTGAAAATATTATTAGAAACTGAATCTTTTCATTAACAATAACATCGCTCTACATAAAACATTCAATGTTGTCGGATGGGTGCTTTAAGGAATATCTACGCTTTTAAAGAGTTTCTCTCACGAGGATCCAAATTCCGGAATGCTGCGTAAAGCTGGCCTCCATCCACCGCCTCCTCTTCTTCCGCCGTGGCTCCGCCTCATAAACCCATCTCCACCGTCTTCTTCGGCGACCTATAAGATCCAAAATGATCAATCAACGTGATCTTTGATTCATTTATGCATGTGAACGATATGCATCATACAAAATATTCTAGGATTCAAAATAAAAGCTTAAAAAATGATCAAAACTCAAAAGCAGAGCATTGACATGCACTTACCGTGTCATTAGCCCCATCTTCTTTCAGATCCGAATTAGGGTTGGTCCGACCCGTTTCCCGATCCGTCTTTTTCCCATGTTTCGTCTTCTTCTTCAGCTCAAGCCCTCCTCCTTCTTTCAATAGCTTCCCAAGCTTCACACATTTCTTCGTCGCAAACTCGTTCAAAACCTCTGCACATAAAACAAAAAGTTTTATTATTCAATAAATAAAATCTAATAGTATGAAAAAAACAGAGGAATTGAAAATAAATAGATAAGACAGAGAGAGATCGAAAGTATGTATGTATACCTTCGAAGCTGACGAGGCGATACACATGTCCGATGAGTAAAGTGTCGTCAGGACGAAGGAGCTTAAGCTGCTTCAGTGGCGATCCTTTCTCGTTTCTCTGTGTCGTTGACGTCACCACCACCGCAACGTAATGGCCAGGATTGGATTTCATGACATCACTCGCTGTCACCGACCAGTAAATCCTCTCCACCTTGTTCTCCGCCGGATGATGGATCACAACCGTCGCTGCCTCAGCCGCTTGACAATTCCCCATTTTTTTTTGTTCTCACCCAAATTTGTAAAAGAAGAAAAGAAGTTTGATCTTTGTTTGGTCCTTTCTGAAATTATATAACGGAAGAAAGTTATGAAAATAAGAAAAGTTTTCAGGTTTTTAATAAACAGTGACGTCAGAATTCTTCATACTTTTGGGATTGTCAGGTTTGACAAAGAGGTCGCTGGAGATCGATAAAAACGTTTTAGCAAAACTAAAAAAAAAAAAACAAAAGCAGAGGAAGAAACAGAGAAGAAGTGTAAACTAAAATGTCGACGGAGATTAAGCTATGAGAAGAATAAATAAAGAGGTTGGGGGTGGTCGATCTATTTAATTCATAAAATTTAATGATAATGACAGATAAAATGCCATGGGAATTTAATAAATGTTATTCAGGATCTTGCATATCGCAACAAATGAGTTGATTAACAGTATGTGTAATTCTCTCGAATTATTAAGTTGACCAGAGTTTATGGTATCTAATTTAAGCCTAAAAGGCTAAACCAGACTGTAAATTTAATAATGAACCATCTTCTCACCAATGCTATTCAACAATTTACATTTGGAAAGTATTGACGCTTTGATAACTATTTAGAAAATTTTCAAATTATCGATATTTTTGATAAAAAAAAAAAGGTTTTCTTGTTTTGTTTTGTTTTTAATTTTATATACACATTTATTGTCGTATGTATTGAGTGCGGCTTTAGGGCTTTAATGTGCGATATGACGCTCCAAGTAATATCCGAGCAACACGTAAAGCTGAGTTACAATTTACATATTTAAATCATTAAATGTACTTGATATTTACAAAATCTTTGTTGAATATTCACGTGAACATAAGAAACTCAAATGTCATATATCAAAATATTTTTCATGTTTACTCATGAGTACTTTGGACTTTTCTGCATGAACCATGTAGTTTTCACTAGCTCAACTTAATCCCATTTTTTAAAATAATTTTGTTTTAACTTCCCAAATCTCGTTTCATTTCAGGAGTATATGAATAAGAAAATATTACAGTAATTGCGGTTTCCATATTTACAAAGGAAGCGTGTTGATTTGGAGTTACGGTAACAGTGACTAGTGAGAGAAAGATAGTGTGGGACCCAAAGCGAGTCGAATCAGATTGTTTGACAACCGTTGGATTCACGTAGTTCTCATTCTGGAGCGTCGGATTAATAAACGAGGTATATGATACCCTACCATAATGGCAGTACCAAAAAGACACTGCAACTCTTTAGTGTCTCTATTTTCGATAGATTTTGTTCGTTGTTTTTAAAAAGATAAATGGTTATTTTTTAATTGTTCATCTACCGTTTCAGAGCGCTTGAATTAGTTCATCACCGCCTGATATTGTAGCCCATTTGGTTTAACCGTTTAAGGCAAGACGGTGAACGAGGAAATTTAAGTTCATTACCTTTTAGTACAAAACAAAAGAAAGAAAGATCTTATCTTAATTACCTTTAATATTGGATTTTAACCACAATGCTAATTTTCTTTTATAATTTCACCAGCGTGTACGTTAGTAAACGAAATCAACCCCTGAGTTAGGACTTTTGATCCATTTCTTTGGCGGCTTATCGTTAACTCTTGTAATTATCCGCTTGTTTACTTTTTAGAAACTACAAGAAAAGAGAGAACAAACGTTTTTTCCATAAAATCAGTTAATTTTTCACTAAATAAGTTGATGAAATTGACCAAACAAGAAAATTAAATACGTTACACCAAAACACGCCACCAAAAACCGATAAAGTCTGGTAAGAGAACACTCGAAATTAATTTACTCTGATGGAAAAACAGTAATGCGTGTCAAAATCTGCTCTGTGAGGAAACAAGACACGCGCATACACCTGTAAAGCCCATGCCATCTCTTGACTCTTGACGACCCAGACTAAAATATTAAAATAGAAACAAAATCAATAACCAAGTTCTAAAATGCTTCTTACTAAACCGATCCATAGTCAAGTCAAACACTCATTACAGCTTTTTTAAATAACTCCAAACATAAATCCAAATCACATAGATAGATATCATAACACAGATGGAATCCTCAGGTTTGCATATCATCTTGTTCGTCTTCTGCAGCAGCTTCACCGGTTTCGACTTGTTCACTGAACATATACTGACTCTGATACTCAACAAGATACTGCCTCGACCTCCCCACATCCAAGAACAATCGATAAACTCTCTGAACATCCTCACTCTCCACCACTTTCCCTTTCCGTTTCTGGCAAGACAATGCAGCCGCAGTAATCAGATGAATCGCATACCTTAGAGAAGTTTCGCGTCCGATCACCGTCAGAAGCTGCTTCGCCTCTTCGTCCATCTCCACGTCCTCCTCTTGGCAACGGATCTCTAAGATCTTCCTTATGTCTTCGTCCGTGTAAGGCTGAGTTGTGATGATGAGAAGACGGTCGAGGAGATCGATCGGGATCCCGTGCGGCGATTTCTGGTTTGTTCCTCGGATCGTCGTCACTCCTCGGTTCGTTGCCACGACCAGGATTGGCGACATTTCGTTCTCTAGAGCTCGGTTAAGGAACGAGAAGCATTCAATGTCGAGCATGTGGACTTCGTCAATGAAGAGAACACCTGGAACTATCTCGGCTTTTCCTTCTTCTCTCCATTCCGCTACTTTTGTATCGATTTGTTCACGAACTTCTGATCGGATTTCTCCAGTATCACCGGTGAACAGAGCCAGAAACCCTTGTGTCCTGCAGACGAACAAACAAGGCAACAAGAAATAAAAAAACTTTACTTCGTTTAAGTATACAAATCAGTGTTTCACACCTCAAGTTTGCAACAATACCACAATCACAGTGTCTAAGTTATACTTATAGAGATTGCTCTGACTTTACACTGCGCTAAAGAGATGTTGAAATGAACATAAAGCCTGACACTAATCAAGTGGTTTTACAATCATCTAACCACAAAAAAGCCTCAATTTTTCAACCAAAATCAAGATTAGCAATGTCACAATTCAGGGAGTGTGGACTAACCTGCTGTTGATAACATCAATCTCATGAAGTGAGACGCAATGTACAACCTCTTTCCTCTTCTGCAACTCACCCTCAGGGCACTGCACAAACTTAGTCTGAGCACCCATAGCATCATAATCCCGAGACCTCGAGAACGATCTTCCAAGCTTAGTGATCTTCCCACTCGCCCTATCCATGGCAATCACATCACCACTCTGCACTTTCTGCTTGTTCAAAGACTCAATCAGCTTCGCTCCCATGTCATACACAGTCTCCATATCCGTCGTCTTTATCGTCATCTTCCCAGACTTGGAAGCAACACCAGAAGAAGCAGCTCTATCAACCTGAATCTCCACCACTTCTCCTTCAATAACCTCTGCCTCTTCTTTGATCCTAACACCAACAGCTTTGCGGAAAGCCTGAGTCAAAGCTTCAGTCTTGGACATCTCCAAGGAGAAAATCTCACTTCCTGCAATCATCGCGAAAGGTGTTTCCGAGCCGAGCGATTTCGCCATACCCATCGCAATCGCCGTCTTACCGGTTCCGGGTTGGCCCGCAATTAGAATAGCCCGACCCGCGATTTTACCTTCCCTGATCATTTGAAGGATTACGCCGGCGGCTTTACGCGCCTTCACTTGACCGACCATTCCTTCGGAGACGGCTCGCGGCTCGAGAGCTGAGTCGAGACCCAGTCCTCGGATGTGTGAGTGTGCGCCGATTCGCTCGACTCTGGTCAAGTCACGACTCTCCGATACCCTTAACTCCGCCATGGTTCAATTATCGTCTTCGGCGAGGCTCTGAGAAAGAAGAACTCTTGAGGTTTTAGGGTTTAGGGAAGCTCCTTAACAATGGCAGACTCGATGTGATTTAAGTAGCTCGAAAACTAAGGGCAAAAAGGGAATTGTACAAAACTTCGAAATGAAAGTTATTAGTTTAGTAAAGAACCCTTGTATTTCTAATGGAAATGTAAATTAGCTCTTACATAAAGATCCGTTCATTTCTCAACCCTAATCAAGGAATTTTTGAAATCACTTTGGCCTGTTTCTTTGCATCTCTCCTCCTTTTCACTTTCCTCGTCTTCTCATTACCACTGAATTGTCCTACCAAACGTAAAAAATGTCAGACACGCAATGTAATCGATACACACAAAAATGTCAGCTTTGAATAATCACACAAGACAATGAAAGGCCAGCTTGAGCTAGTAGAATTTGATAAAAGTCTTTGACACTTTTCAAATCGTTGATCCGAATTTCGTATGAAAGCTAAAGATAAGGTCCAAAGTCAAAACTTATAATACCTTCTTTCTCTTGGACATTTGATCGAACAAGTTGTAAGCAATCCGCTTCTTTTTCACCACCACAAGCTTCTTCAACTTCAACGTTGCTTCCACTAGCATCTGCAAGTCTTTCATCAGGAGTCTGACACATTTCTGTAGTAGGAAGTAAAGGTCCGATCATTTTCTTTCGTCGAGATGCTTCTTCTTTGAGCATTTTCTTCCTTACCCTCTTCCTCTGCGCTCGCCTCGGTTTCTCTGCAATCCCCGAAGCGTCATCGTTTTCGTTGCCGTCGCCGTTATTTGATTTATCGATATTCACGTAATCCTCTGAAATAATCCGAGATTGGGAGTGATGTTATAATAACTCTAAATTCAACGCGAAAATCAGGTTAAAATTACATCAATCGTACCTGGGTTTATGAGTGTCACATCGAACGGTTCTTCATCAAACTCGGTCTGGAAATTCGAATTGAACAGAGTCGTAAGCAATTATCGATTCAAAAAACTCGGATGCAATTGAAACTAGATAGAGAACAAACAGAAAATGAGAAAATACCCGAGACGGAGAAGAGGAAGGAGACGAAGGCGATGAAGGAGGATACAGCGTTTGAAGGAGAGCTTCGTGTAGTTTGCGTCGCTTTTCTTCTCGCCGTAGCATCGTCGCAGATCGCTTTACACTCGGCGGCGAAATCTCCGTCCGATTTCTAAGATGTACAAGTTTTTAGACTTTTTTCTTTTGCACCCCTTTACTATAGTAGTATTTGTTTTCTAGCCCCGAAACTTTCGTTAATTGAGTTAACACACACCAAGACAAACGTTGACGACTTGACGTTGTGTCGTGTACGGGAAGAGAAAATACACATTTGATGTGAACTTGAAGGACTTCTTTAACGCCTAGATAAAAAAAGCCTAATAACTAAACTTTTTTGTTTGACCCTTTTTTGGATAAACTTCATTGATCTCATATGTCATTCGTATAATAATATTCTAGTGTTAGTTAAAAACTTGAAATGTTACTAAAAACATCGAAATTGACACAACGTTATGTAATATAGTGTACGGAGTAATTATGTTTAAGTTGAAGATTAAAGAGGAGGTTCTCTACTAGTCTAGTGTCTACTCTTAAGTTTTGTCAACAACCTATGTGTATTTCACACTAAAATTTATATACACGCAAGAAATCTACAAGCACAATTGCACAACTGAACAATGGCACAAAATCAACCCCTTCGAAGTTCAAAACGATACTAACAAGAAATGGGGGAAAAAAACGAAAATACAATAGCTTTATTTTTGTTTTATTGTTGACGAATAGTAAATATTCCACCGATTTTTCTTTTTTTACATGGATCAAGTAACAAATCCTTTTCATCAAACTCATCACAAGACTTCTCTTCATCGATCCTTCCCATCACCACACAACTATAATTTCTCCGGAGATCCAACGGTCTCGTCGCCGCCGTGGTTTCTCCGCCGCCACCGCCTTGTGAGTAGTAACCTGAGACAAACCGGCAGCGTTCACGTGTAGCCGTCGTCGTCGTGGACGAATTTAGGGTGAAGCTACGAGGGAGAGTGGTGCTTGGTGGTTCGCAGATTTGGAAACTACCAGCAGGTAAACCAAAACCGCCGGAGCCACCAGTTCCGGTAATGAAACCGGCGGAGCATGACGTCATGCTACGTATGTAAGCGTCACGTGCCATGATCAAGAAACGAACCGGAGATTTTACCAATCTTGCCAAGCTGCTCTCTTTCTTCGTCTTTTTTGCTTTCATGATTTAAAGTGAAAATGAAAAATCGAAGACTGAATTATTGAAACGAAAACAGTTTATATAGGAGACAAAACAACACGCCTTCCATGGACTTCATTATAAATGCACCTTTCATTACGGAATCAAATAAAAATAAATAAGGGGTGTATATATGTAAATAAATGTATATAGTTGGATGTTTACAGTTTGGGAGATACTTATCTTATTAGAAACAGTATAATATGAATCTTATTTTATTTTGTATGATTCAAATGAAGCTGAAATTGCTATTTGTAGAACGACAGATTCTTGATGATAATTTATAAATATCGAAGTGCATATCCTGGAGTGTTTAAGATACTCAAAATTATTATAAAAAGTTTCCAAGCTGAAATTATCCATTCAAGCTTAAACTTGCTGGCGATATTAATAGTTAGATGACAAATGCCAAAGCACTTGTCCATATGTCCTTAAGAACACGTTATCAGAGAACTCAATAAATAAACTAGAAAAGTATCAATTATTATTCTTATTCGATGGATTGAGATATGACACCAAATTTTACGTATCTCATTAAAATTAATGAAAACTACGATGGGGAGTGAATTGGTTGGAAGAAAAAATAGGGTACTTTACGCATAAGATTGGTTACAGTTGACTTGATATGATCATAGCGATACAGTGACTCATTCTGCAGCCTGGAAACCAAGTTGGCCAAAGTCAATGCCTTTTGCTTGAAGGCAAGATAGTTCTTGAAGTCTGCCCATCCAGGGGGTAACTTCTCAATGAAGCAATTCACTGTGAAAGTCTCACAGATCTTCATCCCTTCATCTGATATCTCTTGGAGTATCATCTGCAGGTCATGCACTTGGTCCATGATGGGTTTTGAGTCCACCATTACGAAGTTGAGAAATTTTGCAGCAGCAAATTTTCCTGAGCCCACATTGAACGTCTTGTACTTCTTATCCAAGGCTTCCCACAGCTCCTTGGATGTTTTGACCTCACTGTACACATTGAACAGTTGATCCACCAGGCGACTTTGAATGTAACCTTTGCACAGGAAATCTCCTTGGTTCCAGTTCTCCAGAGTCATGTGTACTCGTGGATCTGGGTTTGCCTCTTGAGTAGCAGGCACCTCAGGCTTTGTCTCAACAAGATATTTTGCCAGGTTCAGCGTGGTAAGGAAGAAGTGCATCTTCTGTTGCCACTGCTTGAAATTCGTGCCATCGAATTTGTCAGGCGAAAGTGCTGCGCTTATGTTACTAGGCAAAGTTGGTGCAGCGAGTGCAGCCAGTTGACCCGTGACATTAGCCGCAGGCTGATCCCCAGCAGTCCCGTTGGTTCCATTAGCAGTACCAGACATTATGGATCTGTATCACAAAGACAGATTTTGTCAGTATTGTGGGGTGTGCGAAAATATTCGCTAAGTTCACAGAGACTTGCTCTTAAACGTTATATTAGATCAGAGATCAGATATAATAAAGTTGAAAAAACGTTTTCGCGATCCTGCTAAAAGCTGTCGCGTAAATCGTTTTATCAAGTAATGATATTCGTCTTTTTTGAGATCGAAACTTTCTGCTGAATAGCTAGAGAGCTTTCGCAGAACTGTTTTAGATCTATAAGCAAACCGTTTTATATATCATATAAGAAAAAACTGTTTCGCTATATTCCAATCCGATTCAGGCGATAAGGAAGATCGGATTTATTGAGTTAAGACTGTAGGACCGCGAAAATCCAGATTGGAAAAACACGAAATAAAATCTTATATAATAAATAATATATAATTAAAAATACGATTGGAAATAGACGAATTACGCAGAGGCGAGATTTGATCTCTTTCCTTAACTCAATAAATCTCCCGCAGTGTGGCGGTTTGCATGAGACTTTTGAATCCCAGGATACAACTACGTGAGACTATAGTCCCAACACCGGACTACAGAATCTACGAACTAAATAACTACGCTATACTCTCGAGACTTACGTTTAGAGGAGAAGAGATGCGAGAGATTTTTGATGGAGTGTTTTGATATTCGAGTGAATCAATAATGAGAGGGGTGAGGCCCTTTATTATAGCTGTGAGAAGACTTGGTCGGCAAGGAAGGAATATCCGCAAGATATTCTCCTTTATGTTTATCGAAAGGGATACGGAAATATTCCGAATATCTTTTCGAGTTTATCAAGGAAACCGAAAAACGAACTCAATCTTCTGGAAGATTTATTCTACACATTATGCAATTTCGGGTAGGGCTTTAGCAAAAACCTTGATAGGAATTTGGCCCAAAAAGAATAGGCTTTTGTGGGCGAAGCCCACATTCACCAAGACCCGAGCCCGGCCCGGCTCGGCACGGCACGGCGGCGGCGGCGCGCGCGCGTGTGGTTTTTTTTTGCATAATGGCCCCCTTTCTCTCAAGGTCCATAGTCTCCCACTAAATGCTATTGAACATTGTATGGAAATGTCTATATTTAAACAAGAGGAAAAAGTTCCTTCTTTCCAATGTGGGACAAAATCAAGTACTCCTTCATTTAACTCACTCAAATTTCTCATTCATTTTACATGAGCCTAAGCCCATTTCTTTTCACATTTGTCCACAATTTATTCAGCCCATGAGGACTTTAAATTTGGTTCCAACAATACAAATATCGTTATCAAAACAACCTAACAATAATTTAACAAATATTTTACACGGATTCATTCATTGTATATGCAACTTGAAATGTCAGCAATAAATTTTACGCTGAGATATCACCACTTTATATTTTTCTTGATTATAACCTGCCCCACCTACAATAAAGTTTTCGAACGAAAGTCAATTTGAATCTTGTACCATTTGTACTTGTAATATTTTGGAAGCGCTTTAACAAAAAAAATATTTTGGAAACGAAATATTTAAAAAATTTGTTGTTGTTTTGCATCTTTGACAACAACAAATAAATTGCATCTCTATTTTTTGTATGACTGGATTTAAAACAATGCCAAAACGACTTCGTTTACATCTCGAAATGGGCTTCAATTGGAGTTGTAAGTGCTTTTTAATTTAGTAGGCCCATATTTATTTGACGGTCACCGAAACGTGGAATTACGCAAACCGGCACCGTATTTATATCTTGGTTAAATTTTGTGGGCTTTGATTTTGGTCCAGTAATAATTGACGGACAACGAAAACGTCGTTCTTTCAAATTGAAATTAGAGGAAACGACATCGGTTTAAGTTGGTTTAAGATAATTAAGATGGAGGTATTATTGTCGCTCACGGTTGCTGCTTTTCGAGTTGTAAAAAAGATCACACGATCGCAAATTTTGTGTGAGAGAGATTTGATTCAGCTATGGCTTGGTTAGCTAGATCCATTGCGAACTCACTCAATCTCGATGAGGACGATGAAGATGATGAAAAGCAACGGGGTAATGATGAATCCGGTCCGAATCAATCGCCGTCGATATCGGCGTCGGAGTCACAGTCTCCTAGAGGCGTTAAGGAAGATATTTCCGAGCTAACAAAGACCTTGAGAAGCCAATTCTGGGGCGTAGCTTCTTTTCTCTCGCCGCCGTCTACAGCTCCGGATCTTCAGGAGAGAAATCAGGCTCCCGATCCTCCGGAAGGTGACGACGAGGAGGATCTGATTGCTGGGATTAGGAACGATATTGCGGAGATTGGTGGGAGATTCAAGACGGGGATTTCCAAGCTCTCTGGAAACTTACCGGTTTCTGAGTTCACTAAGCTCGCTTCGAATTTCTTACAACTGGGCTCAGATGGAGTGGATCCGGAGGATTACGATGTTGGAGACGCAATCGGAGTTACGGAGGAATTAATTGCTTTCGCGAGGGATCTCGCGATGCATCCTGAGACTTGGTTGGATTTTCCTTTGCCTGATGACGACGATAGCTTTGATGGTAAGCTCAATTTGGATTTCAGATATATCTTAGCTTATTCTGAGTATATAAACTAACAATACCGCATGTTGAGCTCATTCATCAGATGATACGATTTCGTGATTTGTTAATTTGTTTCTATTTTGAGCGAATTTGATGTGAAGTCTCTAACTCGAATTTCAGACTTTGAGATGAGTGATGCTCAATACGAGCATGCTATGGCAGTGGAGAGGCTTGCACCAAGCTTGGCTTCTCTGAGGATTGAGCTTTGCCCAGAATATATGAATGAGAATTGCTTCTGGAGGATTTACTTTGTACTTTTGCATCCTAAACTCAACAAACACGATGCCTTGCTTCTCTCCACTCCTCAGGTAAAGTTGATTTCTCAAACTCCATGTCGATTAGGTTTCCTTGATTTCTCAGCGGTTCTAAGTTAGGTTTTAGGGGATGATTGATAGGTTAGCGAACCTATTGCGTGTGTTACTAGCTTTTTTGGCATTTCCATATGAAGGTACTCGAAGCAAGAGCAATGTTGTCCCTCGAGCTACAGAAAAGAAACAAATTACCGGTAGAAGCAGAGAGTTCTGAAGCTCATGCTGCAGCTGTGGAACCTCTTGATGTGCCTTATAACCCTTCACCGGAACCACCAGCAACTGTCAAGGAGTCATTGGACTTTGAAACAGAGAAGCACCAAATTGAGAGCAAGGAGATACAAGTCGTTGACAAATCTGTCATTGAAGAAAGAAACACATCAACTGCTTCTTCATCTAGGTTTGTTAATGCGCAAGTGGAGGACGAAGAGAGAGACGACACAGATGATTGGTTAAACGATGGAGAGACTTCTGAATCTGTTAGCGGCATGGAAGGAAGAGAAACCACAAAGCACCCTCTTGGTGAAGATGAAGAAGAAGATGTATCGTTCAGTGATTTAGAAGAAGGGGACGACGAAGGAGACGTGGCAGTGAGTTACAAGAAAGTTACTGACTCTGATTCACCAGAATGGGTTCAGCTAAAAGACTCAAAGACCAGTCAGCTAAAAGAGAACAGAGAGTCATCAAACGATTGGGTTGATGTCGACGGAAGTGACATGAGTGATATCTAATTTTCTCTTGCTTGTATAAACATTAAATACACAATCTCCACGTCTTCCATTTTAAGACTTTTAGAAAGTGCAACGTTTGTATATAAGACAGGTTTCGTTTTATAATAAGATGGTTATAAATTTATAATTATAACAAAATTTCGTTCGATCCCAAATGTTTGAATGTAAAAGAGTAACAATGCTTCTAAATTATTAGGGACAAAATTGGTCTCTCGTGTGGTTTGCTTTCGAGTTTCGAGCAAAATACGACATCGTGATTCTGCTTTTCATGTTTCTTAGTACATCATGTAAGATCTACCGCCGTCTCTACCGCCGCCTCTAAAGCCGGATCTACCGCCACGAGGTCTGCGATAAGCGTCTTCTCTCTTGCTCCTGTACCCTCTTCCTCCTTCTCGATCAATCTTCAGAGCTACATTTGGTACTGATGTGAAACCGAAAGAAGCTGCAACATCCTGCAGAGAAAAACAAAGATTTCCCGGTTGAGAGATCAGATTGCAGAAAACCAGGAAACTTTTTCTAATTTCACAAGTGGCAGATTTTGGTTACCTTGAGATCGAGTCGGTGAGCATTAAAGACATCTTTCATAGAGTGAGAATCATATCCTGATATGTAAGTCTTGTATGCTTCTTTTGCTGACAGGCCTAATGCAGTGTTTTCACTCATCATCTTCTCCTGCAATTTGTCCCAAAAAATTAACCAACAAATTTTACAAATAGAGCTCTCAGCTTTTGTCTCCTCAAAGCCAAATGTTTTACCAGAAAAGCCTGCACGTTGAGCAATTTCCCTTCCTCGAATTCGTGTTGCTCAACAGGAATCTTCGCCGCCTGCAAAATTACAACCAGAACCAGATTCTTTTCTTCAGTTCTAGAGTTCTAGTCTGCGCAACAGTGTCATAACGTTCCATTTGATTAAACAATCACCTTGAGATACTGAATAAACTGCAACTCGTCTGGAGTTAGCACAAGCAGAGCCTTTCCTTTTGCTCCTTCTCCACGAGCTGTTCTACCAACTCTATGAATATATTCCTAAACAAGTACAAAAACCAAAGATGTTGAGTGGTTTCCTAAGCCCTAATTGCCATGAAACAAACCTAGAAACTGTATGTAACATACCGTAGGATCATCTGGAGGATCATACTGAACAATCCAGTCCTGAAAAAGCAGAAAATAATATTAAAGACCAACCAAAATCTTGATACAATTACTAAGATAGTGGAAGGAAGCATACCACATGAGGAATATCAAGACCACGGGCAGCGACGTTAGTACACAACAAGACACCAGTTTCCGCCTTTATGAACTCGAAAAACGTTGCAGTCCTTTTGCTCTGATCAATCCCTCTACGAATCTCAAGGCAGCCTATTTTGATGTACCGAAAGAGCTCCGCGTGAAACTTTGTCGATTTGCAAGTGGAGAAAAACACCATGATCTTCTTCTTCGTGTGGAATCTCTTCAAGAAGGTGAGCAAGAAAATCAACCGCTTCGCACATGGCACAACGCAGTAACCTTGCTCCAAGCCTTCATTCGTAACCTACAGTTTTTCCAATTCCCACACAAAGAAAAATGATAAAGAAGTGTCTCGAGGAATGAAGTAAAATGGTAAGAAGAGAATAAAAGAAAATTGTGACAATCGTTAACCTCTTTTCGTCCTTCATCGACATCAATATAAACAGGTAACGAAAGTGACACCCGAGCAAGATCCTCAACCTGTTGGTTTAACCAAATATTAATAAACCGGTACTAATAGAGAAACAAGTGATGGAACTATATTGATTAGTAAACAAACCTTGGAAGTCTGTGTAGCGGAAAACAGTGCCGTCTGCCTTGTCTACATCATAGAAACAAAGACGAGTTTACCATTATCAACAGCACTTCGACATGAAATGAAAATTTGACTCTCATTGATTCAGGTTAAACTTAGAGACAATGTCTCCGTATTGAAATGACTGGATACTTCACTATACCTTTGGTAGAAGCTTAATGATCTTCTTCATGTCTTCTTCGAAGTTCTGTTCCAGTATCCTATCAGCCTCATCCATCACAAGAAACTGCAATTTTCAACACAGAAAGAAGAGTTACATTAACTCAAAACAACCATGGCAACACCAGTAGGCAATAGTGTAGCACAAAACTGAAACCAGAGTTTGTGTTTGTTTACCTTCAACCTCTTGAATACAAATCCATTAGTGTTTTCAAGGTGGTCGAGAAGTCTTCCAGGGGTTGCTACTAACAGATTAACACCTTTCACAAGAATCTCAGCTTCCTTCTTTCTGTTCTCACCACCAATCACCTTTCCCACAGTCTGTGAATGATACTTGAGAAGCTCTTTTGCCACTCCATATGACTGAAATATTAAATCACCTACTTAGTTGATAAAAAAGCACAAAGCAATGCCAAAATGATAAAATCTGCGTATTAATTGAGAAAGAATATGGACCTGAATGGCGAGCTCTCTTGTTGGGCAGATAACGATGACTCCTGTTCCATTGCGAGGAGAAAACCGAACATGGTACAGAAGCTCTACAGCCGGAATAAGAAAAGCTAAGGTTTTACCAGAACCGGTCCTGGCAGCTCCAAGTACATCTTTTCCCATCATCAATGGTGGAATTGCTTTAGCTTGAATCTGCCAAACATAATTTATTTCAGAAGTGGTTTTAATAAAAGAGGTCGAGTGTTAGCTTATACTACAAAAACATGATGTTTCAATTTCCGATTATTGTTACCTGAGTCATGCGTGAAAATTTCATCTCCTTGATGGATTTATAAGTGTGATCAGATAATCCCAATGACTCAAACGTTTCGTTTGTCATTATACCACTCCCACTAGTTTCCTTTTCTTCTTCTTGTTCGCCATTGTCTTGTTCTTCGAGCTTCGCTTTTTCATCCTTCTTCGGTTCTTCATCGCTTATCGCTGTTATTTCTTCTTCGCCATTGTCTTGTTCTTCGAGCTTCACTTTTTTACTCTTCTTCTTCTTCTTTTTTTTCTTCTTCAACTCTTCATCACTTGTCGCTCTTATTTCTTCGCTCTCTGCGTCATCCACCGCTGGCTGCTCTAGTTTCTTCGCCTCGTCTCTGGCTCTTTTCTTACTCTTCTTCTTCATCTCTTCCATTTCAGATGAATGCTGCTCCGATTCCAAATTCGCCATGATTGCTTATTCGCCGCCAAATTCACTAATTTAGAAAATCCAAATTCGTCTGCTGATTACATCAACACCCAAACCAAAATTCGTAAACAATTGAGTCATGGAAACGATACAGTAAAATCGAATCAACACAAAAAGTATATACCTGCAAAGCTCGAGATTGAGATGAATGAGCTAATGGCTTGGAGATAGTCACTGCTGGGCTTTTCTCTTCGAATTATAAAGAATTTTGAACCTCCTCAAACTCGAAATCGAGCGGCGACGAAAAAGATATTAGGGTTTATAAAGGTCTCTAATAGCTTCCCGTTTATACCCTCGAGTTTGTTAATTCAGTAACGTAAGTACGTAACCGCTAATTCAGCAATCAAACCAAAACTAACCGAAATGTTGACTGTTTGGGATTAAAATTAAACTCTGGATTACACATTTCAAGTTTTCAAAATTATTGGCGAGTTTTCAATTTGATCTGAACAATCTGGCTGGACGATGAATCCATTCCGATTAAACGTTCCTACTAAGAACAAAACCAAGTGTTGCGATTTTGGTTGAATAAATCCAATAAGTTTTAGTTTTCATTTCATCCTGAAAAAATATTCCTAGTCCAGCTATATGTACAACGACAACGACCGCGCCAAAAGAAAGAAAGAGTTTACAAGACACTTCACAAGGATCTTATCGACGTCGATAATCTCTCTAATTTCGACCAAACCAATCTCCCAATAGACAACTTAGCTCTGTCTCGCTCCACATCAACACTCGACGAACCCAACCTAGTCGACACCATCCCAAACGCCTTTACCGCCGTCACAACCGCTCCACCTAGTTCCCGCACAACCGCTTCAACCGCACTCGCAGTCGCATCCGTCTCACCACCGTTCACATCCGTCACGTAAAACGAACCAACCGCCAGATCTCCTTGCGTGCTCATCTCAGCTCTCGTTATCGACAAACCGTTTTCTCTCACAACTCTCGTCACGTCCGACAACAAACCCATCTTGTTCTCTGTCCGAACCTCCAGTTTCAAACCGCTTGAAGCGCGTCTCGCGATCGCAGCTACCAAACAATGCCTCAGTCTCTCTCTCTGCCCTTCCGTCTCTAACGTGCACCCGTTCTTCTTCCTTATGAAATATTCTTGCTCCGCCGTCGAGCCTTTAGCTCCGGCCACGGCGTGAAACACCACGAATTGTAACTCTTTCAAAGCGCATACCGTGTCGAACAATAGCTTTGGTCTGTCTCTACACTTCACGTTCACCATTGAATAACCATTACAAGCCTCGATTGCCACGTGTATCCTCTCGCACCTTCCCCTCCACAACGCATCACACCTGTCTCCAATGAAACAGTCGCAGCCAAAGCAATTCTCGAAGTCTCCTTCAGCGAACATTAGCTCATGAAGCCTCCGCTCAGTGTGGGCCCACCCGACCGGACCGCCTTTAGCCTCGACCACACTCACGACGACCCGAGACTCATCGCCGACTCTGTGGTGGGCTTCCATAACAGTATCCAGGTGATCCTTCACTTGGGCCTTTCTTATAGGGTCGATAATGGGCCCACCGTGAAAGCCGTCTTCTAGATAAATCACCATTGCCGCTCGCTCGTGGTGGGTCCACGCGACAGCGGCAGTCACGTGACAACCAATGTCGGATAGTACGGCGGAGATCTCGGACAGCAAACCAGGTCTGTCGATTCCGGTTATCTCGAACGCCGTGTGCTCTGTTGACACGTGGCGCTGTTGCACCTCCCGTTTTAGATTACTCTGCATCTCCTTTGTTATACCTCCCGTTCTGCTAGAACATATTGCCTGAAATTAAATCAACAAAAACATTAGACAATATAACAAAAATTATAATAAAATAAATTAAATAATAACTCCATTTAAATAAATGAACCTGTTGGATGTAGAGAATAAGGCTTCGGTCGGTGAGCTTATTCCCGAGTTGGTCCGTCACGTGAAACACTAACAAAGAGAAATATTTCAGAGAGTGGCGTCATATTTCTGACCCACCATGATGACATGTGATGATGATGAGGATGACTTACCATCCATGAACCATTCACCATCAGATGAGATGTAAGATTTGGAGATAACGAGATCGAGGTCAGCCAAAACCTGAACCATGTCCAGTAATATCCCGTACTTATTCGCGCTATCCACCTAAAATATATTTATACACACCAATAAATTAGGACTAATTAATCATTAACTGTGAGCATGATGATTAAAAAGCATGACAAAGTAAACTAGCAAGAGCTTTAAGATACCTTAACAAGTGTACACTCTGGGTCTGTGTCGTTGTCTATACAAACCCTTATTAGCGCACAAAACCAAGAATATGTTTAGATTAGTAGAATAATTTAGTTAAAAATATATGAAAATATTATTCGTCATCAAAGTACAAACCTGGGAGGATTGATTCTCTCGACGAGTGATTCGATCTCGGAATCAATCCGAGGCTGATAAGCTATTTCCATCATCTTATTATTTGCCGCTAATGTTATTTACTCAGCTCCCAATATTCAAACCTATATATACACAAATGCATAATTTGTTTTATTAATCGAACAAGAAGAAGAAGAGCAATGTATTCATATTTGTATTTGTATTTGAATTAGGATTGTATAACTCCACGAAGTAAACGATGCTTAAAAGATAATTAAACAGCAATAAAACACGTTTAATTGTAAAAAAAAATTAAGATAAATAAGAAGCAGCCGATATCCTCGGTTCAGATTTTAGAAGCGAATCTAAAACCATTCTTGGCACTTTAAAATTAATAAAAAAAAAGTTTATATAAAACTAAGCTTATGCTCAGTTTAATCGTCTTCTGGATCAAAATTCCTCCTTGAAATGTCGAAAAATCTGGGTTTTTGCTAGACTGAGAGATATTTATTATTAACTGAAGAAACACAAACAACAATTAACTGGCATTTGAAAACCATGCTTGGTTTAGAAAACAGAGCAATTGAAAAATCAGAAGACGAACCCAATACTGTCTTGAGGAGATGAAAATAAAGATTCAATCGTTGTGCAGACGAACGAACCAAATGAAAATCCGAATCCGAAACGTCTTGAAAACCCCAGAGAGACTCTGTAATTTTTTTCTCAAGAATTTCAAGACGAAAAAAACGAAGGGTGAAAGATATACCTGAGTTAAGATTCTGATTCAATAGAGAGACTAATGGAAGAGAATCCTAAAAATGGAGAGATTCTATGGAAGAAAAAAATCAGGCTTGAAAAAAGGGTAAAATAGTTATGTTGGTGGAGGAGAAAAGAGAGAAGCCGAAACTGAAGCCAAATCGTATCTAAGTGAAACTTGTGTATGTATATAGACGCACGAAGCCCCCACATACTGACATACATCATACATTTGTTTATATGTTTTTACACAGGGACAATCTTTGCGTAACTAGAATTTTTTTTATAAAGTCTGACAAATTGACCTTATACAGCTAACGGTGATAAATGTTTTTTTAGATTTTTATAGTAACTGATAATGATAAATGAAAAAATCAAGACAAATTCACTGGAAATGCAGATATTTTCTATAATTGGTTTTATTTCGATTATTTATTGGTATAAAAAGGAATGGTAAAAATATAGAAGACGGCCGTAGATTCTCCGAACCCTTGGGATCTTGGATTTGCTCGAGAATACGGGGAATACCTAAACTTCAATCAAAAATTTAAAATTAAAAAGATAGGAAAAAGAGAAAATTAAACGTCTAATTTAGCAAAGATTGATGTGTTGTAGCCGACCAACACGAGATTTGCCACGTGTAATAATTTAAAGCGACGTGGCAATATGGGTGTACTCTGAGAGGCGCGACGGCTCGCCTCTTCCTAATCGCAAAAAGCCAGGTGTCCACGTGTCTCGCTTTCATTTCAGGTAAATGTCATATATTTCCTCTAGAGTAGATAAAAGCAACCAGTAACATTCCAGCAGTAAAATTAATCTGTGGCAAAGACAGTTTAATGTTTTTTGGTTTGATAGAGTCAGTCTTGTTCTTTTTAGTTCAGTTAGTTATACCGTCAATGATCACGATTTACGAAATTAATTACAACATTTTTAACACGTGAACGTGATACGGTGATAGTATTGTTTTCTCTATTTTTTTTTTTTTTTTTACTAATCATTTAGATTCTAGACCTATTCAAATTGGAGTTTATTTTGTTGTTGCTGAGGAAATGGATAAACGTGGTAACCAGTCATATGATTATGAACAGTGATTTAAATAATTTGTAACATGTTTTCAATGTTCATAATCAAATAAAATAGTCACATATGAAGCAGTACACATTGGAACAGCTATCAATCAACGATTCAAATTAACAACAAACATATACCTTTGTTACAGTAAAACCTATATCTACCGTATGCAAATTGTAAAAGATATCGAAAGAGAAAGTGAAAGTGAAAGTATTCTGTTCTGTTAAGAATTCTGCAACGGCTTCTGACATCTTCCCAAACTCTTATCCAATATACATATTTTCTTACAGGTTTCGTTTTCCCCTCGAAAGTTTTTGTTAAAAAGTTCTCAACTTGCTCTGTTGATTGTTGTAACTTGTAAGAAATTCATAAGCTGTTTGCTTTCACTGAAAACTGGGGAAAAAGGTGGAGACTTTTGATGAAATCGATGACAATAATGATATAAAGAGTTCAGATTTGGTTAGTTTGATCGTCTGTAAAGTGTAATTTAATTGATTTGGGAATTTCCCAAAAGGGGTTTCAAGTTTGCTCTGAAGCCTGACGAAGAAGAAGAAGTGAAAAAAAACAACTGTGCTTTTTTTAGGGTTTGTCATTCTCCTTCAGTTTTACAAAACGTGATACGCAAGCCACTTACATTGTTACACTTTCTGACCTTTATTCCTATCGCCTACTACAATAAACAATCACTTCCTTCTAGATTCGCAAATGAAGCTCTTTAAGTTATGGTCTGTGATGTTTACATAACTCTTGTAATAAACCTTAAATCTTTAGGGAGATGCTCAAGGTCAAGGCTTTGAATCTGAGCTCTTTTCAGTGGCTTCTTTAGCAGCAGCTTCTGCTTCGACCTTATTCCTCCAGTAATCATCAAGTGGAGGCCCGAAAATGGCTTTCCCTGAAACGACACCAATCCTGCGACAAATTCCAAACAAACATTGTGAATAACTCGGTCATTTGTTCCGGTTAACAAAATTCAGGAGAGATCAACATTTTGGGCTTTATCTCAAAATGTTCAGATTGATTATCTCGGTTTAAGTCAATTTACGCAAATCCTGATCTTTGATGCTAAAAATGATGATTGTTTCGTGACGATTTCGAGAAACTGAAGTCAGATCCTTCAAAATCATATCGAATTCCTACAAAACCTTCGACGAATCTAGCTAAATGAAAACAGACCGAAATTTATCATTCACAAGTTTAAAACTTTGAGCAATCATCTACAATTTCCTAATCCCACTCATCTGCAATTCAATTGGGGCAAAATCAATCAGATCTTCCCGAAGAAACCGATAATCTAGAGGAAGTATACACAGAATCATAGCATTTTCAGAGTAAGATTTTCGAGGAGGAAACGAATGACGATAAAACGAGTACTTACACAACTGCTCCGATAACCATCGGTAAAGACAGAAACCTATTCCTCCGGAACATTGTTTCAGACTGAAATCCCGCTCGAGTAAATCTCCGGTCGCCGTCGCTTGAGCTGATCTTTCCGCCTTAAAAGCCTAAAAGGGTTTCAGATTCCGGTTTATCACGTGCTAACTTCAAAATGGGCATGACACAAAGTTTATTGAATCTAACATTTTCGGCCCATTAAGAAGCCTTTTGTTTGATATTTTTCATTTTTTCTCAACGATGGAAAGAAAAGAGAATGGGACACTCTTCGATTCTTCTCACCTGTCTTTTTCTTTTTAAGATTTGAAGCTCGTGATTTGATTTTGACCCTTTCCAAAACTTTATGGCAATGTGTTCCTAATTTATCTCAACTCTGATTTCATTGGTTATAATCAACTTTTGAAGAATTAGTTAATAACCATGTGTATCTCATTGACATAGCGCTAGTTATTGATAAGTTTATGGTTACATTTTTAACATCCACACACACATCAATCTCAAAGTATGTATGTCATTATTTGATAGCTGTATGCTTTTACTATCTTTAATGTGTGTGTGAGGTATGAGAAACTGGTGCTATCACAAGTAGGAAATTTAATTTTCACAAGAAAGTCAGCTGCTTTCATATAAGACAAAATAAAATGAAGATGATTATTTGCTTTTGTGGTTGCAATATGACGAACTAGTATTATGAATTTATGATATATAGTATTGGTTTTTAAATGAATGAAAAGGAAAAAAAAACAGAATAATGATTTTCACTATTTAGCTAATTAGTACCAGCTTAAGTGACAATGATACAGTAACTACATATATGAAGTAGTTTGATAATAATTAAGAGAGTACAATAGTGCGCACAGAATAAAACTTAAAGTGTTGAAAGTTGATACACTAAATATTAAATATATGATTTAGCAAATGATTCCAACAATGATAAGCTAAAATCATTCAGGGATTGTGGTTCTGAGTGTAGATGTAATCAGTGTGAGCAACTAAAGTTCTTCGTATCAAGAAGCATTCTTCTTCTCCAACACCTTCGCAGCTTTCCTCTCCTTGCTCGACGTTCTGCTGCACATCAGAAAATAATATACGCACGTGACTTAAAGTGGCAAACTCGATCATAATTATCATTTCACTATACATGTATACAATCAATGATATGAATATACATGAGTGAGACTGTGAGAGAATCAATGAGGTTTATAGACCTTGACGGAGATTTCTCCCGGATAAACGGAGGTTGGATTGAGCCGGGCTGATGCGTATGTTAGCGTGGAGCAGAGAAGAAGAGCGACGATGAAGGAGAAAGCTGTGAGCTTAGCCATTTTATAAGACTAAGTACTCTACAGCTGTTATGAAGAAGGGAGATAGAGATCAAATATACTTAAGAGAGGTATTAAATCAATAAAGATGAGGAGGAAGATATGTGAGAGTAAAGCTACATGCATATATTTGAGGCGTATTTATAGAGAAAAGACGAGATGAGATAAAAGTTGTGCAGAAACGTGAGCCATATAATCTTTGAGTAAGTGTACGTCATGAAACCATTACCATACCAAACACGCACATGTATTTTCATAATATGCTCAAAATGTATATATAAATATCTAACCAACAAGTGTTTTTTTGGTTGGTTAATCAGGCAGTTCTGGTGAAATTGATCGATATGGAGCCAACTACATCTTAAATATTTGACATCACATATATTGAAGAAAGTTGGTGGCCGATGTATCCGTATACTGAGTTTCACCGAATGATTTTTCCGTGTGGGCATTATTTTTATATGTTTAAATGTATAGATTTTGTGTTTTCTAATTATATAATATGGGGTGGTATAGCCATAATGTTAAGAGTGATTCAAACAAAATGAAAGGAGACAGTAGTACAGTACTGTTTGTTGTGTTTGACATTTTCATCCACGTAAATAGTATTTCATGAGGTGTAGTTACAGTATTTTAAAACCATGATCACTTTGAAAAATCGTTGTGATAATTAGGAAGGGGTTAATCGTAACGACAATAACACTTGGCGCATGGCATGTTCTGCACACACAAAATAAAAAGTCTGGTCAAAAATAGAAGGAAAAGGGGATCCGCATTGCAAGATTCGTTTCAAACACGTAGACATAGGTCTACTTTAATTCTATCCGCACACATACGGCATATCATGATATGCTTATTAGCTTTTATTTAACCGTTTTTATTGAGTTATTTATACTAAGGAGCACTTTTCTCACTTTCCTATCATTAATAGGCACTTTGTGAATAAGGTGCACTTTTCTCTGTTTTCGATGAAGTTTTGTACCATGGATGACCAAAAATACCCTTAATGAGATATTGTGCGTAAAGAGAAAAAATGAATTTAGCCGGTGACCGTAAAATAGATGCCACAGTTATTTTCCTTTTTATAAACCAATGCTGCCGTCACCAGATTTGTTTATGGTGTTCTTCCACAACGATTTAAAAGGAGGAATTGCTTGGTCACCGTTAGTGATGGAATGAAACCAAAACAACGGGAGGTGAGACACTTGTAATTTCATGGGTTATTATTCAGATTTGAGAGTTTTTCAAATAGAAACTGAAACAAGTTTGGTTTGTCGGGTAACTCGGGTTTGTCAAGAATCAGATCTGGGTTTTGGTAGATTCGAGACATATCAATGGTTTTTGTGTATATGAAAACTTGACAGATGTAAAGTATTGATCTAGTGAAGAGTTGTCTTGTATCCAAATAGAAAGTATAATGTGGATACTAATTTAAACAATAGAAAAATTAATTTGTTGTCCCAATTCGGGTTTGGCTCAGAACGTGCAAACATGTAAAAGAGCATTGGGCATGAGTTCGTGTACACACAAACAAAATGAGCATTCTGACCAATTAATCGTATACATCATGTAGTATCCACTAAAATTGTTAACTATGACTCTTTCGAAACCATCAATGCATATCACCATCAATGCATATCCAACATTTGTTGTCCAGTACAATGTGTCCATTGCTGTAACCATCAACTTTATCCATGAAAACGTGAACATGTAAGTAACCATCAATGGACGAACGTCTCCACCAATTTAAAAAAATCTTTGGTATTCGAGTAAGATCCATTCTCAACATATGGACAGCCTACTGACATTGTAACTTATATCTTAGTTGATATGAACTAAACCGATATAGGACTATGGACGCATTCTAATGGACCTATTCATATGGACAGTCTCCTAAAAGAATCAATCATCCAACAGAACCAGATGTTATATGTAAGTGTTATACATCCATATGGATACAAACAGATGGATATAATTTTATATCCATATAAATATAGGGGTTTGAAAAATATATAGTATGTATGGAGGTGGATACGTCAATATGGACATACAATAGTGGAAACTTATGGACGAGATCCTGTGGATGATCCTAATGAAATTGAAATTGTATGTTCAAATACTGGTGAAGGAAAGTTGATCTCTGACTTTCTGATTGTTGTTGTTGCCATTAAAAGTCTTCTCAGATTGTCATGTTTCTCTTTGTACATATAACAAATACAAGTGCTTTGAGTTCATAGAATGAACTTCAAAATTTATAAACGGATGTGGACCATGTGGTGCTTTGTGCTTTGTACTGTCAAAATCATTACAAGAACCATTATGATGAACCAATATAACAAAATGGACACACCCAAATGGAGAACTTTGGACAGACAAAATAATGTGGACATTCGATAGTGTAAATGAACCATTATAGCAGAAAACTGGATACATCCAAATGGACAATCTCATATGGACAAATTAATGGTCCTTTAGTAGTGTGTGGTTTGTATTCTTTGTGGCACTGTCTTGATTATCATAAACTCTTAAGAAGTTATCTGGATTTAGTTAAAACTTGTTTTGTGAATCTAAGTCTGCATTCTATGCTTTGATCATTTCAAAACTCTCATTTGGATTTGGCTTTGAAACTTCTTATATCATAAAGTGACATAGTAAAAGGAAACAACAATCTTCTCGTACGTAGCCAATCTGAACCAAACAAAACAGAATAGTAGATAAATAATATATCCATAAAACAGAGAGTCTTGTATGAAACATCCAAATGGAGAACTTCATATGGACACATTAAGACAAAACAAAAGCAAGACATATGAAGATTGTACATAGGTTTGACTCTGCAGCACGATGTAAATACAAAATTTGACAAAAAACCATATGGATAAACTGTTATGGACAATGGCGTATGGAAAGGAAAACATTAGAAAAAGCAAAGATATATGGACACACTTGTTCACAGTTATGGACCTATATACGTGGATATTTATCTGTGTACAGCAAAAATGGTTTGAGTTGATTGAGTTGTATTTATCTCCTCTAAAGCTTGTATTTGAGTTGCTTAAAAAGAAAGAATAAACTTAGTTTTTTCTCCTGATGCGTCTCTAGAACACTAAGCTGCTTTGTAATGTCCTTGTTTACATAAAAATTAGAATAGGATAAAAAGTGCAACATCAAACCGTGGGGATATGGATATAGCATATAGGTGTAAAGTGTTAGATATACATATGGATATAGGAGTATGGACATGGTCATATGGATACGATCCCGTGAAACATGCCTACGAGATGACCCGTAATTTCATACCCATATGGATATTGAGTTATGGACACAATGATGTGGATAGCATACATATTTGAAAGCTCTCGATGAACAAACCAATATGGACAATGCGCTTGCTCCACTTTCCCATGCCTCACTCTGCAAATTTAAAGATTTGGAAGGGTAAAATCGATTCTGATTTGGTAATCAAAGATTCAATAAGAAGGAAGATCTAGGAACCTGATAGTGCAGATTATTAGTTGGTGAAGCATATGGAGCAGAAGAAACCTCTCCGAAACTTGAAGATAAATCAGGTAACAAATATTAGTAAAAGCAAATCTTACAATTGAGATAAATCAAAATTATAGCAGATCAAAAAATCAAATCTGGTTACAATGAGTACCTTCCACAGTGACGGTGGCTGGTGCTTTGAGAGCCGGTGAGGACTCCATGTGGTGGAGTATGGAGGCATAAAAGAGAAGGTGGGTTATGACGACGGAGTCTGTAGGCCATATAAGAAAACATGAACAACTCAATTTATGGGTTTGTGGTGATGACGTGAAATCAGAGATGGATTGGGTTATCAATGGGGATAAAGCGAACATAAATTTTGGGTAATTGATGGCGGAGGTGAAGAAGCTGTCGCCGGCGGAAGGTAAACAAGCTGTAATTTTTTGTGTGAATAATTGAAAAGCATAAAGGTGAAAATGTGTGAGCGAGAGAAGGTGAAAGATGACAGAAGGTTATTGTTGTCTTTGCATGTGTTGAAAGTGCACCGTAATCAGAAAGTGCCTTTCTTTATAAACTGTAAGTCTAAAAGTGTGTCCCAATGTAAATAACTCGTTTTTATTTCATTTTTGTTTGAAGGACTATAACAACAAATACAAAGACTTGCTATGAATGCGCGCAATATCACGAAACGACATCAGAAGACCATACATATTTTATATTCTTAATTATGCCTTCATTACATTTGGGCTTATTCTATACCTAATGATCTGAATTCGTGAGCCTTTCGCATTTTTATCACAAGACATGGCAACATAAGACCCATACAGTTAGGCGCATTTATACACAATTCATATTGTTAAAAGCCCATAAAGGGTCAATGAAACCCTAGCTCCAGACGACTAGAGAGCCACCGCAGGTATATAAATAGCCACTGAAAATCTCTTTTCGATATAATTCGTCTAACAATTTACAACCAAGAACAGAATTTATAAGAGTTTTCTTTCTCTGCTTATTATTTTATTTTTCGGTTTTTGATACTTGGTAGCTCATGTGATTTGTCTTTTGCTGCGCGTATACGTTCATGGTTTTAACTTTTAACAAATTTTGCTATTCTGGATTTTTTATTTTTCTGAAAATCGATCGGAGAAGAGAGCGGTGATTATAAAAAATAAGATTAAAATTTCTGATCTGCTCATTTTATGGGCATGATAGACTCATTATACACCCATAGAATATGAGCTCTCTTCTCAATCATCTACTTTTGTTTCTTAATCTTTCTCAGTTTACTTAATTTTTAGTTTTTTTGTTCTCTGGCCAATCAAGAGAGTCCGAGTTTTTTATCTGAAGTCGAATTTGTATTGGACATACAGCTAACATTGGTATGATAATTTGCAGTAAGACTGATATGCGTTCTAAAGAAAAAGATGTAAAATTTGCAGTAAAAAAAAGTACGTTAAGAGCTTAACCACGAGATATTAACTGTCATTGATGACATCACCCCTAATCCCTCCATATAAATATAATCTGTACTTTAATGGACTAACTTAAATAGAGGATTTCCAAAGAATGCCCGCAATATTAGAAAAGCGTTGTCGAAATTAACTTGTCCACACAATCCTCAACATTTGTTTTTTTCTCCCTTTTGTTACTTTTAGTCGGCCGAAGCTCAATGACACACCTAAGTGAAAATGCAAAGAAAACCTTAAACTCGTCAACACTACATCTTTTTTTTTTTTTTTTTTTTTTTTTTTGAAGGGCTCTTTAACTTATCCAAAACGACACTGGTTCCTCTTAAAATCTGGACCAGTTAGTTTCGACATTGTTATGGAAAATTGATCTCTGTAAAGGCTAAACTCTGGGCAAAAAGCTGGAGGGGTTGATGAAATCTAGAGGTAGAGGCAAAAATTCAGAATCATTTGAGTTATGACTTGTGAGATTTTCACTGCATTTTTCACTAAGGTCTATCAAAATATGGAATAGGCCCACTAAATTACTAACTTATTAATAATTATTAGCCCATAAAGCCCAACCAAAACCCTAGCAACAAATTAAACCGACAGAGATATATAAGTAGCCAGTAGACACACTACTCATTTCATAATAGTCTCCAATTCTGCAAGTAAGGCAAACTAACTCAGTTCCATCTTTATTTTCTCATGTCGTTTTTTTTCTGTTAATTTCAATTTCAATCTCGTTTTTTTCTTATCCCATTTCACTTTCATTTCCGTGATTTTTGTTTTCAATTTTTTTATATCGGAGTTCCAATTTCGTTTAGAGGCGATGATGACAAAAAAGCATTTCTCGATCCTGAAATTTACTAGAGGGACCAAACAAACTCTTGTAAATTTTCTTGATGACTTTCATTTGTGCGTGTCTGAGCCAAATCAAGTATCACAAATCATTTTCTTTTTCAATTTTTGCCTAATCGTTACAAATCCCACAAACAAAAGTTCACAGATTTGCTAATCAGCGTTTTACTTGTTTTTGTTGTTCTTCAGTCTAAATCACAATCAAAAGCCATGGAAGAAGCAGACCAGCTATGCGAGGCGGCTAAATCCGGCGACTTGAAAAAGGTTCAAACTTTGATAAACTCCGGAGCAGACGTCACACACTTTGACGGCGACGGTCTGACGCCGTTAATGCACGCCGCCAAAACCGGAAACGCCGAGATCGTCTCCGCCTTACTCGAATCAGGAGCTCCATGGAACGCTCTCTCTCCGTCAAACCTCTCAGCAGGAGACTTCGCCATGGAAGCAGGACACCAAGAAGCATTTGACCTCCTCCTCAAAACCGGAATCCAATCGGAGCTAATCCTAGGAACAATCGCTCGCAAAGAAACCAAAAGCGAATACTCAAACCAAGACTATCTCCAAGACAGAGTCAGTTTCAGCGAAGACAAGCTAATGGACAACGAGAGCAAAGGAGTGATGATGGCTTGGGAGAAGCCACTAATGGAAGCTCACGCCAAAGCGATCTGCACCAACGGAGGATCAATCCTCAACGTCGGATTCGGTATGGGACTCGTCGACACAGCGATCCAAAGCTACAATCCGACCAAACACACGATCATCGAAGCGCATCCGGATGTTTACAAGCGTATGATCGAGTCCGGTTGGGGTGAAAAGGAGAATGTGGAGATTGTGTTTGGGAGATGGCAAGACCATGTTGATAAGCTTGATGAGTGTGGTTACGATGGGGTGTTTTTCGATACGTATGGAGAGTATTACGAGGATTTGTGGGAGTTTCATCAGAAGCTGACGAGGCTGTTGAAGCCTTTTGGGGTTTATTCTTATTTCAATGGGTTTTGTGGGAGCAATGCGTTTTTCCATGTGGTGTATTGCAATCTGGTGACGTTGGAGATTGAGAGTTTGGGGTTTAGTACGCAGCTGATTCCGTTGCCGGTGAAGGATTGTCTTGGTGATGAGGTTTGGGAAGGTGTCAAGCAAAAGTATTGGCAGCTTGATACTTATTATCTCCCTGTTTGTCAGTTTAGTGAGTGATGATTATAGCAATTTTTTGATGTATGAAATAAAAACAGTTCAGTTTTATGTGTTAGTTTAGTCATTAGTGTCACATAATCAAAGTGAAACATCTCCAAAAGTGAAAGACATATCTACATAGCTTAGTATGGGCTTGGATTTGAATGGTTTAGACTTTAGAAATGAAGATGGGCTGAAGACGGGCCCATTATTAAAATGACGTCAAGTGGTTTCTCGGTCATTTCTCCGCCACGTGTTTTAATTTCCACGGCTCTGATTATTAGTTACTCGTCTTGTCCATTTGGTTCAGTCGCAAAAAAGCTGAATTTAGGTTTCTGTCACAAGCTATGGCGATGATCTCTCTACGTTCTTCAAGCTCATTGCAGCTCATTTGTTCCTCTGTTTCTTCTAAACGATCCTCTCTTTTACCATATACGTTTTCGTCTTCGATTGTTTCTGTTCCTTTCTCCGGATTGAAATCCAATCGCACTTCCGTTTCGCCGACCTTGAGACCTCGTGTGGTTTTCGCGAGAGCTAGCACTGAAACCACTGATGCCGTCACTGATTACAGGGAAGATATCGGCGAAATCCTCGGCGATGTCTCCATTTTTACTGCTTCTGGCGAGCGCGTTCAATTCAGTGATCTCTGGGATCAGAACGATGTATGTTCAGCAGTAATTACTAATTCAAACACACGAATTCTTGTGATTCATTTCGGATATTAGCTTTTGAATTGTGGTTTTTGATTTACATAGGGAGTTGCTGCTGTTGTGCTTTTGAGGCATTTCGGATGCGTTTGCTGGTAATTTCATTGAAATCCTTAAACAACACTTGCAAATTTGTTTCTTTAGTTTCAAAACAATGATAAGCTTGAATTATATGTATATGAAAGTTGGGAGCTTGCTACAGCATTGAGAGAGGCGAAACCTAGATTTGAAGCGGCTGGAGTTAAGTTGGTGGCTGTTGGTGTTGGGACTCCTGATAAGGCTCGTTTGCTTGCCACTAGGGTATGTGTCTCCATGAGTCTATGGTCTAACGTTTTCACCTTCTGATGATAATGACATGAGTCTAATAGTATCTGTTTCCAATGCTTTAGTTACCTTTTCCCATGGAATGCCTTTACGCTGATCCTGAACGCAAGGTTAGCTTGTTTTTCTTTAGATATCTTACGTCTTGTATTGCTGATTGATTGTTTTAAGAGGGTTTTTTTTTTGCTTTAATCTGTGCAGGCGTATGATGTTCTTGGTTTATACTATGGTTTAGGCCGCACTTTCTTCAACCCAGCTAGCGTATGGACTGCCTCAACTTAGATTGTAATATACTATTTCACCTCAGAACATCTTAGAAACTTTTGATTATTACAGGCTAAAGTCTTCTCAAGATTTGACGAATTACGAGCAGCTACAAAGAATTACACCATTGAAGCCACTCCTGAAGACAGAAGCAGTGTCTTGCAACAGGTTTGTTTCTTTCTTTGTTTGGTTCGTCGCCAAGACAAGATAAAACTTGTCTGCATTTTTGTGATCCTTTGTGCTATTTCTTCTTCTCAGGGAGGTACGTTTGTGTTCAGAGGCAAGAAACTATTGTACGGTCGAAAAGACGAAGGAACTGGAGATCATCCATCTCTAGATGATGTCATCAATGTCTGTTCCAAAGCCGCTGTTGCTTGAACATTGGATTCGGTTTGTCTTTCCTTCTTAATACTTAAATCACTGTATAAATATGTGTAGCTATCAAATATAGTTTGGTTTATATATAGAAACTGGAAACAGTGGAAACACTAAAAGAACAACATGCCCATCCAATTCCAATTTCTATCCGTTCGTGTAGTTTTTGTTAATGTTGACAATTCATTGAGCCACACAATTCTTTTAGCGTAAAGGTAAAGACAATTGTCTGGTTTGTCTTTCTCAATAGTGCTTAGAAAACGTGCATATATTTATTTGAACTTATCTACTTATGGGGTATCAATCTCGTTCTAATCCCTGGCCAACAAAAAACAAATGTTGTCACAGTATTTAATTATTTATATAGGAAAAAAGAGAGAAAGATTTGTCGAATAATAATCTTCAAAACTAAGATTACCGAATTCAATACCCTGCATCATACTAAATTGCTAATGCGGTGTGACATGACTAAGCATGAAACCTTTGGTCTATTCCTCCTACAAACTATTTTAAAAGCTGAAAACGATAAAGAAACTCAATTTTGATAGAGACTATTGTGTACACGAAATTTATATAATCAGTTTTTTAATCCCTTAATGGAGAAATACTGATCTGTCAAATCTCTATTTTGCGCACCTCCCCAAGACTTTACACTAACGTGCGCATTAAAACCCGGCCGAAAGATGATCACTCACTCCTCCAAGAACACATTTTCTGTTTCTTCTCTGCATTCTCTTTTCGTTTTTAAACACTCACGTGAAACCACCTTCTTCTTCTTTAACCTTTTTTGAAAAATCTCTCCAATGCCAGCGAATCACCGGTTTAGCTACCGGTTAATCTTCCTCCTCCTTCTCTGTTTCAAAACGGCACAGCGTTTAGTCTCCGGTGACCCGAACGACGAAGCGTGCTTGGCGAATCTCCGTCTAAGCTTAGAGGATCCGGCGAATAACCTCATTAACTGGACTAAACCATTCTTCTCCAATCCTTGCTCCGGTTTCACTTCTTATCTTCCCGGAGCCGTTTGCAACAACGGCCGAATTTACAAGCTCTCCTTGACCAACCTCTCTCTCCGTGGCTCCATTTCTCCTTTCCTCTCTAACTGCACAAATCTCCAATCTCTAGATCTATCTTCCAACCAAATCTCCGGCGAGATTCCGGCGGAGTTACAGCTGTTAGTCAACCTCGCTGTTCTTAACCTCTCATCTAACCGTCTCTCCGGTCAAATCTCACCTCAGCTCACTCTCTGCGCTTACTTAAACGTCATCGATCTTCACGATAACCAACTCTCCAGTCAAATCCCAGAACAATTCGGGCTTCTCGCGAGATTAACGGCGTTCGATGTCTCGAACAACAAATTATCCGGTCCGATTCCGGTGAATCTGGCGACTCGAAACGGAAATTTCCCGAGGTTCAATTCGAGCTCGTTCGTAGGGAACAAGAAGTTGTACGGATACCCATTGGAGGAGATGAAGAGCAAGGGATTATCAGTTATAGCGATCGTTGGGATTGGGCTTGGAAGTGGAATCGCGAGCTTAGTGATTAGCTTCACAGGAGTCTGTATTTGGTTGAAGATGACGGAGAAGAAAATGGAGGAAGGTGAAGGAAAGATTAGTCACTCAATGCCTGATTACTGAAAAATAAACTAATTAGAATTCTTTTTTTCACTCTCGTAAAAAACTAAACAAATGTTTTTGTAACTTGGGTAAATCCAAATTTGAGGTCAGAATGGGTCGATGGAAAGCTCAGTTTTATGTCGGAAAATATTATGTCTGAACGGCTCAAATTTACGTCGGAAAACTTTTTGTCCGAAGTCCGTATTTTATGTCGGAAAACTACATGTCCGAACGACACTATTTATATCAAATTTTAATGTCCAAACGGGCCCAATTTTATGTATGGATGGGCCGATCCTAACCCAATTGATTTTTGAAATGGGCCAATAGAAAGCCCAATTATTTTTCGGAAACTAACAGAACCCAATTTTTTCGTCGGGATATTTTAACTCCGAACAGCCCTCTATTTTGTCGGAAAAATTTATGCCCGAACGACGTTTTTTATGTCGGAAAATCAGATGTCCGAACGCCTCTATTTCTGTCGGAAAAGTTTATGTCCGAACGTCCCTATTATATGTCAGAAATTTGTATGTCCGAACAGCCCGTTTTTGTCGGAAAAAATTATGTTCGAACGACCTTTTTATGTCGGAAAATCAGATGTCCGAACGCCTCTATTTCTGTCGGAAATGTTTCTGTCCGAACGTCACCATTTTATGTCGGAAATGTTTGTGTCCGAACGTCACCATTTTATGTCGGAACAACCTTAATTTTTTTCGGAAAATCAGATGTCGGAACGGCTCTATTTATGTCGGAATAGTCTATGTCCGAACTCCGGTTTCCCTATTTTATGTCGGAAATGTCTGTGTCCGAACGGCACAATTTATGTCGGAACGGCCCAATTACTTAAATGGGCCCAAAATCGCTGATAAAGCCCATTAAGGCTAGGCCCGAATATTATTATTTTCTCTGAAGGACGACTTTTTATTTTTTATTCCCAAGAAAATGCGACAAAGTGGAGGCAAATTATCATCAATGCTGCCGTTTACTTTACGAGATGCGTAGATTCTATCACATATTCGAGTGTTTTCTCAGCAAACGCCAATTCGTCTTCGCATCTTCTTCCCAATTCAAGTCTCGGTTTGATCTGATTCACAGAAATTTTCACGTTTCTAGAGTTCTCGAAGATAATTTCCGGAGAAGCAACGGGATCGGCTTAGTTTGTCTCGAGAAGAGCCACAGCGAGCGTACGAAAACCTCCAAGTACGATGAATTCGCGAGTGACGTCGAGAAAGCATACAGAATTCTGCGGAAATTTCACTCGAGGGTCCCGAAGTTGGAACTCGCGCTTGACGAATCGGGCGTTGAGCTCAGACCCGGGTTAATCGAACGGGTACTGAATCGTTGCGGGGATGCCGGGAATCTAGGTTACAGATTCTTCGTGTGGGCGGCGAAGCGACCTGGGTATTGCCACAGCTACGAAGTGTACAGATCGATGGTGAAGATTCTAAGCAAAATGCGGCAATTCGAAGCCGTCTGGGGTTTAATCGAAGAGATGAGGAAGGAGAATCCGCAGTTGATTGAGCCGGAATTGTTTGTGGTTCTGGTGCGGAGATTCGCGTCTGCGGTTATGGTGAAGAAAGCCGTTGAAGTGCTCGACGAAATGCATAAGCTCGGTTCAGCGCCGGACGAGTACGTGTTTGGGTGTTTGCTCGACGCGTTGTGTAAAAACGGCAGCGTTAAGGACGCTGCAAAGCTTTTCGAGGACATGAGAGTTCGATTTCCGAGAAATCTCAGGTATTTTACTTGCTTGTTGTGTGGTTGGTGCAGGGAAGGGAAGATGATGGAAGCTAAACATGTTTTGGTTCAGATGAAGGAAGCTGGATTTGAGCCAGACGTCGTTGATTACACCAACTTGCTAAGCGGGTATGCTCATGCGGGTAAAATGGCAGATGCTTATGATCTAATGAAAGATATGAGAAGGAGAGGGTTTGAGCCAAACGCGAATTGTTACACTGTTTTGATCCAGGCGCTGTGTAAGGTAGATAGAATGGAGGAAGCGATGAGCGTTTTCGTTGAGATGGAGAGGTATGAGTGTGAGGCTGATGCTGTGACTTACACTGCGTTGGTTAGTGGGTTTTGCAAATGGGGAAAGATGGATAAGTGTTATCATGTGTTAGATGATATGATGAAGAAAGGTCTCGTGCCGTCTCAGTTGACTTATATGCATATCATGGTGGCTCATGAGAAGAAGGAAAAGTATGAAGAGTGTTTGGAGCTGATGGTGAAGATGAAGCAGTTAGGCTATCGTCTTGATCTTGACATTTACAATGTGGTCATCAGATTGGCTTGTAAATTGGGAGAAGTGAAAGAAGCTGTTCGGTTATGGAAGGAAATGGAAGCAAACGGGTTGGTTCCTGAAGTAGATACGTTTGTTATCATGATCAGTGCTTTAACAAGCCAAGGTTGTTTACTCGAAGCCTGCGATCACTTTAAAGAAATGGTAACTCGAGGACTATTCTCTGTTCCTCAATACGGAACTCTGAAGTCATTAGTGAGTAGTCTTTTAAGAGATGGGAAGCTTGAAATGGGTGAAGATGTTTGGAGATGCATCATCACAAGTAAAGAGGTGAATGTATCGACTTGGACGATATGGGTCCATGCCTTGTTCTCGAAAGGTTTTGTGAAGGAGGCGTGTGCTTATTGTCTTGAAATGATGGAGATGGAGTTTATGCCACAACCGGACACATTTGCTAAGCTTATGAAGGGTGTAAAGAAACTGTACAATAAGGAATTCGCTGTAGAGATTACGGACAAAGTGAGGAATATGGCAGCTGAGAGAGAGGTGAGTTTTAAGATGTATAAGAGGAGAGGAGTGGAGAGTTTGAGTGAGAAAGCTAAAGCTAAGAAAGATAGAGAAGGGAAGAAGAAGCGGAGGACGACTCCATAACTGAGAGAGTTGTAATGGAAAACACTTTTTTTTTGTTTTTGAAGTCGTTGTACAGTGCATGTTGTTTTTGAAACTTGTTAGTGTCGGCAAAACGGCAAGAAGTCCATTATTGGAGGATAAAGGAGCACCGTATACTTAGCATGAGGACCAGCACAAAGAAAAAAGGCTCTATACTATTATTAGTAAATCTCATTCCTTATATAAACATATAGTCGTAGCTTGAAAGAAACTAAAAAAGAAAAAGAAAAAAAAACAGCAAAAAGTTACCGAAAAGAGAGAGAAAAAGGGATAATCAAAAACGTGTTGTGATTAATCTACTGTGTTGTTTTAGAAATTAGACAAGATGAGTAATGGATGGAGAGGAATAGTAGTATGGTGTCTCTTAATAATATCTGTCCTATCCACTTTCGTTATCAGAATCGAGTCGACAGAAGACACTCTGACTATTAATAAATGCGCTTATAAGGTTTCGAATAGGGAGACCATCAGCGACTGCCAACGCCAACGCCAAGGTCGGAAATGACTAATGGCGCATGGAGGAGTACGGTGCAGAAATGTGCCATAGACGATGGCAGAGCTTATAGTACTTACAAAATATCAAAGAAACTTACTAGTTACTGCTATCTTTGTTTCGCTAAGACAAAGGTCTGTATGCTTTCTCTTTTATATTTTGTAAAACAAAAGTTCTATGGTAACTTTTGAAATTAAAATGTAATTGTTTAGTAATTTTGTTTTAATAATCAAATGTTTTTATAGAACACCACTTATAACGACATTTTTCTTTATGCCTTACAACCAATTGATATGATTCCCAAAAATTAATTGGTTGAAGTTATTAATAGTTAGTTGATTAATTTAATTTAATTTAATTTCTTATGTTAACAAAATTGCAAGATAAGAAAATAACAAAGAAAAAAAGGTAATAAAGAAGTCATTTTGCAATTAATCTTTGAGAAAAGATGAATAGAGAATGGTGAGAATTTCTCTCTTGCAACAAATGAATACTCCTCCCAAATCCGGAAACATTTCGTCTAAGATGAAGCCTGAAGGCCGTACGTAGCATTTCACGCCGTGAAGATAATCGTCGAGCGGTGCATGTAGTATGAAGTATAATATTAATGTATGGTGAAAGAATATGGCAAGGATGATATATGCTATTGCTAGCTTACACTAAGTTTATATATAGCTTACACTAAGTTTATATATCAGGAAGACCACTACGATATTTAATTTGTTTCGCTTTGAAGAATATGTTAAACATAGATAGATACCTTGATTTTTTAAAACTTAAAAGATTGTAGGTACAATGTGAATCTCTTGGTCCATAATTAAAACAAAAATCTCTTGGCACATCAAATAGTTTCTTTTTGCATAAAACCTACAAATAGATAGAGAGACACACACAACACTCGAAACGAATTAATTTCTAAATTAGTGTGCATAATCAAAAACGACGCCGTTTTTGTAGTTACAGCTCTCGCTTTGTTTTTTTCTTCTGTTTAATGACAATAATAACACTGGGAAGCTCTCGTTCGTTTAGTGAATTTCTTCGAGCTACACAGAAGAAAGCTCTTTTTTTCACACGAAAGATCTTTGGATCCGAACATCATTAATTCGAAATCATTGATTCAAGGTATGTAATGTATGCATTGTTTTCCTCAGGATTGTCTCGTAGCGTGTTTCATGGATCTCAATTCATGGTATTGATTTGTTTCTGTAGTGATTCATCTTCCGTTTGGTGATTTTTTTTACTACTGTATGACTGAATGATTCCTTTACGAACTTGCCGCGAAATCTGTTTTGTTCGTCTTGTAATTTGCATTCCAGATTCGGCATACTCATTTTTTCATGGATCTCGCTCTTTTTTTTTTTTTTTTTCAAAATTGATTCCATTTCTGGTAAATTTTTTTTGATGCGTTAATGATTATTGTATCACACTAGTTAAACGCTAATTCAAATTCGCTGAAAATCTGCGTCTCGTGGAAATTTGTCGGTAATGCTGGAAAATTAGCGTTTGATGTGTTTAGGCTTTAGAATAATAGTGTTTGTGGATTAATCTATTTTGCTATGAAAGGTCTAAAGAAGAGCTTTTGAGGGATCTTAGGCATGTCAAGAAGGCAAGTAGGTTCGACGAGGCGTGTAGGTGATGGTGGAAGCTTCCCATTCGTAGGAGCTTTACACTCAAAATCACGTTCGTCTCCTCTAATATCTATTTGCCTTGTTCTCGTGGTATGTATCATCATTTTCTTGCTTCACTCTAATCATCTCAAAGTCATTCGCAAATTGATTCCTTTTTCTCAAAATGTTATATTTACAGGGAGCATGCCTTCTCATTGGTTATGCTTACAGTGGTCCAGGTTTGTAATCTCTCTGCTTTGCTTCTGATCTCGTCTTGAAAACCTCTGATTTGCAAGTTCTTGTGATTACAGGTATGTTCAAAAGCATCATAGAAGTCAGCAAGATCTCAGGTGATTCTTGTTTCTCATCTTCAATCCATGTGCTTAAGATAAAGATAGTGATTTAGCCTGCGAAGAGCTCGTGACACTTGTCTCTGTTCAGGGGACTACTATTCATGCACATCAGAAGTGCAAAGAACCATTCCTCTTCTTAAGAGTGCGTACGGAGATAGCATGCGCAGAGTCTTACACGTGGGTCCTGACACATGCTCGGTGGTCTCTCTTTTACTGAAGGAAGATGAGACTGAAGCATGGGGTGTTGAGCCATATGACGTAGAGGATGCAGACTCGAGCTGCAAAGGTCTTTTGCACAGAGGCGTTGTACGTGTAGCCGACATCAAATTCCCTCTGCCTTACCGAGCAAAGTCCTTCTCTCTCGTCATCGTCTCAGATGCTCTTGATTACCTCTCGCCTAGATACTTGAACAAAACTGTTCCTGAACTTGCACGTGTTGCTTCAGATGGCGTCCTTCTCTTTGCAGGTAACTACTAACCAAACCCTTTTTTGTAACTTTATCCTGATTAAAAGATGTGTAACTTGATCCTGATTCGTTGTGTATAATAGGCAATCCTGGTCAACAAAAGGCTAAAGTTGCCGAATTGTCGAAATTTGGGAAACCGGTAAGTTCACTAAAACTGGTTTAGGTTTATACTTGGCTCACTCACCCTCTTCGCTGACTTTTGATGTTTTTGCAGGCGAAAATGCGTAGCTCGTCGTGGTGGACTCGTTTCTTTTCACAAGTGAACTTGGAGGAAAACGAAGCAGCAGGCAAGAAGTTCGAGCAAGCAGCTTCCAAGATTTCATACAAACCTACTTGTCAAGTCTTCCACGTCAAGCCATTACATTAGAAACACTATTATTATTACTCTGGTCTTTAAGCATTCAAACCAGATATATATCTCTTCTCTGTTATATGTCTCTCTTTTTTTTAAGACTATAGAAAGAAACAAAAGTTCCACAAAATTTGTAACCCGTTTTCTCAGCTATTTGATTCATAATTTAACTATTTAATAAACTAGCCTGCATTTCTATTGTTTTAAGCTAAGACATCATCTACTTGATCAAATGTTTTTGTGTGTGTGTGTGGCTTTGAGTCTTTGAGACATTGGGGTGTATCACTGTTTCTCGCATTTGAATGAGGCCTCCTCTACTTTCCAACTTCTATTAGATTTGGTTAAAAAGGCCAGGCCCAATGATAAAACTCATACGTTAATTAGATCGTCTGATATGTATTATGGACAGAATGAGTTTACGGCCAGACAAAGTGACAAACACATGATACATTCGGTTTCGAGTTTTTCTTATTTTTTTAATTGCAATAATAGGAGCTAAATGAATCATTTTCCATTTGTATGCAATCTGTTTTTGGTTGCAAAACTCTAACCTTTTGTCAGAAAGATAACATACAGACAAAAATACAGCATCGATTTTATTTTAGTTACAAATATGGAAAACGAGAGATACACAGACTGGTATAAAGTATAAAACTATTAGGAAGACATAAACATAAGTTGACCATACTGTTTGTTAACTTGGTGTCCAATGCAGGTGGGAGTTTTTTTTTCTTGTTTTGAAGTTTTTATTTGGTTTATTGGCTTTTCTATGATCATATGACCTACCCAGTTGTAATATAAGACCAACTTGTATATACATAAAACAACATTTTTATGGACAACATTCTCTCTCTTGATTTGAACCCTTTAATATGTTTTTAATATTGACCTCCAAGAATTGGTTGTACTATAACTTTCATAAATATTTGCTTTGAACGAAGCAAGTCTTACTAGTCGCCACTTCATTAATACATTCAAATATACAACCTCATTTAGTCGGGGAGAGATTAGTTGGAATAGATATTCGACCACGAAACAGGGTAAGGCACAAAATTACTGGATTAAGAGTTTGCACTGTTTGTGTTTGAATAACATTCAAGAAACTGCAAAAGAAAATCAAAAAATATATGCAATACATAAACACATATCATGTGTTGTCAAAAAAAAAAAAAAAAAACACATATCAGGTTTTGAGAGACTGTTAAATGGGACCCGCGTTTTCAATTTCTGGAACATGAATAGTTGAAATTAAGAAGAAAAAAAATATTGATCACGATGGTTGTCACAAAATGTTGTTGTTTGATGTAGGGTCTTGGGGTGGGTAGGGTCTTATAACCTATACTTTTCACATGCAGTCTTAAACCCTATTTCTACTGCATCTCCATGTGCTTGCCCTCACGTCGCTACCTCTTCCTTCAATTTAAAATAACAAATTACAAAAATGTATATTTTTCTCATAAAACAATTACAAAAATATATGTACATAAATTTTCTGTAATTTACAAAAATATACTACCTAAAACTAGAATTTATTTATATAATACATATGGTTTACACTTTGCCAGTTTCTACTATTTTTTATATTTTCTTAGTAATATTTTTTGTGAAATATTATCGCGGTTATTTGTCAAAATTTCAGAGTAGGATTCGTTCAAAAATTACTTATACAGTACTTGTTTGATTAAAGTTATCAAAAGACAATCGTTGAGACAATACTAATTCGGTCATGAAGTACAAAATGGTATCAAACTATCAATTTCAGAAGTGCTATTTTTATTTGGGTCCCTTTTTAGTTCCATTGATGTTTTTTAATCTATAAAATAGGCCGAACATATAACAACCCTGTTATAATTTATATAAAAAGAACTCTATACTTTTATATATAAAAGAAATACGCATATGGTGTTCTATCTTGATGATTCTTCAAAATATGGAATCTTAAAATGTTCTGTGAAATTAATTATATGATTGCATTTATGAGTTGATATGATATCTTTTGGTTGTTTCAGAAAACGCAATCAAGAATGATGATAAATACCGAACTATTTGCTTGATATCAACATTATTTCACATGCCATTTTCAGAGTCGTATTGGATATTGTCATTATCAAGAGTTGTTATACGAGGACCCATTTTGGTCGCACCAAATCAATTTGAGCTTTCTAAAATTAATCTGAGGAAATCACAACGTCTCATTTATTAAAGTGGTATAATTTTGAAATGATAACGATTTCCTGACGTCAAATTTATTCTCTTTTATATAGAGGATAATATGTGACTATGTGTATTACCTACCAAAGAATATTCCAGTTAAGTTAGTTAACAGTTGGCGTCAAACTTAAACAGAACAACGTCGCCTGAAAATCTGGGGGCATCAGTTATAACTAACGGCTACCAACATTGGCTTTGATATCGTCCACCTGATTTTGTTACTTAATATACTTCAATTGGATTGTTATTATATTAATCACTCTAGGTTCGAATTAATAATTATATCATTTTAAATAAATATCTGCGCATCCTACTGGTGCTTATTCCATAGAAATATATAGTTTTTTTTTTGAAATTCTTTCTTTTTCGCTAACTGAGAATTTGATTGATCAACTTCTTTATGCTAAAACAGTAAAACTCCTTCCTGTGAACTATACCTCTATGGCTCTATTGGCATGAGATCGTTGTACATCAATAAATGCCGCATAATTCACATGTCCGATAAATCGTAAAACTACAAAACTGAAATCATCCTAGTCAGCAAATAAAGTATATTTGCATGAAATTGATCCCACCAAATAAATCAGTTGATGCCAATGAATAGAGGAATGATATCCTTCTACAAAAAAAAATATTAATAGAGGAATAAAAAAAAAAAAAAATCAAAAAATAATGGCGGACCAAAACATTTGGGACTACTTGAGTTTAGGGAGCATAAATGGTCCTATCTGACTTACCTCCTTCTTCCGTATAAACTAATATATATTTATACGTATTAATGTATGCTTACGTATATGCATACATACATACTTTTTTTTGCTCAACATATTCAAGATTCATTCAATGAGCTAAACCAATTTCGTAAAGCGATTTGATGTCGGTATGGCATTACATTTTGATTACCACTTGTCTCTGTTATCTCCCTTTTCTTGTATGTATCATTTTCCTTGATTTTCAACTTTACGTTTACCACCCGTGTTTTATGTTATTAATATCAAAAAGTCAAAGTGATGACAGTTTCTTACAGATTTCTGATAATAAAAATGTTTCATATACAATGCTCAAAACTTTTTGTCAAAATATGCTCACATTATACATCATTTATAATGTCTTCCATATAATGTATAATATGATGCATTAGTATCGGACCAACGCGCTAACTAAGTTCACGAGTTGATATTTTACTCCACAGAGTGGATTGTTTTCAAGTGTGGACTTTTAAAGTAACAATCATAAAAATTAAAGTTAAGTTTTAACAAATAAACCATTTGATATTTGTGGCATTTGAGTTTGCTTTTTTAATTGCTATGTTTGGTCCCTAAAGAATGGTCATAATAAGGACGGTCCGTCGGTGACGGAAACGCGTAAAGGCTAATCATTTAAGTTTAACTATACTAAATATCATTATTTTAATCGATCATAATTAGCTTTTCCATTCTCATTTATTTATAAAATTATTATTTCATCTACTCAAATCCTGAAAAACAAACAAATAAATCAGGGAAATAAGCTCAAGATGTGTCCACTTTGTATGTATATAGAATATTTTCTGAGAACATCCAATACTAAGATTTATTGTTGTATATATGTGTGAATCCAATAATAAACAGAGGTTCAATAATGGATCATTCTCATTTTCAAATAACAACAAGAACTATTGCAATTGATAAATTATTAGCGACGTATTATTAGAATACAATAAAAGAAGTTGTCTAACATGTCTCAACGAATATTTACTAAGACTATGTTAATGTCAGGGCGGTCAAAAAATCTTCGATTCTGTTGTCAAACTTTTTATTTTTGGTGGGGATAAAAATGTCGTATGATTATCTATATATAACAGACCCATCACTCCTTCAACCACATCTCACTCTTCACCAACTTAAACCCTAATCAAGAGATCTCTTTCTCTCTCACCCACATTGATCTTCTCTTCGACCAAAATCTCTTTACTTTAAAGTCGATCAGAAAATGAAACAGCTTTCGACAAAAGTGACAAGTAATGGTCATGGACAAGACTCGTCCTACTTTCTGGGATGGGAAGAGTACGAGAAGAACCCTTACGACGAGATCAAGAACCCTAATGGGATGATCCAGATGGGTCTCGCAGAAAATCAGCTATGTTTCGATCTTATCGAGTCATGGTTAGCTAAGAACCCAGACGCAGCTAGCCTCAAGAGGAACGGTCAATCCATTTTCAGAGAGCTTGCTCTCTTCCAAGACTATCACGGCATGCCTGAATTCAAAAAGGTAGGCTTCATTTGTTTTAAGCTAACGTGTAATACAAGAAACCAATTGAATAATTTTCTCAACTCTCATGAATTTTTGTTTTAACAGGCGATGGCTGAGTTTATGGAGGAGATTAGAGGAAACCGAGTCACGTTCGATCCGAAAAAGATTGTTTTAGCCGCTGGTTCGACCTCTGCGAACGAGACTCTCATGTTTTGTCTCGCAGAGCCTGGCGATGCTTTCCTTTTGCCTACTCCTTACTATCCTGGGTAAATTACAATTCTAACCCTAATTCCACTTTACTTGGATTCCAAGATAGCCACTTTAAACAATATGCTTACGTTTTGGCGCCTTTTTGATGATTACAACAGATTTGATAGAGATCTTAAGTGGAGAACCGGAGCTGAGATTGTGCCAATTCACTGCTCAAGCTCTAATGGCTTCCAAATCACGGAATCAGCTCTGCAACAAGCTTATCAACAAGCCCAAAAACTCGATCTCAAAGTCAAAGGAGTCCTTGTCACGAATCCATCTAACCCACTTGGCACTGCGTTGACCAGACGTGAACTTAACCTTCTCGTTGACTTCATCTCTTCCAAGAACATTCATCTCATCAGCGACGAGATCTACTCAGGCACCATGTTCGGGTTTGAACAGTTCATAAGCGTTATGGATGTCTTGAAAGACAAGAAACTCGAAAACACTGAGGTTTCGAAACGAGTACACGTCGTTTATAGCCTTTCCAAAGATCTGGGACTTCCTGGTTTCCGTGTAGGAGCGATCTACTCCAACGACGAAATGATCGTTTCCGCAGCTACGAAAATGTCGAGTTTCGGTCTTGTTTCTTCTCAGACACAATACCTTCTCTCTGCATTGCTCTCCGACAAAAAGTTCACAAGCACATACCTCGAGGAGAACCAGAAACGGCTCAAGTCCAGACAGAAACGCCTAGTGTCTGGTCTCGAGTCCGCGGGGATTACAAGCCTGAGAAGCAACGCGGGTTTGTTCTGTTGGGTCGACATGAGGCACCTCTTGGACACAAACACATTCGAAGCAGAGCTTGACCTCTGGAAAAAGATTGTTTACAACGTGAAACTAAACATCTCGCCCGGTTCTTCATGTCACTGCACCGAACCGGGTTGGTTTAGGGTTTGTTTCGCTAATATGAGCGAGGATACACTTGATTTGGCCTTGAAGAGGCTCAAAAATTTCGTAGAGTCCACAGATTGTGGACGCATGATTTCAAGAAGCAGCCATGAAAGGCTCAAGAGTTTGAGGAAGAAGACAGTCTCTAACTGGGTTTTCCGGGTTTCATGGACCGACCGTGTACCTGATGAACGATGAAATTATTCATCTCCCTAAGTTTGAGACGACGAACAAAAAAAAGAAACAATACTTCACGGTTTTTTTCTTCTTCTTTATTCCCTTCATTTTTTTATATTTTGGAAAAATATTTTTCATTTTCCAAGATATATATAATATATTATTATATTTATATGTAATATTCATATATGTTTGGGTGAGTTTTTATGCAATTTTTCGGGTGTAAATTTGTTTCTGTAAGTGTTCTTGCACTCAGTCCGAATGTGGATTTGCAGTGGCTATATATATATATATACATACATATATATCCCGTTGTAATTTTAAGAAAAAGTTTGCATGTTTGTACCCATATATAAAATGTAATTCACTCATTGTAATACATTTATCTTTGAATCATAATTATGGGTTTTTCTTGAAAGTATTTGATTGTGAGTCTGCGATACAATTCTCCTTTGACTATACAAGTCTATAATGATCGTTAACGTTAGTTAAGGCATATGAGAAGGAGGTTTAATTTAATGTCAATCAACGAATTGATCAATTGCAAATGGCGGGAATTGGTCAACTAAGAAAGCAGATGAGGAAAGTCATAGGTGACGTCACTTGGTCTGTAGTAATCTCTTTGTCCCAAATGTTCCAGGAAGCCAAATTAATAAATGAACCAAACTGAGGATTACATCTTTCTCCAAAAATGGTTTTTTTAAAAAATAATTTAGAGGGAAAAGTAGCTTCTAGCCTTCTACGGCAGTTAAGTCTTGGACTTGGATTTGAGTCATTTGACTATGTGTGTTGCATTGCATTAGAAAGAAAGAATGTTGAGAGAAATGGACGACGTATAAACTATCAACTCTTCAATAAGTGCTAACAGATGCCTTGGTTGATCAATATATTCCAATGATTACAATGATTTGAGATTTGTACATTACAATACAATTCCAATCATGGCTACCGAAATCAATAATTTTCAAAATTTTGGAGCTTAAAAGCTTCCAATCATTTAAAGAGAAAAGGCATTATAACCATTTTATTTTTTTTTTCGTTATCATTTGCGGAGGGATAAAGTGGGATAAAGTGTCATATCATAGGCTAATCATTATATAAGATACCGGTCAAACGTTACGTTATGATGCTGAGTCTATTATAGATAGAATTATAATCTCTACAAAATAAAAAAAGTTCGAAAATGCCAATGAGCTTTGTGGTACTACGAAGACTACGAACTACTATATAATGCAACTTTACTAACCGTATTTTATTTTAATTTTCTAGCATGATACGCGGCTAATGATCCTTACATGTGAAGAGCATTAATGTGGTAGTTGAGTTCCCCAAAGTATGTATGAGTTAATTTAATAATTCATTAAAAAAAAACAATAGAGATATGGACGTACTTTGAGAATTGAGAAAAAGGAAAAAAAAAAAAAAGAGAGAGTGAGAATTTGGTTGGATTTGAGAATCCGTGATGAGTAATATACTGATTTGAGTATTGTACTTAATTGCATATGACCGACCATAACTATACAAACTGAGATTATGTAGTCGTTGTACCAGAATATTTTTGTTGTTGTCATTAATCATGGTCGTAGACTCGTAGTACTATATAGCAAATATTTTAAGCAATACGGAATTATTTTATCAGTAAGAACCATGGAATGATAATGTGATGTTATACGTATACGAAATAAACTGGTTCGTCAACTTAGTCTACTATAATCACATAGACCGGTATCTTATATGATGATTAAAAATTAACCTATAATATAAAGTGTGATAAGCCTTGCTAAGCAATGAGACAAAAATTTAGTTAAAGGTGTGAGGAAAAAAGAACTTGATGAAAAAACTATCAAGTAATTTGAAAATCGAATTCTACTCAAAGAGAATTGTCGTAAACAAGTATACGCATATTTATCTAAGCAAAGCTTATGACATAAGTGAATGGAGTTTCCTCCTACGCATGGTTTTAAAGAGATTGAGCTTCCATGACATATGGATAGGCTCGTGCTTCATTCCCTATCTCTTCTATCGACTTTGTTATACTCATCAAGAGCTTTGAATTAAATTCAGTTTCGACCCAAAGAAATGTTGATAGGTCATGATTTGCTATGAAATGTAAGTTTATCTTATTTATATAAAACGTACTGTAAATTTAGTCGATACATATGTAACATGTCAAGTTTGAACCAAGCTTTGAGTCACGTGGCCTTCACACGAGTAAGGCCATATAACAACTGCACATGTCATGACACAAAGACATATAACATCTCTCATACATATATAGTGAACAAATTCATATACTTAGCAATAAGAGAATTGTAACGATTTGGTTGTTTCTCCGTCTTTGACTTCGACCAATAGGACAAAAAATTTGGATTACAAACTACATCAATTATACGAAGGACCCGTTTGATGTTCTTCATGAATGCATGAGGGACCATCTACGCATGGCATTGCTACTTACAAAGTTACAATACATATAGACTATATAATATACAGTGCATAAATGGGATTTCAAAATTTCATATTTTATAAGCTCTAATATGGCATGTGGGTCACGTTAGCTTTTATCGTACTTGATGCATAGTTTAAAAAAAAAAAATTAGTACATTTTCAATTAATTATATATAGTTCCAATAGGACTGAAATGTGAAATTAGTGATGTGCTTCGTATATACATCTACTTAGTATGTGCACTATTAAGAAGATTCATCGCACGTTTGTTACGTAAGAAACCAGCATCAAATCGCACAAAGATTTGTTGCTTTGGCTTAGATGCACCGTCATGAATTATAATATAAAGTCGATTTATTAATGTTCATTCATGGAGTCTATCAATGTTCATCCTCTTCTTCCCATCTTTTCGAACATTGTTTACTCCCAAATTTATCTCTCTTTTATCTTATTTTTATTATTTGACTTTTTGTTTATTGTTCTTCCAAAGACATGAAATTTAGTCGGCTCTTCCTGCTTTTCAATCTGATTAATTTAATGACATATGATGCTTAGTTCTCAAATCTTTCAAATTTCAATCACGACATCATATAATGTGATCATATGGGCCTTACGAGAGGCATATTGTTGACATCTTATAATGTGCCATATGTTTTCCATTAAATGGGCTTAGATGGGCTTTAATGGGTCTTACAAGCCGAAGCAAGAGCTGGAGTCAAAAGGATATTACGAAAAACAATTACAGAAAATTATATTTTAGTAGTTTATTCAAAGTAGCGGAAATCTTTTCCCGCATATATATCTTCTTTGTCCATAAGCAGATAACAAGAAATCGCCAAAACTCATCTACGTAATGGAAACAATATTATAAATTAACTAATAAAAAGTTAAGACCACGTACAAAACAATCAGACGGACGCGACATTACTCCCATTTCCACGATAAAACATTTTCATTATTTTATGTAAATAATAATAGTTTTCCTAACTTTTAAACGGAAAGAAAACAGAAACACAAAGTTGAAAAGATGATTATTATTATTATAAAAAGGCAAAAAAAATCAAGGTGAATTATATTAACGTGTTAGTGAGTGTCAGCATCAGCTGCATTATATAAAAATTTAAAATTATTAAGTACGTTGGTTCCTTTTTGACAATGGTCCAAATTTAATGGTTAAACAAAGAAAATAAATTATAAAAATATACAACAAGGTCGTCGCGGGGCGACTTGTCGCGAGGCTAATCAAGGTTTTATATGGTGTTGTTTTACTTATCTTCTAGAGATTTGACAGAATGTACCATTAATCAATGGATTAAACTATTAATCATAAGCGAGTATGTATATTCATGTATGTACATAGCCTCTCGTTAATTCATATATCGTTTTGTTCCTTGCTTTCTTCTCAACGATAATTATTCCTTTTCCTTCTTTTCATATATCGCTTTATCTTGACCCAAGAAGGATATTTATATACTAGTAACTTATTCATGTAATTACATCCATAGATACTGTACATATGTATAATTGAATTACGGGTATATTTTGATAAAACTATAAAAGTTATACGGCATCCATGGACCATGGCGATGACACGTCTTGCCAGCCACTGATGCAAGTGCTTACATACATAATCTTCATCACCATCTCTAGAACCTCCTAACTTTCCTCCATAGATTACGATTATTTGATCAACAAATTATTATCCTAATTTGGATTTAAGTTTACTATCAATATTTTGGATAACTCCATTATAAGATTTGTCGTTTTTCTGTTTGTAGAGAATGTTTGGAACATACAAAATGACATGTCTTCCAGAGAATAGTATATGTTTTCAATTATTCTTTCAAAACACACCTTGCTTCTGTTGTCCTTAAGCGTATACATGTACAAAATTGAGATTATCAAAAACATTCTCCTTCTTAATTGTTATATATTTACGTATAGTAATCAATCAAGCATGGCAATAGAAAAAGACTGAAATAAAATGTTGTTTTCTTCAAACAAAAATTTAAAGGTTTAAAATGTATTGGACTGTTAGATATTGTTTGGAACGGGTCGTCATATCAGTACCCTTTTTTTTTTGTGCAATTGGTGCATCTAACTTTTATAATTAATTTATAAAAGAATTTACTTGTAAACATAATAGTTCATTGGTTCGTAACTCGTACTAGTATCACCACTGCATTATTATCTGAATTTAAATTTGCTACTGTGCGTGTGTATAAGATGTAGACCGCAAATAAACTGAAATGTGAACGCCATGTTAGTGCCGTATATCTGTTAGATCATGTGAACTATTGAAATTTACATCTTGAATACTTATAGTATTTTTATTGTCTTTCTTTGAGTGGGCTGATAAACCTATCTCTTTATATATGTAGCTTTTTTAAAGTCAATGTAGAATACGAATGTTTCGTCCCTAAACATAAAGTATGATACATTAGTATTTTAGGTCAAATTAAAGTATATTATCGTTCATAGCTGATATTTGTCAAATTTTTTAAAAGAAATTTGATAAAACATATTTATTGTATGCTCGTGATAACTTTTTTCTGCTTTAGTAAATGAAACAATGTGCATGACTTCTTCACTCAAAAAATTTAATATATATATATTTTTTTTTGAAGGATTTTTTTCGACTTCACTCTAGATACAAATGGGAAGAAATGATAATGATTTTATTTGGAGGTTTGAATGGGCAAAGATATGTGCCAAACTCAAACAAAGAAAGAGAATTTTGAGTGACATCATTTGATTCTGTGATCTCCAAAACCAAACTGACTAGAGAGAGTTTCGAAGCTGTACGTACACTTCCGTTGAATTGGTAAGACAACTCTTCTTCATTTTGTTAGGTATTTATTTATTATCATTGATTAACAGTCTATAAAAGAGGAACATTCATACACCTTTTTAAAAAATTATTGTTAACGCATTAATGGTTTCCAGCTACATTTTGCATTGCGAACCGGAGAGATCCAAGTAGCTTAGTCCTATTGAACCGGGGGAAAAGATATATCTTTATAAAGTTATTAAACGATTAAAATACTAATCAACTAAGAGAATAAATGATAATTAACCTTTATAGTTGTGCATACACACACATATGTGTATTCGAGTGTTTGTCGGAGTATCTCTCATCAGACGAAGCCATATAGATCCTACCATGCAATGATGTACGTGTCCATAGTGCTGCAATTATTTTATATGATTATTCACCTACATATAACACAACTTACGCTTACGTACGTACGCATATTCAGATCGTATATGTGCATAAAAAAAATTACACGAATTATTGAATAACTTAGGTTACTTAATTTCTCGCCATATATATAATATTCTACGTACGTACGTTGTAATTAGCCAAATGAACACAGTGGTGAAATTTTTAGGAACGAGTTATATAGATATTTTTTTTAATGTAAATTTGTATATGTTTCGTAGCTCCCTGATGATAGATTAAAATTCCAAATACGTATCTATGTAACAAGATTCAAGTGTTGAAACTTGAAAGCACCCGAAGTCATTCGTGATAACGCAAAAAAAAAAAAAACTGGTTAGGTAAGTTATATGACTTGATTTGGCAAATTTGACTGTTATAAAAGTTTTCACTGTTAGAAAAGACAAACGAATCATAATTCATGCATATACATAAATAGGTATTGTATATAACAGACTCGAGTGGAGTTGAATAGGAAACAGAGCAGAAAATCATCCTTGGATTCTCCATTACTATAGGCACCTAACAATTACTGTTTAATATATCAAATAACTATATATGTCGTATACATATAAGATAATTAACATTAAAATATATGAACTTTTTATTTAGAAATTGAAGAATTATTCAGTACCTATGATGAGTAATTGGTGATCAAAGTTTGGTGCGTATAAAAGACAATCCTCTTTTAGGCTCTAAAATTTAGATTCATAGCTTTTCCTTCTTTTGATGTGTCAGCTGTATCGTAATTTGCAAAGATTATATAAAGACCTTAGTTAATTAGGGAAAAAATGGAAGAAGCTAAAAGGTAGAATCTCTTTCACATTAATATAAAAGTATTAACCACAAAAAAACTCAAAGAGATCATATACTATAGTGTTCGTGAATAAAGCTAAGTTTAGACTAAAATAAACAAATCTCTGCATGAATATTAATCTCAATCCTTATAAATTTTCGAAACCCCCCCCCCCCTGAAGACACAAAATTTTACACAATAAAAAACCCTCTTTATATATATAAGTAAAAAAAAAAAAAAAAAGTTACACATGATTAAGTTGGGCCGTTGAAGTAATTTGCATCTTCGGAATTAACAAGAGAGGTTATGTCCTCCCAGCTTATTGTGCTTTGATCCGCCGATGTACTTGTCGTTCCTCCGGCCAAAGATGCTCCGGCTCCGGCTAGTGTTGAGTTTCCATAGAATTTTGTGTTCTCGTTCGTCTCAAGATTCACTATGTTGTTGTTTAAGAACATATCGTTGGTTGCTTCTGTCTGAAGATTACTACACCCAAACCATTGAAGGATATCTTGCTGTTGATTTTGATTTTGATCACCACTTGTGTTTGGTAATGGAGAGTTTGTGCTGCTACTCGTGATAGCAAAATCTCCATCTCCTCCTCCTCCTCCTGATCCCAAGTAGTAATTGGGATCTAACAAAAGCTGAGAGAAGGAGAAATCAAAAGTGTTTGTCATAGAATCTTGATGATTATGATCAGGGTTTGTCCTCTCCGGTTCCTCTTCAATCTTGACCATGTTCTTGAGTGTGATCAATGGCTTTTGTTCTAGGTTACAAGGCGGTGTCGCTTGGTAGTAGTTACAACTTGTCGGTTCCATCATCACAAGAGGTACTTGATGATGATGATGAGGAAGCTGTGGTAGTAATGGCCATGGTGATGATCCAAACATGTTGTTAAGGTAAAGATCCGTACCACCATTACTTTGACCTTGCCCTTGTTGTTGTTGTTGTTGTTGTTGTCTCTTCATCATCACCATCTCTTGCTTCATCCGAGCTTCTTGGAACTCTTTCCTTTGCTTGTTAAGAAGCTTCTTCTTGAGTCTCGTGTTCCAATAGTTCTTGATATCGTTGTCTGTTCTTCCAGGCAATTGTGCAGCAATTATGGACCACCTTTAAGAAAACATCATTGAATGTATAAACATAATGATTCTCTAATTTAAGACTTAGTGTGTTAATTGATGATTATATATAATACCTGCTGCCTATAGTAACATATAGGTTACAAATGATGTTGTCTTCTTCCTCGGAGAAGCCACCATGTTTGATGTTTGGTCTCAAATAGTTGAGCCACCTTAGTCTGCAACTCTTCCCACATCTCCTTAGACCTATACCATGCATATAATTTTATATATCAAAGAAAGTTTTATGTTTATATAGACCGTCTCAAACTACTTGAAAACTTTGTTCGAAATTTTAAAGAAAAAGTAAATTTGAGTATATACCAATTTTTTGAGGCAAAGCGATCCAGTTGCCTCCTGTGCCACTATTCTCGATGTAATCTTTGAGTTTTGCGTCTTCCTCAGGAGACCAAGGCCCTTTCTTCACGTTGGCCTTATCACAACACGGTGCTCTTCCCATCTTCTTGTTTTTTGATTCTTGATTGATCTTGTTCTTATTGTGTGTATATCTCTATCTTTCTCAATTGTGTTGATGATGATGAAGAGGAGGAGGAGGAGGATGGTGTATGATGGTGCGTGTGTGTGAGGTTTTTATATATACATACATGGAAATGTGTGTAAAGGAGAGAAAAGTATATGTGAATGAAGAAATAAAAGGAGAGAGAGTATATAATAGCTGGAGGAGATAGTCGTTCATGTGATGAAGATGTCAAAAAGTAGGGATTTAAAATAAAAATGAATCAAAAAGTGACTTTATAGAATTGGAAAATTTTCATGATAAAATATTAGTAGAATTTAGAAATGACAGAGAATGGGGGAGACTAATGTTTTTCTCTTTGTCTTTGCTCATATATCAGAATCTAGAGATTCAATGTCATTACTTATTTAAACGTCTTGACCATAAAACACATTTGGAATTTTTTTTCTTAATCATAGTCCACCATTTTAACAGAGTTTTATCACATTTTTCTTATTCGGAAAACACGGAAAATATCAATTTTGCTTAGCCGCCCGCCAGTATTTGACTATTTCTCTCTTGATCCTCCCTCTATTCTCGATCTTATTAATCTGTGTTCATCTAACTTCAAATTATTTTCTTACATTCCATTATGGATGATTTTTTTTTTTTTTGGTTACAGTATATATTGAAAACAATTTAATGAATGTGAACAAATTTTAAGCTGAAAGAACACGATGGATATATCTCTATTCAAAAAGAAGAACAATATGTATATATATATATATATATACACACAATATGTTTGTAATATGATTGCATGTGTATCTGTTTTTTGATGTAAATTTAAATGACTACATGAGTTGCATCTGATTCAAAATGTATCTTATCACTTTTTGAGTTTTCTCAAAAATAGACACATATATAAGACTCGAAAATATATAGGTTACGTAACCTATATGTTGAAAGTTAATCGTTGTCTAATCACTGTTTATTTCCAGTCAATTGTTTTCAAATTTCCGCCATTCTATGTATCTAGCTAGTAAATGTACGTTAACAACAAAAACTGTTTCTAGTAAATGTATACGCATAAAAATAATTTATTGTACGATATTACACGCTATAGGTTTCCTCATGATTCATGTGCTAGCAAGTAGTGCATTATTCTTGTAAATTATTTAATCTTGGTGATGATATCTGATCCGCAGTTTAAGAGTGTGATAAAGAAAAATATTATACATAGCATGCAAAATTACAAATACTTTTGAATTCGATTATTTTGGGACGACATATGGATTAAATAATATGCATACCAGTGCGTAGTGTATGTATATAGTTATTACATAAGCTTGAAGCCCCACTTGCATGGCAGCTTATGAATAAGAAAGAAAGACCGATTATGCGTACTTTTATTACATGTGGTATAGACTTGGTCATCAAGAATAATAAAATATTTTTTTTTTTTTTTCAAAATTTTGAACCAATAGTGATTGAATTAGACATGTATGTACTACGTATATATACAATCTAGTCAATATTGTTTAGTGACTAATTTTGTAGTATAGTACAAGGGAGTGTATTCTATGTTGTCGATCGAGTAGAGACAAATACTTCGAATGTTTGGTGATAGAAATGTGTGAATTAACTATAAAAATTTATTAATATTTTTATATACACAGACTCTTATTGAGCAATATCTCAGTGGTCGATATAAATATATACTAGTTCAAGAAGAACACGAGTATACTGATATACTTTAAGTGTAACTTAATTGAAGTTTTATATATTTATTAAAAAATACTATTTAACACGTAACTAATCGTTAGTTCGAAGATCCGAATAAAAAATTAACTTAACAAAAGAGTAGCATCAATTGGAAGAGAAAAAAACGTCCACTTTATTTCTCGCTAATTAAACAAAACGTTTTTTGATAGACACAAATCAACTTATTCATAGTATATCAAATTACTACGATAAATTTTCACGTCCAGCAATGAAATCGTCCAAAAAAATATCACCAATCACAGGATCACATTTGGTGGATGGTATCTCAGTTGCTAAATTAATACTATATACTATTTGCCTTTGAAAAGGATAGGAGTTATGATATGTAACAAAATAGATGAAATGAAAGGTAGAGAGACATTGAAATTTGTGAGAGTGAATTCCGTTATGGTTGGTGAACAAAATTTTGCCAACCCTTGGAGAAAATTTACCACCAACAATTTTATGGATATTATAAGTTTTCTGGATCAGGTATGATATAATCTATTAATCTCCTTTTCTTTGTTATGATATAGGGATTATAAGATGACAAGATTTCAAACTCACGGTGACAATAATATGAACTGATAGATGGGTTGGTTTATTTCATTAAAAAATGTAGCCACTTAATAATCATGTAGTATTAAAACTGAACCTAATGACGCCTGTCCCATGGACCCAAAATCAAATTTTAATCAAAGATTTGATAGGGATGTTATAAATCTAACAATTAAAGTTTAATAGTAAATTTACTAATTACGCTTCTTTTCCACGGCAGCTGAGATTAAGGAACAAGAAAACCCACTACCTCTTATTAAGTGGCGTCACAATCTTTGGACCTTCTTGTATTAACGTATATGGTTTAGATTTTTGAGATAATTAGATTTTTTCTCTGAATCTTTTTGTAAAACAAATATTGGTCAATTTTGGTGTATTGTTTAATACAATTTCTTTAGTTTCTTGCAAAACAAGTGAAATGCGATAACATATACGTCATTAACATCGTGAATAGCCTATTAATAAGATGCCACTCATAAACAAATAAATCTTGAATTGTAACTTTATATTGGCTCATTTTGATGTTTAATAAATGAGCGAGCCAAAGGCTTCTAGAGGAAACAAAAAAGGTTGACTTGACTTGTGATGGTTGATAAAGGAGTAAAAGTCAAAGCACTTGGAGAATTATAAAGTCTTCCAAATTATTGAGGTATTATTCACTGTGTTTATATGTTTTTGTGGAATAAAATAATGCATCATCACGGATAAAATATCTTTATATATGGAAAAGTTAAGTAAAGTTTGAACTTTGAAAGCTAAAGGTAATAAAAAAAAAACAGTGTATTCAGATTTCAACAACACTAGTAGGAAACAGGAATTGGTCTTGCAGAGTAGGCCATCCCTTCTTTTTCAATTTCCCCATAGAAAGAACAAACAAACATAAACTCATTAACCCTAAAATTTATATTATTGAGCTTTTTATAATGTTATTGCCTATTTACCATGCATATAAATGACATTTACGCTGATATATTCGTTCTTTTGCCTAATAAAGCCTAGGGTCTTAATTCGTCAACAATAACAAACATGTCAAGTTACAAATAGTTAAATATTATGGTTTGTAATTGCTTAGGAATTAGATTAGTTAGATTGTGCTGAATTAGCGGGATCAAGCTGCTTAGATGATAACACATACATATGATTGACTTAAAAATGAATGATCCATTAAACAAACAACTTGAAGCAGAAAGGGAAAAGGGAGAAGAAGAATGGTCAAAACAAAAGTTAAAGGTAGAGAAGAGGAAGGTCACACTGTAAAATATATCTCAAGGCATCTTTCTCTCTTCTATGATTTTATCTTTTTTCTCATACCTTTTTTAGGATCCATTTACTTTTTGGAAGTATCCTAAAGATTAAACAAAAAAACAAAGCGACTTCTATGATATGACCCTCGTGACAAGTATCTACACTCTCTTTTTGTTAGAAGCTTAGTCTAACAATCAATTAATAGTCCATAAATCATGTTATTATATCGTAATCATGAGATAATCATGACATCCTTTTATGTAAAGCAAGCTCCACGTCTCCTCTTGACGGTAGAAGCTTAATCAGTTTAATAAGATCTTCCTCAAGCACATACAGCATGTAAAATTTATAATCCAAATAAAATTTCAGGAGAAAAAAAAGAGAGTGAAACTCGATTAATTTTATTTGGAGATTGGTTTCAGAAATAAATTAGTTTAAGAGTTTGAATCACGATAGGAGGGAAATGTGTCGGTCCAAAGACAAAGACAGTGGGTTTTAGATTAGATTTTGGGTAGCCAAATAATACTCCATTAGTATATAATTAAAATAAAAACACATCAACTTGCAAAGTAGAAGCTGTTACTCACTAAGCGAAAGAATAAACACCCACAAATCACTCTTCCACCATTTCACACGCAAACTGTTTCCAATTCTTCGCCATTGCTTTCTGATGTTAGCACTTACCAATCTACATCATCCTTCATAATACATGTGTTTTTACACAAGAACTCAATGATTGTCTAGTTTGGAACCTATTTTTGTCATTTTTTCAGACCATACTTGAACTGTTCCTACTTCTACAGGTTTTCGAACATTTGTTAAAACATTTGTTTCGAACATTTACATTTATGATAACTTTTTATAAAGCATAACGTATTCTCATTATTTGACAGTTTAGCTTTATTACTTGTAACTTAGCCCCTGAATTTCTGTGTTGGGCCTATTTAGCAAAACTAAAGACTGGGCCAAGAAAGCCTTGCCCACTCTCGTAGAGCGTATGTTGTTAAATGTGACGGAGAAGAGATTACCATTGGCACTCGGATAAGAGATTACCATAGGAGGAAAACAAATCGAAACAATCAACTTCCAAGTCTTGAAACCAACAAATCATATTATTCTCAGACACAACACACTGCAACACACAAGAAACCAACGATTCTCTTCCTACCTACCTTGCCTAACCAACACTCTACTCACCTGAAATCTGAAGAAGAATAAAACTGACTCTACGAGTGATCACATCGACAGAGAGTTTTAAACCCAATCAAATCCATTTACATACTCAAACCTTATCTAAAAACAAAGCCATAAGGATCCATAGACTTTCTGCATCAACAAACAAGAAACATTAACTCTTGTTAGTGAAAAATTTGAGCTTTCTTTAACAATAACTCTCTTTTGTTGAAGAGGAGGACTGAGACGTACCTTATATGCATATCTCTCTTTTGATGCTTTCCTAAAATGATTATTCATCCTTCATCAAGCCGACTCATGTTACAATGCCACCATCTTCAGAATCCTTCTCCTTTCTGTTAACTGATTCAGTTTCTATCCGAGTCACTGTTTCAGTAACGGTCTACAGCAATAGGCAAAGAGTATTCATTCGTTATAGAGTTTGATGAGAAAGTAATGAGAAACATATTGGTTTGAAAAGGGTGTGTTCATGAAAACTACCTGATTGAAATCACTGTTTTGCGTCTCCTCTACCAACTTTGTTCCTCCCTCAGAAGGATTTTCTGAGCAGTTTGTCACTTTGTTGATGACCTCTGTCTCACAGGTTACTTTTGTGATCTTTACTGTTTCACTGATGACTACCATATCACTTGGTGTCTGGGTTTGGCTTGATGGCAGTTCATGTTTGTCCTCAGGCACGTTCTGTGGGCTTGAAATGACACTGAGAAAGAAAAAAAAAAAGATGTAAGATTCAGCTTCGATAAAAATTAAATAGAATGAGAATAAATGCATTAGATTTGCTACTGAATGATCGAATTCAGATTTACCTCTGGGGATCAGCTTCATCAGATGATTTTTGGGCAACGTCATGTTTCATCTTCTTGTTACTGCTTCGTTCGCTAGTGTCATTTCCAGATGTGTTACCTCGTCTTTTCCTTCCTGCTTCAAGTCTTTTAACTGCAATAGACAGCCCCTTGGTGTAAGCCTTTTCTTCTCTTTTAGATGAGTCTAGCTTCAACTTTTCTGAAGGCAATCCTCCTTCTTCTTCATGATGATCCATTGAAGGAGATTTCTCTGGCGAACCCTTGAATATCAGACTAGTGCATCGTTTTATCCATGAAAATGGAGTGGCGGATCCGTTCTGTCTTTCCATTGAAGAGTCGCTGTTACTCACAGTGCTGACTCCATTTTGCAAGTCTAGTTCCTCATCCCGAGTAACCACCTTCTGCTTCAACGCAGAAACCTTTTCCCAGCTACGCTCTAAATTGGACAGCTGCATTTTAGCCATGGACATATCATCTAATGCAACTTTCAGATTCTCTAGTTTCTTCAGTTCTTCAACCTCATGTCGGATTTCTTCTCTTTCAGCTCGAAGCATATGCCTTTGCTTCTCAAGTTTTTCTCTTTGAACCTTTAGCTCCTCAACTGAACCCTTTAACTCAGCCCACTCCCTCTCTCTCCTTTCACGGTCCAATTTGATCTCCAGCCTCTCAGCATCCAACCTCTTTAGTTCTACTTGAACTTGCTCTAACTCTTTCTCTGCCGTTTCCTTGAGGGACTGTATACGCTCCTCTTCCAACTTCTTCTCTTGCTCAAAAGCCTTCTCTCTCTCCCTTGAAGTATTCTCCAATTCTTCTCGTTTATTTTCAATGCAATACTCCAACTCTCTTTCCTGCATCTCAATACCCAATAAGAAGTCAGCACGCTCACGCTGTATCTTGCTAAGCCACTCTGAATGTTCCTCCACCATCTTGTTCATGAATTCTTCACGCTCTCGGTTTAGAGCCTCCACGTCGTTTTTGTGCTGATTTCTCAAAGCATCTCTTTCCTCTCTGATGTTATCACGCTCGTCCTTGAGATACATTGAGAAAGCCTCCCTTTGTCGAGATATATATTCTGCTTCTTTCCTCAACTCTTCCCTTTTCACATCAATGAGTTCCCACTCAGCTTCAAATTTAGCTTTCTCCACCTTCAATCTATCTGCTTCAGTCAGTAGTTCAAGCTTTTGAGCCCTCAAATCATCTAGCTCCTCCTTGAGATTCATCTCAAGAATAGATAAATCGCTTGTCTCACTCTTCAAGGCTTCAAGCTTTTCCGTCGCACAGTCAACACGTTTTCTCTTGTCTTCTAGTGACATCAAAGACTCCTTCAGATCTAAGTCTAGTTTTTGAAGACGTTCCTTCTCATCTTCTAGCAGAGTTGTCTTGAGGTTAAGATCTTTCTCTGTAGCATTCAAACTCTTCTCTTTTTCGTCAAGATTGTAAGACCTCTCAGTTATATCCTTTTCTTTCTCTGCCAACACCCTTGACTGAACTTCCAAGTCATGTTCCTTTTCCCCAACTAGGTCTTCCCTCTGCCTAATATCAACCTCCCTCAATTCCCAAGCCCGTCTCTTGGTCTCGATTTCATCTTCCACCATTTTGCACTTACTTTCCAGCTCAGCTTCCACATCGGATTTTCTTTTCCTCAGGATCACTTCTTGATTCGCTAAGACCTTCTGAATTAGTTCCTGTTTTAATAGATTAAGACCTTTTTCATCAACTCCCGCAAAAAAATGAGCACATAACTAAAAGTATGAATGATAATAACTAGAAGGTTTATTGGCTGAACAAGTAAACTCACAGATTCCTTGCTGGCAAGTTTTTCTTCAGCAACAAGTAGCTCTTGCTCCTTCTGAAGCAGCGAAGACTCCTTTTCAGACACAGCCTGTTTTTGCAAGGAAATAAAACATGAAACAATACTATTTTGTCTCCTATAAGTTTTTTTATTGACGTGTTAAGCAAAACCAGAAATAGCAGATGCTTATGTGTATACAAACCTCTTCTCTTTTAGCAAGTGAAGCCAAGGCAAGTTCCACACTGTACTTTTTTTCCTCCAAGGCTCTACGTTCCTCCTCAAATGTGGTCTTTGCAGACTCTAACCCCTTTTCAAGTTCAGCTAATTCTTGGGATCTATTAAAGATGTGTTCTTCTCTCTGATTTAGTGAAGCTTGTGCATCTAATAACCTCTCATGCTCTTGCTGCAAGCTCTTTCGCCGCTCACCTAAAGTCTGTCGCTCAATAACCATCTCATTCTCTTTCGTTTCAGACCTACACCATAGAATGACACAAAAACTTAATACCACATCTTAATAGTACAAGTCATGTTGTCCAGTTTAACCGAGACAAAAGACTTACTCAGACTTGAACGATGCAAGACGTCGAGCAAGATCATCTTCACGACTTTCAACTTCCTTCAATTTTCTCTCTGCAATTCGGTGATACCGGTTAGCCTCTGCTTGTAAAGCTTCTGCAGCGCGCATTTTTGCTTCAGCATCTGCATATTTCTTCAGAGCATCCTCAATCATAATGTGAGCTTCAGACATTTTACTCTCAGCAGAAACTTTCGTCTCAGCACATTCTGCACGCATCTCATGCAAAGTCTTCTCCAACTGTGAGAAAATATAACAATACAGAATCAATTAGAAAAAGAAAAAAAAAAAAGATGATTTGGGGAAGAATCAATATTTGCTCGTTCTCTTACACTAGAAATACACTCTTTTGCAATCCCAACATCCTTCTTTAAACTCTCTTCTCGTTTCTTCGCTTCAGCTAAGGCAGAGACATACGCAGATTGATCTCGCCTGTGTGCTAGGTCGGCTTCATCCACAGAGGCCTTAACCCTCTCGTACTTGGACAGCAATTCGTCTTTCTCCAAAATTATAAGACCCATGTTGTGTTGGTAATCATAAACCTACACACAAAAAGGTGATCAATTTGGCAACGCGAATAGGATTTTGATAAAAAACTGACCAATATAACAAATCTCACTCAACCAATCAAGCTCAAAAGAGGAAACAAAATCGGGACTTTAAGCAAAGCTATAACTCAGTAAAAACAATTCCTTTCAATAAATTTTCAGCATTGACTCACGAGCAACAAAACGGTATACACTATGACTGAATTGTAAAATGAAAAATCAAGGGCATTCACAAAAACGAACGGTCGGGTAACTCCTTAACACTCCCGGGATAATCAAATTCGTATGAACTTAGAACCAAAGTTTTAGAGCACAAAGCTAATTCCTTTACTTTAGTATCATTGTGTTCACGCGTAGTACTCTAAGTCAAAACGCTAGCTAACCCTTGACCTTAGGTAATTTTAGCGAACGGAGAATGAGAATTTCATTAAGAATCAAGAAGGCAGACCTCAGATTCCAGCTTGGCGATGTAAGCGATTAGGGCGGCTTTGTCCCTCTTCTTAATCGATTGTTCATCAAACCCAGCTTCCTTGAGCCGCTTCCACATGACTTCTTCAGTAAGAGGGCTTTTCAAAACCCTAGACCCAGGCGTAATCGCCAATCTATTAGCAGCCGTACTCGGCGTTATCGGAAATCGCTCCGAACGAGAAGTCGTCATCGCGTCACCCAATTGTACAAACACGGCAAATCAAACCCAAATTTCCTCCGATCTCCGATCAAACACGACGGTATCTTCACTTTATTCTCTCTCTTTCTCTTTTCTCTCACAACAAAGAAGAAGAGTTCTGTGACAGTGCGTCGCAGAGAAGTCTAGTCTCTCTCTTATTTTTTAGGTCGACATTTAGTCAAAAGGGATTTTATTCGACCAGTCAAAATATCAAAACGACACCATTTAAAAGCCTTTTCCTTTTAAAATCGATTTTCAATGGATTATAAATGAGGTGATTATTTATGGTAATTAAATTTCACGATTTTTCGCTCTCTCTATGATATTTAAATTTTGAATTTTCGTAATTTACTCTAATCATTAAATGTTTCGTACTTATCTGTCTTTCACTTAGAACACAATGTACTCAAGAGGCTGGAAATTAAATATTTGCAAAAACATGATTCTTTAAGATCTTTATTCACTTGACAGATGTGTTGTGTGTGTGTGGGTGTATAACCAGCCTCATATGAACATTGTTAGAAACTTTTTAAAATCAACCAAATCCAAAAAGTCAAGCAAGTAGAAAAGATTAGTGAACATTATTACATGGATTTTGATATTATTCAAACCAGGCGTATTACAGAGTTTGCGGAAACTGAGTTCCGTGGAACATGGACTGAGAAGATTATTTACATTGTTCTATTACGAAGAACTTTTTAACACAGAAAACTTAGCTTCTTTCTCTAGTCGATAAGTTTGGATCCATCCTTGGATCAACTGTATCTCGGCTTCTCGCTGCTCCAAAAGCCATTCCGGGTCTTGTGGAGTTGATGGTCGTAGATCCAAATGATGTGCACCTGATAAAGAAAAAGTTTGGATGATGATGTTTTGAGATAGATACCAAAACTAGTTAATAGCACTGATTAGACTCATGGGTTTATCAGTTTATGAGATCGATCAAACGGTTAAGTCAAAATGCAAATGAAACAAACAGATAAGTTAAGTGATCGACTGTGGAAGCTTTTAGGTATACCTTCTTTTGTGACAAGAGCAACAATGGTATCCGATAAGTTCTTCAGAACACTGCATTTTAAGAGCCAAGAATTCATCGGGATTACGAGATTCTGTTCTGTAACAATAGCTCTCGGGATCTGAGTTAAGGGAGTAATGTTCTTACCTGCCACCACTCCAAGGATCTAATAGACCATTTGAGAAAATGATGTTACTTCCAAACGACTTCAAGGTGGTCTCTATGTCCTTTTACATTAGAGGCAGAGAGAACAAAGATTCAGATAATGGCATAGAAAGGAAAGGATCTTGAGTTTTATCATAAAGAAATCTAACATACATGTCCACCGAGCTCCGTTGTGACCCATCTAGGCCTTGGATTGACTCGGAATGTTTTCCAGCATTCCTCTTTGTATGAAGAATAATTGAAATCATCAGTCGGAAACATGCTGTTTCCTTGGCTGCTAGACATGGGCATTACCATCTCCGTGCATGCCTATTGTTAACCAGAGGCCAAAATATGATCAATGGTTTAAAAAAATTCAGGAAAACGAAGATACATAATAAAGCAGTTGTTCTTCACACCTGCCAGTTCCATCCATCCAAACCATGAGGATCATCATCCAACTCGAAGCAGCCAACTTTTCCTGTATAGTTGTAGTACACACTTACTCCTGCATATATACGATCTAGGATGCTGGCGTCACCACTAGCACCATCAATTCTTCTGCAGACCTACAGAAAGATAAATCACAGTGACCAACAAATGACGTGACTGATAAATAGCCGGATGCAACAAGCAAATCACCAAAGTGTTACTTCCCAAGTTATACCTCTTTAATGGCATGTCCAGGCAAAGGCATCATAAAATCAGCAGAATACGGATAGTCCACCATTGCCAAATAACTATAAGCAGAATCCAGCCAGTCTGAAAGATTATCAGTACTGTTCAACACCCTGCAAACAGAATCATTACTCAATTCAAACTCCAATATAATAGACGACAGAGCATTAAACCATTCCTAATAGATATGTTTTACAAGCATCATCATACGTGAACTCCAGTTTTCGTATTTACCTACAAAAGTGAAAAGTTTTTGCCAACTTCTGAAGACCATTTTCCTTCTGACCCTCTGCTATTATTGCATCCCAAGAGTCCTTAATGGTGTTGAAGCAGCTACTGCTCTCACGCTACAACGTTTACCAGCCAAAAATAAAGTCACAACAAGAAAAGAGAAGGTCAATATCGACTAACAAAGCAAAAAAAATTATACATACCTTGAAATCATTTGATGCAATGTCATAGAAGGACTCAGGAGGTACAATATCTTCAAACTGAAGAATTGGAGCTGAGGAAGCTAAAGCTCCTATTGCAATGTGAGGATACTTGAGCCTCATCCATGCTGCTAACACTGTTACATCAATAAACAACAAACACACAAAAATTCACTCCAAAATCTCACTGGAAAGCATTCCACCAACACAAATGATTCCTCACTTACTTCCACCATATGATCCTCCAAACAACACAACTGGGGATGCTTCCGCAGACAAATTCCGTTTCAAATCAGTCACGAAAACTGCAAAATCTGCAAGAGCTTGCTCAGTTGTGAGATACGATAACGTGGTTGCGTTCTTATAAGCTTCGTCCCTGCTTCCATAAGGCATCGACTCTCCATAATACCTATGCTATACCAAAATCCCTAAAATTAGTAACGAGTTGCTTTATTTGTTCGCTATTCAAACAGGAAAAAGAAGAACAACGAACCTCAGGGAACACAAGCAAGGCGCCGAATTTCGGAGCGATCTCCCAAATGAATCCGGAGTTTGTAGCAAACCATTCAATATCGCCTTCGTTGCCGCAGTAGAGGAAGATAGGGCCGAGCGCAGAAGCACCCAGCCAGTGATCGGAGTTGATCAAGTACCGTTGCGAGAATTTCGGAAGATCGGCGAAGCTGAAGTGGTCAAGCTGCTGGGAGAAAAACTTGGTCTCGTATCGGTACTCGTGAAGGAGCGGCTTGATTCTGTTTCGGTTCTGGAAGTTGTAGCGAGGAAAACGAGGCAAGCGCTTGAACGGAACTGATAATCCGTTCGCCGGAGACGATAAAGCGACGACGGAAACGAAAGAGATAATCAGAAGTAGCCAAAATTGGTTCGCCATTTCTCGTCAACTAATTGCAACCGCTCCAATCAGTGTGAATTTACACTCACCAGTGGTCAGCATAAACCAAATCGAACCGACATTTTTTATTAATCATTCGTTCACAAATTAAACCTGAACCGAAAAAGCAAACCGAATACAAACTCTTTAGCAACAAGTGATGTGAATGTCTAGCAAACATAAGTTCTTTGTCCAGTGGCACTATTTGATAACAAAAGATTCTTATGAATCTTTATTTGATCTCTTCTTTACACAGACTCTTTAAAGGCTTCGAGAGCTCAAAGCTGGATCTAAGGGATAAGAGGGGTGATGGTGTCACGTTGAAGAGCTTTGTGAACAAGATCAGTTTGCTCCTTAACATGAAGCTGGTAAAATCCTGTGGCTGTAGCAGCAGAAGGAAGACGACCAACGTATTTGATGTCGTTGAAGTTTCCTCTATTCATTGCTTTCATGGCGGTGCAAAGCCTTGGTGCTATGTACTGATATCCTCCCATGTTCATCGGCTCCTCTTGACACCACACAATCTCTGCATCTGTAATAATAAACACAAAGAGTCACATCAAGTTTTCAGAGAATTCTATATTCAACCAAAACCATAACACACAACGCCAGAGTTTTGAATATTTAAGAGACGTACTTGGATATCGCTTGAGTTCCCTTTGAATGAGATCATAAGGGAATGGACAAAGCTGCTCTACTCTGCAGATGGCTACATCTTTTGTTTCAGACTTCTGTCGCTCTTCGTCAAGCTCATAGTAGACCTGGATAAACATATTCCAACTAAATCACAGAATCTAAGGATCTTTTTAATAAAGGGAAAAGATTAGATTCTGTTTTACCTTGCCAGAGCAGAGGACTAGACGTCGGATACCTTCTTCAAGATCAGAGTGGCCACTTTGATCTTTAATCAACCGTTTAAACCTGGTTCCTTGCTTGTCAAACCCAGGATGTCCTTTGACATCATCGAATTCTGAGAGATTAGATACACATTTCTTGTGACGAAGCAAGTTTTTGGGAGCCATCACTATCAGAGGCTTGCGGAAATCCCTGTGTATCTGCAAATGAATGACATCAAGCGTGTGAAATAACAAACAAAAAGAATATAGCAAATTTTTATAACTTCAGGATAGATATTTTACCTGGCGACGCAAAACATGGAAATAGTTGGCGGGTGTAGTCACATTAACAACTTGCCAATTACATTCTTGAATCTGCTTTCGAAGAGTTGGATCCATCTCAGGGATAACATAAGGATTGTCATCACTCATCTGCAGTTAAAAAGCTTACAATTGAGACTATGATAAGCAGAGGGAAGCATAATGGTAAGTATCAGCTTATATAAACATTACCTGAAGGAAACGTTCCAATCTTCCACTGGAATGTTCAGGACCCTGACCATCATATCCATGAGGAAGTAGAACTACTAGTCCGGTTTGACGGAGCCATTTGGCTTCTCCACTGCTAATGAACTGATCAAACATCACTTGTGCTCCATTAGCAAAGTCTCCAAACTGAGCTTCCCATAATACCAGAGAATTCGGGTTTTCCATCGAGTAACCGAGTTCGAATCCGAGAACACCAAATTCTGAAAGAGAGCTGCATAACAAAACACCAAAAAAATATCATGTAAAAACAATTGAAAGCTGGATATGATCTCATGAGATTCACACAGAACGTACCTGTTGCTGACAGTGAACATTTCAGGGTCTTGGTTCATGGTCAAGTGATCTAAGGGACAATACTCCTCACCGGTTTCTTGATCATGAAGGACTGAGTGTCTATGACTGAAAGTCCCTCTTTCAACATCTTGACCACTTAGCCTAACATGGTTGCCTTCCACAACTAGTGTAGCGAAAGCAAGAGCTTCTCCAAGTCCCCAGTCGATCCCTTCTCCCGACTCTATCATTTGAGCACGTTGTTCATAAACTCTTTTCACTCCTCTGTGTGGCTTGAAGTTCTCCGGGAAGGTTGAGATTGCTTTTCCCACTTCCTTCAAAATCTCTGGCTTCACACTGCAACAGAACAAGGAAAAGTTATTTATCCATCAAAAAGCAATGACCAACACCATATAATGAAAATGTTTATACCCAGTGTTTCGGATCCTAGAAATCTGCTCCGGTGACTTGAATCCCGTCCAATGACTTGCCAGCCAGTCACGTTTTTGTGGGATATAGTCTTTACTTGCCCCAAATTCTTCATTGAGGATAGAGCTTACTTTCTTTTGAATCTTATCAATATCTTCTTGGGTTACCTGTCCAGATTCCAAAAGCTTCTCCTGATAGATTTGAAGCGATGAGGGATGACTGCGTATCACCTTGTACATTTTTGGCTGCGTGAACGAAGGTTCGTCTATCTCGTTATGGCCAAACCGACGGTAGCATACTAAATCAACAACAACATCAGAATGGAAAGTCTGGCGCCACTCCGCAGCAAGCTCACATGCATGCACTACTGCTTCAATGTCATCCGCATTGACATGGAAAATCGGAGCATCTAAAGCTTTAGCAACATCAGTGCAATACTGTGACGACCTTCCAGCCCTGGGATCGGTTGTGAAAGCAACTTGGTTATTCACCACGATGTGCACTGTTCCACCAGTACAGTAGTTAGGAAGTGCACTAAGATGCAGAGTTTCATACACCACGCCTTGCCCAGCAAAGCTACCATCTCCATGGATCAGAATACCCATGTTCTTTGTTCTGTTCTCGTCTTTCGTGTAATACTGTTTCGCTCTGGTTTTACCCATCACAACAGGATCCACTGCTTCCAAGTGACTGGGGTTTGCCAACAAAGACAAGTGAAGATGTTTGCCTCCTCTAGTTGGTCGATCATAAGACGTCCCCAAGTGGTACTTCACGTCACCAGTCCCAGTGTAGAGCCCAACTTCATCTACTGGCCTAGTACCACCGCTAAACTCACTGAAGATTTGGCGTAGAGGTTTTCTAACAACATTACCCAAAACATTAAGCCGACCCCTGTGAGGCATACCGATAACAATGTTCTCTACTCCAAGATCCGCAGACCTATCAAACATCTCCTTCATGCCAGGGATCAAAGACTCAGCACCTTCAAGTCCAAATCTTTTCGCCGTGGTCCACTTAGACGCCAAGAAATTCTCAAACAGTGTGCTCCATGTAAGCCTATCGTAAATCACCACACGACGCTCGCTATTGTACTGCCGAGGTGTCGGAGTCTCGATCTTGTCTCTCAACCAGTTACATTTATCTCTATCAGCAATGTGCATGTACTCATACCCTATAGTCCCACAGTAAGCCTGCTCAAGCCTCGACAGAATAGCCCTCAGTGTTTGAACCGGACGGTTCTCAGAGAGAAACCCTGACATCTTCCACACGCCGAGAAAGAACTCTCTATCTAGATCAGCCTCTGTAAACCCGTAAAGACCAGGCGTGAGATCCTCTGGAATCTCTCTCTCCTCTAGACCTAAAGGATCAAGCTTTGCCTTCATGTGGCCATTAACCTGGTAAGCTCTAACAAGCAACAACAAACGCATGCTTTCTTGAATGGTTTGTCCCGAGATTCCAGGCGAAGTAGCGGCTTGGCCCACAAAGTTCCTGAAGAAGTTGTCCCAGGACTCATCAACACTGTTGGGATCAGCTTCCCAAGCTCTTTGAAGCTCCTCTAGATACACGCTGCTTGTTCCATCCAAGAAGCTATCGGTAAGCTTAGAGAGTGGCACTGGACGTGGAACAGGTGCAGCAGACTCTGCCATTGGTTTGAGTATTGTAGAGTGGAAACATCTGCTTTGGGAAGGCAGAAGAAGCCTTGTTCTTGAGGCATATGAGCCACACTGAGACTGAGAAAGTGTCCTCCTTATGGCAAGCTTTGCCACAGAGGAACCAGTTCTAAACCAAGCCATGGCTTAATTCGAATCTATCAAATCATACAAACCCCAGCGTCTCGTGGAAATTTCGAATGTTTTTTGTTTCTCAGCCTGAAATGATTCATTAAACAAAAGACAATAAAATACTCAGAAAACGAAAGTGGATAAGTTTAAAAATTGGATGTCTCATGCAAGCACCAAAAACATAGAAATCTGAAACGAAGATAACTTTATTAATTCCAATAGTTTCTAAGCGATCTGATCAAATTCAGATCATCGGAAATTTCTAGAAACAGCAAATATTTTCAACAACTTTCATTTTGGAGAATTTCCATGAGAGATCACGAGCATTCAGAGAGATAAGGAAATGATAAAAGCAAAATTGAGCAGGGAAGATTGATCGGGAAGGAGGAGAAGAACCTGGATCAAAGAGTGAAGTGGCTCCTACTCGAGGAAAAATCGAGACAGGGAAGGAAAGAGAGAAAAGTAAAGAAAGTGCACCGCCTTGCAAAGGCCACGTTTGGCTACAAGGATTAGTATATACTTAGTGCGAATAAGATATAAACTATTGGGCTTTTCGGCCCAACCCGTGCGACTTGAGTTCTTCAAAAACATGAACCATTCGAATTCGAACTCAAAACTCGAAAATGGGGAAAGCTTAACAGTTGCAGATTCCAAGTAAACAATGAACGCCTCTGGAAACAAATCTTCGCAGGAATCTGTAGGACGTGCGAGGTGCGAGGAATTAGCCAAGTCTTCGTCGTTTTATCGGAAAGTTTACTCAGAGGTTTAATCATCCATCTTTTTCCGTTTCTGAAATCGACTCCTCACATATTCAATTTTCGATTTTGATGATGAACGATTGATTGTAGATAGAGGAAATTGGATGGGAACCGCTTAGGCGATTAGGTGGTGATTTAACGTTTTTCAGCTTTCACATTCTGTAAGCTCCACAATTTGATAATGTGATCAATCTTTTGCATTCTGTTAATCGATTCTCCATTGATGGCTTAAAACCTTCGTGTGAGTGACATTTTGTTCATAAAAAAAATTTGCAGAGATAAAAAGGGAAGAGCGCACATTTTAGAAATTCAACTTAACAGAGACTATCCTAAATCTCCACCTTCTGTTTCCGCGGTTTGTTTTTTGTTCTTTGTTATGTTTCTCTTTCAACAAGATTCAACTAAAAATGTTAACTTTTTTTGCTTGACGCAGGATGTGCCATACATGTTTGCTTTAGAATGGTCAACAACAAGCTCAAGACTGAAAGATGTGATGCACCAATTCCAAAAGGTAGCTAGATTCTCTCTTAGTGATCGTTAATCAGAAACACACATAATTGGTTTTCTTTTTCTTTTTGGTAATCAGCATTTGGACAATCTTCAAGAATTTTGGTCTGTATTGGATGATATAGACAAGTCTCTTTGTGTTGTTGATGCTAAGCAACCTTCTCGTGCTTCTCCTGTCCGTCGGATTCATGCTGGTTTAAACACCTTTTTATACCTCATTTTCTGTTTTTCTCTTATCCTATTTTAGTTTCACTTTTACTTATCATATCTACTTGGTTCACTTTTTCTCAGGAAACGATTGCATTCTCATTGTTCATGTCAACTTCAACGACCCTAAATCTCTACCAGAGTATGTTTCTAAACACAAACACACTCATAAAAGTTCTCTGTTTTTCGACATTATATCTGAATATTGAATTTGCTTAGACAGGTGCCGCTTTATTGGTCATATGAACAATCTACATATGTTATGGAGAAGAAATAGCAAAAAATGGTAAACATCCTATATCATGAAATTGGCAGCTTTATTAATCATCGAATGAAAGAATCATGATTAACTTATAATCACACAGGTCAATGGAAAAATCATTTCCTGAGAACCTGGAATGCATTCTAGGTACTGAGCTTCCAAGGCCTCAAGGTCTCCATGACGAAAACGATCAACAGCAAGTCGATTGCGGAATTTGCTATGCACAGTTTCTACCGACCGGTGATTTCTCAAACCGAACAACTATTCATAGTTATGACTTCAGAATAGTAGTTTGTTGATTGATAGCTCGCTAACTTTCCAATTTTACTATAAACAAAGATGAGGAGCTAGGAGCTAGAAGCGGGACGAGAACAGACTACACATGCGAGAACATGAGTTGCAACAAGTCTTTTCATAGCCTTTGCCTCACTGATTGGTTAAGGTCTATCACAACAACAAGACAGTAAGCAGAAACCTTAATCTCTCTCTCTTACACACTTATCTACATGTGTTTGTGCTCTAAAGCTCAAGTATGATCCAATTTCTTGCAGGTCATTTGATGTTCTATTTGGGAATTGCCCTTACTGTTCAGACCCAGTCGCAGTCAAAATCAACAACATGAACAGAGTAAATAAGACAAACCAGAGTTAATGTTGTGAGTGACTGATGAGTAGTGAGGACAAAACTCCCTTTTTCACTATATTTTCTTTGTGTATAGAACTCATGTAGCTTTCAGATAAGTAATGTGAATGTACCTTCTTCGTTTTTCCCTTCTGGCCACTCAATTCCAAACCTGATCTATCAATCACCATCAATGTGACTTTCAAGCAATAACTCTTTTACTTAGTATTTCAATACTATTATTTGCCCTTTTCTCCATGGCTACAAGGCCTTCTTCTCCAGCTGTACTACTGTCGGTGGCTTCATCAATCTAGTGTTTAAGAGCTCCAAGTCTTAAACTTTTAACAAAAAGACTTCTCCTTTTCCAAACCAATCAAACGCGAGAGAAAAGATTAAGTAGACTCATAGCAAGTAAATTCCATCTAGTACGAAGTACAAACGATGACTTCATTCACCATTTATTACTTGGTTGAAAATAAGTAAATGAGAACTTGTTTGATCCTAAGGTTGAAATACTAGATATTGCCTCAGCTCTCATTAATTTCAACTTGTTTTTCTTGGCATTTCTCAATGATTTTCACAATATTTCAACAAGTTCTGAACTTGATTAGACATTTTCCTTCTTAAGGTTTAATGCAAATCTGACGCCTTTGTTGGGAGTGGGACCATCATATAGACAAACCAATAATACCTTCTTCGTGCAACAAATCTCTGTAAACATCTATCTAGGTTTTGATTTTTGTTGGTGTGTGTTTGTGGTTGTTTCTTACTGAGAATACAAAATTTTAGGGCTTTATCGAATACTTTTTTGTAAATTGTAACTTTTACTAGTGTACTACTATGAGATGTTCTAAGAAAATGGTGTTTCATTGTCACGAATTCATGTTGGGGAGGCGACAAATTTACATGTTTTGATGATCTTCGACACGAAAAAGTTGTAGGATAAAGATTCAGAACTCTTTGGTAATCAAAAATGAAAATTGTAAGAAGAATGATTAAACATATTTTTTCCATGAGATACATTTTATTTATAATTTTTTCAATAACCACAAATTTAGCATTATATTTAGGGATACTATGTTTACACTGATACACACACCACGTACTTACGTGTATATGCACAATTGCATAAAAGGATACTACAATCCACATTTCCCCCCACAACTATAGATAACATTTCGTACAAGAAAGAAACATTATCATTCATTGTACGTACGTATGGACATGGTCTTGTTTCAAGGCTTCAAACGCGACACTCGATCGGTGGGACCGGATACCTAGACCGGTCGGTACAATAATCATAAACCATATGATTTACTCTAACCCAACGGTAACGTCTAGCTTCGACGGCGTTAAGTGAATGATAAGCGTAACCTTCCCACCAGTTTCGAGGGTTCGATGGACAAAAGGTGGGTCCAGGAACAGGACAACCTTCGATATCGAAATCTTTGTAGTAAGCATAAAACGGAGCTTTGCTCCAATCAATTTTATCCAATCCGCCACGTGTCGCCCAATCATCGGCTTCCCATAACGTTGAGTAAACTTCCATTGGCTGTGATGTTGGGTAACTTACGTTCTTGGCTTCATTGTTTTTGTATTCTCTTATTGGTACATCGTCCACGTAAAATCTAATTAACCAAAATACATATTTGTTACTTGTTAGTGGTGAAGAGTTTGGAACTTTTTGGATGATTCTATTTGAAAGTATATGAGAGAGAAGCTAGCTTACACAATGTGTTTGTGTGTCCATAAGATAGAGTAAGTGTGGAAATCCAAAGAAGGGTCAAACCAAAGATTAACCCTTTGTTCTCTATCTCCTTTGCCATGAGCAAATATGTTTGTCTGTACCGAGTAAGGCTGGCCACTTCTGTTTCCCAAGAACTCAAAATCCAGTTCGTCTCTCACCTTGTCTGTATCCGAGTTCATCTATATTATACGTACACATGAATGATTCGAACGTCAATGTTTCAAGAATGTGATATGACAAAATGTTTTGGAGTGAATGAGTAAGTTTTGAAACTAATAGGGTACAAAGAAAGACTTACGTAGAAGGCGGTGACCGTACCGGCAGAGTCGCCGGGAATGAGTTTGATCTTCATGCTCACTCGTCCGAATAGATACTTTCTTTGAGAAGCAAATCCACTTCCTTTGATAAACAAATTCGAACATGTGAGAGAGTACTATATTTCATAAAAGCCCATTAATTTTGTTATTGTTACAAGCTCACTCTAATATAATGTTGGTTTTGTTTTTTTTGTTTTTTTTGTACCTGTGCTCTGGTCAAGCACAAGTTGAATAGATTTTCCACCGTCGAGCTTGCGGATATGAGATTCTGACCATGCGGCTTTGAAATCGTCGGCAAATGTCGCAGGCCGAGCGGAAACTCGGATGAGCATTAGCGTAAAGAGAGCAAGAATGGGAAGAAAAGAAGTTTCAGGAAAACAAGAGACATATTTCTTAGCCATGAGACTTAATTAAATTAGTATCAAAATTTGTTATTGTAGAAGAGACTGAAAAGTATGCATGTCTATTTATAGACCCATGTTTTTGTTGCCAGTAGGAACTAAGGATTTAGGGCGATGACGTGGATCTGCGTGGACGGAAGCATCTAACGCAAGGAGACATCGTTTAGCTTTCCCACGCAGCTAATTGCGAGCAGTCTCGTGGCCTACTCATTTATTATTAATTTTTATTCTAAAAATAAACACCTAAATTTGATGGCAATCAACTAACAAGGATGTGAATGGCTATATCGTGTTATGCTCGTATTGCAACCCTAAAAGATTCATGATAAGTTTACTGATAAACGTGCAATTACAATACATATACAACCCCAAAATAGAACATATATGTCACAAAAAGGTTTATCAATTATCATGTAATCATTTTCCTAACAAATTCACTAAAAGTCTTTCGTAAATGTGCAATTACAATACATTAGTTTCGATTCTTTTTTAATAGAAGAAACAATTCGAAGACATGTTAGGGGAGGAAATGAAAATGAACGTGTGGTTTATAAACTTGAAAGGGTGTAATGTCTCAATCAAATGATGGTTGTGGTACATAAGATGACCCATTGTTCTAATTATTTTGGCATAGAGAATTTATAATATGAGGGTTCTGTATCCACTGGTGTCGTCTCCCATGGGCCACCTATAAAAGCTATACATCCTTGTTTCTATCCAAATTTTAATTGAAAAAAGTTATTATATATTTTTGATCATATATGAGTTTGTAGCAAAGCTCGAGTCGAGACTCGAGAGTTGATCTAAAAACAAACTTTTGGTACCTAATCACATGGGATTATGGTATACTTCGTATCTACATTAACTAGTATAGGTCCCTATAATTGTAATGTTTTAAGTAATACTCCAATATCATTTTCTGTTACTTCAAAACATTAGTGAGTCGCCGACATTCAAGAGGTGGAAAAATCATGAAATCATTATTCTCCAACAAAAGTTATTCATGTAAAAAAGGTAAAAATAAAACATAATTTCTTCTTTATGAAAAAATATTATTGTATTACTAAGGTTCATAACACCTAGAAAGTTAAATTATCCAAAAGGATCACAATCCAAACCAGAAAAAGTTTGGCTCTCTGCTTTATTACAAAAACTCACAAAAACTCACTATATAGCAATACAGAATAACTTACCAAACAGAGCATACTCAGAACTCATGATCAGATCATCAGTCATACTCATTTCTCAGTATGGCTCGTCCCCTGGGCCGCACACAGACCCGACTTTCCCTCTCGTCCCGCACATTTCAAGTGGACCGGTTCGAATCAGTGTTGAGACCATTGTATGTTCTTTATATCAATACCTTCTTTAACCATCTCATAAAGCGGACTCATCTCCCTCAGCTTCTCAACTTGTTTAACCGTAAGCTCAACAGCTTTATCAATCTCTTCCTTCGTCGTAAACCTACCAATCCCAAACCTAATCGAAGTGTGAGCCATGTCCTCGTCCACACCCAACGCTCTCAACACATACGAAGGCTCCAAACTCGCACTCGTGCAAGCACTCCCACTAGACACTGCAACCTCCTTCAAACCCATCAACAGACTCTCTCCTTCAACGTAAGCAAACGACAGATTCAGATTCCCTGCATATCGACTCTCCATCGAACCATTCACCACAACCCCATCAAGCTTCTCTCTAACCCCATTCAGCAACCTCTCCTGCAAACCCTTAATATACTTCTCATCATACTCCATCTCCTTCATCGCCAACTCACAAGCAACCCCAAAGCCAACAACTTGCTGCGTGGACAACGTCCCGCTACGAAGCCCTCTCTCTTGCCCTCCACCGTTCATCAGCGGCTCGAGACGGATTCTCGGCCTCCTCCTCACGTACAGAGCACCAACACCTTTAGGTCCATAGATCTTGTGACCACTCATTGACATCAAACTAACATTCCACTTCTCAACATCAACAGGTATCTTCCCTATAGCCTGAGCAGCATCAGTATGAAACGGAACCTTATGCTCTTTGCAAATCCTACCTATCTCCTCCATAGGCTGGAGCACACCAATCTCATTGTTCACAGCCATAATCGAAACTAGCCCTGTGTCTGGCCTAATAGCTTCTCTAAGCATCTCTAAATCGACTAATCCATCGGTTTTCACAGGCAAGTATGTTACCTCGAATCCTTCCTGCTGCAAATGCCTGCAGGAATCAAGGACGCACTTGTGCTCAGTCTGTGTGGTGATGACGTGCTTCTTCTTGTCCTTGTAAAAGTGCATGACACCTTTCACCGCCGTGTTGTTAGCCTCCGTCGCGCCGGATAAGAACACGATCTCTTTCGGTGAAGCGCCGATCAGTTTCGCGACCTGGATTCGTGCGACCTCGACGGCGTTCTCGGCTTCCCAGCCGTAGAGATGCGTTCGGGAGTGGGGATTCCCGTAGTCGTAGATGGAAGACGCATTCATCGCGTCGAATACTCTCGGATCCAGCGGAGTCGTCGCTTGCATATCCAGATATAGAGGTCTACCTGAAATTCGAACCCCTTTCATCACGATCGCCAATTCATCATCCGCCGTCGTCGTCGCGGAAGTAGTAGCGGCGGCGGCGGTCGACAAGTGATGACGCCGGGTAAAAGCGCTCTGTGGCTTTGTTAGAGCTCTGCGGATTGTGGAAGAGAAAACCTTGGAGGCCATTAATTCTAGACCTCAGCTTGCGTTTTCCGATTTTTCCCCAAATTGATTGATTGATTGATTCTCTTTGATTGCGTCTGTGTTGTAGAAGAAGAAGAAGAAGAAGCTGAGGTTACGAAAGAAGATGCGAAAGGTTAGAGCTTATCGGAGATGAAATTGATAGCGTCACTGGCGGTTCCGTGACAGAGGCAACGTGGTCGTCTCTGAAACCCTAAATTGGAGAAATGGAAGTACCAAGGCCTCTTAATATACTAATGGGCCTGCTATAGCCCAGTACCACCATTTTCTTTTAAATATACCACATGTTTAAGACATCTTGCTAAACTCTTGAAGATAAACTTTCTAAATTAAAATTTTGATATTTTTAATTTTGACAGATTAAAGAAAATCCAATGGCATAAAAAGTAGCCTTCTCAGTTTTTAGATTGTAAGCAGGAAATAAAATAAGAGCAAAATCCAACCTATAAATAAGTAACAATTTAATTAGTTGGCTTTTGGTGCATTAGACATCATCCTAACAAAGCCTATGATTGATTAATATCAGAAGAAGAAAAAAACGACAATGTATCACTCTTGACTCTAGTGATTACTTCTCTTTGAGCAACTCTACAACTTTCCTCATGGTCGGCCTGTTAATAGGAAACGACGATGTACAAAGCAACGCAGCGTCAAGAACTTTCTCTATCTCTTCATAATCTTTCGTCGAAAGTTTCATCTTCGGATCCACAAGCTTGCTAAGATCTTTGAAGTTTCCTGGTGAACCTCGATTCCCGGCTTCTTCGGGTGATGAAGAAGAGTAACATAAAGTTGCTTCCATTGCAAACTTAACAATGTCCTTATTCTCCCCAAAACACGAATCATTTGGTCTTTTTCCGATTATCAACTCGAGTAACACTACCCCGAAACTATACACGTCGCTCTTCTCATTCACCCTCGATGAATAACCATATTCTGCAAGCACAAATCAAAAGAACAATGTGATTTCCGGTTTGGTAGCGGTTTAAGCGATTTTGGTTTGGTTTAGTGTTTATATTTTGGTTTGGCAGAGAATTTAGAATTCAAACCTGGAGCAATGTAGCCGTAGGATCCAGCAACACAAGACATCGGAATGTTGTCGGAGACACCATCATTGACATCTCTTTTCAACGGTTTAGCTAAACCGAAATCAGCAACACGTGGCTTCATCTCATGATCCAACAGTATATTATTGCTTTTGACGTCACGGTGAATAATCGGCGGAACCAAGTCATGGTGAAGATAAGCAAGTCCTTGAGCAGCACCAACCGCGATCGAAAACCGTGTCCTCCAGTCAAGTGGTGAAACGGCGCGATGTTCTTTCTCTGAATGCAAAACGTCACCCAAGCTGCCGTTTTCCATGAACTCGTACACTAAAAACCGAAACTTCTCGCCGTTGCAGCACATGAGAAGTTTCACGATGTTTCCATGTCTAACCCGACCCAGAGTCTCTACTTCGGATCTGAAAACGGACTCAGATTCCGATTTTTGACCCGATCCTCTCCAGAGTTCCTTCACCGCAAGCGTTTCACCTGATTTGAGTTTTACTCTGTAAACCAAACCCGACCCGCCCGATCCGATGATGTTATCTTTGGTTAATTGCGGGTATATGTCCGCCTCAGTGAACCCGATCCGCTGGAAAATGGTTACTTTGTTGGCCTGGTTCGGTTTTCTCCGGAATAACGGTTTAGTTTTGATGAAGATCCCAACCAAAGCTCCGAGTAATGCAACGATGCAGATGGCAGAGATCAGGAGGATGTACCGGGTTTCGGGTTTGGATCGGCAAGGTCGAATCGAATCCCAATTCGGGCCACAAAGATTCGGGTTACCCAAAAAACTCGGTAGAAAAATCTGTTGCTGAAACCCAAGAGGTATCTTGCCGGACAGTTTGTTATCGGAAACGTTGAATTGGTCTAGCTTTAGCTTCAAGAGCTCCGGCGGAATCTCACCGGTGAGTTGGTTGTTGGAGAGATCCAGATAGTTTAAAACCGGTAAGTCACCGAGTCCCGGTGGTATTAAACCGCGGAAACGGTTATTCGAGAGATTCAACTCGGTTAACTTTTTGCACGAACTCACTGCACTCGGAATCTCTCCGTCGAGCATGTTCTCCTGCATCTCCACTCTTTCTAGATTCTTCAATCGGTTAATGCAAGATGGAAGAGATCCTGAGAAACGATTGCGGCTAATATCGACGGTTCTGAGGATTCCGAGAGCACAGATTTCGGCGGGAACTACACCGGAGAAGTTGTTACCGGAGATTTCGAGCTGACTTAGATGACGAGCATTGGATATAGACGGCGGAATCGAACCTTGTAACTGATTGTTGGATAGCTCGAGACGAGAAAGAGGAAGTTCCCAAAACCTGACCGGAACTTCGCCGGAGAGATTGTTGCCCGCCATTCGGATGTAGTTAAGCGAATGACAGTCGCCGTAAGATTCTGGAATTTCTCCGCTTAATTGATTATCGAAGGTGATTATCCTCTCAAGTTTTTTCCTGTAGCAAAGATCCGGCGGAAATTCGCCGGAGAATTTGTTCGTGGAGATGTCGAATTCAGATATTCTGGATAATTTCCCGAAATTCCGAGGTAATTTCCCAGTGAAACTGTTGTTGAAGATCTTGAATTCGACGAGATTAGGATTCTCAGCTATGATGTCTGGTAATTCTCCGGTGAAGAAGTTGTCGTTGAGATTGAAAGAGATGAATTGCAGAGCAGCAATCTTCTCCGGCAATTCTCCGGTGAGACTATTCTGCGAGACATCAAAATTCCTCAAACGAGTTAAATTTCCGATACTCTCCGGCAATTTCCCCGACAGCTGATTATCGAAAAGCTCAATCTGATAAATCGATCTGAGTCGTCCGATACTGTCCTGTATTTCTCCGGTGAGACCATTCGTAGCCAAATCGAGATTCTTCAGCGAAACCAGATTCCAAATCGAATCCGGGATTTCTCCGACGAGTCCCGAGTTGGTTATCCGTAGATATCTCAGCTTCGTCAAATTCCCAATCGTCGATGGAATCGGACCAGGCTCAAAAGTAACGTAAGCGAGATCAAGACGAGTCAACTCAGTCAAATTACCCAGAAACGCCGGAACGATTCCACCGAGCGAGTTGCCATTAAGGTTCAGAACTTGCAAAGCAGGAAATCTCCCGTAACTCTCCGGAATCTCGCCGGAAAACAGATTCGACTCCATCTCGAGGACGCGCAAGTGACGAAACTCCGACGAGAACTCCGGTAGTTTCCCGGTGAAGTTGTTTTCATTGAGGATCAAAACATGGATGCGAGAGCAGAGGGAGAGAGATACAGGATTAATCGTACCGTTGAGATTGTTTTGAGTAAGAGTGATGTTGACGAGCGTGCGAATACGACAGAATCCGTAAGGAAACTCACCGGAGATTCCATAGCCAGAGAGATCAATGGCCGTGACGGCGACGGAGCTAGCGTTTTTTATGTGGCATTTAATTCCCGACCAATTGCACGGACTCCGTTTGTCACCGTTAATGACCCAATCGCTTAAGTTTTCATCCGGGTCAAAAAGACGGGTCTTTTTTACCCGAATCAATATCTCTGCGTCTCCATTGGAATAAACTTGGAGTGAAGAAGAAAAAGCAAGTAGTAGAGAGATGAACAAGAAGAGAGAAGTAGTAATGGTGATCATCGTTCATAGAATTTTCATAGGTTTTTTATGTGATAAGAGTGTTTAAGTAACGTTTAGAGATTTGAGATTGATATTTAAAGATGGAACGGATTTAAAGGTTTTCCAAATGACTGACTCTTCCTTCTTTTGCCTTTTTTTTGTTTCTTTTTTGTTGATTCACATGGGAAGTAGGTTTAGCTAGTGACAGTTTTTTCTGGAGTGGAGTGTAAATTTGAGTTGAAAAGGAATCTAGCTTTTATTAGTAGCTTAGTTATTCAGTGTTCACTCTTTGAAAACTCCCAAATGATTTAATTTTTTTAGAATTTCTTGGGTGTTTAAGCAAATTTGGTGGACCTAACAAAAATTATGTATGGTAAAATTGACTAATCTAGAAAGATCATCTGTTCGTACGTTTATTACAAAGTTGGTATAGTTTTTTTATGAGAATTTAAATTTTGTGGTCACTGTTATCAAGAGATTAGGTGATTAGAAATATAACGGTAAGTTTGTGAGAAAAGCGAAGTGCGAGCAAAGCATGAGTTAAAATGTCCAAATCTCTTTTTGGGTTACAGACAAAAGGAAGGTGGAGAAGAATGTGAAGTGAGTTTGAAATTTACTTTTTGTATTCCCCATTTTGTCATTTTCCACCACAAAACCGAAAGTATATATACAAACACGTAAGTTTATCATAAAAAATTTATTAAAATAACGTGGAGGTTTTAGCCGTGTACGAAATTTCAAAATCATAGTTGGATTCTACTATATATGTAGATTTTTAGCTAGGCTTCTGTTTTTCGTTTATACTACTAGGTTTGCAAATGGCATATGCTTTGATTTAACAATGAATTTCTCTTTGATGCTGATGGTTAGTTGGACAGCAGTAGCATTGACTAGGAGGATGGATGGTAAGTGTCCCTTAAATGGATGCATGTAGAACAGAGAATGTTAGGTTCCATGTAGACTTTCATCCAAACTCTTCTTTAGTCTTCGGTTAGGCGCAGTTAATGTCTAATCCTAAGATTAGCAATCTAACAGTGGAGTGAGACTTCTACTCTTGCAATTTTTCGCTCTCTCTCTCTCTCTACCACCGATGTTGTTTTGTTTTGTTTCGAATTTTAGTCATTAACGATCTTCTAGAAGGATAAAAAAGAGAGAGAGGGTAAATGGAGGAACCCATTTGGGGAGACACTCGAACCACATTCACATACGACTCATCGGAATTTGAGGGTTCTACTTAAGCAGCATTCAATTACCAAAATTTCAGTTATTTAATTGGGAAAGGCACCAACTAATGAAATTACTATCCATCTATCTACTTTTGCTTCGGTATCTGTAATCGCCGGAAGACTCTACGTCGTCGTGAAGACTCATCTGTCTTAATTAAGTGTATTTTATTCAACACTTTACACTTATCTTTCCCAGAATGCATTTTAATCTTTCTTAATTCTTACTGTAAAGAAAAGCTTTTTAATGTTTAGTGTTTACTAGTGCGTTACGTAGCAATAAAAAAAATTGTTGTATAAATTTTGTTGGAAAACAAAAAAAATGAAAGAGAAGATAGAAAATAGTATGAGCAAATTATAAGCCCATAACTTTAAGAGGCTGTTGAACTGCCACCTTTTGTCTCTTATCTAATTATCTTATTTTCTTATCTACGTCACTCTCTTCCACTGATGTGTTGTGTCTTCTCTTTAACAACGTAAACGTTATAATAAAATAATTAAGACCATATCTAATTATTGTTGAAACGAGAAAAAAAAAATTAATTTTTTTACTCAGAAAAATAATAGCCACCTGAATCTCTGGATGATCGTATAACGAAACCGAACAGAACAAAGACAGAACCATGGGCGGATGCAGTAAAGAAGTAAGGTGGTCAAATGACCCCCACTAATTCTTAAATTTTATTGACTTTAGGCATATAAATGTAATATAAATTGATTTTTTGGTTAGTTTTTAATGGTTTTGACCCCTACTAATTATGAGTTTTCAAATTTTGACCCTATTATATATTTTTTCTAGCTCCGCGCCCCTGGACAGAACAGCTTACTACATATGTCGTGACTGGTGGGACCTGATACTGTCGCAGACGGGAGAACATCTGATTGTGTTTTTGCCATTTTAATTTCTCTTCACAACGCAAACGTTTCTTTTACTTTCTACTTGCTCAAGCTATTGGGCTTTTTGTTTTGAAAACGAAGCCCATTATTACTCTAGTGATATGACACATTATTCTATTGTTGTACTTGTAACAGATTAAGGCCCATAAATATATATGAATCATTTTGATGCTATAAACCTTTTTCCAACCGGATCAATTTATGCTGACAGTTTGATAATAGGTGGTGAGACACAAATACATATGAACAAATAATGATTCGGTGTCTGTACACTCTCGTGTGAATGTGTGATCTCTCTTTTTGAAAATAATGCTAAAGCATTAAAATTAGCAGCAAAAAAGGGGAAAATCATAATTCTAATTATGAGTCTCGTGATGCTTTATTAAGATTGATCGTGCGGTGTGAAGAATGTTAATGAGACACGTACACGTGTCAAGTTGACTGGGTCTTCCCTTTTCAGAATTGGTGGAAACTGGTATCCAAAGAACGCTCAAAGAGAGAGCTAAAGTTTTGCTTTTGATTCGCAATTATAACTTCAATACAATATTTTGAACTCATAGATATAATTGATCGAACATGTGACAATTACTCCACTGCAAATGGTAAATGACTCTCTCTATGGAGTACAAGTCTAAATTTAGTTTTATTTTACTAATTTTCTTAGGTTAGTATGAATTTTGAAGGGTGATAAGATCATTTAATAGAAATACCCATTAAGAGTATCATAACTCAGAAGTGTTCTGCTGTTGTTAGCGTGAACGACATGTCACATGCGAAAGTTTATATTGTTTGTTTACAGCTAACATATTAAAGTAACTAATTCGAAAGAGATGTGTGTTTAATTTTCAAAAAGGAGACTATTACGTTGAATTTGTAAACCATTTGTAAGCAAATAAAAGAGGGGTCCTGACCAATGTCTCTTCTTCTTTTTGTCTTTTCTAACGTCTCCTCACTATTAAAATTTTACCTAAATTTAACCATAATTTTAGTATGGGTGATAAGTCTATTGTTATAAATCATGTACTCCTAAAAGGCTAAAGTATATGAATGTAAAATGGTATTTTCTTGAATTACTGAATCAAAACATCAAGAAATATAATTTCGGTTTCTTAGTTTTTTTAATTTTGTTCCTTCTCAGTTTGTCCGCTTCATCTTGGTCGTGAAGGAAGAACGAATTTCAGGTAAGAATGTTTCTTCTCATTGGAATTAATGATTAACTTTGTGATTTAGATATTTGATTAAAAATGTAATACTGCACAAATAAAGACGACTCTCTACCTAACATTATGTTGACCTGCGACGTACCATGAATCACTTCATCTACTAACTATCTAACGCCAATTATTTACTTAGCTCAGTTACATACTCACATGTCACGAAAAAACTATTGGTCATCATGGACGTACGAACTAATTGCATTTCAACTCAACTTTAATCATATTCTAGAGAGCCAATTTTAAGTAATTTTAGTTAGTAGACTTGGGCCTACGCAACATTTGCCATGCACTACATGAATCATTTTCTTTAACCAAATAAAAATAACAAATACATGAATCATTCTTGTTTTTTTCCTTTTGTTAAAGTAACTGCATGAATCATAATTAAAAAGTGAGACCATTATCATGATCTTACATAATTAGCCACTTTCGCATATTATAGTATGTATTTACTGTTAGTGCATAGCAGGCAAGATTGTTTTTCTGTGTGTGGTTTGTGGTAAACACCAAATAATACACTCGATTGTGAATTTTTCAAGAATTAGAGGCTAAAACCCAAAAAATAGTGTTTCTATAAACGGCATTTCACGTATCAAATCAGTTTATTTCTTATTTAAATTTGATATGCTATTGTAATTTAGCTTGGTGTAAGGATTCTCTTAGCAACTCCGAGGGATGGGACATAACTGTGTCGGGGGAAACAATGAAAGCCAAGAAAATGACAAAACGGACCCATTCAAACTCAGTGCAGTACTCGTTTCTTTTTCTTTTACGTGTCTCTGTCTTTTCAAAATCATATATTTTCACGTGGCATTTTCATCCCTGATTAAAAAGCTAAAACATACGAATACAAAATAAAAAGTGGGAAGGCCCTTATTTATATGTGTCTACGTAACTGATAGACCTCTAGCGTAGATACAGAGTAAATAAAATTTTAAATTCGGAGTCTTATTTTCAGTGCAGTGAGTTGTCACAGAAGAAAATTCTTTGAGATGAGAAACGTTTGTTTCTAGTAGTATTAGTTTTATCTATTGTCCGGAAATTACGCATAATCTTAGAATGTAAAGCTGATGAGATGAATAGACATGGACTGTTTCTTTTTCTTTTTTCACCTTTGTGATCCATCAAACATGAAATTTCCGTGGACGCATAGTGAAAAGGAAAATAGTGGTTATGTGATGAAATCGTGATCACACACGCAATATAGATGTGTGTGTATCAAGGAAACAACAAAAATACTTTTTGGTCTTGTTTGATATATTTAGTGCAATATGTTATTCTTAGATAGGGTTCCGTGAGAATCCCTACTAAGCTATGAGCTACCACTTAACCCATCAATTAGGCCACTAAACTCGGTTAGATTTGAACAAACACTAAGGTAGCTACAATTTTATGTGTTGGACCCAAACCTTCTGATAAAAAACCTAGACTATAACTGTAAGATCTACAATCATCATTGGAATATACGTACAACCAAATGAACACCGAATAAATGTAAGTTTGGTGCGGCTTATATTTATGAATGAAGAAATCATAAATGCTTCACATAGACTAGGAATTGCTTCATGAGAAGGGAAACACAAAGAGATCTCATCAAATACCATTTAAGACATGGATTTATGGATATTCTGCATGTGGGAGAAATTTTGGTGAGTGAGATATGTTTCACTTTCTTACCTTTCTCATATTAACTCAACACCAATCATTATATCCTCCCCACCACACATTTATACCTTTGATATCTTTCACTTTTCACACACGGATTGTTCTCTTTCATTATTCTTCACATTGTACATACATGAACACACTGATATTCGCTGTTTTGAAGACGAAATTTAAAATTTTACCATTTTCCCTCAGAAGAAAAACCCAAACTGTACATCTTCTTTCATAAAATTACAAAACTAAAATATAGCCATATTCCGATTAAGAAAAATAAAACACACTTAAAAAGAGTCAAAACAAATACTAAACGGACCAAAGGCACAAACCAGACTTATAATGAAGTAATTAACAACCAAATCTCATCGCTAAAAAACATTCTTATAATGAAGGACGAATTTACTCTTCTTCTTTCTACCGGAACCCTAACTTAACCCTCTCAGAGATTGAGGAGATCCGGCGGACCTTGACCACCGGATTTCGGCGAGAGCTCACTCTCTGGCGTTGACTTCTCTATCCCGGTCAATTCCGTCGCCGGCTGATCCTTCGACGGTGGCAACTTCGGGATCTCGGTAAGAATCTGAACAACTTCTCTCATCGTCGGCCGCTCAACGGCTTGTTCTTCGACACAGAGCATCGCCACGTAGAAAACATGCGTCACTTCGTGAATCGGAACAGAGGAGAGTCTCGGATCAAGCACTTTGAGAACCGAGTCCTTGTTCGAATCAGTCATTTTACGCATCCACTGCACGATATCGACACCATCACCGAATTCACCGACCGGTTTCCTTCCGGTCACGAGCTCTAAAAGGACCACACCGAAACTATACACATCGCTCTTCTCATCTACCTTCAACGTATACGCATATTCTACACATAAACAACAACAAAAACAGAGTAAAGTTAGAAACTTTTTTGAAGTAATTTTAGAAAACAGAGTAAAGTTAGGATCTTTGTTACCTGGAGCAATGTAGCCGTAAGATCCAGCAATGGCAGACATACACTCAGAAGTACCAGAGTCTTGTAAGAACTTAGCGAGACCAAAGTCAGCAACATGAGCTTCAAAGTTCGAATCAAGGAGGATATTGTTTGACTTGACATCTCTGTGAACAATCAACGGAGAACAATCATGATGAAGATAACAGAGTCCTTTCGCAGCTTCAAGAGCAATCTTGTAACGTGTGTCCCAATGCAAGTGTCCTCCTTTCTTACCATGAAGCACCTCTCCAAGACTCCCATTAGGCATGTACTCATACACAAGCAGATTCGTCTCATGGTTAGAGCAAAAGCCAAGAAGCCTCACGATATGTCTATGCCTTATCCTCCCCAAAGTCTGAATCTCTGCGTTGAATCCGTGATCGTGCGAAGATCCACGAGACATCGCAGCGAGTCTCTTCACCGCGACTTGGTCGCCGTTAGGCATGACACCTTTGTACACAATCCCCGCTCCTCCTTTGCCTATAATGTTGTCTTCTTTGAGAGAATCCAACACATCGTCACAAGTGAAGTCTAGTCTCTGGAAAGCTGTAAGCCTCCAAGCGCGTGACTCGCTCGCCTTTTTCAAAGACCTAGCTTTGATTATAGCCGCGACTGCGAACGCGATCGAGCAAACGAGTAGACCAAGGACGAGCAGTAGCTTCATTGAAGCTGATAAAGCTCCTTTGCTGTGTCCCTGGTGGCTTCCTTTAGCGACTCCGTCTTTACAAGGTCCAAGATAAGGACCACAAAGATCAGGGTTTCCTAAAAATGACGTGTAGTTGAAGTAACTGAATTGTCCGGTTCCGGGGACTAAACCGGAGAGATTGTTATATGAGAAATCGAGCGAGGTTAAGCTCTGCATTGACGAGATCGAACCGGGAATTGATCCCAAGAGATGGTTTCTCGACAGATTCAAGTAATTTAATATCTTCATACCGGTTATCTCCTTTGGTATCTCGCCGGAGAGCTCGTTACGGCTTAGATCGACGAAGGTTAGGAGCTTGCAATGGCTGATCTCCGGTGCGATTCGGCCGGATAACAAGTTGTGGCTGAAATCGATCTTCGCGAGCTGTTGGAGCTTCCCTAGCTCTGAAGGAATCGGACCTTCGAATTTGTTTCCGTCGAGGAGGAGTTTCTGAACGCCGGTGAAGTTTCCGATCGCCGGAGGTAATGGACCTGAGAGCTGGTTGTTTGATAGACTGATCTGGCCGAGATTGACGGAGAGAGCTCCGGCTACGGGTAATTCGCCGGTGAGGTAATTGTCTTGAAGCTCGACTTGAGTTAATTTGGGTAATCCGAATAGTCCTTTAGGGATTGACCCGTTTAGGAAATTCTCGCCCATTCGGATCCGGGTCAGGGACTCGCATTTGCCAAGGGTATCAGGGATTGAGCCAAAGAGGAAGTTTCCGAGAGTGATTAAGGTTTCCAGCTTGTTACCGGAGCACATGTTCGGCGGTAGAGTTCCGGTGAGTTTGTTGGAGGAGAGATCGACAAGGTTGAGTTTACCGTTTTCCCCCAATTTCTGCGGGATGCTTCCGGTGAAATTGTTCTCCCAGAGCTGTAACACTTCCAGCTCCGGCAATTCTCCGATGAACTCCGGTATCTCGCCGTGGAGCTTGTTTCTGAAGAGATTCAAGAGCGTGAGGTTCTTCAGCTGAGCGAAACTCGCTGGAATCTCTCCGGTGAACATGTTGTTAGACAAATCCATTGATTTCAGGCTCGAGAGCGTTCCCAGCTCCCAAGTTAACGGCCCGGAGAAGACATTCACTTGAAGGAAGAGAGTATCGAGCTTCTGAAGCCTCCCGATCTCCGGCGGAATCTCTCCGGTTAATCCGCAATTAGCGGCGTCGAACCGTACGAGCTCCGATAGATTTCCGATCTCCGGAGGTAGACCGTCCTCGAACGCGTTGTAGTAGCCGATGTAGAGCTCCCGGAGAGTCGTTAAGTTTCCGATCTCTGGAGGGATTTTGCCTGCAAGCTCGTTGCCGGAAATTGCCAAGTACTCGATAACCGGCCAGCTTCCGTAAGACGACGGGATCCGACCGGCGAAGTAGTTCCCGCCGAGGTGAAGATGTCGGAGCTGAGTGAGATTGGTGACGGAAACCGGTAAATCTCCGGTTAGATTGTTGTTGTAGACATCGAGGACGCGGAGATTCACTAATCCAGAAGAAATCTCATCGGGAAACGAGCCGTTGAAGACATTGTTGGAGAGATTCAGGTGACGAAGACCGGAGAGATTCGAGATCTCCGGCGGGATTGGGCCGGAGATCTGGTTTTCAGCGAGCGAGAGGTTCTGGAGGAGACGTAAATGCGATACGTCTGAAGAGAGAGAACCGGAGAGGTTGAGGCCGGAGAGGTCAAGAGAGGTCACGTGCCGTCGAGAGACATCGCACCTGACACCAGTCCATGTGCAGAAGCTGGTTGTGACTTTCCAGGAGGCGAGAGGCGAGTTTGTGTCATCTCCGGCGCCGGTGAGAGAGGATTTAAGTGAGAGAAGGGCACGGGACTCGGAGACTGATCTACCGGCGGTGAAGGAATGGGAAATGTGGAGGAGAAACAGAAGAAGAAGAAAAAGCTTCATTGTTTCTCTATCACTCTCTCTCTCTCTTCTCTGTGAGAGATTAGGGTTGTGAGATGGTGTGAGTGTGGTGTGGTTTAGTGAAGAAGAAGAATAAGATGAGGGAGGGAGTGATTTTTATTTTATAATTGTAAATTTGTAAATAACTTTATTAGAAAATTCTCTTATTTATTTTGTAATTGAATGTGTATAATATAGGTGCCATGTCAGATTCCAGTTTAATTTATTAAATGGCTCGTTTTAGCTATTGGAGGTAGATAAACACAAATTACAAATCAATAAAGTACTAGTAGTTCCTACTGATAAGCAGTGGAGTAATATTATAATCAGTGATATAATTTCAACTTTTGACATGGCTTCTTTATTTTACAAGTATAGTAACAAAATATAGAAAAATTTATCGTTATGTTTATTTTGTTTAATAATTACATTACTAATAAAAAAAAGAAACTTCTGTAGTTCTGTTTTGTTATCAATCTGAGTAGAATTTACAAACATTTCAGATTCCCACCATAATGTTTTGACTAAATGAGTATGTTCTTTATAACCTTGTACGAGAGAGAATATATACTATGAGTAGCGAAGGTTCATTTATTTTATTTTGGAACCATGTTGTTTTTCAAACATTTGAAAGGTGGTGTTCTCAAGTCTTGACAAAAAAAGTCCCATAATTTCTCGTTTCATACGACTACATACTTTTATACATTTTAATAATGTAATCATGTGTTTTTTTCTCAGTAATATGCACATCTTTAAATGTACTAGAGTACTTGGTATTTGGTAACGCATATAAACGTACTAAATTATTGTAACAAACAACTAAAGGAAAAGTAACTAAAAATCACTCAGAAAAACGGAAAAAAGACAGGTCATATTCTTAAACCTATGGTTTTGAAGGAATACGACAAAAGCTAAAATGATCGTTATTGGTAAACTAATCCCATACGTAAGATAATGATGCTTAAAAGCGAAAAACCCAATAATTAAAGCTACATTTAACGGTCCAGATGCTATCGTCCCAATTCCATCCAATGGTGAGTCAAAAGGTTTACCATTCGTGGGACCCGCTTTTGGAAAGAGAGGTTTACAGTAATTGGGCCTTAAGATTGGGCCCACGTGTCCGAAAACTGGGTTTTGAATAATTATGTTTTTTTTTTTTTTTTTAAATTGTGCCTTTTTGCGTTATCAATGCCATCATTTATTTGATAAAAACGACAAAATAATAGGTCTAAATACAGTGTGATTTTAGTATCTTCATATACGAAATGAAATCATATAACGAAAATGATGTCTAAAATTATTTCTCAAAAGAAAAAAGAAGCTAATACGTTTATAATGAGAAAAGCTACACACAAGGTTTTTTTTTTCAAAAAGAGATTGCAAATGATTTAAAAAGTAATAATTTGCTGGTGGTGCGAAAGTAACCGAAAATATTTTTGTTTGACTGAATAAAGTAGCAAACTACACTCGTAACCTTGAAGTTTAACGGGGACTGGTCGTTCCGTTGCGTGGAAATGACCAAACCAGCCTTCGAGTCGGAAGCAGACCTTGTCGGTTTTGGGATATGTATGAAAAATCGAAAACACCCTTATGATCAAGTTCGTTGGTCACATTAATGCAGCCGTCTGAAGAAAGGAGACTAGGGACAACGGTCGTAATTGCAAGTGTGAAAGTGAGACAGTTGCTTTGCCAGCTAACGAGGTTTCTTTGCCAGTTGCTACAGTTCACTGTCACTGATCCATCTGTAATGATTTCTGCATTTCTCGTTTCACAGTATAATACAGTATATAATAAATACGCATTTTTATGTATTTAATTTAGTACTAGTAGTGTCAAATTTATACTACTAGTGATATATCTCATGTAAACTGAACCACCTAATTAAATATGGATTCCTACGTATTAGTTGGATTCTTTTGTAATCATCTTTTTAGACTTGGATAGGGAGAATAATTAACTTTTTTCTTTTTCCTGCAATAGATTTATAAAGTAAATTTAAACCAAATTCGTAAAATTATTGAACCAGAATGATTTACAATCTGATTTGGTTGTAAGCACGTGTGAAGGAAACTTTATGTAAGAAACTTAGTGGGTTTGATGACGACCGGTGAAAGTTTTGTGGGAAGTAGGTGTTTAAGGAGATTCGTTTCTTGATATCATACTTAACTTTCTCTTCTCTATTTCCAACCTTTTGATTTTCAATAGAAATTGCCTTGAAAGTTGGAATTTAAGTAGTACAAAAATATGTTTAGGCGATAGCATGAAGAGAAAAAACATCGGGTTAAGAGTAGATAAGTGGAAGAATCCAAAGCCTAGAGTTAAATTTATCCAACCATGGAAGCACGTTGTATCCATTACCAAGTTTTTTTTTGTTTCTTACTTTGTTATTCCCTATCGCATCGTCTCGTTTAGTGTTCCTTTTTGTCTCCTTAATTACACATCTCTATAAGGATTCTAGATTTATTTGTTATTATCACACACAAGATCTTGAAATACTTGATATAATTTCCTTTTTATATAATTTCATGAACCATAAGTGGTGTACTTGGTTCGAGTAATACTAAGAATTTGAAAGTGTATTGATTTAGGAAGGGATATGTTTTGATTCTTTTGAAATCACGTAATAATAGACGATGTAGTGAAAGCGACACATGATAAAGAAAAAAACCAACACAAAGTCTCAACAAAGTCATCTTTTTTTTGTTTTCCCGTTTCTTTTGGTTTGAAATTGAAACTATAAAAAAGTTTTTTTTTTTCTTTATGAAATGTCGCGTGGTCCATTTGAAAGGTGAAACACTACCCAATAAAAGTGAGAATGGGACCATAAACTTGTCATCTTCACATCACCAATGTGTTTCTGAGTCCGACCATCACGGACTTGATGAACATGGTCCAATGACACAACCCCCATAATCTATCGCTACGAGTTATAGTATGAAAACTTTTTTTTTTTTTTTTTTTTTTTTTTTTTAATTTTATAGTATGAAAACTTTATAACACAGAAATACTTGAAAATGTAAATTTGTATTGTGAAACACAGAGAACCAAACCAGAGAGGGAAAATGTTGTCAAGATTTTACGTATTAGCTCTCGCAAGTCCTTTTTCCATTTGCAGGATTTTGGTATAAACCTAATGGTGTCAGATTGAGCTCGTGTCTATTTTACAACTGTCTCGCACTTGTACATATGCTTCTGTTCGCGACTGGACTTCCTGATATCAAAGACGCAATTCCTTTCCCAAGAAGTTGGGGCAAAACAAACAGTTAATTTAGCCTCAAGGTTTTATGTACAAACCTCAGTTTCATCGTTATGTAATCTATGTAGCCATTCTTGGTGACATAAAAAAAAAAAGAGAATTGTATCCCAAAGTGTGCATAATGATCATGGATATTGTATATTTTGGAGTAAGTTTGTAAATAACCAAATCAGCAATAAGATATTCAAATTAGGTGTCTATAGAATTAGAATTACATGCAGTATTCTAACTTTCGGATATTTGATGTTTTGAGTACGTATCCTATATAGCTGATAACTTAGGCTGTAATTTACCCTAAAACATTTTTTGGCAGTGGAACCAGGCCCATCTGAATGTTGAATTCTCAACAGTACGTTTGTGAAAACTTAAAACATTACGAAAAATGATCTAATACAATATTGTGGAAACTAACGTTAAATTCTCTGTAACAATACAAAATTTACGTTTACAAATTTCGTTAACAACTAACAACACAAATCCATCACAATATTAGTATTTGATTTTAAACTTTAGGATATATTCGCACTAACAATCAGGGCCGTCCCTGACTTTACATGAGCCATAGGAGACTTCGAACTCTGCACCTTAAACCAACATAACAGCACGCATAACCAACATAACAGCACGCATAACCAACTAAGCTATAGGAGACTTTGTCAAAATATGGCCGATTAAATTTTTATTTAGAAACAGGGCCGCAAGCACCTGCTTGCCCTGCTTGCTCCCAGGGACGCTGCTAACAACAACCTAGTTTAAAGATTTGTAAATATACAAAATTGATAATTACATATGGTTAATGGATTATAGTATTATACTAAACGTGGATAATCTTAAAAGATAAATATGATGAGTTTTTTCCATAAGCATGATGATGAAGATCTCACTCAAACCATACTGACAAATCTGCAAAAAACCAAAGAGTTTTAATGCACAAAATTCGAACATTTGCTTTTATGTTATCGTTGTCTTAGGTTACCAAAATCTCCACTACCGTCACAACGAAGAGATACAAACATAGTAATGATGTTGTTGTCAACCATTTGAATTTTTGTCAATGTTAATCCAGTTTCGCCTTTGCAACCAACCCCATTCACTACGGTTGGATCTCCACCTACAGACCCTCCTCTTCCGCTGGAATCTCCGCCTCTAGATCCTCCTCTTCCACCCGAATCACCCTCTCCGAGCTTCCAATTCTTGTTGTCGTCCATCACGATGGGGTCCACCTCTGCCAAACTTTCTAAATATGTATATTCGTCCTATGTTTCAATATGATAAACGAAAAATTCCGATCTACTAAACCCAAAGACCAAGATTCGATCTTATAAATCTATGATTTAATCTAAGATTTGATCTAACGAAAACTAAATACGAATTCATAATTGTTTGAGAAATTTTGATTACCTTAGATTTTCTTCCTTTAGCTAGGATAATTTATTGCTTGTCAAAGACACCTAGTTATTACTTTCCCTCCGTGTGGTCATTTTTGAATCGTTTGTGTGTTTTTCTAAGGTCCTTAGTGATCAACGTTGGGACTGAAAATTATCAGTTATTGTGCTAATCTATTTGATGGATTTGTGGGAAGAACATCAGATTCGCTGACTACTTTTGTAACCCTTTCGATTTTGTCGATGGGTCAAATTTGAAAGTAATGAAAGTATTTTGGTAAATGTTGTAAGATAGTAATAAATAAAGGGGTACTTTCGAGTTTCCATATATTAAAGCTTCCGGCTGCTTTCTATTTTGTCGTTCCCGGCAAAATTCCCGAAAGTCACTAGAATCGTCGCCGGCGATTCGAACTCTACAAAACGATGCAATCAGCGGCGAATCTTCCTGTGATATGGAATCTGTCGCTGCGCGGGTCATCCTCCAAAGTCCAAATACTGAACCTTAAGCATCGAAAGGCTCACGCGCTTCACTGCCTAAGGTTGATTTCGAATTTCGTCTCTCTTTTCTTCACTCGTGACTCTTGAGATTTCTCTTTCTGCTCTGCTTTGTCCGAATTCTTCATGTTAATAGTAACATTGATCACCGATGTAACATTTTGCATAATTGAGCTAGAAATGAAGATTCACTGAATAGCCGAGAACTTCAGGGGAATTATGCAAAGCTATTAGATTAGATGGTTATGCAATAAAGTTTTAATCTTTATGGTTTCTGTTTGAATTTGAATTTGTGCTAAAAACTTGTCTTTTTTATTCTCTTTTCCATTCCAGATCAGAAGGGAATGAAGAGTTTGAGAATTCTCAGGTTAGTAGTATTCTTTGGTTTGAAGTTTGTAATCTTCTCTGATTTTCTTGAAGAATGTAACTTTGGTTCCTTCTCAGGAAAATCTTGGACTAAATTATGTTACAAAAGAAGAAAAACCTAAAGACATATGGAACCTCTTTAGAGAAGCTCAACAAAGTAAAACTTTTTTTTTGTTGGATAGCATTGGTTTTGGTTTAATATTCGGAAAGTTAAACTCACATAATTGTCTTTGTTGTGCATTTTTAGATATATTTTTATTAAACAAGAAACGCCTAGCTGCAGTTGAGGAGTTAGAGAAGCTGAAGAAGGAGAAAGATGAATTGCTTGAGAGGATTAATCAGTTGGAAGCAGAGAGCAGTCAAGCTGTAACCAAGAAAGCAGACAAGTCTTCTCTACTCTGGGAGTTGCTTCTCCGTATTGATTCAATGGTGATCAATGGGTTGACTGGCGTTGAAGAAGCTTCATCGTTGAGAAATATGGTTAGGGAACATCAAGTTAACATGTCTGAGTTTCCTATTCATGTTCTGCAACAAGGAGATGATGCTGAAGTTTTAGCAGAACTTAGACGGTTCCCAGCTAAAGGCAGGAATGGTCTCCACGTGATTCATATATGCACTGAAATGGCTCCATTAGTCTCTGTTGGCCCTTTAGCCTCATACATTACAGGACTCTCTTGTGCACTCCAAGGAAAGGGCTACTTGGTTGAAGTTATTTTGCCAAAGTATGAATCAAATCCTTCAGATAATTATTTATATTATCCACCAACTTCAGTTGTGAAAATAGAATCTTGTTTTTTCATTAATAGATATTCAACACTTGATTTGGAGGAAATTGAAGGGCTCCGGGAAATCGAAGCTGATGCCTATTCTTACTTTAATGGCCAGCTGCATGCAAACCGAATATGGAATGGGTTAGTGAGTGAGTGAGTTGTTGGAAGTTTTGGTATTTTTTTCTTTATCAATTTGAAGGCAAGCAAGGACCTTGTTTGTGTATGCAGAGTTGTGTCTGGAATAGGAGTGACACTTATTCAACCATTGTATTACGTTTCAATGTTTAGCCGTGACAAAGTATATGGCTATCCAGACGATGTAGATAGGTATGTGTACTAGTAACTTCTATTCCATTAGCTTTATCTTACATTTGTCTTTAGACTTTTGTTTGATTTATTTTGGATTGTTGTTAATGAAATCAGATTTGCCTACTTTTCTCGTGCTTCGCTGGATTACATTGCAAAATCTGGAAAGCAGCCTGATGTGTTACACATTCACAACTGGCAAACTGCAATCGTTGGACCTCTCTTTTGGGATGTTTTTGCTAATCAGGTTAAAAAAACTAAAGTCCATTTTGAAGATCATGACTCCTTAGTTTTCTTATTGACATTTACTTGAGAATATTGCAGGGACTTGAAGGTACGAGAGTACTCTTGACATGCCAAGAATTTGACTCAAAGGCAAGCCACTTTTGCATTCTCCCTTTGTGTTTTGTACATTGGCAAGATCGATTAAGAAACATCATTGGATTTGTTGTGTTTTTAGTGTCTTGTGCCTCCTGAGAAGTTGGAGCTATGTGGGCTTGATCCAGCTAGTCTTCATCGTATTGATCGCTTACAAGATAACACGAATCCACAAGTGGTTAATATTTTGAAGGTTAGTGTAAAGTAAAACACAGTACGCAAGAGTTATCTTCAAGTTACACTCTTATTCTCACATTGTCTTCTTACTTAGGGAGGTATTGTCTACTCGAACAAAGTTGTAGTAATGCCATCCTCAGATTCTGAAGGAAGAACACTCCATCATCCTGGTCTCGAACCAACTCTTGCTGTTCACAAGTAAGTTCTTGAGACTTTTTTCTTGTTAGCTTAAATAGTATAGTAACTACATTGTCTTGTCTTTGAATCTAGGGAGAAGTTGTTTTTTGCTCCCTTTGGATTGGACAGCTCAACATGGGATCCTTCAAGAGATGTTTATCTCCCTGAAAACTACAGTGTTGAGGATATAAGAGGAAAATCAATCTGCAAAGTTGAATTGCAGCGTCAGCTTGGTTTAGTGGAGGATGCTTCAACCACCATTGTATGTGTTTCTCTGGCTCTCTATAAGTGGAGCTAAATGCATTAAACATACCTCTTATTTCATAGTGATGATCATAAGTAGAACGTATTTACTACTCTCTTTTTAAGGTAGGGTGCGTTTTCTCAGAAATATCAGATGTTGATCTTGAGAGCTTCAAGTCACTTGTTCGGAACACAGAAAATAGTGATGTCCAGGTTAATAATGCTCCATCTCTACCACTCTGAGGATATTAATACACTTGTCAAGAATCTAACCAAACGTTTTCTCTTTTTGCTCTGCTTAACAGTTTGTTATAATGTTAATGAATGAAGATCAGATGATAAGCAGGAAGGTGGAGACAATTCAAGATGAAATTGAGGTAAAGTAAAACACATTTCTGCATTCCATTCTTTTCTCTGTTTCTTCCATCTGTTAGCTTCGTCGCTCTGAAAAGAGATGTTTGTATGATCTTCAACAGGGAAGAAATTTGAAGATTGTGACAGAAGACAAGCAAGGTTTTTCGCATCTGGTTTTTGCAGGATCAGACATTATGCTGTGCATGAATTTTCATGATCCAGTTCTACAAGTCCCTGTCAGTTTTCAAAACTCCATTATTGCTTGCTTGATGAGACTGGAAATTTGAATGAAAAATGTTTAATGATTCTGTCATATGATGATGCAGGTCAAAGCTTTGAGATATGGAACAATACCAATAGAAGTTAACCGCAAAACCGCCGGATTTAGCGACTCCACGTTTGGGAACATGTCTCTACGCCAAGCTTTGGACCTTAGAGTGAGTAACGTTAATCCAACAATAGTGATGGGTGTTATTGGACCTTATAGTGATGTGTGTTATGATGAATGCTTGCAGAAGAAGAATCCAAGGCTGTGGAACTTAAAGATAATGGAAGCAATGGAGAAAGACTTTTGCTGTGACATCCACGTCTCTGCTTATACTTCCATTAAGAACATGTGAATTAAATGGAGAAAGAAGAACATATTCTTTATTATTTTCCTATTATTATTTTCCTATTGTGATAAGGATTAGGAAAATTTACATTATTTGGTGTTATCTATATATCAATGTTAAACTCTTATGCTCTAGTATCAACAACAGAAGTCAATAATATATTATTTTCTATAATATTTATCACACCAAGTCGATCATAAAAAGCATCTGGAGAAGATGACGCTTCGGATTGAAGATATGGAGTTTATGCGTGTGCAGCAGGAGTATTGGCGTCAAGTGAATGAATCCGATGTAATTTTTTTTGCATCTCCTGTTGGAATTCAAAACTCGCTTTCTTTCTAGGGTTGTTTACTATTTTTTACTGATCGGTCTTAATCTTAATCAGGGTTTCGATCTGGAGAAGGTCACAGTGACAGCACCACCGCAAGGTACAGTATTATCTGGGCTGTTGCAGTGTGACTGTGAAGGCGAGGGTGTTATTAGGGATCCTGTACCTCTTTTGGTCACGCGTTATGCCAGATTGGGGCTTCATCGTTACAACATGTCCAAGGTAATAAAAAAACTAGCCTTTTTGTCTTTGTCTTTGTCTTTGTCCATCTCTGGTTCCTTTACCAACACGTCTCTTCAATTTCTGTCTTGATCGATCTTGCAGGGGACAAATTATGTGCTTCACCACCTAAAGAAATACAACAAGTCAATGAGCCTCGTGGCCTCTTATTACGTAACTCTGGTTGCTTGCGATCCAGCTACCCCCACTTCGCTGGTAACGTTTCAGGTTGGGGTTAGTGAAGAAGCTTATGGCAGATTGTATGTCAGGTGCTTCATTGCTAGGCGTCAAGGTAAACAAACCAACCTTCATTTTTTTTTTTTTTTCTTTTATTCATGAAATGAAATCTCACTTGCTGGTTGATAATAATGTCGAAAAAGGTGACCCCAAGGAGCCCTCGGAACCTCTGGATGTTGGAGGACCGGTGGATGGTGGAGTATTACCTGTTTGGCCGTCAGATTTCAGTGACACGAAACAATTTCGCCTGGTAAGATTAATTAAGTCACAGTAACTTAGTTTTGCAACTATTATATAAGCAGTGGTCGATCGAGTGATATGTTTTCATTGCTTACTTGCAGCTCAAGGAATCAGACTTGCAATGCAGTGACTGGATTCGTCTAATATTGGAACTTGCACTTTGCGCAACTGATAGCTGGCTTTCGGATGTAAGTTTGTTTTTCTTTTTGGACATACCATGCATAAGTGACAGTATTGCATGTTGTTAATAACACGTGGTTCTGTTTTTAAACTTTTGTTGCTTTTTTGTGCAGAGCCTTCTGTCCAAGCTGCAGATTCTGAAAGTGGCGATAGAAGCTGTTGGTGAAGACGTGGAGCCGCTCAGAGCCAAGACTCGAACTTTCTACATAACATTTAAGGGCTTGGCCAGAGCTCGGTTTGGTGAGCTTGGTGAGGATGTGGAACGCAGAGTTATCATTAAAATGGATGAGGGTAGTGGATGCTTGACTGTCATTGGTGGGTTTGGGTTTGCCATTGGAGAAAAAGTTGAGAAGCGTCTTCTGGGTAACCCGAGAGGTGAATGGCGGTTTGGAGATCCACTTCCTTGACCTCCTCCTACGACTGTCCCGTTTGGCAACATTGATGATCTCAAAAAGTATCTCCACCTTTGAGTTCCATAAAGGCACCCATCTCCCTTAGTCGCCAAGATCTCTATCAGATTTCACTACTTATATATAAATAATAAACTTGAAGTTGTTGTTTTCTTTTTCCTTCTCTTTTCAAGTGTGTTGTGAATATTCAATTCAATATATATGTTCTGACAAAAAATATGTGTGCATTATTAGTTTGCTTGCTTGTATTAATTTACCACTCGACTAACTACAAAATTAGAAAACCATTATCGAATTAGGAAGTAGATGAGAAGAAGGAATACACACATAAATGGTATAAAGCACGAAATGATCACATAAATGATAAAGTATGATTAACGGTATTAGTGTATTACATTTGTAGTTTGCTTGCTTAATTAATTTACCACTCGACTAACTACAAAATTAGAAAAACTTTATCGAAATAGGAAGTAGATGAGAAGAAGGAATACACATAAGTGGTACAAAATACGAAATGATGAATTGGATGTGTGTTAGGGGCTTATGATGAATGCTTGCAGAAGAAGAAGCCAAGGCTGTGGAACTTAAAGATATTGGAAGCGATGCAGAAAGACTTGTGCCGTGACATCCACGTCTCTGCATATACTTCCATTAAGAACATTGTGGGGGAAAAAATGGAGAATTTTTTTGAAGATATGAACAAATTTTGGGTTGACAGATGAACAATTTTTTCTTAACAAAAGAAAACCCGTAAAATAATAAGCATCCGGAGACGAGATGAACACTAGTAATAAAATAAATAGGTCATTCTTCTTACAATAGTTGCAAGGCACCATTAAATCACAGAACCTTTCCTGAGTCTGAGGTCTCTCATCTTATTATCAATAATCTAAAGAGTCTGAAATGTAGCTGGCTTTCATATAAAACCAGTTTTAAGCTATGGCAAGTCTGTTATTATTAAACTAGTTAATATCAGAACCAAGTGAGAAGAGATGATGCATAAGTGCCGAAGCAAGCCCTTGAATCTTCTGCTTAAATCAGTCTTTATACTTGGATTGAACTGTGGGTTTGATCTGAAGAAAACCAAAATAAAAAAGGCTTCATGTGAATATCATCTCGAAATGCAATAAAAAAAGGCTTCATGTGAATCCGCAGGAACAGATACAGAATTTTCTAAAATTCAGTGTGTATCTAACAAACTAATTATATGGACATTCGATGAAAAGGCTGATGGTGAAATTACCTGACGCATACGTTCTGCACCATCCATGTCCTTTGGGTGATCAAATAGACAAGCTGAGACGTTCTTGTCAGCTCCTTTCAGAAAATCCTGCAAAAAGATTGCATATTAGAATGAAAGATCCAGAAAAGTAAACAACTCGGAACCAAGCTAAATCTATCATTCAAAACAAGTAAGACCAGACCAGACCAGAAGTGCACCTTAGAAACTGGCATACCAGCACCAGTCCTCACATCTTGATTGATTATAGGACTTTGGACGTCTCCAGTACCTATAATGCTAGAGTCCTCTTGACTTTTCTCTGAATTTTTATGCATCTCTAGGATCACAAAATTGGATAACAAATGCATTGGCTTAGGTGTTTTCCGAACATAGGGTTCTTGACAAGCATCGAGTCCAACAATCATATACATGGTTGTCAGAGATACATAGGCATATCCACAATGAGCAACCTCATCCCCATTCGACATCCTGCACACAGCCACAAGATCTCCTAAAAGCTGAAAAACTGACTCGATAATCACGGCATGATATCCCAAAAAACCAGTCTTCTTGGGTGATCCCGGACCATGATATATTGTAGTTCCCGCTTCGAACAATTCAGGGTAGACAATGACATCTGCCCCTATTGGGTGATTTGGAAGATAAAACAAAGCTTCTTCTAAAGTTTCCAAACGCCGAACAGCTCGTATCCTTTCATTAAACCTTATAGGAAGAGGAATGTCGAGAGGTATAGGAGGCGTCACATCGCAGCGAAATAAGGGCATAATCTCTCGTGGAACACCGTGAATTTGTATGTGTCTTAAAGCAAACTCCACGAGATAACCATAACAACGATGTCCAATCTTTGCGCTATGGTCTTTTCCAAGAAGATCTGGACGGCAATTGGCGCAGACATGCCAAGCAGAAAGAGGAAAATAATGAGATTCCCACCCGCAAATAATACTCTCGGCGCTGGCCAAGTCGGTGGCTGCGTAATCCCAGCAAAGAAGATGGTCGTATTGGTTCCTAATGGCACCAAAGAAAAGCCTCCATGAACCGTTACACAATACTTGAACAAAAGGCAATCCGATGAAATCTGCACGCCAAACGAGCGAAGTCACAAATTTATCACTAGATAAGAAATAACCACCACCGCCGAACTGAGGCCTAGTCTGAACTTGCTCAAGGGCCGATTCTCCGACAATAATGCCAATCTCTGCCTCACTTATCTTGCGCAGTCCCTCGAATTGGAGTGGGTGTTGAGAGTGCATTGGAATTTGAGGCTGAGGCTGAGGCTCAGGATCAACACAGTCCATTGGATCGTCCATCTCTGGTGAGTGAGGCTGAGGATCAACAAGTTCCACTGGATGGTCCATCTCTGATGAGTGACAGACCTGGATTCAAGATTAAGCCAGAGAGAAGATAGTGAGTAACAGACTTGAAATGGGAATGTGAGACTTGAAATGTTTACGTAGAAAACCAAAAAAAAAATGTTTACGTACCTAAGAAGGGGCCAAGAGAGGCTTGGAATAAACCAGCAAAGAAAGTTGCAGTGAAGGCTAATTTTTGAGGTAAAGGATTGAGTTATCAGATGGTCTCCGATCAAACATGACGATAGTCTCTTCACTTTTTCTCTCTCTCTCTTTCTCTCAAGACGAAGAAGGGTTATGTGAGTGCGTCGCAGCCAAGTCTAGCCTCTCTCTCTCTCTCTTTATAGAAAGAGTTCTGTGATATCTATGTGAGTGCGTCTCTCTTTTTAGGAAGAGCTGTGTGATATTGCGTGTCGAAGCGAAGTCTAGTCTCTCTCTGTTTTTCTTAAGGAACATTGCGTAGCAGAGAAGTCTAGTCTCTCTCTATTTTTAGGAAGGTCGACATTTTAGTCAAAAGGGTATTGTTATTCGAAAACGACAGCATCCAAAGCCATCTCCTTTTCGATTTCAGCGGCTAAATTTTTTTACAGTTTTTGTTTCGGTGATATTTTTTATTCTGATCTTTCGCTTAGAACACAATGTAGCTGGAAATTAAACATTTGCAAAAATATAATTTGATTCTTAAAAAGATCTATATTCACATGACAGGTGTACACGTCAGTGTGTGTTTGTTTGTTTGTGTTTGTTTGTGTGTGTATTGGAATATAGGATAGCCTCATACGACATTGCTCTTCTTTAATTTGTTTCCGTGTATAGTAAGTTTCTAAATCACCCAAATACAAAAGGTCAAACAAGTTGAAAAGATTAGCGAACATTATTACATATGGATTTTGATTGTATTAAAACCTGACGTAAATAGAGAGTTTCTGAGTTTCGTGGAACATGAGAACTGACAAGGTTAATTACGGAAGAACATTTTAACAGAGAAAACTTAGCTTCTTTCTCTAGTCAATAATAAGTTTGGATCAACCATCTGTTTTTCACTTAGAACACAATGTACACAGAGGCTGGAAATTAAATATTTGCAAAAAGTATTATTCTTAAAAAAGATCTTTATTCACTTGACCGATGTGTAGCGCGTGTGTGTACAGCCAGCCTCATATGATTTTGCTCTTCTTTTGTTTCCGTGTATAGTAATGTTTAAAATCACCCAAGTCCAAAAGGTCAAGCCAGTAGAAAAGATTACACATGGTTTAACGTATGTCCATATTGTACACACTACACGTCGCTCTTCTCATCTACCTTCTACGTATATGCATATCCTACACAACAACAACAAAATAATTTAGAAAACAGAGTAAAGTTGGAATATTTTTGGACTTTTTAAATTTATTTTTTGTTACCTGGAGCTATGTACGTAGCCGTAAGATCGAGCAATGGTAGACATACATTCAGAAGTACCGGAATCCTGTAGGAATATATCTAGACCAAAGTCAGTAACATGAGCTTTAAAGTTTGAATCAAGGAGGATGTTATAGGATTTGACATCTCTGTGAACAATCAAGATGAAGATAACAGAGTCGTTTCGCAGCTTCAAGAGTAACCTTGTAACGTGTGTCCCAATGCAAGTGTCCTCCTTTCTTACCGTGAAGCAACTCACCGAGACTACCATTAGGATTTAGGCATGTACTCATAGACAAGCAGATTCGTCTCATGGTCCTTTACTGGGACCCTGGTGGCTTCCTTTAGCGACACCGTCTTTACAAGGACCACAGAGATCGGGATTTCCCAAGAACGACGTGCAGTTGAAGTAACTGAATTGTCCGGTTCCCGGAACTAAACCGGAGATATTGTTGTAAGAAAATCAAGTGATGTTAAGCTCTGCAATCAAACCAGGGATTGATCCCAAGAGATGATTCTCGACAGAGTCAAGTAATTTAATATCCTCATACCAGTTTTCTCGTTTGGTATCTCACCGGAGAGCTCGTTTCGGATTATATTGACGAAAGTTAGGATTTAGGAGCTTGCAATGACTGATCTCCGGTACGATTCGACCCGAGAACAAGTTGTGGCTGAAATCAATCTTCGACAGCTGCATGGAGCTTCCCTACCTTTGAGTTTCTTAATTTATTTTGTAATTGTAGGTGTATAATATATAGGTGTCCACGTCAGATTCCAGTTTTGTTAAATGGCTCTGATTCTATTTTCGTTTTAGCTATCAGAGGTATATACTATATACAAATCAATAAAATAATAGTAGTTAAGCAGTGAAATGATATTACAAGTTGCTCAACCAAAACCCACTTTTCTTGAGCAACAATTAACTTAACTTTGAACTTTCTATCAAAATAGTCCTCTTTAGTCCTCTTTACACAAACTGCAATAGCACTTTTTTCTAACACTAATCCCTAATATACTAAAGCACAAGTCACTCGCCCAATGGCAGAGTGACATGTGGCAAATTTAAGGGAAAATTAAGCGTTAATCCTTTATCAAAATATCCACGTCACAATTGTTAAGAAATAAGCCCATTCGAATATCAAGCCCATTTCAGGTGATCGAAATATATTAAGCACGTGTTCATTCCAAGTCACATGATATCACGAACAACACGGCCAAACTAACTGACTAAGCGCCCCAACTGCATCTCAGAAACTGTAAGCCCTAATTTCGCGATCACCTGTTTCACCACTATTTCACAATTATATCCACGATCATCAACTGAAAATAATGACATGATTTGAGTCGAAAGTATCTCTTTATCAAATCGCCTTCCTCCTTCATTTTTTGTTTCTGAGAAATCTGATTCACATTCGATATCACCACTAGATTTCTCTATTCATGATACTTTTACTCAGATTCATCGTCTGTTTTGTTGTCTGTGATCTTTTATTATGGGTGCCTGTATTTCTCTTAATCTGATAAACCGAGTAGAGCCAAATTTTGATTTACTATTCATCTTACATAATCATTTCGATGTTTATCTCATTTATTTATCTTCTGATTCTTTCATCGTTTCTAAGGTTAATTATGCTTCTGGAGTATACTCCTATGTCTCACATCAATTCCTCCAAAAATTAATGGAAAACTAGAGCTTGTGTGTCTCGAATTTGGGCTTTTTTTATTATCCTAAAGATAAACCTGAGCATTGAAGACTCGAAGTCATCATCGTGGATGAAAAGGTGATTATATAGATGTTTGAATTTGTTATTGTATGTTTTTTTATCTTTTACTAAATGTATTCTTCGATTTCAATGGTTTGTGACAGGGAGATAGCATTGAAGCTTGAAAGCTATTTTCAAGTTTTTTTGGTTAAATTTGCTTCAGATTACCCACGTTTATATTTTGAGTTCAAGGTAACTTTCTTCCAACTTCATATAACAAATTGTTTTCATTTTTTATATCCTTTTTTTTCTGGTGGATCAGACGGGAAACAAAGCTTCCCGCGAATGTATTAAAGAACTAAAAAACAAATTACAAACAAACGTCACGAGGACGTGTAAAACCAATCTCGTCCTCCCACAATACAGACTCCAGAGATGGAGGGACAAGTTCGAACCAATGAAACCCTAACGGCAACGAGAACGCATGATTCGCCAAACCATCTGCCAGGCGATTTGCTTCTCGAAACACATGAACAATATGGACCGACCAGTCCTTTGAAATAAAGCCGTGGCACAGACTCACCAGGAACGCTAGGGGATGCGTGTTACTTACCCCTTTCTTCAGAAACCCGACCACCAGCTCCGAGTCTACTTCGACCTCCAGCTGAGGGATCCTCTTCTCCCACGCCATCACCAAACCATAGTATACTCCCCACAACTCCGCTAGTGGAGCAGAGCACAAGCCAATATTCAAGGAAAAACCACAAATCCATTTACCAAGAACATCCCTAATGACTCCACCCGCAGACGCTAGGCCAGGATTCCCACGTGAAGCTCCATCCGTATTCAATCTCATCCATCCCGCCACCGGAGCCTTCCAGCCAACCAATCTGTGCACCCTGGGACTCGCGCCTACTCTCACACTCAAGGCCTGGTTTGCTTTCCAAACCTCCGCTGGTAGCTCTGTTACAAATAAAACCCGATCCCTGCACTTGCGATTCTCCCCAAATACGTTGCTGCAGCGCCACTTCCAACTCCACCACACGGCCATCGCAAACGTAGTGGCCCACGGGACATTGGCCACCATCACATCTGTCTGTAGGTTCTCAAAGAGCCATGACAACAGAGATTGAGTAAAAAATTGTTGTCGCTTCCGAATAGGAACAATTTTTGCCCAAATCCCTGCCATCGCCGGACAGTCACGGAGAATCTATACTATATAAAAGTTGAGGCTATAAGCCTCTGAGAGCGTCCACATAGGATTAAAAGACGCGATTTTATTGGTCCACATAAGCATCTCCAAAATTAAGTAATTTTCTAATTTTATACAACCAATAGTTTCATTCCACATCATCATATAATTTTAATTATAGTATTTGTAAAATTAATTGATTTCCTTTTTATATTTTCAGAAAATTTCCTAATTTAAGGGCATTATTTATTTTCGTATTAACTAATTTATTAAATAAGGAAATTATATTTTCAAATACCAATGAAAAGAAACTAATATATAAACAATTTTTAAATTTGTAATATTATTTTTTTAATAATCTAATATATAACTGATTTTAAATTAAGAAACCTCACAGTTCCAAAATAATTAAACAAAGTGCTTCGATTTTTGTTAAAACTTAAATTCGATTTAGTAATATATTTGAAAGATTTATACAAAAATATTTTAAGAGAATATAAAAGTTGAGGCTATAAGCCTCTAAAAGTGTCCACATAAGATTTAAAGACGCGATTTAATTGGTCCACATTAACATCTCCAAAATTAAGTAATTTTTCCAATTTTAAACAATCAATAGTTTCATTCCACATCATCATATAAATTTAATTACAGTCTTTGTAAAATTAATTGATTTCCTTTTTATATTTTCAGATAATTTCCGAATTTAAGGGAATTATTTATTTTCGTATTAAATAATTTATTAAATAAAGAAATTATATTTTCTAAACCAATAAAAAGAAACTAATATATAAACGATTTTGTAAATTTGTAATATTAATTTTTTAGTAACTCTAATATATAACCGATTTTAAATTATTAAACTTCAAAATTCCAAAATAATTAAATAAAGTGCTTCAATTTTTGTTAAAATAGTAACTATATTTGAAAGATTTATACAAAAATATTTTAAGGGAACTACTATATTAATCATGAAAAATTATATGGTGAGTTTTCTTTTTTAGCTAACTTAAAAAAAAAAAAACAAAAAGAGAAAGTTACACCCTAATAAGTAATAACTGAAAGATTTGTTCAAAGTAAATATAGCCAACTTTGCAAGTGAGTGGATATTAACATTACATAATCTAGATATGAAATAATAAAAAAAGATAAAAAATAATAATAATAAAGACGGCTAATGTCATGAAGAAGACATTTAAATTCATGTGTAGTTCCTTTGAGATGATAAGAGAGATCAAGTTTTGCGAGATCCAACTTACATTGGGAAAAGAAAAATATGCATATAGCCCACTAAATTACACTTTATTTATCACAAGAATTTCAACAATATTGGTCAAACAAGTAAAGACTAGACTTGCATTGCAAAGGAGAGTTCTTGGGAGATTTGATAATCCATCTCATACTACATTTGTCCAAGGAAACATTCCAAGTTGCATTATCACAACAAGATTTTCCATTTCAGATTATTATGCATGCCAAATAGAGAGGGTAAAGAGAGTCTGCTTTCTTAGCTGAACTTCGGGCATCACTCATTCATGGGCAATTGGGCATTATTCACAACTTTAAAGAGGATTTTATCTTTATGTAAATCACAATATTCAAATAGGAAAAGTTTATGGGCCTTCTACAAATGCAAAAAAATCCAAAGGTAGAGAGGAGTAGATAATAAAACTATTGGAGACAGAGTAGTCATCTTTTTTGCACCTTGAAGAAGTTTCAATGAAAGGTGTTCGCTTGCCGCAACTTCGTTGAAAAAAAGACTGAATCACAAATTCATATTATAAAATACCATATGAAGAAGATATGGAATAAGAACAATAAGAAGATAAAAATGAAGAACATCGAAGACGAAGATACCAAAATAGAAAGACAAAAAAAAAAAACCAAAGAAGAATAAAGTAGAAGATGGAAACACCGAATCTGAAACCACGTAGATGAAATTGATATATAAGGAATCAAATAAGAACAGAGGAGAATAAACCAAACAAGAACGAAAAAGAAGAAGCAAGACGAGCAAATACGAAGAAGATCAAAGTAGATGATGAGTGTAGATGAGTGAATATAAGTGAAGATGAAGAAAAAACGAAGTAATTAGTATACTTACACTTCTACGGAGAAGATTTGATAATCCATCTCATACCACATTTGTCTAAAGAAGAAGCAAGACGAGCAAATACGAAGAAGATCAAAGTAGATGATGAGTGTGGATGAGTGAATATAAGTGAAGAGGAAGAAAAAACGAAGTAATTAGTATACTTGCACTTCTACGGAGCAGATGAGAGTTCAAGGGAGATTTGATAATCCATATCATACCACATTTTTCTAAGAAAATATTCCAAGTTGCATTACAAAAACAATATTTTGTGTTCCATATTCTAATGCATGCCAAACAGAGGATAAAAAGAGGCTGCTTTCTTAGCTGAACTTCGGGCATTCATTCATGGACATCTTTCACAGCCTTAAGGAAGATTTTATTTTACTGTAACTCACAATATTCAAATAGGAAGAGAGTACCAGCCTTCTACGGATGCCAAAAAATCCAAGGGTGGAAAGGAGTAGACAATAAAACTATTGGAGACAAAGTAATCATCTTTGTTGCACCTTGAAGGATTTACAGTGAAGAGTTCTCATTTGCCACAAGTTTGTTGAAGAAAATGGCTGAATCATATACTCAGACTGAAAAATGACATATGAAGAGGATATGAAAGAAGAACATTAAGAAGATAAAATTAAAAATTATCGAAGACGAAGATACCAAAGTAGAAAGAAAAAAAAAGACCCAAAGAATAACAAAGTTGAAGACGGAAACACCGAATAAGAAACCACGAAGATGAAATTGAAAATTAAGAATTAATCAAAGAAGAAAGGAGGAGAAGAAACCAAAAGAGGAAGCAAGACGAGCGAAGACGAAGAAGAGCAAAGAAGATGAGTGAAGAGACCAAAAAAACGAATAAGAATAAATAAAAAGAAAAAGAAGCTACCAATTTAGAACAAAGACGACAAGCCAAATTATAAGGTTTTTTTTTTCACAAGTTTCTAATACGGTTCACTTAAAAACAATGTTGGTTCAGGCTGATCATGTTGTCATAATATTGAAAAAGAAAAGTTTGGGATCTATTCTTATGTCGAATTTTATGAAGCAATTGACAAAACATATAAATATTAAGAAATGTGAGGATAGGGCTATTGTATGTTTTTTACAGAAAATACGTTTTTAAAAAGTACCTTACTTATTATGATTAATTATAAAATAATTAAATTGGTAAAGTAAAAAAATAATTAAAAAGTATATTACAAAGATAAGTTTATAAAAAAACAGCAAAAAATAAAAAATTGTGAAGCTTTGGAAGAAAATAAATTTAAATATAACAATTTAAAAAATCATTAGAACAGAGTGTAGCGTGCGCGGGTTAAAAACCTAGTGTGAATAATGGTCTCGAAATCACCTTTGCAGACTGAACAAACATCCGAGTCAGTCAGATGACGGCGCTTCCTCTCCACGTTCGTCATAATTACCTGGTGAGCCACAAGCCAGAGAAACAACCTGACCCTCTCCGGTGCCGCTACACTCCACACTCGATCAAAGAAAGACTCCATGTTCTGTTTTGGAGCGGCATCTCGAGTTATCCAATCGTACGCAGCTTTAACTGAAAATTCTCCATCATTTTTTATATCCTTTGTCAGTGGTTTTTACTGCATTATTGTATTTCATCGATCCAAAAATCTTTACCATCATTGATATTTTTTTGTTTTTTTTTCCGTTTCCAAATTGACGTAAGCAAGCAGAAGCAGAGAATAATATTTTGAAAATCAAAGTTTCTGTTGTCTCTGTACTTCCTGACTGAAAGAAGAATCGGTTTTCAAAAGACTTCTTCCGGACAAATAAGGTTAATATGTTGTAATTTGATTTCGTAAATGATTGCTTCAGTAGTTTATGAATTCTTTTCAATTGCATAAAAATATGACTCGAGCTATTGTATACAATTATGTGTTACTTTATAGAAATATATTAATTTACAAAGTAAAGGTCTCATCTTATACTTAATTTTCTGTGGAGGATGTTTTGATAACAGTATGCATGCTAGTTAAAGCGACTTCAATCCCATCACGGAACACCAAATTGTGAGTGTTTCTTATTTTTATCAATTAACTATTTTTAGTATCAATGATCAGAATCAACTCAGTCATTGAGACTGTTCCTTTTACTAATAATATAACAACTGCTTATGTCCCTCTTTCTGCTGCAGAATATGTTATCAGAACTCCTTCCTCTTAAAGATCACCACAAGCCAGTGGGGATGTAGCTCCGAGTTCTTTCGTGACCTTTGATTTAACAGGTTTTGAATCAAGGACTCGAGGAGGAAGGCACATCAAGCCAACTCAAAAGGTTCAAGAAATGCATTGGACTATTGTGGACGCGGGAACCGTGGTCGTGGACCATATAATATTAGAGATCTCAAAGTTTGTTTCTCTAGCTCCTCTTTTAATCTTCTAGGACTTTATGATGATCTACGATCCAAAACTCCAAGTTATTTGTATGCTAATGCATCTTTATCTCAAACTACTTTCTTGATCTCTATGACTATACAAGTCATAGCATTGTAATTTACTATCCTTGCTTTTTAAATTAACAGAAACCCATTTCTAAAAATAAAGACAAAATTTTGAGACTAAAACGGAGATATGACGCAATACGCATAGGAGATTGGGTTGTAAAGACATTCACCAAACAATTTTGTCATATATTTTATTGTTCCGATCAAAAACCTCGGAGCTTTACGATTAAACCTGGCTGGAGTTAAATTCATAATTACAACATAGATCGAACAAGTAAAGACTTTCAAAGAAGAAGAAGAACACACGCTGACACGCACTTCAAATTTGCATTTGATATTCGTATGAGCTCCTTAAAAAAGGTCATATAAACGTCAAAAATCTTGATTTTGTATTAGTTGATATAGAAATATAGAATCGAGAGCAAAAGCTACAATCTGGGTTAT